GAGTATTCGCTCTAAGGGCTCTATAACTTATTCGCGGGTTCCGACGGGTTATCCGATAGATATATCGAATAGTCTAATCGCTGATCTTAGAAGATCTACTATTTCTAGGCGATGATTTAAGAGTATAGTATTACTAAAAGCGATCGCGAGTCCGGTAAATTGTAGTACAGCTAAGATTTAAATCGCGAGCGATTTTAGTAGGACTTAAGCTATTTTCGAGAGCAAAAATAATCGCTACGCGAGTAGATTCTGATAATTCATTATTTTGCCTACGATTTATACTAATTTCAGTGCCAAAATATCGTATATTCGTTATGGTAGAGAGAAAAGAAAAAAGGGGTTAGAATATGGATTTTACTAAAGTAGGGTGCTATACCCAGACTTTTGGACCCCGTTGTATATAGAAGTAATTCGGGCGCGTAGATAGGGCTGGTTTATATAAGCCCTAGCTAAACGTCCCTGATAGAACTAACGCGTATACTGATCTTAGAAAGGATAGTAATTAGACCCTTTTGCTATATAAGCTCTTAAGTAACTAGCTAGCCGTTACTATTAGTTAAAGACGGGGTATATAGTAGTAGGAGCCTATTTTTACTAAATTTAGGCCTAAGAGAGCTTAGTCTATTAGGGGTATAGAGAATTAAAGGAAATAGTATACTATCTTCTCTTTAAATATTAGAAATAATAGTATTAATAGAGGAAGCTCTATAGGGCCCTAGATAGGGCCGGAGTTATTAGATCTTTAGTAATAGAGGACTATCTAGAAGGAAGGCTTCTAGGTAAGCCTAAAGCTACTATAGCTATCTTATAATTTCTAGCGACTATAAGGGTAGCGTTACTATTAAGATATCTCTAATAAGCAGCGGAGCGAGCCCGATAAGACGACGAATAGGGATTAGAGGCCCTAGAGGAAACGGACTAAACTAGGGAAGGGTAATAAGAGGGGTAGCCTAGGCTTTTGGCTTAGGGGATACCCTACTCTATCACAGAAATCGAGGAGAGCTTAAGAAGCTTAAAGACCCCCGCGTAGATAGGTAGCTTAGGGCGAGGAAAAAGGTTAGAATATCTATAGATAGGGTAGTCGCCTAGGAACTAATAGGAGACGGGGGCTAGAAGGCAGGCCTAGCTAGGCCTATTAGAAGCCTCTGCCCCGGATAGCGGTCTATCATAGCTTTAGGGCTCGGTATAGACAATAAACTTGATTTAATAATAATAATAATATACTATCTTAGTCTATAATAAATCTAAGGAATTCTACTCTTTCTTAATAAAATATATATTTTAAAGGTTTTATATAAATTCCTATTTCCCTTATTCTCTTAAGGATTTAATAGATATAGTAAATATATAATTTATAGTCCGAGGAGAAGATTAGAATAATATCTAAATATATAATATAGGAGATATTAAATAATCCTTATAAAATAGTATAAATATAATTCTAGAAGATAATAAAAGTATTAGTTAAGCTAAATAATATAATTATATATTTAAAATAACTATAATATATATAAAATATAGTCTTCTATTCTTCGCTCTCTCGAATATAAATATAGTAATAGATATTTTAGATATTAATCTTATTTAAGTATTTTACTCCTAAAAATTAATCTAAAATCTCTAAAATAAGAGATAAAGAGTATTAATTCTTTATTATAATCTTATTAAGTCCTTAATAGTCTATATAGAGATATAATCCTTTATCTTTTTTAGAATAAAAAGGATTAATACTCTAGTAGGACTTTTTAAAGGTCTAATCCTTCTATTTATAAGATTTTCGTTAATATAGGTTTATAATATCTATAATTCATTTTATAATAAAAGATATATTAATCTATAAAATAGGGAATAGTTATTTTCTAATTTAATAGTATAATCTTATAAATTATTAGATAGAAGGATTTACGATCGCTCTGTTAAAAAGATATTAATAAATTAGTATAGTTCCGGTAGTATTTCTAAAAAAATAGATAGTTAGTTCTTTATTTTTTTTATAGGGTAGCTAGACTTTCTCCGGGAGTTTTATAATAATATAGATAATAATATATTTTTAATATTTTTTCACGAGTTCCTAAATTAGTACTAACTTAATTTTAGTAGTTTTAAATTATTAACTTTTGTTCTATAATAAAATATAGACGCGATACTTTATAAATATTATTATTAAAAGTAAGATTAAACTTCTTTATTTATAAAGACCTTTATTAATCGCGAGATAAAGATAAACTATTAATTTAGTAGTTCCTTAAGAATCGGTAAATATAATAGATATCTTTTATATATTATATAAAGGAGTTCCTTAATTATCTATTATTCTAAATAGTATTAATAATAGCTTCGCTCTCTATAATTTATACTTTTCCGCGAATTTAATACTAATAATATTAATTTTAACGTAGGTATCTATATCTATATATATTTTAATTTTATTTTATAGTAATACTAGAATATAAAGATAAATTATAGTTTCTATTTAGAGTAATAGAATTAGCTATATAGGATTTAGACTAATTTATTATAATTTTTTAACTTAATCTAAATAGCTATTTATATACTAGCTTTTTTACTTAATTTATTAAGATAATAATTAACGAGATAGGGTTTATTTTAATAAATATAATATCGAAGGGTTTTTTTATTCTTTCTAATTAAGTTCCTTTCATTTTTAGGTCCTTTCTTTAGATCCCTAAGGTTTATAGTTTAGTTAATACTAATTTATCCGAAATTATTTATTTATAGATTCTTTAAGGGTTTTAGGGCTTTTTTATTTTCGTATTAATTATAGTAATCCCTAGTAATAAATAGTTAGAGATACTATCTTATCTTAGTTTTTAGGTAGTTTATATATATATTCTTATATATATCGCTTAAAGTTATAGATAAATTTCGAGAATATTATAATACTCTCTTTTTCTTATTTTAATAAGGGAAGTATTACTCTAATAAATCTAAAAAGATATAAAACTCTCGCGGATCCTATTTTAGGCGTTAATAGGCTCTTTATAGTTATCCTATAATATCGATTTTAAGGGTTATAATATCTTTAATAAAAAAGAGAGTCTAATTCTTAAAATAAGCATATAAAGTATTAATATTTTATTATTCTTTTTTAGGTTTCTCGGTAATATATTAATATTATCTTTATTAGTAAGTAGATTCTATATATAATAAAACTATAATAATTTATTATTCCTTGTTACGATATTTCTATAATACTCCTTTAAAAATAAAAGAGAGGAATAAATCAAGAATATTAGAATATTTTAAATCCTAATCTTATTTTTATCTTCCGTAGGAGGTAAACCCTAATTTCATTATTAATTTATTAAAGGTTTAATAATATTCTTTTATTCGATCTAATTTCTTATTTATTAAGCTATTTATTATAATTCTTATAAATATTAAATTTTTTCGATCGTTTATTAGATAGTCTATAGGTTTTTATCTAGTTAGGTCTAGTTAGTTTTAGATAGAGAGGTTTACAATATCTTTTTAGGAGTATTATTTTGACGTATTATAATAGATTAGGTCTATAGGGTTATCCTATTTTTTTAGGTAATCGAAAAAGAAGATTTAGAATTATAAAAAATATACTTAGTAAGGTATAAAACCTATTAATTAGATAAAGAAATAAAAGGAAAGAGTAAGAGAAATAGTATATCTTTATTACTATTAAGACTAAATCTTATCTTATTAGCTAGATACGAGAGTATCAATTTATTATATAATATCTTCGTAACTCCACGTATTATCAATAATATAAACAACTAGGTTTCTGTTGTGTATCGTGATTATTCCACTATAGAGTAGATTAAGTAACAAGTTCCGACTTCCTTCAGGATCATATAATATCACCTGATTCACCCCTTCTGTTAGTTGGGAATAACCTCATGCCTCACTATCTTAGTAGACCCTTTACAATTCTTTATATATATATAGTATATTTCCTTTAGGGTATATATTCTACTATAAGTTTCCGCTGATGTTTAGACTCGTGCTTACTGATTGGTCCATTGGCTCTCAGTAGCCTATTATTAAGTTGCGGGGTCCTTGGATAACTGGTGTCTGTAGGGTCCGTAACACTAAGATAGTAGCTAAAATAACTTCTAAATAGGTTTCTAGGTAGATTTCTAGGATAATTAAGACTAACGAGTTTATTAGTTAATTCGCTATATAATCTTAATATACTTATTATATAAAACTAAAAAATAAGCCTAAGAAGTATCCTAAAGTCTTGAAAAGGTTTTTGTGGAGCTCTATAATTATTGCGAAAGAGTATAGTACTACTGTAGTCGCCTTGTAAGCTATTATAGGCTAGGTACTTATCGTTTAGGCTTTGAGCGAGGTTATTATATAGCTAGGTACAGGTGATATTGGTATAGCGCTGACCTAGGCCCGTCTTGAAAAAATCAATATTATCTGTTAAGCTTTGTATACTAATTGTTGTGGGTTATGTATATTAATAGATTTAAGAATTTTGTAGTTGGCCGGATGGTGTAGTTGGTTATCACGTATCGTTAACACCGATAAGGTCCTGGGATCGAACCCCAGTCTGGTCATTTTTGCCCTTTTCTAAGCTATTTTGTTTGCTTCCTTGTATCATTTTTTCTTCCCTCCTTTTCTTATTAAAGAAAAAGAAAATTAGAAATAGAAAGGTTCATTCGTATATAATGTTCTAGTCCGTTGTAGTCGCTTTACCCTAAATCCCATCTATGGCACGACTCACCCAAAAGTAGTAGTAAGATAGAAATCAAAAATAGAACTAGATGACTACATAAATTAGGGTATAGATCTATAGACATGCTTATAGATCTCTTGCATATTAACCTTGAAGATCCATAGATACTCTAAAGCCCTGCGAGCTCCTATGTTATATGCAGTCTCGGCATGTATCAATCTAATTCATGAGCTGTCTATGCAATTCTGTTTCAAACACGAGAAAAAGAAAGTCATGACAGTATTGTTCATCCCTGAGAGCAAGTATCATCATCAATGGCCACTCAGCGGCTAAGCTTGGTTTCACGAATGAAGCAGCTGCTGAACAAAGCAAAGAACACGATAACAAGCATCAATGCAATCCCCTTGTTGGTGGACCAACCGTAACAGCCGCGGACAATCTTAGCAACCGCCGGTTCCAGCGTTTTGATGAAATCGAGACTTTCTCGAACCCTGTTAGCGATCTCATCAATGTTCTTGCTGTCGCGTAGGCCGATTTTCAGTCGCTGTCGCAGGAACTGCTGTACGACTGTCGATGTCAGCGAGAGCCCAATTACAGAGCCCAATGACCGGAAAAGATATGAGCAAGCCGTTACTACCGCCTGGTCATCGGGGGTGGCGTTTGATACTGGGGCCGATGAGTTAGCGAAACTCCTAGAGATTGGGAAGAAGTGATAGCAAAAGAAAACAACAACTCACTCAAGCCAATCAACGTTGTCGTGACACCAATGCCATTTCCGAAAGACCCAATCGCCAGTCCGAGGATCATAGGAATTGTGCTGGTCATGACAGGGCCGGAGAAAAGAAAAAGGACCAAACAACCGCCCGTCAGAAAGCTGTACCCAGCAATCGTCAGCCAGAAATATCGCCCAGACCACCTCATCACAGCGCCTGACAACAGCGACCCAGAGACCCCGGAGAGGATACTCGGCAGCAGACGTACACCTGCGACGGTGGCGGAGTCTCCGAGGACGGCTTGGAAATATAACGGGATATAGAACAACGCAGCAATCCACCCTCCAAAGCTGAAGAAGTTGCATGCGTAGCAAGCAAAAAAAGTCCGGTCAAAGATGATATGACCCGGCGCAAAGGGTTCGGTTGCAATGTATATTTCAACCAGAATGAAAAGAACAAATAAAACGACCGAGACACTCAGCGAGGCTATCGTCAAGGGAGCTTCCATGAAACATTGCTGCCGCGATCGAGACCCAGCAGGAAGCCAAGCACAGCTCCAACAAGGACGATAGCTCCGAGGAAATCGATGCGACGCAACTTTGTTTTCCAGTGAGAGTCCTCGCGGGCGGGAAGCTTGAGGAGCACACACACGGCAATGAAGGCAATGATACACAGAGGGAACTGCACCAAGAAGGCCCTAAAGACAATTGTGAGATAATGAAACACACTAGAGCCATCGGTAATCCATACCAGCGCCAGCCAATATAGTCGGCCAGGATTCCACCCAACGGTGCACCAGTGCCCGATCCAGTGGCATAGATAATGTTGATGACACCTTGCCACAGACCTCGGTCACGCAGGGGGACAATGTCACTCATCAAGATGCTAACCACTGTGGTCATACCACCACCTCCAATACCTTGGAAGACCTGTCCGGGGAACGTGTCAGCACGCAAGACATCAATAGCAGTGGGATTTGAGGAATGCCTTACACGAGCAGCAATCAATTGATTGATATTCTGTGCAAGACCACAAAACAAGCATCCAGTACCGAAGATGGCATATGCGAAGAGCAGGCACGCCTTACGACCAAAGATATCGCTCAATTTGCCATACAAAGGCTGGAACGAGGTCAGGGTCAGAAAGTACGAGGTTGCAATCCAACTGGTCAAATTAAGGGCCTTGAGATCGCTGCCAATCTGGCCATAGCTGGCCATGATAATTGTTTGGTCTGCAGCCGACAGGAAGACCTACAATATATATGTTAGCTTTTTCTATCTATGAAAACGGTGCTCATGTTATCGAGCACGCCTCAAGGCACGAGGGGAATCCCATACACCTAATGAGACCGCGGGAATAATAAACTTGAGTTGCTTTTGGAAACTGGGAGCCGATTCCTTTGTTGGCTCAGGCAATTGGGTCTCCCCGGCCTCCCCATAGTGACTGGGGATGGTTCCAGTGGCTGCAGCGGCGTCGTGCGACGCCAGCAGCGGTGATGTCTCCGAGGGATTGTTTTCTGGCGCCATGGCTGACATATAAGTCAGTAAGTCAGTACGTCAACCTCCAACTCGTCCTTGGCTTCCCCAGAGTTCGAATATAGCCCGACTGACCCACGAGAGGGAAAAGAAAAAGAGACGCCAACTTAACTCCCAAGTCCGTATAAGTCACGTGCCGATAAACCCCCCTCTCCGATTATCCGACGTCCAATCAAAAGCGGCGGATCCAGCCCCTCGCGTGCTCGAAAGATGCCATTAGTCATCGCAGGATTATGCACGGATTATGTCGGCCAAAGGAGAAATACCCGTCAACTATGCATAAGGAATGGATATCAGATTTCTTGCCAGAGATATATGAGTTCGAGAGTATTACATAGGAAGAAATAAAGCCGGTGCTTCGATATTTGTGATGTTTTTCTGCTATGGTAGATCCGCAATCCACAGGTATATATTTACGTGGTCACCTCTTGCACTCTTTGCGGTAGCTTTGCTAGGTATTCACTGTATTAAATTGTTGAATCCTTTTGGTCCTTCGAGCCTTATTACCTACTATGGCTCTCTTTTGAATTCTTTGTTTTGTTCTCATTTTGAGATCGGCCTAGCGCAGCACCCCACGTTAGGCTAAAGACCTCGGGAGTGATGCGACAGCGGCGCTCTATATTAGTAAATGCAAAACTAACACATCTCTCTAATGTATTCTTTTCTTCCAAAATAAGTTATCTTATATATTCTGACCTTTTCTATTTTATTATCTAAATGTGCTTTCTAGATCCCAGGTCTTGTACCGAGTACTTCCCCACTGGCGACCGATCCGTGTGATGCCCAGGTAGCTAGTACTCTCGTCACACTCGAAGCGCCCGCACGGCGGCTGCAGGCAGCGTCTCACAGGCCAAATGAAAGGCAGCTAAATTTCGTAGGTGCTTCGCGTTCTCTATTTCTTGTTCCTTTTCTCCCTTGATTCTATTCTGGCACTGTATTCTATTTTATTGCATTTCGTCGCGTCTTCCCAGTTGACACCATGCCTCCCTTAGCAGGCGAAGAGTGTCTGTTGACCGTGTGAGTAGAACTGACATCCCTTCCCCGCAGGCGTTGACCGAGTGCCTCTGACCGTAACCCTGTCATGCTGTAGTTTTGCCGACCTCCACTACTATTTTACAGCACCAATGTCGAAACCCCTCCACCACCGCTTCGAGAAGGGCTCTTACTTGTATATCCACCATGATGCCCCGCGGAGCAAGGCCCGCATCGAAATCGCCAATAATCCCGGGACCGCCGATCAGGATGCATTCCATGGCTTTCTGGATAGCGTCCATATCCAACACTCGCTTGAGTTCCCGACTCGTTGCACGTTGACCGTGGACGGGCAAGCTCCCACCCAGCAGCAGCAGCAGCAGCAGCAGCCTCCCGCATCATCACAGTATGAATGGCGTCTGCCAAACGAAGACTCGCGCACGGGACAACCTCAGCTTCTTCGACTACACACGTTGGACATCTATTTTTGGACCTCCGACGATGTCAATCAGTTCCTGGACACCGTCGCCCGTGTTCTGTCTAGCTCTCAGCTTGAGACAGACCGAGTCGCCGCAATCCCGCAATCGGATCCATCCATGAGCACGGTTGTCCAGCAACTCGAGAACGTGGCCGTCTCGGACCCAGCGTATCAAAACGGACAGACGCGCAATTCCCGGACGGATTCTGCGTCCATCGCTGCACCGGTCCCTCAGGGAATCCCACAGACCTTCCCTCCACCTCCTCCAAGTGGCCCGCCGGCAGACGCCCACCCGTCACCAGGCTCTCAGGCCGAAGAAAACAAAGAACCAGTGAATTTCACACCCCTGCCATACAATCCCGCCGCGCCCGCCGCGCCGGAGCCAATCCAACATCGCGAGAAGACCCCGCCGCCAGAGGACGGCGTCGAGGGCACGGGGCTAGTAGCTGCGGCAGCTGCCGACCAAGGTATGCCACTCACGCCGCCGCATCAAGTAGGCGGAGGAGGGGTGGGAGTAGGATTCGGGCCCGTAGCACCAACAACCCAAGGCCTGCCATACGGAGGACTCCCCGGCACAATGGCAACGGGGTACGCATCACCACCGCCCAGCGCAGGGCTGGCGCATTCAAACTCGTTCTCCACGCGCTCCTCCCTCCAGAGCCCCGGCGTAGCATCCTTTGGGCAGACGTTCCTCGCCGGCTCCGGAGCACAACCGCAGGCGGCAATGGCGTTCGCGCCGCCACCCAAGGAACCAAATGCCCACCTCTACGCGCAGCCCGCCGCCGTGTCTCCCCAGTCCCCGCCTCACCAGACCGGAGCGCCGCCGCCGGCGGTGGGTGGTTATTCGAACTACTCGTACGACCAGACGCAGCCACCGCGCCAGCCCGGTTCTTCGGAATATAACATCCACAGCCAGGTGTACCGGCCATCTGAAGCCGAGGTGAATTCTCACTCTCAGAAATATGCACAGCAAGCCATGAAGAATCCCGGGCAACGGCATCGGAAACTGGAGAATAATGCGGCCCGAATGGAGAGTGGCGTTAACCGCTTTCTGAAGAAGCTTGAGAAGAAACTTTGAAGGGAACAACCGTCGTGATTCTCTTTTGATTCATTTTTTTTCATAGGTTGGCTATCTCTTCTATTGTTAAGGATCTCTTGCTGGTCATGGTCACCTCACGGTAGATATTTAACAGTTGGGTACGCTGCTGAGCAGCAATGAATAGTTGATATGGTTACTGGTGCAGAATGCCAACCTCAACATGGATGGGAGCTATACTCCCCAGAAGTGAATGATTTAAAACTTATATGCCAAGGCTCAATGATGCAGCTATCGCTAAAAGAATACCATATGCTCACAAAAGTGGTACTAGAAATGCAATAGAAAAGACACCAACAGAGGTGAACTCATCAGGCCGAAATGAAACAAAGTCCCTTGGGAGAAGAAGTAGAGTAGAAGAAAGGAACAAAAGAGAGCCTCGAAGACAAGTCGCAAGGCAATCAATCAAAGGCTCACTGGAGCCCCAATATCCAAGGGTATAGTCAGACAAAGATTAAACATGTATCCGAGAATGTAAATGGCAACAAAGATAGAAACAAGAGCAAAGTCAAAGTAAAGTAAGACTTGACTCGTGCAGAAATCTACATCCATCACTGTCCTGACAGCGTGAGAGTTAGTTCAATGCCAGGCTGGCGATGTCCAGGTCGACATTTTCTGGCTTGACCCCAGTCGCAGGTTGCGCCGACGGGGCATATTCCTCGACATTTTTCGCCTCAGTATGCTTCTCCGAAGATTAGGGGACGGTGGCATCAGAAGCAGAGAGATTAGCATCTTCGCCAGAGGCCTGGGCATGGGGCTTGGATGTCTTGAGGGCTTCTTGAACCTCTGGTGCGGGCTGGGAGATTTCTGGCTCCTCGGTGAGCTTTGAATCGGTATCAACAGTCTGGTTGACAGGGGTACTCTCCGGCTCTTCAACAGACTTCTCAGCTTGAGCGGGGGTAGAGTCCTCCGGGGCATCGGCAGCGACCGCGGTTTCAACCGGGGTTTCACTGTGCGCATCTTTTTCCTTCGACTCGGCAGGCGTTTCAACAGGAGTCTCATCATCGGCCTTAGCAGGGACTTGAGCAGGTCCAGGCGAGGCAGCAGACTCGACCGGCCCCTCAGTGTTATTCTCCTCAGCCTTGTCCTCAGCCTCGCTTTCAGCCTTAACAGGTACCTGAGCAGATTCAGGCAAGGTAACAGACTCCACTGGTGCCTCAACCCCATTGTCTCTAGTGTTGGCCGGGGCCTCGGTAGGCTCGGCTGGGGCGGCAGGTACCTCATTCGTGGCAGGTTCCGGTGAATTTTCGACAACAACCTCTGCAGCAGCGGACTCAGGGGAGGGGTCAATTGGCTTTGCGACAGGCTCTGCAGATAGTTCAGCGGGAGCCTCGGGGATAGGAGATTCGACTGGGGCATCAGCTGCTTCGCTGGCATTTGGTTCGGAAGAGACATTGGGGTGCTCCGGGGTGGTATCTTTCTCAGACTCCATAGCCGTTGACTCTGGAACTGCAGGGGTAGCCTCCTCAATATTCTCCTTCTCACTCTCATGGCCCTTCTGAAGAGGCTTTGCTTCACTCTTTGGCAGGGAGGAGTCCTTGTTCAAAGCCTGGGACTTCTCACTGTGCGGCCGCAAAGCTGCAACCTTGGCCTTTGGTTGGGACGTAACGCGATCAGGCGTCTTTCCAGTGGATGTTCTCGGGGCCTTCGGAGCAGCAGCAGTCTTTGCAGGTCTGCCATCTGTTTTGTCATTGGTTTTGCTGGCAGAGCTTGCAGTGGGACGCATCATCCGCGCAAGGAATCCCTCGTTGACAGGCTTGGATCCCACATCACTGGCACGAGAGCTCGGCCGTTCATTGAATGACTGAGTGGGAAGCGAGGGACGAGACGACTGCTTTCGAACGCTGGCCGCTGTGGTCGTAGCTGTGCGCGTCTGAGCTCCGCCTGTGGCGCTCTTGAGCGAAGAAGGTTTTCTTGTGAGGGTCGAAGCAGTGTTGGTTCGGGTGCTCGATGGTCCCGTACTTCCCAGCTTCGCCGCAGAGGCTTGGGTCGGCGCTGTCATAGACGACGGAAGACGAACGGGCTTGGTCGGTGATTTTGTTCGCGGTTTGTGGGAAGCATCTGCAGCCGAGGCCGTTCCATCCTGCGATGGGGTCGACCCACGGACCGAGCGCGCAGTCGTCTTGCTCACGGGGTTCAGAGAAGCTCGACTTGGCTTGTGGGCAAGAGCATTGGCCCGCTCCTTAGCCATCTCGCGAGCCGAGGGTTTGGATGTGGTATTGTTCGTTGAAGGCTTCGCTACCGTCGAGGTCGCCGTGGTAGATGTATGCTTGTTTGCTGCAGTCTTTGTGGAGTTGATGTTGGATGGCCGTTTAGCGAGGGTCTTTGGTGCGCTTGGTTTTTGTTGTGGAGCCTCAGGGGTTGTGGAGGTGGGCGCATTGGGAGCAGGGGCCTCCTTCTTGGGTGTTGGAGCTTTCTTTGGCTGAGCAGCAGCTTCAGCATGAGCGGGCTCTTCTTTGTCCGTGGCATTTTGCTTTGGAGCAGTCTCTGCAGTTTCCCCTGATTGAACATCGGTCGCTGGTTGCTCAAAGGTGGCTTTTGGATCAGTGTCTAGCCTGCCAGTGGGCGAGGGAGACAACACACCCCGGCTTGAATCTCCGTCCTCTGCATTGATCTTCGGCCCGAAAATCCCAGGGCTGTCACTCCGCCCACTTGTTTTCCTCAATGGCGAGGCAGGGTTGGATTGAATCACCCCCTCCACTGTGACAAAGCTAGCACGGACCTTGGACAGTGGTCTTGTTGTTCCCGAGGTGTCGGAGCCAGCTGGTGATCTCCCACGCGAAGGCGGGGAGGTGATGGGGCTCTGGCTATTCTCGAATTTGGCCAACAGGCTGCGGACACCGGGGTGGTGAGGGTTGTTGCTGTTGTCGGACATAGTGCAGCTCACGATGATCAGCGACTGGAAGGGCGTCGAGTAGCCAAGGGCATGAATGCGATTGAGGGGGGTTGCAAAACGCGTCTGAACAGATGTAACAGGGGCAGTGGTTTTGAAGACAGCAAGATGGCAGTCAGACGCGGGAGAGCAGGTGTGATATCAATCCCACTATGCTTGTCCAGCAGACAGACGCGTCACAATGAGAGTGGCAACGTGTCTGGGAGAAGAGAGAGAATGGGAGATGGAAACTATTACACACAGGCACTAGTGACGTTTAGCGTATCCGATGGGGTGAAACACCTCCTCGCTTTCAGGGGTTGCGTTCCACTTCATTTTGTAACGATTACCAATGATGCTGTGGAGGAATTCAGAAATTAACTCTTCAATCTATCTAGGGCTTTTGGGTACAGAAGGAAATTGTCTCAAGGACCAGCCGTTTCTTCATTGTGGCACGAGAAACACAGATCCACTGCCTGGACACAGTGGCGCCTCTATACTCCTCAGACCTATAGTAGATGTCCGCAGACACATGTGGTGTTGAATATAGTGATTTCTCAGGTATAGTCAATATGATCAGATTATACACTTCAGTCCATCGATCCATGGGTAATTTGGATGTTTTGTACCATGGTAGACTCCTGAGCAAGGGGAGTGCCTGCCTGAGGCAGACACCCAATGTTCGATCCGATCTTCGGCTCTCCATCTCAGCACAGTCCACAGTGAGTGCATATGGTCTTCGGGATGATATCACCACAGCTTCAATGAAGACTGAGGACTTACACTGCATCTCCCCGACTCAGCCTCGGTCGTAGATCTGCTGGCTGCCAAGAGACTGCGGGACACACCCCACGTGATGACATTCTCCTTCAGCCAAGCTGACTAGGTTCCTCCTACCAGACAACAATTCCTGCTCAAGGGAATCCAAGATGGTTGGTGTACCCCGGAGTAGCGGGTGTGCACTCTGTGTGAAACGTCGAGTCAAAGTGAGTGTAGTACCCCGTGCGACCGACCCAACCTCGTATCGGTACTGATAACGCCACAGTGTGACGAGAGAACCCCAGGTTGCGCCAAATGCGAAACCTATGGAAAGCCGTGTCCGGGATATGATCGAGCTTTCAAATTCGTGGCAGGAAAGCCGCATCGTGGCCGACGTCAACCCGGTTCCAGTTCCGGCAAGGCAGATGAACGCTCAAAGAGTGCTAGAACCAGCGTCATAGTCCCTGTTCAATCAGCCTATCAATTTCTGATCCAGCGAGAGAGTCCGTCTTCAATGGTGTCTGCGGACCTCAATGTCTTTCAGCACCTTTGTATTTTGATCGACGATTTTTCCCAACCTGTGTCGGCAAACCGAACCCATTCAGTGTCTCGGTGGTTTGGTTTTCTTCCTTCCATCTATGGCCAGAGCCGGACATTGGATGCGACAATCAAGTCATTCACTGCACATCACATTGGCCGTATCACTCAAAATAAACAGATGGTGTTGTATGCTCAAACCGCCTATGGAGAAGCTCTGTGTATACTTCGAAAGTCGCTGCAAAACCCCTCAGAGCGTCTTTCGTCACATGTATTTTGTGCAGTTGTCTTGTTGTGCATATACGAGGTAAGATAGACGATGTGGCGCTTTTCCTTCTAGAGATGGGATTGCCGCCAGCTTCTAACTCTGATCAAGCTATTCACAGACACTGAGGATCCACAATCGTGGATGAAACATGTCAAAGGATTAAGTCAATTGGTGCAAATTCGAGGCCCTGGCCGTTACCGAAGCGAACTGGACATCACCCTTCTCAAAGCCTCTCGGGGTTTAATTGTATGTTGCAAACTTTTTCTTCGAGAACGATATGGTATAAAATTGGACATTCTGACTGGAGCAGGTAATGCACTCCATGTTCTCGGGCGAGGCGTGTTTCTTAGCTTCCGATGAGTGGCACAGGATCATGCAACAACGCTTCTCTACAAGCCTCCCCACCGAGTCATATCGCAGTATCGAGCAGTTTTTTGCACACTTCACACAGGCCCCGAGTCTTGTGCACAAGTTTTACAGCCTAAAGGACATGGAACCCACAAGCCCTGAGGCCCTACAGATGACCTCGGAGCTTCTTTCAAAAACTCTCGAGGTACAGCATGATTTGGCTGTATGGTATGAGGGGTTTTCTCGGCTGGCTCCACGGCCTGTTGAGGCCATCTCTTCCACTGGCGACGATCTATATCCCATTGTACTCTTGTACTCCGACGTGGGCTTTGCAACCATTTTCTGCAGCTACTACGCTTACAAGGTGATCATCCACGAGATACTCAAGACATGCATTTACCCTGGCCAGCATGAAGCCACGACAATCTACTTTCGGGATCAAATATGCAGGTCGATCGAGTACAATGGCATCGGTATACTCGGGCCCTATCGAATGGGCTTTCCCCTGCGTGTGGCATTCGAAGTCGCCGATCCGGTGACAAGGTCGTGGATCTTGGGCCACCTGGAGCGCTTTTCGAAAATCTATGCAGCAGCTCAGTCAAAGGACTACCAGCCCATTTCGTGATCCAAGAACGATGCAAACTTCACTCGACTAGCCCACCGCCGATGCACTTATATTGATACCTCACTGGCCACAAGACCCTAGGCCATACAACCACGAACACTCCACCAATCTGCATGACATCTGGCTCATTGACCAAGCTCATTTTTGAGATGCTTCCCAGTCATTACTGGTGAGCCGCCTCTTAGGGTCTGCCACCGCGCATGCCATCAACAGTAACGCGACAATGATAATTTCCATGACCAACCCTATTCCAACCAAGATCCCCACGTTGCCAGTGGTTGGTATAAAATTCGGGGGCCCATATTCGAAACCTCAGAGAGTCTTTCATCACATGTCTTTTGTGACCAATTTCATGAAACCAAGATCTTAGATTTTACTAGTATGTATACCAGTAGAATATCCTAAGAATAGGACTTTCACGCCCAGATTTCTAAAGTGACATCATATACTAACGCTAAACGTCTTGGAAGACATATCTCTCCAAGGGCATCAACTCAGTATGAACAGTAAAAACTATACCGGCACCCTTATCCAGAATGACAACTATTCTCGACACCCACGTCACTCACTCTTTGACCCCTTTCTCTGGCCCCATCCAAGCCGCTGAAAGCCACGGCAGTAAAGGTGGGGGTATATCCCACATGGGTCTCCCATGCATGCCGCGATGTACTGGGATATGAGCGACCAGGGCCCTAGTCCTATCATCAACCAGAAGCGCACGGAATTTCCGTGGGAGGAGGTCTGGGCACGAGATGGGAGTCGGGCGCTATAGGAAGTGGGTCACGAGAGGAGCCTCGACGGCAATTGCAGACCTAGAATAGCCAGACGGAATTGTGGCTAAGGGAGAACGGTCTGAAGGTGGAGCGATAGTGCTTATGGGAAAGAAGACTGCGGCATTTGAGTATAGAGGAGGGAATCCTAGACCTGGAAACTTGGGCTGCGGGTGGAGAGGCCGCTAAAGGGATTAACGATCTACTGAGTAAATGAGCCTCTACGTCTCAATCGTTTTGATAGGGAATTAAAATGCTTGTAATTAATTAAGCCATAGTAAGCCACAATTATTTGCCCTGGTGTTTCATAAGATTCTTCGATTTTGCCGCCTGGGCAAGCGATAAAAAAACAGAAATTTCAAGGGTTGCACCATGAACCACTAAATCTTTCCCAGGAATACAGGTTTCAATTATACTTGGCAACATTCACTCTAATAGGCTAAGCTCTGAATCCTGCAATTTATGCAAAATAGCCTAACACTAGGGTTTTTATTGTATAAGCATCTATCGATATTATATGAAGTATATCAAATACAGCAATATATTGAAAGAATCTTACCGGAAACTTTCCCTGCTCTATTGATACGTAAAATATTTACAAAGAATTTTGATAGTGGTTGTTTTCACTGCTTACTACTTTCGGTTTACTGCTTACTACTTACGGTTTATTGCTTACTACTTACGGTTTACTGCTTACTGCTCCTGAGGTCCGTATCTGTCCACTGCCCCCGGCCCCCTAGATCTACATGCTTGACGATTTCTCAGTGGATAAGAAAGTGAATGCGCCCACTAGGTTTTTTCTTTCTTTTTTCTTTTCTTTTTTTCCCTGCTATCCCTTCTAGATCCTTTGAATCCTCCGGCTGGCCTTGGATCTACTGGGTCGGGCGAGTTCATTAGTGAATTATAAAGTGAGCGTGCCCTCTGTGAATAAAAAACTAAAATTTGGGGTGCTTTCTATTCAAGTCATCGACACTATGCGCTTTTTACTGCTGGAGATATCCTCTAGCATTCTATTCTTCTTCTCTTTACTCGGAATTATAGCCACTCCTGGACTCTGCTCCCCTACTCAAGATTTGGGTTAGTAGAGAGATTGATTGTTATCTTGACTATTAATTCTAATATCGACTAGATACACAAACAAAATCTCTCGAAAGTCGTGCTTTTAAAGACTACAAAAAGGAACTTGCCGATCGCAAATTAAAAGGCATACAGAACTATGCTACGACCGAAACCCAAATCCACCAGATGACGAGCAATCCGGAGCGAGACTATGATGCTGATGAATACGTGTCGAGAGATCAAGTTGAAGACCGTATGATCACTATGAAAATTGTTCTCGTAGAGACCTCTTTTAAGATGACCGCAAGAGTCATCAAATCGGTCGGATTTATAAGTCTAGAGGCTAGTTGGAGCCAATTCCGACTAGAAGTCTCGACTAGTGAGAATTCCTTTATCCGAATCTGCGCCGAAGCGATGCTTTTCGCCTGTCATCATGCGGAATTGGAGTACAACAGTGTCAAGGCTTTGAAGGTGAAAATCCAGGATTCTTTCGAGACATCGGTCGCCACAAAAATCAAAAAAACGGGGAAGAACAATCGCCGAATTTGCCGGGATGGACCAAAGCTTGATGAGTTCTATGCGATGCTCGCCGGGAGGCAGGCGGAAATCATCAACGAATTCCGCCCGATGGGGCAGAGATTCCTTCAGGGAGATGCAAAGTTGAATTGCATCACGGCTTGGTATCCCGATAGCGGAGACCCGTTTTGGGTCTTCAATTTTGAGGGTGATAGCCAATCAGCACCTCCATATGAGGAATGTTCGCAGCTGCCGCCGCAGTATGGGATGTGGTGATTGATCGTATTGAAAAGAACGCTGCGGCTATTTATTGCTGTTATATGTATTGTTTCTCTATTTTTATAAGTGGGAGATTGAGACATCAGAGCTTTCTAGTTCGATCTCGGCTGGATTTAGCCGGAATGGTCCTCGATATACTTTTTACTATCTCAATGGAATTCACATATCAAACCGTGTGGACCTTAGCTGTTCGGCCTGGTTAAATGTGAGATGATTGGAATCCAAGTATAAGGACAGAGCACAATCTCCACAATTTCAATTTTGTATTTCTCATTTGAGATGAGAGAATCGAGGGTTGGTGGGAAAGATTGTCTGCCATTGAAGACTGTTGAGACAAATGAAGCTCAATGTACTGGACAGGAAGACATTGACAGCATTCTTGTCAATAAGGAAAATGATCTAAGATAAACCAGAAATGGGAAAATCACAATGACTGTAAATTATTTATATACGTATCGTCATGGAAGTCACCTAGGGCTTCGGTTTCCATTGTATCTGCAGCTGTCTGCTATAGATGCACATCGCGGTAAGCGATCAAACTTTGGGTTTAGCGGGGTGCGAAACCCCCCCCCCCCCCCCAAGAAACAGACGAAATAAGCGTTAGACACAACTGATTATTCCTCAACGGCAAGAAGACCTCGGGAGGCTCCCATCATCATTTAGGCTCGCAGCCAGTGACCATTTTTGGCAGTGTGGGATCTATGCGGCTGTAGTCAGTGGGCAACATGAGAATCTAGTGGCTTGCTGATTCGTAACACAATTAAGAAGTTGACAAAGTGGAATCTACGGTGTCTTCCAAGCCCAGATTTCTCGAATAATGGTAAACCCAGCAGTTGTGTAGTTTGGCCTCTATTGACTCCTGACCTGGAGCGTGCTCGGATCAAAGATGGTCCGCGCCCGCATACAAAAAGAAAAGCTCCGATGACGACGAGTCTCTCCGGCCTCAGGACGCATCTCTGCACGGAGTTCATCACCATGGCTGCTGCTGCTCGGACACTTCGCATTGGTACAATTGCTGTTGTTCTGGTTTTCTGAGGAATTGAAACTGATTGAACTACCCCAGGTCTCATCCCCGGAGATGGTATCGGACGGGAGGTTATCCCCGTAAGTAGCTCTCGGTTAACTACCGACAGGCCAATTCGCTGACCGAAGGATGTAATTGGGGAAATATAGGCCGGCCAACGGGTTCTGGAGTCTCTCCCCTCGTCCCTGAACCTCAAGTTCAGCTTCGTCAACCTCGATGCCGGTTTCGATACCTTCCAGCGCACCGGCACCGCCCTGCCGGACAAGACCGTCGACACGCTGAAGAAGGAGTGTGATGGTGCCCTTTTTGGTGCAGTCAGGTGAGTTTTCATTCACATCTTTCTCTATTAGTGCAATTGAATCGATATCTAACCACTTCACGGAAATGTCTTAGCTCTCCGAGCACCAAGGTGGCCGGCTACTCGTCGCCAATCGTCGCACTGCGCAAGAAGCTCGACCTGTACGCGAACGTGCGCCCCGTCAAGACGACCGTGGGTAGCACCAGCGGCGACCCGATCGATCTAGTGATCGTGCGCGAGAACACGGAGGACCTGTATGTGAAGGAGGAGCGCACGCACGAGGGCCCTAACGGCAAGGTGGCCGAGGCGATCAAGCGGATCTCGGAGTCTGCATCGACACGCATCTCGACCATTGCGGGCGAGATCGCGCTGCGCCGCCAGAAGATCCGCGCTGCTGCTCCCGCCACGGCGACGCGCGACCAGTCCATGGTCACCATCACGCACAAGTCGAACGTGCTGTCGCAGACGGACGGCCTGTTCCGTGAGGCGGCACGCAAGGCCCTGGCCGCCGAGCGCTTCTCGTCCGTGCATGTCGAGGAGCAGATCGTCGACTCCATGGTCTACAAGCTCTTCCGCCAGCCGGAGTACTACGACGTCATCGTTGCCCCCAACCTCTACGGTGACATCCTGTCGGACGGTGCCGCCGCTCTCGTTGGCAGTCTGGGTCTCGTGCCCAGCGCCAATGTCGGTGATGGCTTCGCTATCGGTGAGCCTTGCCATGGCAGTGCCCCGGACATCGAGGGCAAGGGCGTTGCCAACCCCATTGCCACCCTGCGCAGTGTTGCCCTGATGCTCGAGTTCCTGGGCGAGGAGATCGCCGCCGCCAAGATCTACACTGCTGTCGATGCTAACCTGGACGAGGCCAAGTTTCTCTCGCCGGACATGGGTGGCAAGGCTACGACCCAGCAGGTTTTGGATGATGTGCTCAAGAGACTGTAAAATGAGAAGAGAAGTATATAAGCCAAAATGAGAGTTTCTGCAGGTCAATTTTTTATAACAAGAAAGAAATGAAATGAATGGATCCAAAACGATAAAATACTATCAAGTTGTAGGACTATACCCTAGTCGCGTAGCCATAATCTTGTTATCTGAAGGGCTATAGGAAGCCATGGTGTCTGATAGTAATAATCGCCCGATATTACTATCTAGGCAGCATTTTTACATAGAAAAATGGCACAGAAAAGCAGAAATGAAGACCCGACTGTATGGACTATGAAGCAAAATTCAGAGCAGAAGAAAATCCCAGACAAAATAGACATATATGCGTTTAGCCAAATAGATATAATGCAAAGTAAGCCCAAAACCCAACATCGACTTAAACAAATGAAACCGAAAAGAATGTCACAGGTCTTAATACATCGACCAACTCAAATCACATCAAATCTGACGTAGGCAGATCAATGTCTGAATCAAGTCCCCGACGCAGCTCCGAGATATCCTCGCGCTCCAGGAGCTCTTCCTCCGAAAGAATTCCGATTCCGCTATCCATGCGACGTCGATTTTTCCCCCTCCCCACCTCGACATCAACGAATCTCGTCATACTGACCGGAGTGATGGGCTCACTACCGGTGGGCGTGGTGCCATCCGACATGATATCGTCCGATTTCAGTTCCCAGTTCGCGGCGCGCACTTTGGATCTTCGGCGCTCAGAACGGACTACATCCTTCATATAGGCAAAGGAGCAGGCTTGATCCGCAGCCCATTTGTCTAGGAGATCATTCCGAGCTTCGATTTCCAGCTGGAGCTGCTCCTCGAGGCCGGCAGTGACCTGGCGGAGACGGCGGGCCTCGAACCTGGTCTCTTCGAGGGTTGTGGTGAGATTCGAGATGCGGACGTTGAGGGTACCAGCCTCCTCTTCATGATGTTGCAGCTGCTCGTGTGCCTTTTGGTCCAGGCGCTCGACTGCCCTCTGGTGCTCCTTCTCCAGAGACTCGACTTGGGCCGTCAGGTCACAGACCCGAATCCGGTTTTGTTCGAGGGTCTCCTCTAGTTCTCGGATGCGCGAGTCGTTTCCGGAAGCAGAGGCCTCAACGGCCGAGCGCCGGCGTCGTTCATCAGCCAATTTGAGCTTAAGGTCGGAGATTTGCTGCGCAGACTCGTCTTTAGCCACTAGGTTCTCCCGTTCCAAGGTGCTGACCAGCTCTTCAAGACCCTTTACATCGTCACGATACTTCTTCAGGGCCGCGTTTAATCTGTCAATCCCAATGGCCTGTTCTTGGCCTTCGCGTTCGAGGTCGTGCATTCGCATGCGGGTATGGAGCATATCGCTTGCCGAGGACGTGATTGATTCCTCGAGACCGCCGATTTTATTTGCCGCCGATTCGTATCGATGTAGTAAAGTGTCAAATTGTCCTCGCAAAGCCTTTTCACGACCAAGCGAGCCGTGATGATGTTTGCGCTCAGTTCCCAGATCCTTCGTGAGCGATGCGACACGCCTCACAAGCTCGCTCAGAGTGGCTTTCCCATCTTCGAGGCCAATGCCTGCTGTTTCGCCAGGGAGAGCACGCTCAAGCTCGAGGCGTGCTGAGCGGAAGTGGCTTCGAATATCGGTAATCGCATCGTCTGCATCAGTGCCCGCAAACCCCAAGGTGGAACATTCTTGATTGATTCCTTCAAGGGCACTGGTGGCATCGGAAGCGCGGGACAGAGCCATGGTCAAGATATCAAGAACACTGTCGAAGAAGTCTGGCGGTGGGGAGGGCTGACGGAGGATGCCACTCAGGGTAGGATCATTGAGACCAGAGATGCGAGATCGACAAGCATGGAAAAGGTCCTTCTTTTCTTTTCTAGCAGCCTCTAGATCGAGACTGAGAGCATGGATGTCAGATTCTCCCGTCTTGTCCCAAGCAGTAGGCTCAGTTGAATCATGGGCATTTGCGTCTCGACCAAACAGTGCAAGGCTATCCGATATTGGCGGGCCAGAATCAATGGTACCACGAAGATCCGGGGAGTTGGACACAAGAACGGCGCTGTCGTTGAGCGTGAAAGTGTCTCCATCGCCATTGGCAGACGAGATCCGGTCATCAAGACTATGATTGGAACACACAGAAATTTCGTCGCGAAGTCGGCTCATCTCAGCCTCCAACTCCTGAAGACGGACCTGGGGCGATAGCCAAAACGCCTCGGCGGCCGAGCTTTGGTCTTCCAGGGCTGTGTGATTTTGCCTCAACGTATTCAACTCATGCTTCAAAGTATCCCGCTCTTGAATAAGAGTTTGCAAGGACCGATCAAAGTTGGCCGTTTCCCGCTTTTGTCGCTCAATATGGTTGATTTCATCACTCAGACCAGTCCGCCGGATCCTTCGCTGGGTGCGAGTGTCCAAGATCTGGCGCAATGGAGTGAACTGCATCACTCGTTCTGTGCATGTTTCGTCATAAGGAGACACTGGGTCGAATGAGCAACGAAGATACCGCGGGATTGGAGCTGATCTCCGCCGTCCTCGACGGGTGGGCGTGCGGTCCCCAGATCTTGATGACCCCAGACTTGCTTCGTTAAAGGAGGTGCGATGCATCGCAGGGGTTAGACCAGTCGAGCCAACATCGACATCATGCAGCCGAGGGCCCGGATCGGAAAAGCGCACTTTCTTTCTCGGCTTCCTCGGCGTATATGAAGCTGCTTTGGGGTCAAGGGATTGCTCCAATACCGGAGCCAGGCCTTGTCGAGTTCGGTGAGACACCGGAGACTGGCTCCTCGAGTCTGAGCCAGTGCTGATTTTTCGTTTCTTTCCTGGCTGTCTGGTGTCCATCTTAAAAACAGAGGAAAGCAGCCGACTTTGGAAATGCAGATGTAACAAGGGCAACAAAGCCACTAAGGACTCTATGTGGGCAAAAACCAGATTGTATAGAAGGTTCACATAAGAGATAATGTAGGACAAAAACAGAGTCCGGTTATAAAGCCAGCTGTATACATCACAGGACAAGTAAACAAACAGCCCCATGTGGGTCCTCGCAGGCAACAGGCGCCTTCGACGCGTGCCTGGACCCCTCCTCGTACTTGCCTATTTGGGTTGGTGTAAACAAGCTTCCTCTTTTGGTTAGAGCTCATGTGATAATGCAGCCTCAGGCATGTTTATGTATATTGGCTATCCATGGAAGGACCTTCCCTACAGTGTCCTGATTTTGTTCTTGAGTGATGCAGCTTGCCCCAAACCAGCTTGATTCTGCTATGATGTACTCCGCATGCCAGCACTTCCGAGAGTCTCACAGCAGACTGTTTTGATGGAGACATCAAAGACATCATTGGCAAAGAAAACACGGCTACCTAGGATGGACGAGACATCTCAGGAAATATAAGAAGCCTGTCCTGCTCAAGATCCTTCCCCCTTCCTGCTCATCTACAGCTTCATTGATTTTCTGGCAAAACCCCAACATTGTGATAAGGCGTGCCAAGAGGCCATCCAGACTTATCTTATCATTGACCCACCCACTCCACAGACCTAAGCTCGCGCTCTCTCCAATCCAGTTCCTTTGCCAGCATTAACGCCTGCACTGATGGGCTGCGCACCCAGCTGAGAAGTTCACTTGACGTGATCCGCCCATATCCCCCCCACTGCAGCATCCACTGCCCAGCCATGCGTCTCCTCCCCAGCTCCTGGTGATGTCATCGGCGTTACTGAAGGAGGGTTGGGTTCCTTGATTGGAAATATCTCGCTCTTGAAACTATTTGAGGATACCTGGACAGCATGGCTAGCGTGGCATCTTTTCACGAGGTAGGACTGACCGAATACCATTAAGTGCCATTTTTTGTGGAGGAGATGGAGTTGTGGGAACCCCATGGGGCTAACCTGTCGCAGCACCCGAGCGACCGCCGCCTCCTTGAACAACAGCAAAGGGTTGATGAGATTCTCCATGAGCAGCCATCCACCCATCAGAGACCATCCTCACTGTTTGATCAACTGCCTCCCGAAATCCTCCATTACATCCTTTCCCACCTTTCCGCTCGAGACCTCACCTCCGTCTTTGCGACATGTCGTATCCTTGCCGCACACGGTACCAACGATCTCTTGTGGGCTGAGCTTGTGAATTCACATCTTCCATTTCGCATAAATGATCCAGGACCTTTCAGCTCCTTCCGCCGGCTCTACTTTGCCCACCAGCCTTGTTGGTTCATTCCACAGTACAAGATCTGGTTTGCAGACGTCGAGCACACGGGCAGACTGATCCTAGCCCGGTATGACAACCGTCGGGGTGTGATCGAAGGGTATCGGATCATCGCTGAGCGAGGGGCTCGCCAATTTCATGTCTGGGAATCCAACCCGGATGTCATTATTCAGTCGTTCAACCCCACAGTCCGCTTGTGGTTGGATGACCCTGTTCTTATGCTGAAGGACCCAAATCCATCTTCTCCGACAGCATCCTGCCAGCCTCTGTGGGTTGAAAGGCGGATGCCCATGGCTTCGGAGTCTCAGCATGTCTTCAACTCACTCTCTCTTTGTTCCCCCGAGTCTCCCCAAGGGCGTGCCCTGAGCGACGATCAACTCTGGCCACCACCAACTGTCATCAGCGACCATCGTGTATGCAGGGATACAGGAACCCCAAATGTGCAACCACCTAGGGATTCGTCTCAACTGTCTGAATTAACCTTTCGCGTTCGGCGATGGGCCAGTTTTCGACTTGCCCTCTCACCAAACCCCAATGAAGCGCAGCTAACCTATGCTACCCTTGATCCGAGTCTGTACACTCCCACCAAAGACAAGCCCTACCAGGGCATTTGGATTGGGGACTATTCGGCACACGGTTGTGAATTCTTGCTGTTCTGCCAGCGAGATCTTCCTCTACCCTCTGCTTCAAGAAATCCATCTCCCGGTTCACAAGATGAAGACGAAAACGAATACACCAATACGAAGGATAGCCACATGCGGCGAATCGGATTAGCAGCGGTGAAGCTTACGGGCGATCCTAACGTTCCTCGTGGTGAATTATCATTTATTGCCGACGACATTGGGCCGAATGGGCTCATCCGCGTGTCGGACGAGGAGCCCTATCGAGGCTCCCCGATCGTACGTTGCTTGGGACATGTCGCTGGCTTGGGATTCCGCGACCGTGGGTCTATCCATCTCCTATTCTCGAGACACAACTGCTGATTCAGACCCATTGCCCTAGATACGTTCATCAGTTCCCAACTCATTTTGATCTCTCCAGATTACGTTGCCCATTACTGGGAGGAGATGGGCCACATTTCCTATTTCCGGCGTGTGGATATTGACTCTCTGCTCCAGACCTGACCGGCGCTTTCTTGCATTCCTGTTGTCCCTGTGCTTGCTGTTACTTGTTCTCTACATACCCCCCTTTCTGCATGACTCGCACATAGTCGTGATGGAATCATTCCCTAAACTGCCCTGACTACTAGTACCGTACCTCTCCGCGCAGAGTCCGACGACCAGATAAGAGCAGGACGTTCTTTAGAAACTTTAGGAAGATCGCCTGATGACTACCATGACTTCGAGAGCAACCGACCCGTCCTGGGGTTATCGCATCCGCCAAACCCGACTTGTCTACGAGCCCGATGTCGTGCAGTGACTGCCACTGAATAGTTTCAACCCGAAGCAACCAAATTGCCGACAGCTTACATCCCAAAAGGCAAGGCAGTCAAAAAAGGCACTATTTTGTGTCCTATGGACACATCGAAGTGACCCAAAACATACAAGGGTGAATTTGTGTATGGAGATATAGCACACATGAACGGACAAAAAGGTATCGCATGGAAAGGAGGAGGCCATGACGCCGTAACCTCGAAGCATAGGTCGGAAGAAAAGAGGCGGTCGTCACTCGTCAATCCAGCCATGAAATACGCACGGAGACTCGCGTGTTTCTCTGACGGGAGGCATCAAACACCGCATGCACTTGGTTCTGTACAAACTGACTGCCAGCCCGACACACAAAATCCACAAGCTCACCGACGCACCCCACGGCCGAAGATCACGCCGAGAAAATCAATAAGAAAGAGGGAAGAAGGTCGGACGAAGCGACATCACTTGATTGTTTGCAATGACGACGTTCTTGGTTCACCGTCTCCGCTCGAACCAGCTGGACGAGCCCATGACGGCTACTGACTGGTCCATCACCCACTCGCCGACGCCGAGGTAGTTATCGATCCATCGCTTGACCTCCTTGTTATTGGAAATCTTATCTGAGTTGACGCTGGGGCTGTGGAGGGCCCCGCACGCACGCGACCCGTCGCATGGGGGGTGCGTGGGGGGTCACAGAGTTAGCTTGTGGGTTCTTGCCAGATAACTGCTCCAAGTTTCTTCGGGGAATCAAGAATAAGGGTGATGGCCCAGAGAAGAGCCGGGGCGGAGGAGAGGGAAGGTGTGCATTTACGTGAGGCCTGTGGATCGCTTGACACCTGCCAAAAAGGCGGAGACTGTGGAGAGAATCGGCCGTCAGTCTTGATTTCGTGTCTAGATCATTAACACCAGAAGAGCTCACAGAGAACCGCATCAAATGCGTAGTGGGTAAGGCGGCCGAACTGATTCCCAGTGACGATGCCGAGGTCAGTCATCGCTCCACGCTTGACGGTAGAGAGCATCGTACCATGATGAACGGGGGCAGATCTCTTTCAAATAGCTACCGGATGAAGGTCGGTAGATTTGGATACAGAGTATGGGGTTGCTGGAGAGGATTGAACGAGAGTTCAGAAGCTCAGGACTGAACCGCTGGCTTTTGGATGTACTGGGATAAAGCAGGTGACGGGGTAGCATCACATCACGTGGTCAATCTCACATGACGTCGCAGTGGCTGGTGATTAAAGACGGTGGCTGTGGGTGGCTGGGTATCAAAGATAGAGCCAAGATCATGTGACCCAAACCCCTGGGGGCTATCGATAAGACCCGTTACCCCTCGATCAATTGGGTGGCGGTATTTGTCACATTAACGCGATAAAAAAGACTCCAATGTACTGCGCGTAAGTCAGCACGGGGCTTCTCCGCTTTTTGCGGTCAGCCGATTCGGGCCTTGCATATAATTTTTTTTCTGCCTGAGTCAACCATGCCGCCTCTGCCGACTTGCAGTTAACCACAGTACTGGATTGGTGAGAGAATCAGAAATAAAGAGATCAATCAAAGAAATAAGATAGAAAATAAAGGTAACTAGCAATTTATACCAACAATCCTACTTGTAAAATCCCCAAAATTGGTGCAGATGCCAAGGAGGGTCCATTTTATGCCCAAGTCCAAGAGGACACTGGGGATGATCCAACCTTTTTTCCCACCCGCCCCTCATCCTTCCATCTTCACTTCCCCTCCAAACCGGCTTTTTCTCCATCCCACTCTTCCCTGGATCAATTGACCAGATTCCTCGCTATTTTTTGCTCTCTTTCACGAACTACTCGTTCAGCAGATCAAAATGGCGGCCAGCAACTCTCTTGACCACCTGAGCAACCGCATGAAGCTGGAGTGGCACTCCAAGCTTAACACCGAGATGGTGCCTGCGAAGAACTTCCGTCGCACCTCCATCATTGGTACCATTGGTATGTCGCATCTTCAGAACCTCTCTGCTAGCTCTTGAGGTCGCCCCTCGATGTCGGCTTCAGATGGTTTCGAACGCAGGGAAAAAAAGATTTTGTTACTGACGGGCAATCGGTTTCCAGGTCCCAAGACGAACGCCGTCGAGAAGATCAACGCTCTCCGCACTGGTATGGTACCCGGTGTTTTTGTGGACTCGGTGGTTGTTGGAAAAGGGTAAACTGACAGTGTCACAGCTGGTCTTAACGTTGTCCGCATGAACTTCTCCCACGGCTCGTATGAGGTTCGTATCTCCGCACCAGACTGCCATGAGGATCTTTATTGACTTGGCCGCAGTACCACCAATCCGTGATCGATAACGCCCGTGAGGCCGCCAAGGCCCAGACTGGCCGCCCTCTGGCGATTGCCCTTGACACCAAGGGCCCCGAAATCCGCACGGGTAACACCCCCGGTGACCAGGACATCCCCATCAAAGAGGGCGCGGAGCTCAACATCACGACCGACGAGGCATATGCCACCGCCAGTGATGACAAGAACATGTAAGCAAGCTCTCTCGCGGCCCGAGAGCGATTGCTTCGTAGGCAGGTTTTGTGGCTTGGACTGACCAGCGTCACACAGGTACCTTGACTACAAGAACATCACCAAGGTGATTGCCCCTGGCAAGCTCATTTATGTAGACGATGGTATCCTGTCGTTCGAGGTGCTCGAGGTGGTTGACGACAAGAGCCTGCGGGTCAAGTGCTTGAACAATGGCAACATCTCGTCTCGCAAGGGTGTCAACCTGCCGGGCACCGACGTAGACCTTCCCGCCCTGTCGGAGAAGGACCAGAGCGACCTCAGGTTCGGTGTTAAGAACAAGGTCGACATGGTGTTTGCGTCGTTTATCCGCCGTGGCAGCGACATCCGCCACATCCGCGAAGTCCTCGGCGAGGAGGGCAAGGAGATTCAGATCATCGCCAAGATTGAGAACCAGCAGGGTGTCAACAACTTTGACGAGATCCTCGAGGAGACCGACGGTGTCATGGTCGCCCGTGGTGATCTGGGTATCGAGATCCCTGCGCCCAAGGTGTTCATCGCCCAGAAGATGATGATCGCCAAGTGTAACATCAAGGGCAAGCCGGTCATCTGTGCCACTCAGATGCTCGAGTCCATGACGTATAACCCGCGTCCAACTCGCGCCGAGGTGTCGGACGTTGCCAACGCCGTCCTCGACGGTGCCGACTGTGTCATGCTGTCGGGCGAGACCGCCAAGGGTAACTACCCCTGCGAGGCCGTCCGCATGATGCACGAGACCTGCCTGCTGGCCGAGGTCGCCATCCCCCACTTCAACGTCTTTGATGAGCTGCGCAACCTGGCGCCCCGCCCCACCGAGACCTCCGAATCGATTGCCATGGCCGCCGTGAGCGCCAGCCTGGAGCTGAACGCCGGTGCCATTGTTGTCCTGACCACCAGGTATGTTCTGCGGTTGTTTCTCGATCATGGATGATGCTGACCAGGCCGTAGTGGTAAAACCGCCCGCCTTCTGTCGAAGTACCGCCCCGTCTGCCCCATCCTCATGGTCACTCGTAACGCGACTGCTTCCCGGGTAAGTGTAGCGCGATTCGTTGCAGAGGCCTCGTTCCATGCTGACTCCAATCTTGCAGTATTCGCACCTGTACCGCGGCGTGTGGCCGTTCTATTTCCCCGAGAACAAGCCCGACTTCAACATCAAGATCTGGCAGGAGGATGTCGACCGCCGTCTCAAGTGGGGTATCAACCACGGTCTGAAGCTCGGCATTATCAACAAGGGCGACCCCATCGTCTGCGTCCAGGGCTGGCGCGGCGGTATGGGCCACACCAACACTGTTCGTGTGGTGCCCGCCGAGGAGAACCTTGGTCTGGCCGAGTAAATCTAAAAAGAAAAATCTGCCACATGGTGTGAGCCTTGCCTGATCTATGGGCCCGATCTTTTTTTTGCTGTTTTTTATTTATTGCCGGTGTGTGGATGGGATACATACTCTTTTTGATTACACGATTTTTCCCCAGCCAAGCTCGTTCTGTCGTCTCTTGGGAGAAGGTTAATGCATTGCTCATGTAAATGAAACGAATTGAACGCTTTGAGGTCCAGTTCGGAAGTTAGTTAGAATGGTTTAGACAGGTAGCGAATAGATCTTGATGTATTGTGTTTCTGTGAGATGCTGTAAGTGGATGTTAGTAGAGCGCGATCAGAGATATCCACGAATGGTCCAGCCATTTGGGCATAGATTTGGGCTGTGGGCTATGGTGATTAGTTTGCATTGGAATGCGCCATTCACGTCAATTCCAAGATTGCACTGAAATGAAAAGAAGAGAAGGAGAAAAAGACAAGAAAGATGAGAAGCAAAAAAGAGAAGACGAGAACCATTGAATGCGGGGGGACTGCGAAAATGCCGTCCCGAGACCGAGGCGCATGTGCTCGGGTAGGACTCGGGATTGACATCCAGCAAGACAGAAATGCATTCTATGCCTGTAGGTAAATTGGTATGTTATATGGATAGATAGAGCAGAGAGCGATGAATTGAACAGAAAAAGAAAGTACATTGAAAAAAAGAAGAACAAAAGAAAAGAAGAATTCCTCGTAAGCAATTGGGCAAACGACCCTTCCCGACGGCGTTCCCGTGCCGCTCCCGGTTTCTGCCGATGGACCCGATGGGCCAGGAACCGATCGTTGCCGCGTTGAGATTGGGGTGGATTCTTCATGAAGTGTTTGGAGTGTCAACGATTCTACAATTCAGGACAGTATGATTGGTTCGTGGGTTGACAATTCTATGCATGGTGGGGGTGGATGCATCGATGGATGAAAATGTAGTTGGTCCCTTGATCTATAATAGATGGGTGTAGTAGGATGTAGTAAGGTACCACAAGATATTGTAGAATCTAGATTCACAAGAATATAACCACTCTCATTCCTCATGCATTCCCATATATACAATTCACGACTAATTTTCTCGTTTCACAATACCTTCTTTCCATCCGGATACCATTTCACCCGGTGAAGGGCCACGGCCATGGCAAACCAGTGATAGTTGTCGGGGTTATACCGAGCATCCTTCGCGCGGTCGTCTTTCCTCGCAAGAGCCGTACAGAGTTCCCAACCATAGGCCCGCTCCTTGCCATGGCCTATATCAATCTCCTTGTCTTGCACTACAGGACTCGTGGATTAGAGCTTCTTTTCTTTTCTTTTCTTTTTCTCTCCAAGTCATAGGGCGAGGGACAAAGAAAAGCAGACTTACTCTCGTGATCAAGAAAATGCAGGGCCTCATGCAGAAAATATCCACCGCGTGTCTTCTGCGTCCGGCTCAGGTCCATCCCCACAGCCAGTCTCTCTTGATACCTGATTAACCGGGTGAGTTTTTCAAATGAAAACACCCGGTTGCAGATCCCGATGACCCTCTCATAGTAAAATGTCTCGCCGAGTGTTGTTCCCTGGCAGATCTTCTCGTTTGTGAGAAGACGGACGACTCGGCTTTCGATGCGCTTATCCTTCGTCCGGTCGTTCGGGTACTTCGGGTCCTTCCGCTTCGGGGAGTACCAGTTGGAGATGTACCATCCTTGTGTGGTTCGCGCTATTCAGAGAAAGAAGCCCATTGTCAGTTCTAACCCCCACTAGTAGAGAGAGAGAGAGAGAGAGAGAGAGGGTCTTTGCATGCGATTTTCTCTCTTGGCCTTCCAGATAAATTCGTTTTCAGGCGTTCCTCCAATCTGGCCCATCCTCGTCACAAATTGGACGTCGTCGTCGCCGCAGAGCATCTTCGCCTTCGATCTTCCTTCTTCCCCGTATACCAGTCTGTTAACTGCGTCATAGCTCTCTAGAGAAAACAAAGCCTTCTTAGTGAAAACACGGGACTATTTGTTCCAGTTTCCAAAGGGAGGGAAAGGTCTGAGTTAATTGCAACACACCTTGTACTGCAGACAAAATAAAGCGCTTGCTCTGCTCCACAGCCCACGATTTAGGGTCGTCTGGGGCATCCGCAAAGTCATCGTTCCACATGGCCTTTGAGGCCTCCAAGAAGCGCTTGTTGGCACTGCTTTTGGGAACGACTTTGTTGCTCTTCTTACCAAGAAAGATGTCGATGACCTTACTGGCTGCATCCGCTAGCAAGGCTGTTTCTTGAATCATCTCATCCATCTCGTAATCGACACATTCAGACGGTTTGCAGTCGCCGGGCCATTGCACGATATCAGCCGCCTGGAGCTGGTTCCATGGCTTTCTTGCTAGCACTCCCTCACGCAGAGGGATCAGTGCCGCCGTGACCGCAAGGAGGGCCGTGAGGATCCTCATCGAGAGAGTAATGCGTGCCGACTGAACTGTTGTTCACCTCTGGCTTCTATGTACACACGTACACGGCTGTGGGTATACCCAGAGCAGGACTGTTAGGGCAGATGGCTTGTGCTGGCTTTCCCGGTGGGGGGAGATAATAAAAGTCGCGGGGAAAGGAGAAATGGGGATTCCAAGCCATAGCGGCCGCTATCCAGTATTTGGAGCGATTTTGAGGATGGTAGCATTACTCGCGTGGTGCTCGTGTCTCTGACTCGTGCGTGTTTGGTAATTAGGATAGTCTCGTTGATGACTTCTGGGTCGGGTAATGTACATAAGAATGACTCGAGACTATTCTCTGGAAATAAACAAATAAATGACTTAATAAATAGATACAGACTGACTCTGTTCCAATGACTTTTTACCACAGAGATCTTGCCAACCCCAGGGGCATTCGGTAGAATTTTGTATAACTTAGGGTTATTCATATTCTCAGGAAAAATCCGTAGCGGACACCCCACGCCTATCAATCCTCCAAGCGTCTGCCCTCTAATAAAGTTTCTATTTTTTAATCCTAATTGGGGTTCAGGTTAGGTAGCCGATCCTTCGTGGTTTAATAAATAATCTAAATAAACGTGCCCTTGAATCGCTCCACATCTTCCGGTGTAGATGCTCCCTAGGGGCATGCATAGGGTACGAAGTTATTAACTAAAGCGCTATCCTACGAGAAGGGACTAAGAATCGAGAGTCGGTTTTCAAAGATTCTTCTCTCCAGTCCGATTCTATCTTCATCAGCCCTGTTCCTTCGGCCCATCAGGATACCAGTCCACCTCATTTAAGGTAACTCCGTTCCCAAAAAGCGTATGACTATCTGCATTCCGAAGCGATTGGTCTAAATCGCATGGATTTTCTTGCTGAAGATCCTCTTTGGCCAGTTGGAAACATCGAGAAAACCCATACGCCGTGCCCCTGCTCGTTTTTATATCCGTAACTAGAAGAGGGTTAGCTTGGAATATCTTGACGAGGAAACGGACTTACTATCCCAACTAATCCAGTGGAATGTCTCGTGGAGCATATCGAGTCCCGCTGTCTGTTGTTGATCGAGGAGATACTTGCCATCGTCATCTTTGATAGGCTTGCCTATAAGGCTAGATTGGCTCCTGATCGTGTCTCGAAGCGTCGGAGATCGCCAAACACGATCGCATAGAACCATCAAGTTGGATGGCCGATTCATCACAGCCCTCCCTCTATGGCAGTACCCATATTTCCACTTCTCATACTGATCGTCTTCGATATAGACAAGGAAGGCCTTGTCAAGAATATAGGCCCCCTTCGAGTCCTTCGGAGACCAATACCGGGATAGAAAATATCCTTTGATGTTACTTGGATCCTTTTTCGCCACCGAAATCAGCTTGTCTTTTGGCTCCAAGCCAAGGTCGCCGAGTTTGTGCACCAATTTCAAGTCCTCGTCGCCACACATCAATTTGCCTTGGACCCGGTCGTTTTTCAATTTGAACTGGACCGCTTGGAAATTGTCTGCAAGAGAGAAAAGTTATCATCAGAGACAATTCTTTGTGTACCGTCCCATAATAAAAAGGAACCTTAAAAAAGAAATGTCTCTCTCGCTCACACATGGCTTTAGTCACCCTAGAATATCCGTCCGTGACCCGCACCTTCTTTCTTCTTTTCTTATCCCCGGGGATGTTTTCGAGCTTATATTTCCCGCCGAACATTGTGTACCCCATATTTGCCCATCTCACGCCTTGGTTATTCTTGTTGTTTGTCATAGCATCGTGAACAAGTTGCTCCAGAACGCTGAGGCCTTTGTCGGCTATTTGAGCGGCGTCCTGGAGAGTGTTATCAACGGGCCTGTTCGCGCATGATCCACGTTTCCCGGCCGGGATCATGTCAAAAAGCTGCGAGGCCTTGAGGGATCTGGGGTCGCGATCGGGGATATCATTGTAACTCAGGCCCCCGCTTATGAGGAGGCTCAGAGCCAATGCTACCACCAAGAGTGATCGAAGCATGAGACCTCGCATGGTCAGAGGGAGGGGGGGGGGGAGGGGTGATGTCTTTCATTTTTTTTCCGGGGGTAGTCCTCAAACAATAATATCTAAATAAACTTTTCAAGTCCAGAGAATGGGAACCTCGTATGGTACTGCTCATACAGTCAGTACCTTAATGTTGGCCCCAATTTGTATGTTCCGGGCGCTACGTGTGTACAATGAATGCCTCGGTCAGACGGTTGAAAGCTTATGTTACGCCAGGGCTTGAGAATACCCAAATGAAGATAAGTAAAAGATCTTCGCGAGGGTATCCAAGGGCAAGGGGGACTTCCATCAAGTAAAATTCTTCTGAAATTCTTCAGAACCGCCGACAGTTGAAGTCTTGAGGGGGGGGGAGATTAGTCGAGAAGTGGCCCTGGGGCTATTACAATGTACAGTATATCAGTGTCCCGCCTAGAGTAATTTCAGTGTAAAATTCAGGTGTGATGTATATTTATGCGTACATGTAATTGGACGGGCGCATCATCTATGTATCTCGGGCGGTGATCTACAGCCACCAGTACGAAGATGTGCGCCTTATTCGGAAGTCGGGTCGGGTCCACTTGCGTATAATCTCACTCGCGGTGCGTCTTGTAAATGGCCCCTAGGGGGCCGGAAGATAATCATGAGACGACCCAGGAACCTGGACAACCTCCCCAGATTCCTGCTGTAATTACTGTACATAGTACATCGTAACGTCCTATTCAATCTGGCACTCCCAGATTAGTGATCTAAAACAAAAAAGAAGGGTACAGATGTAGGATCTATTGCAATTGTATATTGTCGCTGACAAGCACAGAATCAGGCAGGGATTAGCATCAATTGACAAAGCGCCCAAAGATCGCCAATGAAACAAACTAAACCCACGCCCGAGAATATCCATGTGGAAACCCTTTTTACTATATCCAGATGTCAGCCCCATAAGAAAATCCCTGCCCCCAAAAAACTAAACGGGTCTTGAGTATCGATGCATCATCAAGTCATCAGTCGTTATAAAAAGGGTCAATCGTGTTCGCAAGGTCATTGATAACCACCGATGTCCATACCCCCGCTGTCGATGGCATCCAATTCAACCACATTGGACCCGGGCGCGACGTGGTTCTCATCCTGCGGGTAGCGGTACATCGGACTGGGTTGGAATTGGTGCCAACATCTAAACATGGCCACCCCCTCCGTCAGCATTGCCTTGGGCGCATTTCTGCGAAATCAGCCGACTTACGTTGGTGCTTGGAGAACGTATCGTGCCATGGCCTCCCGGAACCGGCTCTTGTATTCCTTGGGGCTGGTTACCGTGGGGCGGTTGCGACCCCCGCCCGTAAACCCACGGTCTTTGATCCACGATTCGAGTTTTTTGTCCCAGGTGTATGTGCGGATACAATCGATGATTCCCACCACCAACTCACTGCGGCTTTCATCGATCGCGATCATGAGGGAATAGTCCATGACATTTTGTCGGCCCAGGAAAAGGGTGTCGTTCCAGACGCTCTGGCTGAGCAGCTTCTTAGAGTGTTCGCGCGCAAAGAGCGGCGTCTCGTAGATGAAATCCACCATGTTTTCGTCCAGAAGTACTTCGTCGCGTTCCCCAGTACTCTGCACTTTGCGGTTCCGCATGGACCCCTTGAGATCAAAGATGCGCGTTGGGACGCGATCATAAAACAAGTTCTCCATCAGCAGCAGGAACCAATTGAACTCGGTGCCCGTAACGGGGTTTTTGATGATGACCTGGTAGAAACCAAACATTTTGGCAATCGCAGACGGCAACTCATGGAACAAAGCCTCGGACATGATCTGGAAGTAGGCCGGTGCGAATTTGAGGAAGGCCTGGGTCTCGATAGTAGACAGCGACTTGAGGATGAACCGATCATCAAGTGTCTTCAGGAACAACGACTTGGTTTTACCACCCTTCGAATCCCATTTCGCGCACCGAGATAGCGACTCGACGATTCGATCCGCGACACCACATTTCTTGCGAAGAGCGTCGAATTGCTCCGCATAGAACACTTTGCATAGCATTTTGGCTTGACCCTCCTGAAACTGGTATTTGAGGTGGGTGCCTGTAGCTCGCAAAAGAGCATGTTCCACGCGTGCCTCGTTGGCAACTTCCGTATCATCTCTGAGCTCCGATTCGGACTCCTCCATCTCGTCATACCGCTGTTGAATACTGGCCAGCTTCTCTTTATAGTCGGGCGAATCCAACGCAAACGCAACCAGGGAACTCGGTTCGTCCTCGCGCACGATAATATCGCAGTCAGCAAAGACGTGATCCATCATGGTCAACGGGTAATCCAGAGGTACCCATCCACTTGCAGAGCGCTCTGACCAAAAGTTCGTCAACATGTTCAAAAGCGTTGTGCGCTCATGCTTAGGAAGATCTTTGAAGTCAATCGCATCTTCTGGTAAGAGCTTGACCTCTCCCTGCGAGTCCACGGGATGGAGATCTTCTGCCGTAGTCCGCTCTTCGTCACTGGGACCTTCGTCAGGCTCGCCTTCTGACAGGAGTGGAACATCGGAACCAAGTGCATTTTCTGCCTCGGCTTGTTCCGACAATGGATCACGAGGCGAAGGCTTTTGCTTCTCTTCTTCGTGCGCCATTTGGTGGATGATTTCGTCACTCTGTCGGCTTGACTCATCCATTGGAATGCGTGGCGCCGAAGACAGAGATTCTTCACCATCCACCGGAGGTTCGCGTTCCTCCACAGCTTCTCTTACGTTTCGGTACACCTCCACGATAGGCTTTGAAGATGCCAAGGGAAATGCACGCGAATGAGGGCCTCGAGTAGCTCTCTGTCGTCTCTCACGCTGTCTCTCTTTTTCGAACTCGCGACTCAGTTGCTCAAAATGTCTGGCCAGGTTGGAAACACGAGGATTGCCCTTTCTAGTCGGGGTGGAGCGTGGAATGAGAGAGTGGCCAGGGACAAAGCGGCCATTTTTGAGGGCAGTCAAGCCAAAGCGGTCCACAAGTTTCTTGTCTGAGGCTTTTGCCGGAGACTCGTTTGCCATGTTCTCCAATTCAGCGGAACTGGGCGGGCCCATCTTGCAGCCGCCGAGCGAAGCACCGTTGAATGTTCTCTCTCTCGTGAGATGCGCCGGTTGGGACTGAGCACGTACCAATGGGGGCGAACGTACTTTCCCGGAGCGCCGGAATGCACCCTCTGTAAGCCTAGGAATCGCGGAAGGCCGGTTAGTCGGTGGGGTGGGTATATCAATGACACCTTCCCTATCTCCGTTTCTGCTCTCTTCGGCAAGATTTATATCCCTTGGTGGGGATGCTGCCGTCGACTGTTGACCAAAATCCTTTTCAGGGGAGCCGGCTCCCTCCGGATTCGTGTTGTTCAACGGTCGATTCAAAGGAGGCGTTGAGCCGAGGGGGGTGCGTTCTGACTGCTGGCTAGTAGGGACGGCCAAATCAAGATGGCGAATCTCTTTTTGCAAAACGGCTTCATCCTGAGGAGAGGACCTCTGTTCATGTAAAGCATCGTCCGAAGGCGCGGCATCAGTCGCTGCAGGGAGCGGTGGCACTTCAACCCCTTCCTGTGCTGGCACCCGATGTTTTTTGCCAGCATGCTCCTCAACAACCGACACTAACACGTTCTGGGCCTTCTCGGGAGATAGTGTCATGCGTCGCATCATCCGTGGCCGATTTGTCTCCGGGGCGCTCTCGTCATCCACATCTGTCGGAGTTTGGAGAGCATCGTCCGGAGATACTGATGTTGCATCCCTGTCAAGGAATATCTTTTTGAGCTGCAGTGTTGCCAGTCGCTTGATATCCTTCTCAGACGGGAAAAAGTTCTTTTCAAACTCAGTAAAGGTCGTGTCCCACTCGACAACTTTTTCTTGAACTGCGCGAAGAACTTCGTTCAACGGGATGACCTCCCAATAGCGAGAGCTAGAGTATTTGTCTTGCAGTTGTCGAATCAAGACTGCACGATCCTCGTGGCATTTCCTGGTCAAAGACTCGATCTCTTTCCTGCAGTCATCCAACAGCTCCGGTACGACACTGTCGACATTTATGCCCTTCAAACGTGAGTGGACCGACATCATGAACTTGCTGAGACGCTGCTCGGTACGCAAGTAAACCCCGTTTCGCAACTTCAAGTCGTTGTCCACTTTCCAAGTAACACGAGGCCGAGGCACTATGATCTCCAGAAGATGGATCGCATCGTATTGAATCCGCAAGGCAACATCTTTGAAGCCAAAGTAGCGAAGATGATCTCGCTGGAGATCATGGGGACAGACACCAGCGCGAGCATGTAGATTCCTGCCCCAGAGTGAAAGTTCCAGGTATTTTCCGAATGAGTATTTCCAAGTGCTCTCTGACATGGGAGTGACCTGAGTCTCATTGCCACATATCTTACAACAGCTCCACATCAAGACCGTATCTTGCAGTCCCCGAAGCTTGGAGGGGTATGGTTGAACCAAGACGCTGATCTGTGCATCTCCATGGACGTACTGACGATGGTGCTCGGACATGCGTTTCTCGCAGCCATTAGAGGTGCATACAGCGTTTGCCGAATGACAAAGCTCTTCGACATATTGCCCGAGGGTACAATCAGGCTCAAAGATCATGTCATCGCCGTGCTCATTGTAGAACTCGAGAGCAAAAACATCCGGCCCCGAGCAAGGGACCGATGTTGTTGTACACACAAGGCTGTAGAGAACAACGACGTTTTGATGGGCGTAGGGATCAAACATATTGGCACTGCCTGACACATAGGCCTCCCACTGACGTTTTTGAGTTTGATAGTGATAAAGCGCTCGATCATATTCAGCATCATGAGCTGCGCGCAGTACCTCTTTGACCTTAGGGGAAGCATCATGGGGTGATTCGTGGACCATTTCCGGCGTGATGAGGGTGAAGCTCTGTGGTTTGACCCTTTCCTCTGTGGGTTGCCCGGTACTTCCATCTTGGTCACGAAGACGTTTCAGGTAAGCCAGTCGACGTTCCATCTCCCTAGTACGCATGAGAAGATAGGGAGGCTCAAATTTGACAAAAGGCGACGCAGACAGAATCTTTGTCTGATGGTCTTGGACCATATCGTCGTAGTATGTCGGCATGGGAACATCATCTGGCACTACAGTGACCTCAGCCGCCGCAGTTGTGATTCCATCAAAATTTCCACTCGGCTGCTCATTGGAGCTTTGCTGCAGGGTTCCTGAATCAAGAGCGGGTTTGTCACTCTCGTTGGTGAGAGGTCGAGGACTGTCTTTCTTGTCTTCATCGCTGGTCATCTTAACATCATCGGCCGCCAATGTGGGTATCTTGGCGAACTCATCCCGCATCAAACATGTTTCCAGGCGCAGGTTGTACACAACGTAGACCATGAACTCTGTGATCCTCTTGACCTTCTCAAGAGCTCCATAGTCTCCACCACGTAGAACGATGGTGCACCCCAGCTCTTTGGGGCAGCCAGAAATGTAAATGTATGTCTTCTTCCGGCCAGTGTGAACGTAGGTCTTGACATCAAAGCTGCTGCAGTCGCTGTGCAAAGAAGTGGTCAAGAGTTTGTCCATGGATGTTACAATCCTAGTTTGGGTACATCTCGAAACAGCCTCGAGAACCGATGGCTTCACGTTATATGCAGTTGCAATGCCAGCCTGCTCGAGAAGACCCAGGGCCAAGCCAGAAACATTCTTCTCGACCAGAAGCAAGTTTGGATGCAAGGCGGCGATTCGACTGACAAGGTTCTCAAGAAACTCACGCTCTTGTCGGATAACAGGCTCGAGGCTCATGAAGTGCTGTTGATGGCGAGCGTATTCAAGAGGAAATGTGATGATCAAGATGTTTGGATGTAAAATGCTCCGGGGCATGCTCTTCAAAGCCAAGTTCTTGGTAAACACCAGCCCCGAGACATAAGATGTGTCGCCAGGTCGACCACCGGGAATTTTTTTTAATTTGATGTAATGGCGTATATCCATATCGTCTCCCCTTTGAACATCTGGGTCGACCTCGTCCGCCGCCTTCAATAAAATTGGCATCAGCGCGTTTTCCCAGCTCTCGCCATTTGGAACAGACGACCCAGCCAGTAACTGATGCAGAAGCTTCCGCACGTGTTCCAGACTGGCCTTGTTCAACTCAACCGGCGGTGCACCAGTTCCTCTCATCGATGAACTTCTGGTCATCTTGAACCCAGTTTGGTTCGCCCCAACAGGGAAGGGAACGCCTGTTAGCGGGAGATCATGGGGGAACATGCTTTCTCTCGAGGTTCTGGGAGACTGACGATGGTGTATACTGCTAGCAACACTCAAGTTTCGTCGACGGGAGGAACGGGGAAGATTCACTGCCCTCGAGCTGCTGATACTGGCATCATCTGCGTCTCGACCAGACTGATTCATGCTAGCGACACTTCGATCTCCAAAGGCGGATCTTCCTTTTTTCACAGCAGCGAGAAATCCACCAAGAGTCGCTCGTTCATTGTCACCACCACTCTTGGACAAGGTGCCCTCTGAAACCGCGGATAGAAGGCTAGGCTGTTCATCACCACTAGAGGCATCATCTGAAAGATATTGGGCTAAATCCGGATCAATGATGTTATCTTTGTGAAAGGCAGGAAGTCGAGATTCAGAACTAATGTCATCGGCATGGCGGCGCTGGAAGGGGGCCCGATCCTCATGGTACGGCTTAAAACTCCGAATGTATTGCTGTCGAGAGTGGTGGCGCTTGTGACTGACGGAGTGAGGCCTTCCGCCCAATGACGATCTTAATGACCGCGAGGACGTAGGTCGTGTCAGCGGACGATCAGGGTTAATTTCCAGGACAGCCGAGCGACGGTTATGGCCCTCGCCAGCACGTCGTGTAGCTGGTATGGCCATGGTTGGAGTTCTGAGAACATGATCAATGGACTGAGACACGACAGAGGATGAATCATCATCATCGGCAGATGCACGGGCGTTGTTGCCCCAGCTGAGCTCAGATACTCGAGGATTGGTGACTATGGGGCTTTGCTCGCTATCAGAGAACTCGGAGGAATCATCTTCGTGCGCATTGATCATTGCCTCGCATGGCTTGCAAACGCGGATAGAGCCAGGCTGTCCAAACCGAGCCCCCGGGATTAAGAGCGTGCATTTGGAATCAAATATTTGACCACAAGTCCGACAATGGTGTTTTCTGCGAAAAGTTGAAAAAGGTTCTCCACAGTGGAAGCAGTCCTTGGCATTTTCATCACGCATCCAGAAGTCCCTGCTGAGCAATTTGCTTCGCAGCTGTGATAGAACGCCGTCGCCCCCTGCAGCCGCTTGTTGGTCATTCTGACCGGTTTGGCCAGTAACCCGATCAATTGCTGTATTCAATGGCGGCAAAGTCACTGCGGTAGTTGTCTCAGCTGTCGATGCTCGCGACATCGAGTAACCAGGTAAACGACTTGTCCTGGGCGGTATAGTGGATTTTTCATAGGGCTTCTCTGGAGAAGTGGCCTTGGGTTCGCTGACTTTCGTATCATCCCGAGACAAGATTTTCGACATTGCGCTTGGATTTTGGTCCGTGTGATATGATTCGTCTGGGGAAGCAAGTTTCGAGAGGCTGCTAGGCGTGGACATTGGCGCAATAGACTCATCAAAATGCGAAGATGTTCGCGAGCTCGACCGGCCTATTTGACGAGACGAAAGATCCTGAGCCGACTCGGATGGCTTCGAGACTCTCTCCGCAAAAGATGGATCTGGGTTGTCAGATAGCTTTTGTTGGTTCACAGGAACCGAGTTCCTGGGATTATCCGAGGGATGGCTTGCCGGGGCAAATGATGCACTGGAATCCACGGGACCCTGCTCCTCATGCTGGCTCTCGCACATCTTCTCCGATAGCACTGGGGAGTTGGAGAGGTTTTGGCTTAAAACCGAAGAGGTTTGGCTCATGGAAGTGTCCATGGGACCATCCCTGCTGCCAATACTAGCAGACTCCACATTCTGAAGCCCTTGCGAAGGAACATTGACAGAGCTACTCCTGGAACGATGGGATTGTCCGAATGCATTCACATGCAACTGGGTAACTGCGGGATCTGCAGCAACAGAACCACCGGTGGACTTGGTCAACGGGGCAATATTAGGTTTGATTCCTGGCGAAGCAGAAACAGAAGCCTTAGAGGATATACTGGGGCTTTTTGAAGAAATTTTGGAACTTTTCCCAGTGTTGGCGTGAGACGCAGTATCCTGGATTTGTTGAAAATTTGGCACCACCGGTGAATGGAGTCTTGAGCCCTGCGAGGAGTTGGGATGTGATGGCGGGTGGCCAGCCGCGCCGGTTGCCATGTCTGAGCCCGACTTGGCCATAGAGCGCTCCGATGCAGGACTCTTGACAGCTGGTTTGTCCATTGAAGACTTGTCCGTGTACTTTCCTCCGCCGCTCACCATATCTCGCACTCCACCCACCGAAGTTCTGAAGCGACTGTATAGTCCGCTCAGCCCCCCTGCAGTTCTTCAGACAGGCCCTTCTCATCTGATACGGATGTCGGTGCCGGGGGACTAGTAAAATCGTTGAAGAGGGTAAGAGAATCTGACTGGTACGCGGTATTATGGATTTGATCCAGAGCTGTATTCATGGTTTCTCGTTCAGTCTGAGTAGTGGCGATCGAACAGCGCGATCCACGTCGTCCAAGAGGGAGAAACACGGACGACGCGGACGGACTGGATATGCCATGGGGTTTCTGAGGCTCCATCGGTGCTATTGGGTCAAAGCGAGCTCTGCTAGGCAGAAGGTTGTTGGATCATCCCCGCAGAGGACTCCTATGCCGTTGGTAGCCGACCATTCGGGGCGACGCGGTGAAGGCTCGAGGTTATCGCACGGATATCTGGGCGCCGTGGCCAATATTGATAGGCTCTGAGGATTAGCGAAACAAGTGTTAGAGAGAGCGAGCCTGAAAAGCGCCCAGACGAAGATCGAACGCCCTTCCTCTCCGCATCCAATGACGTGGGCTGAGTCAGCATCGCGTTTGTCGCGTCTTTTTCTCAGATGGTGGTTCACCGTTGTCTGTGTCCTTTGAGCCATTCATTCTTTCGCTGGCCATGTAGCGCGACCCATGTCTCTCTGAACCCGAATCGCGTCTTTTGAATCACGCCTCTCGATGTTGCTTGCCAGTAATGTGGCCATCGGCGCTGTATCGGAAATCGCAAAATGAACCCAGCAAGCCCCTGGATCGCGACGTTTATCCAGCAATGCCTGTCGTCCTACGTTATCCCAATTGCAGAAGATGGAATCGAGGTCGAGGATAATGGAAGCAGCCTGAACTTCAGCCTCCGCGGATTTACAAGTTCAGCTATCATTGCAGAAGTGGGTTTTTTTGTTGCGTGATTTTATTATGAGCAACCTCTAACTGAATCTGATGTCTACTAGTGGGGACTAGGAGAGCACGGTGATGAGGCGACACTCATGGACTCGGAGAACCAGATCGAGGCCATTGTCTCACGAGACGCGAGGGCTGCACACCAGCTGGGATCGCCAGAGTTACGGCTGAGCAAAGGCGGACCTAAAAAACACATGGTTGAACTCTTGGACTTCAAGCTCGTTTTGCCATACTCGGCATCTATCTCCAATATTCACCTTCGTGTCGATCGCTTTCGTATCGACTGGGCTCGCGGAAGCATCAAATTTGTGCCCACGAGGAAGCTCAAGAGAAACCCGACGGTAAAAAGACTAGTGGAAGCAGCACACCAGAGAAGGGAGAAGGCTGAGCCTGCTGATGGTTTAAATGACCTAGCAAAGAGTCCATCCGCCAGGTCTATCGGTTCTCAACATGACCAGTTTATTCCGCCACATGTTTCCCAAAGCAGCCCCCAGGATGTGTTGGAGTCGCAGCAATTCTTCTCGCAGATGCAGCTCAAGCATCATTTAGGTGCGCGTGAAAGAACCTCTCAAGTGGGCCGCCCTAGCTCGAATGGATCGTCAGACCTCTTGCGACACCTTGCGACACCTTCCTCGGCGTCTGATCCCAGACTAAATCCCCTGCGCCGTCCTCTATTGCCACAACATCTCCCACTCAATGGACGACTTACCCCGAAGAAGACAAATCAAGTTGAATCCAATACTCTGAATAGAATCGAGACAAATGAAAATCAGGATATCCGAGCCTCTCAGGGACCGGTTACCCCAATTCAAAGGTGCCAAGATGCATTCAATGACATCACTCTCGCTGAGGCTCAGACCGAGGAATTGTCCTCTCAAATACCTGCAAAGGCAGCCGTTGACGGCTTGACTTATGAACGCCGGGCCCTATCTCCTAGGATTCAGCTACCAGAAGTTCCTCGTGATACTCAGCAAACACGGAAGAGGGATGATCAATTTCCTTCAAAGAAGAGAGCTCGTGAGAGTGTGGACATATTGTCACAGTCCCCCTCAAACGAGGACCGGGATCCTGGGGATTTGCGGGAGTCGCAGTCTACCTCGCCCTCCAAGAAGAGACAGCGTACTGGTGCCGGCAAGATTTCGACAGACCCGGGGATTGAAAACAACCTGGTCCATAAGCCCATACCGCCGGTTCATGAAATGCCAAACCTAATACCCAAAGCGGAAATTTTGCCGCCCATGTCAGATGCCTGGGAAGGCCTCCTAACCATACCTGCAAGCGACGTTGTGATCCAAAAGGACCAGTCTGCTCTTCTTGACAGATTTTGCTGGATTCCACCAAATACCGGAGATCCCATGCCTCAAGGCCATGTGCCACCTGCGCTCCTCAGGCAATGGAATGAGCTCGCTCAGCGGAGACACAACCAGATGCAACGAGCGTCAGAGCAGTCCCCAACTCCGACTCCTCAGGAGATTCTTTCATCTGCCACTGATAGCGAGTCTCAAGTGACCTCGTGGTCTTCGAGTACTGAGGGACATTATAATCAAACTGGTTTGAATGAAAGGACTGGCTTGCCAGCGGATAGCAGCCCCATCAGGCCGCCGAACTTTACGAATGAAGACATTACCCCGATTGCCAGCCAACACGATGCCACACAGCCAGCGGAAAACGGTGGCCTGGGAATGGCAGATGAGTTTCCCGAACGGTCTCAACTTGAACCAGAGAAAATTCTTGATAAGGGACCCGATGCATCGAAATCTCTGGATTCTCTTCACTCGGGGACAGGCACAAGCCAGTATACATTAGCGCATTTAGCCCAGCATTCAGACGATGGAACCGCCCAAACACGCCGCGACTCACAGTTTTTTGCCGCCGATTCTGAAGAGTACCCTCTGCAAATTGAAACACAAACAGAAAACCTCGAGAACAGCGCGCTGAAAAAAAACTCCCGCAGGGGATCAAGAAGCTCTGAAGCTGCGGCTGGGTTTCATGAAAACGATCTTGACGATGAGAGTGACGAGTCGGAAATGGATGCTTGTGTGCCTATGGCTCTTGGGGGAAGCTCGTCATACCCGACATTAAGCACTCAAACCGGACAAGAAATTAACAGCTCTGGTCCCTCGCTTCCTGAACCTTCCCGGCAGCATGTCCAAGTCGCAGAGACACCTTGCACAGACAATATGCGCTTACAGCGCGAGAAGCTAGAGAAAGCTCAAGCTGGGGGGAAGCCTTCTATCTTGTTGCAGCAAGGTTCTTCACAGGCTGCCAAAACCTCATCTCAGCCTCGAATCTTTAATAGCTATCGCTCTAATGGCAGCCTTGAGAAAAGTGACTCGTCTCACCCATCAACGGATTCATTTTTGCAACCTTCGGGAAATAAGTCGCCCCGGATCGATGTGATTGGAACCCAGATTCCACTCGGCAGTGGCAACTCATTGTCGCAGGATGCTTCACTTCACTCGCAACCAGGAATCGTTCTTGATTCGTCAGAGCTACTTCATCGCTACCAGGACCCACTCATGTTGGGCCTGGAGAATGAAGCTGAGCCGTCGTCTTTTCCATTAATTAGCCCTCGAGAGCCACCGATGTCTCAGCTGGTTGACCCAAGTCAGGATCCTATGGAAGGACTGTCTTCTCTCGGCGGGTCAATAGGCTCTCCGCAAAACTTTCTAATACGATCCGCACCTGCACTGCGCGATCAAGAACAGTCTCCGTCAAAACTTCCCAGGTCCCGGCAGCTTAGAGAAGCCGATCCCGGTCGAGCTTTCTCCGGCAGTCCAAATGCGGAGCTAGTAGCTCGCCGCGAAAGCTTCATCGGCAACCCCGACGAGTCTGCCGAAGCAAAAAGAGTTTACGAGAAGTTTCGCGACGATTATCCAAGCTATTCGGGAGATTTTGCTCATTTCACCGAGCTCTGCTCGCAACTGCAGGCCGTTCGAGACAGAGGCCACTTGCAGCGGTCATTCTTGTGGGATGATTTTGTCATTATGCATCTTCTGGAGTACCCGGACCACGTTGAAGGGCACACATCGCAGGAATCGAAGCCGCTTTTCTACGAAGAATACTTTTCCTTGAATTTTTCCAAGCCCCAGCACAAAAAGCGAAGTTTGACTGCCTATGGCATCGAAGTATCAGCAAGCCAGTTTGTTCCGGCTGTTAGCACTGGCTTGGCTTCCAACAGCCCGGCACCTCCGTTTTCTTCAGAACCTCGCATTGATATTACGAACCACACCCTCACAACCAGTTTCGTGGGCAAACTCTCTAATCTCCGCACCCATTCCTTCAGCGATACTCGTGCCACAACCTCTGCAGTAAATGCATCACCTGCGTTGCCCGCACGTGCCGATACGGACATCTTTCAAACCCAGCAACCCCTTTCTGCAGTTGACTCCAGTGGGCCAACTGGTTCCCAGGCGTTTGAACCGAGCAGCTTTGACCAGGAAACTGTTTTCTCGAGCTCCAACGAGGAGCAGGACGATAAGGCACTGCACCAAGATAGCAATGATGTTGACGGCGCAAACGTGTTACCGACTTCAAACGACGTCGACATGGCCGAAGATGACAATTCCGAGGCCAGCAACACTCATCACGAAACAGCCAGTATTGAGCTCGGGGGCGACGAGAGCGCTGCCGCCTCCGGTTCCGATGTTGACACTGAGCCCGAAAGTGAGAACGAAAATTGGTTTCTCTCCCTTCGACATATGCGTCCTGCCGGCCCAGTATGGTCGGATGACCCCAACACACCGTTCAAGATCTGGGCTAGAGCCGACCAGAATGTGGTGAGCGAACGCTGCCGGCGCGGGGGCTCGATTCCCGTGGACGAGAACGGCGTGATTCAGCGACCTTTTTCAAGCAACGGGCCCGTGAGACTCGATGTTATCAGTCCAGGCATCCACAAACTTCTAGACCTTTTCTGTGTGCATTCCCAGGCGCCACGCTCGCGGTGAGGGCCTGAAGGTACTATGGTGGACAGTGTCTATCTGCTTTTCCCGAGGAAGCAAGGGCATTCTTGCTGCTGGTTATTTGACCTTCAGTTTTATTCTTTGTATAATATTGGCTCAATGATGAATTCATGATTCCCCCGCTTGCGTTGTTCTGAGATATTGTCATAAGAAACCCTATGTCATAGAACGCCTGACCGTTCAATATGGCTTAAAATTTCAAATCAAAATGCCCATTTACAGGACATGTTACACACCGATAGTGTAGGTGTTTAGGCATGCTACCAGTCCTCGAGCAGCAATGACGTTCATGTCGGGCCTCCCAAGCCCTAAATAGCAATGTGACCCATGATACCAAAGGCCCGAACACGTTTATCTCGTGAAGAGCCAATCGCCTGCAGATCGCGGGCCTGAAAATCCAAAGATTGACTCACTGGCATACCGAGATGCTTTCTTCGCTCCGCACTAGAAATGCTCCTCCGCATGCATCTGGAGACAAATATCCGCACGAAGAACTTAGGCGTGCCGGCAAGCCCTAGGGCCCCATTATTCAAGGCGATGCTAATATTATTGGTTTGAGAAGCTTCCACATAAGGAGAAGTGATGGCGGTGAATTCCACTGCTCTCGCACAAGATTAAATAGTAACAAGGAGTTCGGGCAACGCCCTGACCGCCTATTCAGAGGAATATTCCTTAGCCAAACTACGTCCTATATAGGAAAGGACTTACGACTGCGTCTAGCGCCACTCCTCGCTTCTTCAGTTAACCCCGGATAGGGAAATGGCGGCAGGTTTAGACTTGAATTCTAATCCAATTTAAATATGGTGAATGTGTAGCCGAGTTGTAGAAGGAAGGCTCACATATTAAATGCTCTCGGTTCCTACTCCAGATGGATTTAATTTATATTACGCGATGAACTAGCCTAACGGAGACCACGCAAATTATTGCGGAGCGTAGCGAAGCACTCTAAACAACCATCCCAGGTCACCTGACCTTTGTCTCTTTAACCCAGGGTAGGCTCAATGTATGTCATGTGACTTATGCCCGGATCTGGCGGTCTGATTGATCGAAACTTCGCACTCTGATTGGTCAAAATCGAATCATCATCAGTGACTTTTGTAGCCCTATACCCTACACAAACCAGTTTTTGGTATAGTCAAAATCTCGAAGGTTATTCACGTGATATATTATGTGATGAGAATCGTGACTATTCTATTTAAAAATCAGGGCGGTAGCCCTCTAGTGTATATATAGTATTAGAAAAAAAAAACCTTACGCTCTAATTAGTTAACGTGACTATCCCCCCCTTTATTCTTAAAAATTAGACGGGGGTTCAGAGGGCGGCAGCCCCCTAGTGTATATATATATAATATTATATAGAAAAAAATATATAGAGATAGAAAATAGATCTTCATTATATTATATTAAACCTTACGCTTAAAATATTAGCCGTAGGCGGGGTCTAAAAATTACGTTTACGCAGAAGCTACGCGACGCAACAAACTAGGAGTCTCTCGATATATAGAAATTGCGCCTATACTGAAGCTACGCTCCGCATCTCTTCGGCGTCTTACCGGCCAGCTAAGGCTGGGGGTCCGGGGGGCGCCGTGCCCACTGGTACATTAATAATTAGCACAGGATTGTCGTCGACCTAGAGACTACTAGGACACCGATGCCATGATGGCTCCGCTAGTCTACAAGTAGTGATGGCTATGTCGAGACCCACAAGATGGGTCAAATCAAGGACTACAAAAAAAGCCATTGACTACCGGGCAGCAGCTAATGGTTCGTTTCATTTTGGTTTTTTTTAAGGCCCATGATGGGTTCGTATAAATCTAAGGCGTATTTGGTGATTCGGCCCCCCCCTACAGCCCCGATTTTGGAGTACAAGAAAAGAACGCTCAGACACACCCTAAAACTCGAGGCTTGATACGGTTTTTTTTTCCGCAACAGTGCCCGTCTAATGATACGCCTGACTCGTAACAAGACAAAGAGGCCTAGAACCTTTGATCCCATATGTGAATAGTTATCGCACCTTTTATTATATTTCCTTTGGCACTTTTTCTTTTTTTCTTCCTTTTTTCTTTCTGGGCCTGGTTTTCTCCCCTAGGCGCAATGAAATTGCTCACCTGCTATACGGTGGCCGCTGCCCTGCCCCTGGCAGAGGCTTCTGCGGCCACATACTTTTTTACTTTGTAAGAACCCAGCTGTGGGCTGCGATAGAGACTATCCACTTCGAAGAGCTAACGTGAGACGCAGCGGTGATTCGTACACTCAAACCGGGTTCAATGTCAACGGCCAGCAACCGTCTACCTCAAATCCCATGGGGAACCCCGAACTGGGTATGTATCAAGAAAACCATTAGTAAGGACACTCAATTGCCAAGGAAAGACGCTAACACGTGTGAAAATTCTTTTCAGGAAAGGATACAACTACTGGTGGAATCAATTGGCCGGGATATCTCACGACAGTGGACAATGAATCCCTGGTACTCAACTACAACTTCGCGGTTGGCGGTGCAACCACCGACAACGAGATCGTCCTGAGCAATGGCCCTGTAAAAGACCTAGTGGGACAGGTCGACGATTTCCACTCCGCTTATGGCGACAAGCCGTCATCCACCCCGTGGTCTTCCGACAACGCCGTCTTTGGGATCTGGATGGGCATCAATGAGTGCGTGACCACTTCCATCTTTCAGCAGACCAACCTTGGGAACGGGCACTGACCCATTAACTCAAACCTGCAGTATTGGCAGGTCTTTATACTTTGATCGCAACGCCAGCGCCAGTCAAGTCATCCCCGCCTTGACAAAGCAGTATGAATCGCTCGTAGAAGAGCTCTACTCAGACGGCGGGCGCAAGTTCCTGTTCCTCAATATCCCAGCTACCAGTCGATCCCCAGAAACGATGTCAAGGGGCCCCGAGATGGTCAAGAAGACCGCGGCGTGGATCAAGGCCTATAATACTGCACTGGGGTTGATGGTCCGAAGACTTGAATCGGAGTACGAGGACGTATGTTGCTCTTGGTTCTTTTTCTGTGTATCGGTATTCGTTCATAAACTAACCGTCTGTTATGGCGCTTCGACTACAGATCGAAATTGTTCTCTATGACTCATGGTCCTTCATGAACTCGATCCTCGATGAACCCGAGAAACACGGCTTCTTAAATGAGATCTGCGAAGCCGAAAATGGCGAGTCTTGTGTCTGGTGGAACCAATTTCATCCAGGCTGGAAATATCATAAGCTGCAGGCGGCTGATATGAAGGGTTTTCTGGAGGATTTTGGTGGGTGGTAGGCGGGATATTACATACATGGGACTAAGTGGTTTGAGGTGCATTTTATACCGAGAACCCCCTCCCCTCCCCCGTTCTTCATTTCTCTTATTGCTTTCTGTCCAGGGTTACGGGACCATGTTTATTGTTATTTGTGTACTATCCAGTCGTCTTTTGCATATTGGATTGCATGTTGCTTACTGTAAATAATCTCATGGGCAAATTGCTCGGGGTCGAAGGTGGCCTCTTGTTTCAGCCAGCGCGCCATCAATTTCGCCAATTCTATTCTGAACACTTGCAATTCGAGTCTTGGCTTTTATCTACCCTCCATTTATTTATCTTCGAGAGTCGAATCCCTCGTGGCAACCGAATCATTCATGTCAGAATTCCCGAAGTGCCATGGGCTTCCCCGGACATTTCACCAAGCCGTGAATGCTGAAGAATCCATGCATGGAGGTGATTGGATCTCGAGAGTTATGTAATTGCAGTATATTTAAAATTCCAAAGTCATCCTGCCTCTGTGTTTGTCCGTTCCCAATTGGAAAAAGCCAAGAAGGGCGGTTATTCGATCGACGTTTCGGCAGCTCTCCTTGGTGGGGAATCTCATTCTATTTAGCGAGAAATTGCAGTTTCTCCGAGAAGAAGTACTTTGGGTGTGTGCCAGAATAATTGCAGTATACTAGACGGACCTATGCCCCGTCTAGATGGAGAAACTTCGTAGCCCTTTTCGGCACTATACTCCGAGATTAGGTTTACTAGGTTGTAGAATGGCAATTCCAATGATTGACTCTATACACTGTTTCGGAATGTGAAGACTTGGCTGACAGGCTTGTTTATCAAGGCCAAAAGTAATATAAATCGGGTACTTCCCTCCACGGATATTCACCACTGACATCCACCCAAGCGAAATCCATATTCTATTACTGCGGCAAAGATGAGATTCCAGTACCTTGCTCTCCTCGCGGCTGCGACTGGATTCGCAGCGGCGGCCCCTGCCAAAGGCCATGCGAAGAGAGCTTCTCCTTTCCGATGTGAGAGCTCACACACATTCCATCATAGGCCATCCATGGATAAGATGATCTTGACGACTAACACGGTAGCCCAGGGTTCGGATCAAACGAGGCTGGCGCAGAGTTTGGCGAGTCCAATCTCCCTGGTGTCTGGGTGAGTGACCCGATCAAGGACAAGTCCTGTGGAGCATGTCGGATGACTGATGATTTTCGTATTTTGTTTCTAGGGCACCGATTATATCTTCCCCGACCCTAGTACCATCCAGACCCTGATCGGGAAAGGCATGAACATCTTCCGGGTGGCGTTCAGGATGGAATGATTGGTGCCATGCGGCATGACGGGCTCATTCAATGACGCCTATCTGCAGAATCTGACGTCGGTAAGTAAAGAGGCCTTTTGGAAGACAGTGGTCGGGGAGTTCAAATCGAATAAGCGGGTGATCTTCGACACGAGTAAATCGTCCGTACTTCTCTGTTGAAGTGATTCGCCTGGCTAAGCAAATATATCCATGTTAGACAACGAGTACCACGACATGGACCAAGACCTGGTCCTGCGCCTTAACCAAGCAGCCATCGACGGCATCCGCGGCGCTGGCGCAACCACGCAGTATATCTTCGTCGAGGGCAACTCGTGGAGCGGCGCCTGGACATGGAAAGACATCAACGACAACATGAAAGACCTGACGCACCCGCAGGACAAGATCGTCTACGAGATGCACCAGTATCTTGACTCGGACGGGTCCGGCACCAACGAGGCCTGCGTCTCGACGACTATCGGCGCAGAGCGCGTGGCGGGCGCGACGCAGTGGCTCAAGGATAATGGTAAAGTGGGGATCCTGGGCGAGTTTGCCGGGGTGGTCAATGACCAGTGCAAGACTGCTATTACGGGCATGCTGGATTATTTGGCTGGTCAGACGGAGGTCTGGCTGGGGGGGGGGGGTGTTGTGGTGGGCAGCTGGGCCGTGGTGGGGCGATTATATGTTTAGTCTGGAGGCTCCGAGTGGGACGGCGTATACGGGGATGTTGGCGACTCTCGAGCCCTACATGGCGTAAATGGGGACATCAAGCTATAGTGGAGTTGATTGAATGAACATTTCCTTTTTGTTCTTTTTCTTCTTTTTTCTTTTTTCACCAAAACGACGGCCCGATCGCTACATCTACCCGAACACGCTCTGTGACCTTTTGCAGCGAAGCACAAAAATATGCATCCATCCATGGATAGGTGTATGGCAAGAATCCGTCAGCACGCAGCTGACGAGAAGTGGCACAAGTTGAAGAGTGTTCGGCAAAAGCCCGATCTACGAGCTCGATCTACACTTGATCTCCGAGATCAAAAAGGGAAAGAAAGGAAAGAAAAGAAAATAGAAGCCTAATAGGAATAAATATAGAAACTGACAAAGAAGAAGAAAAGAAAAGCGGTGGATTGCAGAGATCGAGAGATTCAGTGGCTTGGCCATTGGCATTGCGTAGGCAGGCATCGTGCCAAGCGGGAAATGAGGAAGCCTGGTTCCCGAAATTATTACGCCTACGTGCCTTGCGGGAATCATAGAGAAAAAGAGAGAAAGAAAAAAGGATTCGTCGCATCGGCTCCACAGCGCTGTTGAGAGTAAATCGAATGACGACGCCTGCCCTAATTTGGAGATTGGAATGAAGATCCTGTCGGAGAGACCCTGGGATATTCCCAGGTGCAATGGCAGAGGCACTGGATCAAAGTCATTGTACTACTGTCATTATCGTTCAGACAAGAACAATAATCCACGAATATCCAAAACAAGCAATAAGGAAGTAGTCAAGAAGTACTAAAGAGGCAAAAAAGCGGAAAAGCAGCGTAACCCCAAATAGAAACAAACGTGGCGTGGTGTGGAGCCCTAAATACACCGGTTATTCTGATTGGCCCATAATAAGGGGCGTGATGACCTGCGCCTCTCTTTGGGAGGCTGGAGACGTGGCCGGGTTGTTTGGGGAAGTTTTTAGTGCGAAGGCTGTACACTCTGACGCAGCAAGGGTAGGGACGATCACTCCAGCATAAAAACCATCGGCCCCTGTCTCTCTCTCTCTCTCCCCTTCATCCATCTCTCTTTCACTTCTTTCCATCAATTCCATCCAACCCTCGATTCATCATGGGGAAAGCCGGTCGCGTTGCGTGTATTTTCACGCCCTATGTGTTCACCATCGCCGCCTTGATTTGCATTATCATGGTCGGCCTGGGCTGCACCAACTCCACCTCGAACACTTTGAATGATTTGTACTTCCTTCGGGTAAGTTGAGACTACCTGGAAATTAACTATCAACACGACCCCTAACTCCCAACAGGTCAACATCCAGAACATGAGCTCAGGCTCCGCAACAACACAGAAAATCGACCAGATCCTGAGCGAGAACCACATCACCAATGTCGACACCCAAGATGTGCAAGACTTCCTGAAACAACTCCAGAACGGTAACAGCGAATTGAAGGACTTCTACTCGATTGGCCTGTGGGGATACTGCGATGGCGAGATCAATAACGGCAAGACCGACACGACCTGGTGCTCCAAGCCGACCAAGGCCTTCGCTTTCGACCCGATCAAGGTCTGGAAGCTGAACGACTCCCAGGTGAAGAATGAGCTTCCGGAGGACTACACAAAGCTCATGAACGCCTACCGTGCCGTGGCCAAGTGGATGTTTGCCGCGTATGTGGTCGCCTTCGTCGCTACTCTCGTCGAGCTGCTGGTGGGCATCTTCGCCATCTTCAGCCGTTGGGGCAGCTGTGTGACCACTCTGGTCTCGCTGGTTGCTTTCTTCTTCACCGCCGCTGCCTCGGTCACCGCAACTGTCCTGTACTCCGTCATGGAGGGTAGCGGCACCGCCGCTCTCAAGGCCTACGGTATCAAGCTGGACATGGGCAAGAACATGTATGCCGCCACCTGGCTCGCGACCGTCTTTGCCCTCGGCGGTGCGCTCTTCTGGACTTTCAGTGTGTGTTGCTGCTCGGGCCGCTCGCCTTACGGCCACCGTGAGCGCCACAACCGGGGTAGTGTGACGGCCGAGAAGGCCCCCTACACCTATGAGCCGCTGGGTCCCACCGGACAGGGTCAGGTCCCCTACGGCCACCAACACACCACCTCCTACCCGCCCCCGCCTGTCCACGGCCACGACATCCCCGGGACCAACCAGCGGTCGAACGCCTATGAGCCATTCCGTCACGTCTAAAACCCCTCCCAAAAAACCTCTTGTTCCCCTTCATGTACACCTCCGTAAAGCGTTCTTTTGTTTCCACTCCGTTTAGAAATGGGGATACCATGGCGTTTCTTTTCCGTGGCTTTTTGCATTCTGTTTTTTTTTTTTTTTTTTTTTTTTGACGACCATTTTACTCTCTTGCCTTTTTTTTGTTCCAAGTCTGATGATTCTCATGCCACTTTTGTGTGTTGCGGATCTCACGGTCTCAGGGAGGATTCCTTGCATTCTGTATATTCGCACTCTTAGCCTCTATTGAGGAATGACTAGTATTTATTGCCAATGGCTTCACAATGGCATCGCAAGATCTTGCCCATTTTCCTATGATATGTACGCTCTGGGCAATACTAGTTTCATGTAAATCGCCATCGGTCCTTCTAGCCCACCTGAACTGGGGCTGGACTATCGGCGAGGCTCGGTGAGGGTCTCGCCCCTGTTTTTTTTTTTTTTTGCGGTGGATCCCTGGTTACATTGTCCGTTATCTTTCTTCTCCCTGACACTTATGTAGTGCTGTGGGGGGGGGGGGGGGTAGGGGGACCATGACCCGGACATGACTGTTTATTCTCCTTATTCTTGCTTGCTCGACCTTGAAGGATTTTCTTAACTTGCGGGCTCTCGAGGGGGGTACAAGGCACAAACATCACGGCTTCCCTCATCATATCGTCTATAGCTGAACTCCAAATATAGCCTGGATACATATTTTGGCTTTTGCTATGTACATCATGCCATCATGTCGTCACGCCATCAAGCAAGTCGAAGACAGAAAACAGTCATGAGTTGATACCGAGGATTTCCATGCCAACACCACAGACGAGCAGTGTCGACTGCGTCTCGCTTGGCGCAGATGCCTGCACCGAAACTGCAGGATCATCTCTGGAGCGACGGAGAAGACCCAGAGACGAGATATCCGCGACGGAACTGTACCTGTCGACCATAAACTCGACATTGATTGCCTGGCTGGCAATATGGGCCGGATCCACCGTGACAGACCAGATCTTGACTCGGTGGTCATTGCCCGAGGACGCGACAGTAATAACTGTCGCTTCAGGACTCGAAGAAGCCTGGGCCTGTTGGTGTCCCAGTACTTTGATCGAGGTCACAGAGGCAGTGTGGGCGTCCGGAACCGATATCGTGGCTACATGCGTGGTTGGGTTGGCGTTCGTGGAGGCTGTCTTTAGAAGAGACACAGACAACGAGTTGTCGTCACCTCCGGCGATGACCACCGTTGCTCTTTCTGATAGCGGGACCAGCTCCATGGATTTAACGCTGTTGGAGTGGATTTGGTACCGACTTTCGCAGGTGATTTTCTCTGCGTCCAAAGAAGAGCTGGTGAGAGGTTGTTTGAGTCTTAGAGTCGACTGCGAGATGGTGTAGAATGGCTCGAGGGTGCGGGTCAAATCCCAGAGGGTAAAGTATCCGTCCGTGGCGGCGGTGATGAGACTCACAGAGGAGTCCCTCATCAAGAAGTGTGCTTGCGTCAAACAGTTCGTCATGTAGGTTCCTCGGGCAAGAAGAGTGAAGCGGCCACCGTCGCATGGTGAAAAGTGGAAAATCTGACAAAGTGTTAGTATCAGCCTTCACCAAAAACACATTGGAGTTACTTACCTTGAGCGTGGAATTGGAAAACACTAGGCACACAAGGAAACCCCGGTCGGCGTCAGAGTCATCCACTTCCAGCGTGTCAAAGCTTGTGATCCGGAGATCAGAATTCGGGTCATCCTTTGGACTGGCCGCCATGAGAATCGTGGCAAGCCCAAAGGAAGGTATCCAGCGGAATCTCCAGACCAAGAACTCCTCGTATGCGGCACTGGTGAATAGATATCTTCCATCTTTTGACCAACTGACTTGCTGAAGCCCGCTTCTGTGGGTATCCAAAATATGCAGGCACTTAAAGCTCCCCCAGGGGCTTTTAGCGGCTGATGATGGAGTATAAATCCGCACCATGGTGTCTTCTGCACCCGTAGCGAAAAGCGATGGCTTCCCACCAGTAGCGTTGAACACATCCATGGTCTTGATTTCTCGTCCGTGGCCCCCAGCCCGAAGTGAGCGGTTCACATCAGGTTGAATTCGGCGAGCCCGTAGAGCTGGCCCTTCTCTCCATAAAAGCAACGGGTCGCTTTTATCCTTGACGCCGGGGTGAAACGCCCAGGTTCGGCGAGCCCCACCGGAGGCAATGGACTCGATGTCCGCATGCTTGGACTCATTTCGTAAGACAAAGTGCTGCGACTTAAATCCATATAACATCAAATCACCAGTTGCCTCGTCAAAATAAGCTCCCTCGATGTTTCCAAAAGCAGGAGATGTGCGATGCACTGTTTGCAGCGCAAATGCATCATCTCCTTTGTCTTGCACCGAGGCCTCATGCAGGCAATAGTTTCCATCTCGGCCACCAGTCAGAAAGTACTCCGTTTGAATTTCGTTATTCTCGACCACTGATGACAAACTGCCTATGTAATTGACGCTTTCACGGTCATGGGTACGCCGCTTCTCAACCACGGGCTGTGAAGATTGACCAAGACTCGAAACTTGATAGACAGCGAGTGCACCAAGCTTGGAACCGATCACCAAATATTGACCATTGAGGATCAAGGACGCACTTGCCACTACAAATCCAGATGGCAGACTGAAGGTATTCATCTCAACATGTGGATGACCCGAATTCCACTTCGTAACGGTAACCAGTGTTGCCCTGTCATCTGTGGGATAAGTGGCAAAGAAAGTGAGCCGCTCCGAGGAACCCTCCAATCCAGGAGGCTGGCTTTGAAGGATGAAAAGGCCAAGTGGTCGACCTTTTATCTCTGCGAGGTTGGAGACCGATTTTGTGCTGTGATTATACAGGTATACCAGGCCTTGCGCGTTGGCAAGTAATGCCAGTCCTTTTTGGGGCGACCCTGTCATCACCAGAAAAGTGCGAAGATCCTCTGCGACACAGATTGTTTCCCAGGAGACATTTCTGTCTGTTCCTGGGCTCACGTATCCAAGCTGAATCTCACTGCGTGTTGAATACGCAATAAAGCAGTCCTGTGCGACAAAGGCGAACGTTTTGAGTCCCTGGAAATTGGACTGCTTCACCCTTTTAGTGGCATCGTTTTTTATCGATGAAGGGCAGGCATTATGGGCCCCTGACTTGTCGTCGGCTTCCTTTATGGTCAAACTTTTGAGAGCACCATCGGCACCGCCTGTGTGAATAGAAGTATCGGAGCCAAAGCTGCAGAGGTCGAGAGACCAAATGTGTTTCCCAGAATGGCGATGGGCCCAAGAAGTCTGGAGCAGCTGATACGTTGTTGTTCCCTCTGGAGACGACTCCCAGGTCAGATCCCAAAATGCACACGTGGAATCTTCTCCGCGTGATACTAGCCCGATTCTTGTCTGATAACGGTCTTCGATGGGGCGAAAGTGAATGCCCCATATGCGAGCAACGTGACCGAATGCTTTTGCGACACATGATTCGGACCCTATACCTTGATCGCGTGCTTCACCAGTACCAAACCCGGTGCATCGGAGTTCGAAGCCGTCCGTGGAGTACGCCGAAGGGTCCTGGGATGTTTTGTTCTCACAGTCGGAGATATCCCAGAGTCTGACAGTCCGATCATCGCTGCAACTTGCCAAGAGTCGACCAGATTGAGTCCCATTCAATGATGCGATCTTCGGGGAGATACGAACATCGAAGATCGACCCGTCATGCCCGGTGAAGAAATGGTGAATCGAACCAACAACATCGCCACTATGTGGTTTTGTGCCATCCACAAAACAAGACCAGACAATAATCTCCCCAAAGACAGTCCCAGCGGTAATCAGGATATGGGCGGCTGATAAGGCGATCACGTCGGCCGAGTATAGAATAGATTTGACACTGGTTGCCAATTGGTATATATGAATTGCTGTGGAGTACTCTGAGGTCTCACTCTCTGTTAATTCCACACTCAGCAATGCATTGTTGGCTGTCACCACGAAAGCTCCTTGGGGCTCATTGCGGGCAGAGGCGCATCCGCTCATAATCCAGTCGGGAGCAAGAAATTCGGCGCTGGACACGGACAATGCCACTGTACTAGCGGGACCAACAGATAGATCAACCTTCCGGAGCGATCGACCGCCCCAGACAAGAATTTGTACATGGCTTGTCCCGTCTTCCTGTCGCTCTTGCTTGAGAGTGATGAACCCATGGACGTTGTTTCTTCGGAAGGTCTGAACCTGAGCCGACACATCACCGGTTCTGTCATCAATCACCCGAACGAACGGGCCTTGGCCCTGTAGTATCAACCGACGATCATCCCAAACAAATATTTGCAGAGCAGTTATAGGAAGACAAGCATCGATGTGCTGTATGTGGGAAGTCAGTGAGGCAGCCCACTATCTATCCATGGATACCATCGAGGAATCCGCACTCACCTCAAGGGAGAGAGACATTGCTACGGGCGGCTACCCACATGGAGAAGATCAGCTTTTGCTTCTCATCGACCATCCCACTTCCTGATTTGCCGTCTTTTCTCTAAAAATGATATTACATAAGCCATACCCACACTAGTCTGTAACGGGGAACATAAGGCACGTGATATCGCTCTCGTGTTGAGTGGCGACGCGGACTCTCGTCAAGTCAGCGAAACAGCCACCCGTGAGAATCGTGCTCACTCTTAGTGACTGTACAATGCTAGGGCAATATCTTGGCACCATTCCATGACGTGTATTTTTGATTCGAAATGGGTGTCACCGGGCTGTGGACAGTCCTGCAGCCTTGTGCTCGACCCATCAAACTCGAGACGCTCAACAAGAAGCGACTGGCCGTCGATGCATCCATTTGGATATACCAGTTTCTGAAGGCAGTGCGCGACCAGGAGGGGAATGCACTGCGTAACTCGCACATCGTCGGATTCTTTCGTCGGATATGCAAGTTGTTGTATTTCGGGATTCGCCCTGTCTTTGTCTTTGATGGCGGTGCCCCAGTTCTCAAGCGACAGACTATTGCCGGTCGCAAGCAAAGACGCGAGGGTCGTAGAGAAGATGCGGCGAGGACGGCGGGCAAGTTGCTTGCGGCACAAATGCAACGGAGTGCCGAGGAAGAAGCAGAAGCGCGACGAAATAAGCGCCGCTCGCAGCAAGAAGAGACAGTTCCTGACGTACCGGTATATGCAGACGAGACCCTCATGACTGAGAAAGAAAGACAGCAAAGTCGCCGGTTTAAGAAGAAAGACGCCTATCATCTACCGAATATGGATGTCTCATTGGAAGAAATGGGAGCTCCAAATGACCCGCGGATCATGTCTCAAGAGGAACTGGAGGAGTATGCGAGGCAGTTCCACCAGGGGCAAGATATCAACCTCTATGATTTCTCCAAGATCGATTTCGATGGTCCCTTTTTCATCAGTCTCCCCGCAACCGATCGTTACAACATTCTAAACGCAGCTCGACTGAGAAGTCGATTGAGAATGGGCTACTCCAAGGAGCAATTGGACCGAATGTTTCCTGACCGGATGGCATTCTCGAAGTTCCAGATTGATCGGGTCGCGGAACGAAACGACCTGACACAAAGACTTATGAATATTAATGGCATGAACGGGGAAGAGGCATTTTATAATTCCGGACAGCGGATTGCTGGAGAGCGTGGAAAAGAGTATGTTTTGGTCAAGGACAGCGAACATGAAGGCGGCTGGGTTCTAGGGGTGGTAGGAAACAAGGATGAAGGCCGCGAGGACAAACCCATTGATGTGGACCAACATGACCTGCCAGACATCATCTCGGAGCCAGACGAGGCGTCGGATGAAGATGTCTTCGAGGATGTGCCTATTGAAGGCTTGAACCGACTTCCTCGGCTCCCTTTTCTTCAAAAAGGTATCTTCGATCAATCTCTCGAGCAGGCGAGGGAGAGTTCAGGCATGAGAAGAGCTTTTGATGAATCCCGCCAAACTCCGTCACAGCCGTCCGCAACGCAAGATGTCGAGGATGATTCGCTGTTCGTTCGCAATGAACAAAATTTTGATATTCAGGACCAGAACCGCCACGTCGATAGCTTTTTCGAGGATGAAGAAGATGATGATCTACAGAAAGCCCTCGCTTTATCATTGCAGCATAACGAAGATCATGATGAGGAGATGCCTGAAATTTCCATCAATCGACCTATTGACCCGGCACCCCTTCACAAGCCTGCGGCAGATCCGGCGGAGGAAAGCGATGACGATGGTATGGACTTCGCCGCGGCCGTGGCACAAACCAGGGTTTCTAAGAAGAGACCTGCATTAAATCCATTCAATGGTCCGCTTCCCTTTGAATCAATTCAACTCACCAAATCTAAGAAAGATGCCAAACCTTCTGGTGGGGTTGATGAGGATGCCGGTGGTTTTGTGAAAGAACCCAATATGCCGAAAAAGACAGAACCGTTGCCTCCCTGGTTTGTTGGCGAGCGCTCGAATGCGGATTTTATTCTTGATGCGGTTGACGATGACCCCGAGAAAGATCAAGAGCAACCGGCACCTGATTTTCTATTTCGCTCTGCTCGTCGAACACCGGAGGTAATTGACGTCGACCAAATGTCCGACACCAAAGAAGCTATCAACTTGGAGGCGGATTCGCCAAAGGACAAGGAGGATGCGGGAGGTGATCAAGTTGAAGAAACAACCCAGGCTGACGACGTGGAAGAGAAACCTCACGATTCTCCCGCGCCCAATCCAAATACACTAAATACAACGCATGCGGATTCCGAGGTCTCAGTCGGCCAAGTCCGGACTGACAAAGTCACCGGGGAAATACGTACTGGGCCTTCTTTGGATCAGCCACAAACTCTCGGTCTTGGAGAGCAACCTTCGCGTGTCGAGGCATCACCGTCACCTGAGTTTGAAGACGTGTTTATTCAGCCACCGGCCAAAGCTCCTGAAGCTCCCAAAGTTCCCGAAGTGCCTGAAATCACAATCTTTGCCAATGAGCACCCTCGGGTTTTCGAAGAGGTCGGTCAACCAGCAGCCCTACTTGAGGACCAGGGCGAGTACAGCGATCCAGAGGATGAAGATCTTTTGAGACAGCTTGCAGCTGAAGGGGAAGAACATGTCCGATTTGCCAAAATTCTTAATTCTGCTGCACCCGATAAAGCGGCTTTTGATTACGAGCAAGAGTTGAAGCAACTCCGGTCTCAGCAGAAGAAAGACCGCCGCGATGCAGATGAAGTGACCCAGATCATGATCAACGAGTGCCAGCAACTCTTAACACTCTTCGGGCTGCCTTACATCACCGCACCTATGGAGGCCGAAGCGCAGTGCGCCGAGCTCGTATCGCTGGGCCTCGTGGACGGCATTGTAACGGACGACAGCGATACCTTCCTCTTTGGAGGTACCCGGGTCTACAAGAATATGTTTAACCAAAGCAAATACGTGGAATGCTATCTCGCCACGGATTTTGAAAAAGAGTATGCCCTTCACCGCCAGAAGCTTATTAGCTTTGCCTATCTCCTTGGGAGCGATTATACAGAGGGCATCCCTGGTATTGGTCCTGTCACGGCCCTAGAGATCTTGACTGAGTTTACGAGTCTCGAGGAGTTCCGAGATTGGTGGACTCAGATTCAGATGGGCATAAATATTCCCGACGATGTTCATCTCGCCTTCCGCAAGAAATTCCGCAAAAAGGCTTCGAAGATCTTCCTGCCGCCGGCCTTTCCCGATGCCCGCGTTGCAGCGGCCTATCTCGAACCCGAAGTGGACTCGGACCGTTCCCAGTTTCAGTGGGGTGTGCCAGACCTCAATGGGTTGAGACATTTTCTTATGACGACCGTCGGCTGGAGCCAGGAGCGCACCGACGAGATTCTTGTCCCCGTCATCCGCGACATGAATCGGCGCGACCAAGAAGGTACGCAGTCGAACATCACGCAGTTCATGCAGGGACCTCAGGGCGCTGGGGCATTTGCACCTCGCATCCGCAGCGGTGGAGCTAGTCGCATGGAAAAGGCGTTCAGTCGACTGCGACAGGAAGCCCAAACCGGTCAAGGATCAGGGGTAGTCGAGGATGGGGTGGACGAACCCTCTACCTCGCCCAAGCCTAGCAAGCGGCGGGGCAGTAAGAATGCCAGCACAGATACCAGCAAGAAGCGGAAGACACCTGCAGGCGCCCATGAATCATAGGAAGATTTTTTTTTTCTTTCTTTTCCGTACATGTAGAACCTCAACCATACTAATGAGCCCTTTCGCCCCCCCTCCCCCAAGACGGGTAGACCACTCAGCCACCGTGGCTTCGTGCAGAACTGCTAGCTTGTTAGTGTACCAGTGTTCGCAGGTGCCAATGGACCCCACTGATCCGCCCGAGCAGACCTAATAAGCAGTGTTCTGGCATTCCAACTGACGATCAGGTCATGATCGCATATGTTCTCCTTTTTCCCCCCAGCAGATACCTTCATTCCCAGACGGGGGAAAAAGTAGCCAGACGTAATGCAACGCTGGGCGAATCATGACATGATCGAGTGTGGTTCTTTGGCGCAGGAACACGAACGGAAAAGCTCATGACATCAGACACGATCGATGACGTCGCCGATCGCGATGCAACAAACTCGATGATTGGGTCGAGTGGAAATCAGGAGTCTCTCCACGGCGAGCTTAGAGTGGAGGAAGCCACTCGAAGTTAATTGCGCGCTCTCTCTTCCTCTTCCTGCTCCCCCGTGTGTGGCTCATCGACGTTCCTGCAAGTTGTCGACGTCATTCTCTCAGGGAAGGCACAACTCGCCCAAAAACGAGTGAAAAGAAGAAAGAAAAAAAGGGGGAGAGTCGAGTCCATCATCGAAGTTGCCCTCTACACTGTCTACTCTACCCCCAGTGCCGATCGCGTCGCAATCGTCTCTTCCGTGGCCTCCGCGAAAAAAGAGAAAAAAAGAGAAAAAAGAAAAAAGAGAACCCCCCTCTTTTAGCTCACGTCACTACTGCGCAAGGCACTTCTGCCCGAATTTTCTTTTTTCTTTTTCTTTCTTATTTTCTATCTCCAGGCATCCCGTTCACTCTCTCTCCTTTTTCTCAATTGTTTGCCCCCTGAACGATCCGCCATGCATCGCACTTATTCGATGCGCCAGACGCGCGCCCCGACCGCCTCGCAGATCGAGAACCCCCCGCCGCCATTGTCCACAACCAAGACGAACAGATGGCTGGGGAAAGGTGGCCTGGGTAAGTGTGACATTTGGTTCTTGAGTAATCGAGAAGAACAGAAAAAAAAAAAAAAACGGGGCGCTTTTCACGGTTGCGATGCGATTCATTTCGATGCTCCCTAATCGGGCCGTCATCCTCCGCGGATAGCTTCGCCAACGAACATATTAAATCGATGGTCATCTAGAAATCATTCAATCGCTGACTCTTTTCTGCAACTAGGCCATGCGTTCCGTAAGAATGCCGCCGGTACCTTCGGGCCCGATCTCGCCCGGAAGCTGTCGCAGCTCGTGAAGATGGAGAAGAACGTCATGCGCAGCATGGAGCTCGTCGCGAGAGAGCGCATGGAGGTCGCGGTAGGTGGATTAAGTCGGAGTGGTTCTCGGCGCATATTGGGAGCTAACTCGGTGGCTAGCAACAACTCTCCGTCTGGGGTGAGGCATGCGACGAGGACGTGTCGGATGTGACGGACAAGCTTGGTGTTCTGATCTACGAGATCGGTGAGCTGGAGGATCTCTTCGTCGACCGCTACGACCAGTACCGGGTCACTGTCAAGAGTATCCGGAACATTGAGGCTTCCGTGCAGCCCAGCCGTGACCGTAAGACCCCCACCGTACCAATTGTGATCGAAGCCTCCCTGATACTGATATGATATGCGCAAATTAGGCAAGCAGAAGATCACCGACGAGATCGCCAAGCTTAAGTACAAGGACCCCAACTCGCCGCGCATCGTCGTCCTTGAGCAGGAGCTGGTCCGTGCCGAGGCCGAATCCCTGGTCGCCGAGGCGCAGCTGTCCAACATCACGCGAGAGAAGGTCAAGGCGGCCTTCCAGTACCAGTTCGATGCGCTGCGCGAGCACTGCGAGAAGGTCGCCATTGTCGCCGGATACGGCAAGCACCTGCTCGACCTCATCGATGACACCCCCGTGACCCCCGGGGAGACTCGTCACGCGTACGACGGTTATGATGCCAGCAAGGCCATCATCCAGGACTGTGAGGATGCGCTGAGCAACTGGGTCACTTCCAAGGCCGTGGTCAAGTCCGGGCTGTCCCAGCGCTCGCGCACCTTGTCCCAGCACCACCGCGACACTGTCTCCAAGAACCGTGAGGGCGTCGACTTGTCCGTCCAGGACCAGCCCCTGACCGGTGACCGCGACTCCTGGCTCCCTGCCGACCAGCACCCGAGCTACCAGCCCGAGGACGGCGAGGATGGCGTCAGCACTATGGACGGCGAGGCATCGCGAGGCCGCGAAGAGGAGCGGGAGCCCATCACGGCCTAATCTGGAATTTCAGAATGACTTTCCAACTGCTCACGGATCTGACGGCTCCTGCTTTCTCTAATTCATTGGCGCGTCTGTCGCTCGTGATAGTCTGGTGTGGTTTCTTCCGAGCCGCATCAGATCTGCCAGGAGAATTAAATTGCGCAATGCCTACTCCGTGATCCTCCCGTGTGTTTTTGTTCACTTGATGACTCTTGTTACGTCGTGATATAGTACCCGCGGGTTGTGCTTGCTCTCCGTTGGCTGTTCTCAATGCGCAGACCTTGCAATTGGCAGACATCGGCCAGAACAGGACGACCAAGGACAAGATGCGTGTGGGTTTTCCTAATCAATGTAATACCATCTCGTGCCGTTTTGTTTTGTTGGATGTGTTTTTGTCTTTGGTTTGTTGTGTTCGGAGAGAACTGCTCCGGGTAATTTTAGGTGTTTTAATGAATTTGTCTTTTTTTATCTGCCTCAGATCTCAGTAGCTCCAAGGGTTCACTGGACACCACACTAGTCAGGTATCTAACGCAGAGCCTATCTATAGTAACCGTCGAAGTCCCTGGAGAAGCTGAGTAGTCCAACCAGAAATCTGGGGCTCCACATAGCCAAGTCGTGACAAACTCGAGAACCCACCATTGTTTACCGCTAAATAACGCCCGTCTGACAAGGGGGAGATCCAAGCGTCCCAGATTGATGAAGTACTCTCGAGGTAGATATACTCATGTCTACTCGGTTTAATGGTAGTTGATCGCAGTAGATCGAGTACCGGCCAAGTACTGTCTTGTACCTCCGGAGCACGTGCACGGACCAGTGTGGGGGAAGGCGGTGGCAACAGGCAGATGGGCGCTCTTTTTCCGGTTCTTCGCCAAAACGTTGATATCACACCATCGGCCAGAGTTTCAATCGATTCGTCTTCGACCCACTTGCATCCGGGGTCTTGCGCCCTGGGACATGGATTACATCGGCACGTTCGGTGGGTCAGCTTTCATCATTGGTGCTCCGTCCGGTCCCGGACATCAGCTCATTGCTAGGGGTGTGTGCCACCAAGAAACTCAGAAATAAATACCGTGACGTTCATGACTCCCCCCCTCTAGACGGCCTCTTTCTCTTTCTTTTCCTTGTTTCATCTCAGAGCAACTAGCAACAGCCGTTGCTTTCTTTTCTACTCTTTGCTTCCCCATTTTGCCCATGGCTTTTCTTCGAATTGGGACTGGCAGGGATCAAACTTGATCTGTGATGATTAGTCTTCACCCGAGTCCCGTTTTATTCTCTTCTATTCCATCCGCAGCCCTTCATCGACCTGCCATCATGGGTGAACCCAACGGACCCGACCTCGTGGTCGAAGCCAACGGTGCTGGTCTCAGTATAGCCCTGATCTCCGAAAGGCGATCGAATTACATCCAACTCGGGTATTCCGAAGAGGACTGTGCTGCTCTCACGCACGACGGCGAAACCCAGGCGGTCTCGTCGGCGCTCAAGAAACTGGGCCACCATGTTATCTTGGTCCCGGGGGTTGAGTCCCTGGTCCAACAGCTGGCGGCCGGTGAGCACAAGGGCTGGGACCTGGCCTTCAATATGGCGCAGGGATTTTATGGGACTGCGAGAGAATCGCAGGTCCCCGCCCTCCTGGAGGCGTATCAGGTTCCATATACCTTTGCTGATGCTGCGACCATGGCTTTGTGCCAGAACAAGGCAAACACTAAGGTATGAAAATAATCTATCTTATGGTTTATTTTCCAAGGGGTCGGTCGGCTAATGAATTGCTTCGAACCTTAGATTGTCTTGGACCACCACAAGATCCCAACGTCGCCCTTCTTGGTCATCCCGGCCAAGGAAGTGCCCGACAGCCAGCCTAAATTCACGAGCCAGGGCCCACAGTACCCGCTCTTTGTGAAACCCGTCACCGAAGGCTCGTCCAAGGGCATCGACACCTTCAATAAAGTGAACGAGCCCGCCGAGTTGGAGCCGGCCATTCGCCAACTCAAGGCTAAGTTCCCGGGTGAAGACATTCTGGTGGAATCCTTCTTGCCGGGCCGAGAACTCACCGTGAGCGTTCTGGGTGCTGGCGCAGACAGTCGTGTGATTGGCGTCCGAGAATTCATCTGGCAGAAGCGTGGTAGCGAAAGTAGTGACTCCAGCAACGGAGTCAGCGACCATGCCAACCCGGAGTTTGCGAGCAGAAAGAGCAAGTCCAGCAAGGACAAGCTGCTCGTCTACAGAGACCACGACCTGACCCTGACCGACTCTCAGATCCAAGCTGCGTGTCGCGTCGCCTTGGATGCGTGGAAGGTCTTTGGATGTCGCGATGCGGGACGCATCGACATTCGGTTTGACTCGGACGAGCCGAACGCCATCCCGAATGTCTTGGAGGTGAACCCTATCTCCGGTCTCCTTCCGGGCCATTCCCCCCTCCCGGGAAGCTCCGAGAGCAACGGGATCTCATTCGAGATGCTGTTGAATGCCATCATCGAAAGCGCGCTCCGCCGCACTACTTTGAAGCAGCCCAATGGCATCTCTTGACGGGTTTATGTTTCGCATGCGTTCTCTTTTCGAATTTTCCCTTGGTCACAGTTGACGGTGCTGCTCAGCTCCTTGTTCGAGGAGCTCCTGATACATCGTGCTTTGCTTTGCTTTCTTCAATTCCTGCGTTGTGATTGCAACTTCGCCGATAGATTCCTTCTCATGGGGCTTCCATATACATCTAGTTCTGCTCTGGTAAACCTATGCGTATATAGACGTCGCCACCAACGGTAGGTTCGCGACTATACGCATATCTCCCTATCCCCTCCCCCCACCCTCCCAATGCGCAACCATCACAGAGCCGAATCGCGACCATGCAGAGAACGATGGGATATGATGGATCTTGTTCGACTTTTGAAGTCCGGCCTTTTTAGTCTTGGGACTTCAACACAGCCAGCCCAATGCCTGGCGCCCGGCCCCATGCAGGTCCTAATAGGATGCGAGTTTTCAAGAGATCCCGCAGTCAAGGTTGGTTGTTTTCCTCCTCTTTACTAACCCTAACATACGAATGTTTCTGAAGAATAAAAAATATGCCATACCGAACATGAACTCTTCCCATGGTCAAATCGAGACTCTGAAGGATCTACCTAGGGCATCTTTGTAGATATCAAGGTTAACCGATGCTGGCATCGAGTGCACTGCTAGATTGCAAAAAGGTTCTATATAGATGTAGTAGTCTACAGACCAATTTAGTAATTCAGGCCTTTCTTCCAAGATATGCGAACCCCCTCATCCTAGGTACACTTCTAATGGTAAATCGTGGTACATCTAATAGTCCAAGCCAACACCCCACTCTAAAACGAAGCACTTGACAAGAGCGACAACAATCGTCGGTCAAATAAAATAGCATGCCGACTATAACCGAAACCAGCTATTCGAAACAGTTTGGACTGCTCAGACCGTTGCCGCCGGAATCCACTAGAGATGGCCAAGTTGAGGATGGCGACGGTTACGCTATAAAAGGAAGTCAGTATATGTCACTTCTTTTTCTTCCTAGGGAAGAATAATTGGTAGCTAACCTTTCTATCATTCTCCAGACCAATTGCAGGAAATTTGTGGTTAAACTGCACAATAAAATCAAAGCTCGATAGCAGGGAAACTATTTTTATTTCTCATAAAAAGAAAAAGAAAAGGAAAGAAAAAAAAATTGGGGACTTCGTATATTGGATTCTTATCGTTATTATTAAATCAAGCTTATTGCCCATACCGAGCCCTAATGGCCTTGGTGCCTCAGGTTTCTGTCGGCGCCTAAGTAGTTTGCTAGACCATTGCTACTACAACAGAAGCCCTATTAAAGAAAATGACTGGTAATTATTCGAATATAGTATCAATGACCAAAGCCTCTCAGAGGGTTCGTTAAGTAAGGAACGAGCTAGATGCCTTAGAATAGAGTTAGGTAGGGTAAGAACCAGTATTTGTTGGCACGTACGCCTTGTTATCGAGTGAATATGGACAGAGAGCTAGTAAGGGGCGGTAGGTACGATCTCATTCGGATTGTAATACCCAAGTTGGAACTACGTTCTCGAGATGAATTATTCTACTAATTTGCCAGATTAGGTAGCGAAAATATCAAGAGGAAAAAGAAGACAGGCCAAGTCCCAGCCGAGTGCAAGCAGGTGGCAATAGATTGAAGCGAGAAGGCCATAAGAATTTTTTTCTTCTCAAGCTTCCGGTCAAGGTACCCACAATGTTTTTGTGGTTGTATTAGTTCGAGCGTGGCATTCATATCATGGTTATACCCCAACCTTCTTCTCCCTCCTCTTCTCATTTCTTTCGGTCATGTCTATACCACACGTACAAGAGAGCCTAAAACTCCCGACTGCTATCTTTCCCTTCAATCTACTCCACAGATACAAATCATTTTCGCCCCATGAACATGTTCGCATGGAAAATCAACTAAGCCTGCAGCCACTGCACGATCACTATAACTTAGGCCCGGTGGTGTGATCGGATCGACCGACTGACTGCTTTGTCCTCGCCTCTGCTAATGTACTGATCAACGGCTACCCCATGATGTATTCGGCCGAGTCTTGGAAGCAATGCTCTGCCCTCTTCCCTTGAATTGATTGGGTTCCCGGGAGACTAGACCCTAGAACCCGGTTTATGCGAATGTCATTTCCTGGGAGATGCTCATAGCGCAAGTTGTTTTCGGCAGACGATAATGGTAAGGCTCCAGTCTTTTGCCTGTGTATGTTTTAACTATTATATGGTAGATGGTAGATGCTAGGAGTCCAGATGAATTACATCTCTTGTTTCATAGCTGTGCTCTGTTGACTCTTTGAAGGTCTGTACTAAAATAAATGCCACTGAAGTGGTAGGAATATCTGATAGAGAACTCGGACTCTCGACGCAAGTCCCAATTTCAAATACCTCTTTATCCACCGCCGTGGCAAGTTGAGTACATCATAGGCCACAATTCTGGGGCGTTGCTATACTTCTAGACCTGTGCTTTACTCGAAGAACCCCAAGGATGCAATTCATGCAGTTGCAATGAAAAAGACAGATAGCAGACATCAGGGTGCCTAGATATAATTTATTTTGAAGGCACCAAGGGCAATTTGTCAATTTGTGGTCAATATTTGAGAATAATTCTCTTCGTCCAACCCAACAAAGAAGGAGGAAACCGTCCATCCAATATTATGAACCGTGTCTAGCAATATTCCCCAACAACCAGACTAAAGCAGCACAAAGGCACTGTACATAGCGGGCTCGAGGGTATGTATAGACTATCAGTGTGGGGCGGAAAGCTTAGCTACACTGGAGCGATTTGCTCGGCCTATACTAGGCTGAGCCATCATTTTACTGGAATGAACGCATAGTGGAGTACCGTACCCAAGGTCCAGATATGGGGGCCCTCGGGAATCACTAAGCATACGTGATCATTGGTATGAATCACTCAATCACTCGTGAAGATCTCATCTGGTCCATAAAAAAAAGTAAACGCATACGAGTAAGTCAAGCCCACGTCCCCAAGTAGCAAAAGCAAGAGAATCACAACACCGCCCTCTATTCTCCCGTCACCCCTACCCAAACCACCCCTGGTTTGGGCAGGGAGCAGGGAGAATGAAAACACGCCTTCACATAAAAGCAACCCGTAAGAACCCATAAAAATATGAGAAAGAAAGGCAATGGAGAAGAAAACTGGAAGAGAGGAAGAGAGCCTGGGTATAGGGATATAGAGAGAGCCCGGGGCTAGGAGACGAGAGGCAAAGAGTAGAGATAGAAAATAACAAATCAGCAAGAAAAGCGAAAGTGATCGTATCCCAAAGTACACAAGCAAAGACCATCCTTGAAAGCCGAAGAAGCCACGCTCGGGATATCTACATCCCGAGTCGAGCAGAACCAGAATTTGGAGAAAGGTCGTGACATCGTCATGGGTGCTGTTCTTCCGTCGCATCGGGGATGAGAAAACAACACACTCGAGCAAAATAGTAGGAGCAAAAGCAAGATCAAACTAGATAGAAATAAGATGCAACAGAAGATGATACAAAACAAGAGACCGGAGTAAAAAAATGGACAGAAAAAGAAAGAAAAAATCCAGCCCGCTTTGATTTTGCGACGTCACTCGTCGGTGCCGACGCCCTTCTTTTTGGGCTGAATATGTTTTTGGCCGGCTGCCTTGGGTTTCAGCGCGGAGCTGTCCTTGGGCGGAGGCATGCGCGTGTTGGCCTCGTGCTTCTCGGTCAGGAGGTTCTTCAGCCAGCGGTTCTCCATTTCCAACTGGGCAACGCGGGCTTCCAGCGAGGCGTTCTTCTCGGTGGTCTCGCGGACGGTCCGTTCGAGGACTTGCTCACGCTGCTTCTTCTTCATGCGGAAGCGGGCGCTGGCGGCGGTGTTTCGACGGCGCCGGTCCTCTTCGGCGGCCAACCTCACATGCTCTTCCTGGCCGAGAGCGGCGGCGATGCGATCCCCGGGGATCGAAGTGCTGTATTTGGTGTTGCCCATCTGGCCGTTGGGTGGCGAGATGGATGACGACACATCTGACGGTGTCAGGGCCCCCGGAGCATGGCCGAGCTCATCGGGCGCAAAGGGGACGGGCGGATAGATGGAGTGAGCCGAGTACGGCATCATTTGGTCGGGAATCGAGTAGTTGATGGACTTGTCGCCGGAGCCTATAATTGTCTGGGGTAAGCGATCAAGAGTTCAAGAGCTTCCAACCCCCTCCTCCCCCGGGGAAAACAATAAGAAAACTATCAAGGGAGAGTGCACGCAATCATTCTTGTCCCATATAAGCTCAGCCCGAAGGGGGTTAAGCAGGCAGCCAGCGTGTCATCGGGATGCGGGATTGCGTGCTCGCTATTGAGCTCACGGACGGGGGATCTCCCACAAACGCACCGACACTTGGGACTGCATGCAGCCTCGTGGGAGCTTAAACGAGAGAAAGAAGAATTGAAGGGAAATAAAAAAAAATATAATAGACAGTGTTCGAGGGAGAAATAAGTTGAATGTTCAAGGGGAAAAAGAGTAGGGGGAGATATGATACAGCCCGAAGCTGACGGAAAGATTCAGGATGCAGGAATTGGCCTCACGAGATCAAAATTGAGAAAGATCTGCTTGCCATTCTGACCAGGATCCCCCAAAAAAACAAGACGAACCAGAAGGCAAGATGATGGCGCAACAAATGCAACGTGTGGGCAACACAACAGTTGCCAGCTTTTGGACGTACCTTGATAGGGATACCCGCGCAGATCCAGCGAGCTGCGGTCATCATCGATGCTATCGTAGGAACTGACCGAGAGACCCCCCATGCCCTCGGTTTGATCGTAATCCATGTTCACGTTGGCAAACGGGGCCAGCCCGGTGTCAGCGTCAAACGAGTATTGTCGGTTCTTGTCCTGGCGAGACAGCAAAAAATTGAAGTTTTGGATTTTGTCGTGGGTAGGACGAGAAGGTTGGTCCTCGGGCATGATGAAGTGAAGGAAGAAGAAATCAATAGGAGGGGAGGGATGGTTGATGACCCGTAGCCCTCTTGTTAGGGCTATAAGAGAGAGAGAGACAGGTGCTTTCTTTTCCACGGAACCCCAGATCACGAAGAGGGGACGATCTCGGCAGAAACAATCAGAGTACAAGGAATCAGGAAAATCAAGAAAATAGAAAAATAGAAAAAGAAATTAAGAAGAAAAAAAAAAAAACAAGGCGAAAAACGCCAGGATCTTGAAGAGTCTCGGAGATTGGCGTTTCCAGATTCACCTACGGGGCGACTAGCTCATTGGCGCATGACGCGGAAGCCACGAATAGAAAAGAAGCCAAAGGGAAGAGAAGAAAAAAAGAAGCAAAAAGAGAGGGAAAAAAAGGGGGGGAGAAGAGGGGAATCCAGCAAAGCTTCACGATGATCTGATAGAATGGAGAAATGTCGTGATCGCCAGCTCTGGTTCGTCCAGGCCTCACCGCTTAGGGTGAGATTGGGAATTGCTACTTGCTGGAGAACTGGAGAACTGGAGAACTGGAGAATTAAAGAATTGATGGCCAAGGTGAGTAAATCCGGGGAATGGAGAAGATAGAAGATAGAAGAAAAGAAGGGAGGAATATAAGATTATCACTCTCCACGTTCTAAGTTGTACCTCTCGAGGTCCAACGATGACGCGGACAGAACCGTTACAAGACATGTAACAAAGAAGCTTGGCACCTCAATCCCCCCGGCCCCCTCCTGATGACATTGGATGTCGTGCTCGGGCAATCAACTGCGCTGCATCATCAACGGTGGTACCTCTGGTTCGATTCTCGACTCGTTCCACCCCCAGCACCGGATCCTCGGCGATGCTGCGGTAGATCTCTGCGAATCCGCCATAAATCCTGCCCCCAACCCCGTCCCACCCACCTTCCGTGTCGAACGCCTCCCCGATCCCGTGCATTTCTTCCACCCAACGGTACGCTTTGGGGCTCATCCCGACGACTCCATTCCGAGCGAGCGCGGCCGTGCGTGGAGAATATTGGTCGAGGTGTTCCAGCAACTCTGGGAGTAGTGACTCCTGCTGCGCTGTGGAAAAGGACAGGATTGACAGGGCCGTGAGTCCCTTGGTCAACGCGGCAAAGGACAATTTGAGCGTGGATGCCGCACCAATCTGCGGCGACACCAGCTTCATATTCAGCACCGAGGCCAGTGGTGGGAATGTGGGGGGCAGGTCCACTGTGCCCGACAGCACCAGACTGGGTCTGGTCCAGGTCCCGTCTTGCGTGCTCTGTGGCGGGCCGCCAATGATCCCACCGTCCAAAAAATGGCATCGGGCGTCCACCAACTCCTCGCTAATTTCCTGGGCCATTCGCGCAGGGATTGCATTGAGCTCGACGTAGTAGAGCCGAGATCGCTCGGGCTGCCCGGCCGCATCCTCGATGGCCTGCCTTCGGGTGGCCGTGTCGGGCAACCGGCCTGCCTCGGCAAGCCGTTGCGCTGTAGTCCGTGCGTGTTTCGGCGGCACGATAGACAGCACGTAGTCTGCCTGGATGACTAGGTCTTGATCCGAGAGCGTCTCGATGGCAGCCGAGTGGATTCGCGCGAGGGTGTGCTCACTAGAAGTTGAGTAATTGGTTATTTGCTGGTTGGCAGGGCCAACATACCTTCTCCCCTCGCCGACAGTCACCACGCGGTAGCCGTGAGCATGCAACAGCTTCGCAATGCCTAACCCCATGTCCCCGATCGAAACGACTCCGACGGTGGTGGGACGCATCGTGAAAAGTTACAAAAGAGTAAGCCCTGGGTGTTCTAACTCGATTGATTTATTTCAAAATGTCCAGAGAAATAACTCTCTAAATACTCTTATCATCTCACTTGGGTCTGCGGGGATCATTTGTCAGCTCATAGATCCCCCAGCCTGAAGTGGTATGGACCTGACTCTTTAATTTTAAGCTTATATATGCCGTGCTTTGTCCCTCTAGTGGCATTACCAAATGACCCTTATCGCCCTAGAAGAATGCGATCAACCAAGTCCCTGGTTCATGAAATTTGTCATTGGAAGGATCAACGCTGACAAATGCGTCTGAATGAGCCCTGGAAATGGATGAAGATGGGGAGAATACATGTTGGATGTAGAGATTCTTTTTTTTCTTCTTCTTTTTTTTTTAAATATATGTTTCTGTCTTCTATTTGTTTGTATTTTTGAATCGTCGATGAAACACATCCAGACCAGATAATCCACGGAAGAGAAGTGCTCCGACTTTCCGACCCAAGAGCTTCTTCATCGCCCCTGGACGTCAATCTCCTCTGCCAATCTTCGTGAATTCCCAGTCGGTTTTCTTTCACAATAAGCCAAAGGACGAACTAAAAAAAAAAGAAAAGAAAAGAAAAGAAAAGAAAAAAAGATCAAGTTTCTCTGCTCCCCGGGTTCTCTCTCCCCCAATGTGCCCGCACCTCTTGGCGGGGACATGGCCGGTGATGCACAACGCAATGCTCCAAACTGCGGGCATAACCCCCCCATCAACCCAACACTCCACTCCGGACTCAACGCCCAATGCCACAATGGACTCCGGAGTGCGGAGACGAATCTCAAGGGTCTGTGTCGCTCCATCCCGGCGTGATCCGCCTGAGCCGTTTCTGACTGGTCGCTTTCTTATAGGCGTGTGAGATGTGTTATCGGAAAAAGACCAAATGTGAGGTCGAAGGGTCGAATCCTGTTTGTTTGCAATGCATTCGTCGGAGCACAGATTGTGTTTTTCCTAAATCTGAGAAACGCGATGATCTGGAAAGGTAACCTCAGGTTTATCTGTTTTTTTTTTTTTATTAATGAAAAAAGATAAGAAAAGAAAAGAAAAGTATGATGTGTTGGTTCCATTTCGCTAACCCTCGGACAGCGACCAATATGTCAAATCCCTCAAAGCACGCCTGGTCAGGATCGAGTCGTTGTTGAAGACTGCCGGCATCCTGCGTGAGGGTGATATGAGTGATGATCTTTCTGGCGATGAAGACGATGGGATCGAACATTTATCCAACACCTCGCCTGCATCCCGTACATCGTCGGAACGCGAAGGGTCAACTTTCCCCGGCGGTGGCGATCTAGAAGCTACGTCGATTTTCCGAGTAGACGAAAGAGATGACTCGCGCTATTTCGGTCGGTCTTCCATACTTTTTGCAAGTAATTGGCAGACAAACTAACCATCACGAACAGGGCGATCTTGTTCCTTGTCGATTCTCTCACAGGGAGGTATTGATTGGATCAAAAGCAAGACCGGCGACGTGAGCTTTTTGCGCCTTATCTCGCCTGAATCGATCCATAGTAATCCGTGGAATCAATGGCGACCGGATGTGTTCCACGACCTGTTTGCCTCGCAGGTGTTCAAGTCTCTCCCGTCGAGATCGGAGGTGTTCTCCTTGATCAGGGACTTTTTCAAAACGGCCAACCGTTTATTCCCGATATACAATGAAAATTCTTTCATGAGGATGGTCGAGTGGCAATACACCCAGCAGACCTGTGACGACGCTGCTCGGTGGGCCAGTATCAATATGGTCATTTGTCTGGCATACGAGTTCCGATTCTCAAATAGCTTGAAGCCGGAAAAAGATCGAGACAAGGCCCAGCTATATTTCAAGAACGCCATATCGGTCTTCACCGAGCTTGCATTGCGACGCACCGATCTTTTAAGTGTGCAGGCATTGCTTAGCATGGTATGTCCTAATCAAACAACTTGTGGATGGATCTGACCATTATTGAAGGGATTCTACCTGCGTGGTAATTCTGGCACCCAGTCAGCCTTACCGTTTATCACCGCAGCTATGCGCTCTTGTCAACGAATGGGGCTGCATCGTGATATCCCCAGGCCCGACCTGAGCCCGATCGAGCAAGAGCAGAGAAGACGAGTGTTCTGGGTCGCATTCACAGTTGATCAAAGGTAACGAACCCATATTTTGAAAAAAAAAAAAAAAAAAAAAAAAAAACTATACAGCCTTGTTAACCTCCCGATCAGTACATGCTTGAGAGCAGGAAACGCCCCGTCTCAGCACCCAGACGACTTCGATGTTCCGCTCCCGCAAGAAACCGAAGATGATCAAGACCCGGAGATGTCAAGCAACATTCGGTTCTTTCGTCAGCTATGCCGCATGGCACTCATCAAGAGCCGGATTTACTCTCGAATGTATACTGCCAAGGCCCTTTTGAAACCACCGCTTGAAATCTACCGAACAGTCAAGGAGCTGCATGCAGAGCTCGAGAATTGGAAGCGGGACTATCCATTCGATACCGAGCCCCGACGAAAGGCCTCAGAAAATGATTTCCTGTTCGGGTTCGCGTCGATTGGGCTTCATTTCGTCTATTATAATGCTCTGATCATGATCCATCGCATTCCTCTCCTTCTCAATTACCTTATCTTATCCCGGGACGAGACCAATGACCTCAAGTCTCTCAGCAAATCCCGCGCATCAAAGTCGAGTGTCATCTGTGTGCAAGCTGCTCGAGACACACTGAAACTCGTGAACAACATGCCGTGGGGAGACATTGCATGGATTTGGTAAGTCCAAATGGTTCCCCTTCCTATTCCATGGCTGATCATTCATTTTCTAGGTCGCTTCTGTATTACGTCTTCCTGTCGGCAGCAACAATTTTTTCAAATATCATTCGGGACACTCGCCATCCGCAAGTGCGAGAAGACCTCCAGTCCCTCAACATGGCCGCAACCTTCTTTGCCACCCTTGTTCCTGGTGACGGGCCCAACAACTATGCAGGCTTTATGACCCGCATGAGCGCGACGTTGGAGCGCATCGCCAGAATTGCAGTCGAGAGAGACGAGAAACGGACCCGCGGCTCGGATGAAATCGATAAAACAGATCAGGAGCTTTGGCTACCAGGCGCCAAACGACAGAACTCTCGAGCGACGCCAACGGCTCATCCGAAGCAGCGACACCGGCCCACCACCCTCCGCAATTCCATGACTCCCAATTCTACCTCTACCCACGATGCCCCCCACGATGCCCCCCACGACGCCATGCCCGCCGTCCAGCCTACCGTCGCATCAATAACAGCTCTGCCACCCCACCCAATGGTCCTCGGCATCCCCGACACCATCGAAGGTCTTCCCCCAGTCAACTCCTCGGGCTACGTCGTCCCCATGAGCCCAGGCGATCCCAACGAAACCTTTACACCATCCATGTTCAACGGACCCAGCACATCCACCACAAACGACTATACAACCACTGCCACTACCAGCAACAACAACAGCAGCAGCAATCTGGACCGCACATTCCTCCACGAAGCAGCCGCCAGCAATTTCTCCACACCCACCGTCCCCTCCTGGCCCCTAGCCCCAGACTACACATCCTCCCCACTCGACAACACCACCACGCTATCCCCAAACTCCTACCAAAACACCACAAACCCCACCACCACCAACGCAGCTGCTTTTGCCACGTTCCCCGACGATATCCCCGCACCAGACTTGTGGCAAATCCCGCTGGCAGCAGACATGGACTTTGGAAGCAACCTCTGGGCCGGCCTCTTCCCGACGGAATACAATATCCCGCCGCAGCCACAGGACCCGTCCATGCCCATTCTCTCGGCGGAGTCGTTCCTCCACGGCGCTCCCAGCTCGGAATCTAGTCGCAATCCTGGGTTTGATCCCGAGGGTCTGGGGTACGGGTTTGTGCCGCCGCAGCCTCAACCGTCACATTCACATTCCCAGTCCCAGTCCCAGTTCCAGACTCAGGCTCAGGCTCAGTCGGAAGACCAGACGCAAGCGAATGACTCGGCTTGGCCTCATGGTTTCCTGGGGTTGTTTTAGGGGAGTGGTATTTTTTTACTTTTGGTTTTAGATGGCCTGCTCTCTCTCTCTGTCTCTTCATTTATTTATCTTTATTTCCTATTTTTGGACTGTGATGGTGTGATACTTCATCTGCATTTGCGGCATGCATTTGGTGGGACTGAACCGCACAAAATTTGACATGATAGATCTGACTAGGCATATTCGTTGGTAATTTCTCTGGAGACAATTGATGAGCATTCAATAAATCCTGTCCCCTTTGTTGCTAGGTCATTAGAAGTGGGATCCCTGAGTGGACGTACTGGGATATCAGCTCGGACTATAATGGCTCAAACGGATAAGTTGAAAAAAAAAAGACTGGCTTTGTATGCCTATGAATAAGAAAGATGCCCAGCCCAACCTTGGAAACAATCAAGCAAGTAGCCCCGAGTAAATAGATCCAACCCTATGAAAAGAAAGAAAAGAAAAGAAAAGAAGAAACTCCCTTGCTCCACCAGTGTTCCCGTTCTCCAGTCCAGTCCAGCGCCATTCAAGAAACGCGAAAGAAGATATCAAGAGAAGATATAAAAAGAAGGCAAACCAAAAAAAAGCAAGATTAAAAGACAGAACCGGTGAGCATGCGAACAGCTTTGCACCAGACCCCATTACCGAGCTGGGTATCGCTATCCTTCTGCTGCCCGAGCCCCTTGCCAAGAATGCTCTGCATCTCCTGGTCGGGCAGACCGGACTTGTTGCCCGTTCCGAAGCCATAGACTTTGGTTGCCAGGACATCGATGTCGAAATCCAGAGACCCGATCTCACTGGTCTCGGCGGTGTCGTGCTTGATGCGCGTGCGAACGGTAAAGTCGACGTCGACCCTCTTCGCGCCCTTGTTCTTTGCCGCGGCGCCTTTACGGCCCGGGGTAGAGGCAACGGCGGCATTGCCCAGCAGTGTGCACCGCGCACGTAAGGAGAGCGAGGACTCATCAGGGCCCGAGAGGGAGAGTCGGGTGACTCCGCAGAATTCGAGCATGCGAGCCTCGTTCTCAAGGCCGACGGTGCGGTCCCACGCGCTTGAAACAAACCGCAGAAGCTGTTTGGGAGAAACGACGGCTTGATGGGTGGTAGTCAGGTGGCGTTGCAGTGATTGAAGGACCAACGATGCGATGGGGGAGATGCCGCTGCCCTTCATGGAGATCAGCTCCAGTGGTGAACTCTTCTCGCTGCGGTTCGAGCTCTTGACTGCGAAAGCACCGGGTTCGAACTTCAGCTGCAGCTGATCGCGATAGGCCATGGTCAACATCGGACCTGTGGATGAGTCCGATGGAGTTGAGGCATAGATGATCGACCAGCCAGTTTGGTGCTCGATCTGTTGAACAGAAGCTTGTGTATGTTAGACAATAGGCCGAGTAAAATGCGATGTCACAAAAAACTTACCTTTTAGTTCGCTGATCTCCCGAGCACTCCACCCGCGGCATTCCTCCTTGATACGCTCGGCTTCCTGGATTTGGGCTAGGAACTCGTCGCGCATTTCGGTTCCGGCCTCGATCGAGGTGGTCTTCTCTTGCACCTCCTCCTGCATCTGCTCAAGCTCTCGCCTCTTGGCCGCAATCTCAGCCTCCACACCAGAGAGCTTTGTACGCGCACCTCGCAGCTCATCTTGGTCGCAGTTCTCCATTTCGTCGACCAGCTGCTGCAGATTAGTCGCTTCTAGTTCCAAGGATGCATGTTTTTCTGCCAATGGGGGCACGGTGCTGCTGAGCAGCTCCTCCCGTTTGGATAACAATTGGTCATCACTCTTCATTTCCTCCACATGGCGGTTGAGTCCTTCCTTCAACCCTTCAAGAAGCTTCATTCGCCATTCGTACCATGTAGCTTTACTGAGAAGCCGCGCATGGGTCTTGACATTTCGAAACTGGTTGTCCATGATCACTCGGATGTCCGGCGGAGCTGTGACATACTCCCGGAACAGAGGAGGGTTGTCGGCATATGTTTCAGCTTCGATTGACCGGATCACTTGACGACCTTCAGAGATGTAGGACTTCAACTCCCGACAGGACTAGAATGAGGTTAGACAATTGGGCCAAATGTGATGGTGTCAAGTTCAACTTACGTGCTGGTACAGCTCAAGCATGGGTACTGTGCAAAACCCAGCAGCAACGGTGTCATCAAAAGTGATGGTGCCTTGCTTGGCCACATTCTCCTCAGAAAGCCGCGGTTGTTTCTTGGTGGCGCTTCCAGGCGCGACTGTAGTGTGCCGTCTCTTCGTGGTCGTGAGCTCCATGAAGTGGATGTTGGTCATGTTCAGGAACTCCTGTAACTGGATGGGCTCAATCTCGGGGACGAGTTCCTCGGCGGGTGCCTCCGCTTCTTGCTCCGGTTGAGAGGGGTCAGAAGCAAGTTGCAGGGAATCAATTCCTTCCCTCAGAGGAGTCGTCGCCGTTTTCGACGCACTGGTTGGCTCCTTGGTGGGAGTGGCGCTGGCCTTCAGAGGCGAAGAGCTAGCAGCTCTGCGAGCGGGCAAACGCGTTGATCGCTGGGCCCTTTGATCGCTAAACCCTGGTGCCGGCAATTTCACACCCTTAACCGGGCTGACATCGTGGCCTCGCAGTCGCTTGGGTGAATTTTGCATTTCATCTTCTTCGTCCATGTCCAGCTCAATGGGGCGTTTTCCCAGAACCCCGCGAGCAGCACCGACATGAAGACTCTTTCGGCTGCCGATTTTGTTCTTCTTGGGGCTGAGACTGGATATCATGTCCTTCAAACTCGAGGTTACATCCCGGTCACCAGACTGAGAAAAGCCGATATGGCCGTCTTCCCTGAGCTCCTCCTCTTCACGATCACGCTCTTCCTCTGCCTGTAGTTGCAACGGGTCCTCGAAACGCACGCCCGCACGGGGCTGCTCTTGAGGGACGAACTGGGGCGAGCTTTCACCGAGGGACTGGCGCTTGTCAAGTAGAGCTGCCACACGAGGCGATCCAAGACCTTCTTTGTCGATTCCCAGACCAGAAGAGCGGCGCCCCTCACGAGGTGGCAGCACGAAAAGAGGGGTCGATTCTCCCGTTGCCGCATTGTGTTCAAAGATGCTCTGACGGGTAGACTTGCGTTTATCGGCCGACTGCTGAATCTCAGGCTGAAAGAGCTTCTTTGGCGAAGCGCTTCGGAAGGTCACTTTGCTTGATGGGGGGGTTTTGCTTGGCGTGCTGGGTTTCACTTGGGGTGTAGATTGCTTAGAGGGAGTGGATGGTTTCTTGGTCGGCGATGTCTGGCGGCTAGCCGATCTTGGTGTGCTCGACGTGCCCAGAGCAGAGCTACGTCGGGATCTCACACTGGCTAGGCTGGGGCTGCCGGTTTCAGAGGCAACAGTGGTAACCTGGAAGGCGAGTGGGGATTTGGCCGGTGATTTAGCGGGTGACGCCCGGACAGTGTCCTGGAAAGGAGAGCTGCCCAGCTGCCCCGAGTCAGACTCGAGCTCCATAAGCACTTTTGCCTGCGCTTTGTTGCTGGTTTCTAGCCCCGGCAAAATGCCTCCAACAGCGCCGGTCATCTCCATGTCCATATCCTCGTCCGAGTAATTCTCGCCAGTTTCCTGTTCGAGGTTCACGCGTTCCGACCCTGGGGTATAAGAAGCCGGCTGCTCAACCATGTCATCTCCGTCGTGACTGTGAGAAGTTTCCTTGCCCAGGACTCCTCCGCCGACAACGGAAGTAAATTCCATTGTCATCTCTTCGTTCTCGTTGACGTCGTTGGAAGGCTTCACAGGAGATTCCATTGGAGCAATGCCCCCAACCACGTTGGTCATCTCCATTGTTTGGTCGTCGTAACTCGTTTCTGTAGACTTGCGGCGGATCGCACTTTGGCGACGACCAGGCGATTTGCCGAGGATGCGCCCTACCGCGTTTGTCACGTCCATACTAAGGTCTTCATCCTCATCCATATAGTCAGACTCGGAAGCACCCCGCATATCAGGCGTCTTGGATGGATCGACATTTTCCTGATCATGGCGAGCGCTGATGTCTTCCCAGTCAAAGCTTTGTCTCTGTCCCTTTTTGATCCATGGTTGAAAAGCGCCCGTGATTTCTTGATCAGCAATCTCCATGGACATTTCTCCATCTCCTTCATCAATCGCTTGAGTCCCAGCCTCCTTTGCGGCCTGGCGTAATGCTTGGTTGAGTCTGGCACTGGAACTTGAACCCGAAGATGCATCTGACTGCATCGTGGCAGCAGAGTGTGCTGTCATGTCGTCCATGCTCATCGCAGTACTCTCGGCATCAAATCCATCATCGGACCCGGACGAATGATCATCATCTTCCTCCCCGGCTAAGCTCTGGGCCCCGGTGTCCTCCCCTCCCGAAGCGGAGCTTCCACTGAACGGGCTTGATGATAAGTCCTGGGAGCCTTCGGGGTCTTCGGTAGATGCTGAGCGATCTCTTATTTGTTGCAAGTCCTGTTGACGGACAGGGGAAAAGCCAAAATCCGATTCAGCGTCCACGTCGGGAGATGAGGGAGCCTCTTTTGCCGGGGTAGGCGCATGTTGCTGGTTCACGGTGTTTGAAAGTGCAGATGCACGTCTCGTCGAGTTGGAGGTTGATGATGAAGTTGACTCATCGGGTATTTCAATTACATTCCATGTGTGTAGTGTAGCCTCTGGTGCGAAGGATACTCGGCGGTTGGCTATACACGGGATCAGTCTTGATCATATAGACGTGGCCGGAGATACAAACCCATTGATTTACGCCGTGCCTCGCGTTTCTCAAGGATATTCTGGCGTTCGCGCTCTCGGCGCTCCTTCTCATCGCGATCCTTGGTCGCGGCCATTTCTTCGCGAATCGCTGACGTGGCATTGAAAGTGTCAAACGGGTTATCCGTGCTATCGTTGCCGAAAGTTGGAGCTCGAGGGGCTGTCTCAAAATCGATCAAAAGTCCTTCTTTCCTTTGATTATCATCATCCATCGCGCCGTCATGGCTTTGGTTGTCGCGTGCGGGGGTGCGTCGGCGCGTCTCTTCAAAAGACGGGATCTTGCGCACTGGAGAGACAGGAACCGTAGGTTTGAGAATTGATTTTAGAGGAGCTGAGGCCGTGGACTATAAGACGAGGAAAGTCAATGCGATTCCTACTCTGCGCGCGCGTGGAGTGGGGGCTCAGGGTGATAGCTACCTTGCGACGATTGCCATTGGAATTTTGAAGCGCATCAAGTCCACCTGGTCCCAGACTCTTGCTACGAGACTTCTTGTCTTTAGCGGTAAGCTTTGGTTTGGTCTCAAATGGCTGTGTCGCGCCGATGTCTGCAATCGCATTCTCCTTATCCAAACTAGACGTCATCTTGGATCGCGGAACATGGGCGATAGAGCGGCGAGAACGCGGTCGCGGTGCCACAGAGTCCAGTCGGGACGACATGGTGACAAACTATAGTCGGCAGAAAGGTCTCACCCTCGCATGATCCGAAGTGGGGAGGGCCGAGGGAGTGGACTTGGAGCTTCCCGGTCTACTGAGGCGTTCATTCCGCGCGTAGAGCTCACGTGACGTAAACAAAGGCGAGCCCTAAGCCGAACCGCACTATTCCATATACGGTTAGCTCCACCGGTCGCACACTCACAGAAATCCGCCGGTAGCGAGACTTCCTCAACTTCGACGCCTATCCGCCCCGACAACCCGACACGCCATTATCTTTTTCCTCGACACCGCTTCCTCGTCGAGACCACTTTGCAACCATGGCGACCGAGTTGACCGTCCAGTCGGAACGTGCGTTCCAGAAGCAGCCTCACATCTTCCAGAACTCGAAGACCAAGGCCAAGAGCAAGAAGGCTGGTCAAACCCGCCGCTGGTATAAGGATGTTGGTCTGGGTTTCCGTACCCCCAAGACTGCCATCGAGGGCAGCTACATTGGTATGCTCAATCTACATTGAATTTGATGTGTTCGACACCTGGTGTTGGGATTCGCAGATGGGGTCTTTTCGAGATGGGGATGGCTAGCAAGAGGGAGGGCTATACAGGACGAGGGAATTTGCGATCTACCTTGCAAAAGGAATACAATGATCCAAGAAAATTCGACTATGCAGTTTTTCCTGCGTCTGCGAAATTTTTCATCTGCCAAACTCGAAAAGACCAACCATTTCGAACATTTGCGATCATCAGTGGGGCGACAGGTTGGATCGGTCGCTAACAACTCTACAGACAAGAAGTGCCCCTTCACCGGCCAGGTCTCCATCCGTGGCCGTATCCTGACTGGCCGTGTCGTCTCGACCAAGATGCACCGTACCATCATCATCCGCCGTGAATACCTCCACTACGTCCCCAAGTACAACCGTTACGAGAAGCGCCACAAGAACCTGGCTGCTCACGTCTCCCCCGCTTTCCGTGTTGAGGAGGGCGATTGGGTTACCGTCGGCCAGTGCCGTCCCCTGAGCAAGACTGTACGTGTGTTCCTTGTGTTGCGAGCCCTATGGTGGTGCTGGCCGAGTTTTCATTTGCTTTATGGAACCTGGGCCGCACCAAAAACCATTATGGGTTACGCCGTTAGTTCCTCTGGTTTCGTTATCTAACTCGAAACTCTTCTAGGTCCGCTTCAACACCCTGCGTGTCCTGCCCCGCACCGGCAAGGCCGTCAAGGCTTTCAGCAAGTTCTAAGCGTTTGGATAAACTGGGTGCTCGGAACGGGCCATTCGGCGAAGGAAGCGGTATGGACTGGATATAAAGGAATTTCTTAGGCGGGGATCGGGATAGTTTACGAGTTTCCACGTCCCCAGATACCTCGCTGAAGAACGTGTATCCACACAAAAAGCAAAAAAAACTTCTTGGATCCTCCTGCAATGGAAACTGTACATCAGCTCTGATATGGGTACGGGTGTACATGCGATCAACAGGCGCTTGTACTCTGCCCCTTCTGGGTCTTTGCATCTGCCCTTTCAAGCCACGGTCGTTTATGCCTACACACACAGTCTTGGAGGAATCGACATTTCGGTTGTTTCCATTCTTGATTGTAGGTGATCCTCGACCCTTGACCCATTCCGCCTCGCATTGTGGGTAGACCAAATCGTAAACCATTGTCCTATGTCATTTCAATAACTCGTAACATCTCATCATATCATGTTCATCCGTGCAACAACACTTCCCCTCTGGCAGAGAGTGGCTTGATTCGCCCTCGCCATCATCAACCGCACAAGCCCATTTCAACCCCTCGACACGACACCACGCACAGGTCTCAACGCAAAGGTCGATTCCTGGAATATCGAGTCGGTCTCCTGGTGGGTGTGTCAAGGACTGCCTCGCTCTCTGACGGCCAGTCATCTGCCGTGACAATATTCAGACTGTCATTTTCCGCATCAATCACAATCGGCGTCTCCGGTCTACTCCCCGGAATTCCGTTCAAGAAGCGACTCGAGCCCTGGTTTGGGGTGCGTAGCTGCTCATTGTAGGGCATCGGGGGTACGTCCCATGCGGGAAGACTCAAACGATCTTCGGCAGTAGGTACTGGTCCTGAGCATACTGTCACAGTGTCGTGCACCGAAAAGTATCCATCGCTGGGCGTCTCAGGCCTGTGACGGAAAGGCATCCATGAGCCGTGCGAGCTTTCTTTGGAGTCATCAAACTCGTATGATTCCGAGTCAGAGTCTTCATCCTCTGAAAGCTCGTAGTCATAGTCGGAGTCCATGGTCTCCTCCTCTATCTCTTTTTGTTTCTTCTGAGGAGGGGTATTCTGCGGCGTGTAGGGCATCTCATCTGGCCGCTCGAGCTCATCGATATCGACAGTAGAGCAATCTTGAATACCTTGGAGGAATTCGGATAGACGTTTTTGGGACCAGTGCCATCTTTGAACAGATGCTCGCGCCACATTCTCTCTGTGTGGGACTGGGATTTCCAGGATCTCAAGGAGCTTTCCTAGAATACACCCGGCTTGATGCTTTGGAATTTCCCTTTTTGTGAGGTCCGCGATGAATCCATTGTTACAAGCCTTTCGGCTTTGAAACAAAGAAAATTGCAGGAGGTATTCAATTTCCGGATGCCCAGCCACGAGTTCCTTCAGGGTGTCGATGTAGATAGTACTGACGATTGCTGGGGTTGGCACGCGTCCCCAGACCAGAAACTCCCCGTAGCCTCTGTAGCAGGGTGTGCGAGTATCTGTGAGCTTTACCAGCTCTTGGGCCGTGAAGATCGGGGTGTCGAGTTTGGACGTGTCGATTATAGTCAGTATGGCACCTTTACCTGCCCGGATTCCTCGATGAACTGGGGATATCGGCGCTTGGGAAGTGGAGATGAAAGGTGTTTTGAGCTTTGCCTTTGTAGCGTGGTTCTTGAAATGTTCTAAGAACTCCTGTGAAATATCCCCCGGGTTGAAAATGAGTGAGCCAGTGTTTTCGAATAGTCCCGCTCGGAGCTCGGTCTTGCAGTTGATTCCTTGCGAGTCGAAATTTGACCATCGAAAGAGCAATGGCGGGAGATTGTTTTTGCAGAGACCAGGCAAATTCTCTTGAGTCGAGGCCTAGCAATGGTCAATGACTATTGGATAGAAGTGATTAGAGACTTCGTGGTACCTGGCCATTCTCCAACCCGTCTTCCACCCCTTCTTTGCGACACCAGCCAGATGGCTTGTCAAAACAGCAAACCACCAGTGGTTCGTGAGAGCTCTCAGTTGGAGGTATAGGGGGTGTTTTAGTCCTAGGGGGGTAACAAGGATAGTATGATCCTAGGGTGTATAGTTAGGACAAGTTTCGAGGGGTAACTATTTTGGGGGGACTTACTGCAGTAAGAACTGTCTGAAGATAGTCAATATCCAATTTCTTCGGCTTGAAGTTGGACGTATCGATGTTGTCGGATAGTTGCCGGCGAAGACTTATTTTCAATCGCATCGCCGTGCTCTCAATCAGAGAAATCCGGGTTTTCCACTCCCCGTCTCTTCTGAACTCACTATCCACGTGAACATGATACCAGACATTATGACAATCCCTCCTCATCTGGTACCATTGTGCGTTCAGGGTGGGATATGAAGCAATGCCTCTCGGCAACCCACACTCAAGAAGGTGTCTCTTGAATATGGCAGAAAATATAGACACTAACTCTTGAGGTTTGCAAGAGTAAAAACGATACAAACAGCACAGTGTCTGTCTCATCTCACAATTCCATCTGATGCAATTCCTAGGGCTCTTCATTCTGGATGTGACAAGGAGACGATGAGAGGTGATGAGGCTTGAGAAGAAAAAAAACCGGATGAATGAAAAAGGAGAAAGAGAAAACCTGAAGGAGAGGGAGACGAAGCGAAGTCTTCGGGTGAAGATCGAGGCGAGATGGGACTTGTCAGAGGAAAGGAGGACTTCGGGAGGAAGAAACGCACAGGATAAAAGAGCAAAGGTTCGAGGTTAAGAAGTGAGAACTCGAGTTTGACAAACTCCAGAAAGAGAAGACCAATTCCAATAGGCAACAAACACACTTGTGAGAAATGTTGCAGATGCCTTGAATTGAGTCAAAGGGCTCATCTCATGCTACGAGGGAGGAGAATCGCTAGTATCTAGAGAGATGAACCTCAAGTACTTTTCAGTTATATTCACGCTTGAAACTCCAAGAAGGTTATTGACATTCGACAGTCTACACAAGATATATGTTTAGCTATGTAGGAGTGAAACACAACTCAATTAATTGCCAATAAATATTAAAATATGAAAATTCAAGCATCTCAAGGCAGACGATCCAAAGAAACACAATCCATATGCTTCGATACTTCTGGGTACCTGGCCAAGTACTCCTCGCAGCAGCACAAACGACGTACCTCTCTGGTATTTCGATGGCACCTCGTGCACCCAACCACGCTAAACCCGATCGGGTACGCTAAGAGTGACACGGCATTCATCGACTTTCGCCAGGACACTCCGTACTCCTTGGAGTTCCTCGTCCTGATCTTATCCTTAGCCTCCCATTTCTATCTCGGACCCATATCCGTGTTCTCGGGCTTCCCCTGTCCGTCAATTCACAGTCCGGCTGTTCCGATCCGCTGGCACTTGCACGTCTCCCCTAGAAAGCGCCACCATCCCTCCCGGACCCCGACTATGGCTCAATGAGCCACACCAGACACAAGACGAGTGATGATTGAGGATCGGTTCGGACATTACAAGGGAACTTAATCCTGAAGCGGGTTCTTCAGTCTGTTCTTCCACTTATCCTCATCCTTGCGCTCTCTTCATCGTCCCCGATCGGGAGAGAGTGAACGTCGGTTGGCAACATTCACGAAAATGTCCCCCAACTTCGAGAAGTCAGTCAAGGGGGCTACTAAGCTCAAGGTCAGTTCGGCGGCACACATGATTCATTGCGACGATAGCCCTTTTACTAACCCCGTGGGGTAAACAGTTGGCGGCCCCTAAATCCAAGTATATCGAACACATCCTAGTATCGACTCATGCAGGGGAGGCCGGTGTCGCAGAGGTGTTTAGGACTCTTCAACTTAGACTTCGCGACTCGGCATGGACCATTGTCTTCAAAGCACTCATTGTGGTGCATCTCCTAATACGCGAGGGCCAGCTAGACGCCGCGCTAGGCTATCTTTCAGACAACCCCAAGAAAATTGCGCCCAGCAACTTCTCTGATGGTAAGAAAAGAGTCCGATTTGTGAATGCGGTTAGCTGACAGCCCATGCAGCGCAGCCGCAGGGGCGAAACATCCGACGCTACGGCGAATATCTCATTACGCGCGCCCGCGCATTCGAAGCCACGAGGATCGACCATGTCCGAAGCGGACCGGGGCGATTGAAGCGGTTGGGTGTGGATAAAGGGCTTTTGAGAGAGACGGAGATTGTACAGAAGCAGATCCGTGCGCTGCTGCGGTGTGATGTGGGTGACTTTTGCGTGTCCCCATCGATCTTCAGTGACTGACAGCCTGAACAGCTGTTGTCGGATGAGCCCGAGAATGAAGTCAGCTTGACCGCATTTCGCCTGCTCACGCTCGATGTTTTGACCTTGTATTCGGTCATGAATGAGGGCACAATCAATGTTTTGGGTAAGTCTGCAGCTCCACGTAGCTCTTTGTCCACGGGTGCTAATTGGGCGCGCATACAGAGCATTATTTCGAAATGTCCAGACCGGATAGCATACGCGCCCTGTCGATATACAAAACCTTCACGAAACAAACGGAAGAAGTGGTACAGTTTCTGGGAGTTGCAAGACATTTCCAGTCCGCAACCCGCTTGGAAATCCCGAAACTCAAGCACGCCTCCACTGATCTGGCACGTCTCCTCGAAGATGATCTCAACGACCCCGACTTCGACCTCCGACGACGAGAATACTTGGCTCAGAAAGGAGTGAAGCGAAGTGAACCTGATCCGCCGTCTGCCGAGACCCCTACTACCCGTGATATTTTCAAACCCGCGGCGAACCCACCCAAGCAGCCTGAACAGCAAAAGCCACCCCCTGCCGACTTGATTGATTTCTTCGACTCGATCGAGCAGAATCAACAGCCGATGGCACAACCGGCTCCCGTGCAATATCAACAAACGGGCTTCCAACAACAACCGCAGCAAGCGTTTTATCCCCAGCAGACTGGCTTCCAACAACCCCAACAAACTGGGTTTCAACAGCCACAGCAGGTTGGCTTCCAGCAGCCTCAGCAGACTGGATTACAGCCCCAAGCGACGGGATACGGCCAGCCGGCCCCGTATGGAGGAGCTTACGCGCAACAAGATCCCACTAATCCATTCGGGCAGCCGCCCGCACCACAACCGCTCCAAGCCACGCCAACCGGGGCCGGGTTTGGTGGATACACAGCGCAGCCCCAGTCATATGGGTTCCAATCGTCTCTGGCACCCATCCCGCAGAACGGAGTGGCCTCGTTCCCTCATCAGCAACAACCAATGCAGAACCAGCCACCGCAAACGCCGACCAACCCGTTCCGGCAATCGATGATGCCTAATACTCCCACCGGGGTTCCGGCGGCTCCTCTTACTCGGCAGAACACGAATCCGTTCGCCAAGCGCCTGTCCACGGCGACTCCGCAGTTCAGTTCCGGATCTTCTGAGCAATTCCCGGCTGCCCTGCCTGCACAAGTGCAGGCCCCGCCACCACAGCCGCTCCAAGCTCAACGAACAGGAACCAACCCCTTTGCACGGAGCTCTCCCGCTCCCCAGCAGCCGGGCCTTGCTCCTCTTCACCCTAATCCGACTGGCAGCACGAATCCCTTCCGGCAGAGTGCTTTTATCAATCAACAAACCGGACAGGGCTGGCAAGCCAGCGGGCAACACGGTACGATGGGTGGATTAGAACAGATGGATACCGTTCCGATCTTCCCACGACCAGGCATGACCTAAACTTGTATCCACGCAGTCTCGCAATGGGACCGGTGCCCTGTGATTAGATTATTCATTTTCTTTCTGAATATCCTCTTGTGTTTGGATTCCGCTTTTCCAGCGTTCTTATCGCTGTCTTTATACATTAAATATAGTAGTCAGTCGATCATGGAAGAGACGTGACCAGCCGAAATATTCTTCATCTACTCGGCAGTCACTCAGTGGCTGGCATTGGCGACGATTCCCAGCTCGCAACGCCCCAGGCCGTTGGGGGGCTTTCTTCAGACTCATGTATGGGGCCAAAACTGAAAATAATACACGCCTCTCCCAAGATCTGCAGGACGTTGTGCAGATAGAAAAAAAGACTGGTCTGTCGAGTATATGTACTTGTAGTACCGAGATTTGGGTTGATTTTCTAAATAACTCGGGATATGAAGATCTATAACGAGGTGTCTGTAGATCTTCCACCCCGGAATCGATTTCAGGACTCAAGCAAGATCGACAGCAGCGCCGTTGTCTTTGGATTTGTACTTGAGCCTTGGCCTGCATGCAATCGCCTTAACCCCCCTGGATCCACTCGCACTGAGGCGAGTTGGGCGCAATTACAATAAGCGAGTTATGAGAAGGTAGTACTTCACAACCGGAAGGATCTGGAGTTGGTGGGTCCCTTTGAAGAACCGACGTTAAGGCAAAGAGACTCCCCGTCGACATTGAGGTGCGAACAGACCCGAGGTTCGGGCTATTTGGTAGGGTTTGTAGGGTTCGTGGCTCTTCACCTTGGATTGCATTAGAGGACTGAGCCAACTCTGCAGGAAGTCGAATTCATTCCGGGCGCAGCCTCACAAGCCGCTAGTGAGCCAGCGGGGCCCTGCAATAGACCTGAAGAAACCAATTTCCTTGCGGGCTTGGGTGACCATTCCTTTTCCCCCGATAGCAGACGCGATTTTTCTTTTCTCACTTTGTTCCTTCTCCCCCGACTTCGCGTTCTTTAGTTCTGGTCCTTTGAGCCCCCGTGCCGAGTTCATGTCCAGATAACCTCGCAGGTTTGCGATGGACGCCAAGGATCGTCTCCCGTCTAATGAACAGACCCTCCCGGTCTTGTCTCGGTCTGCATGGCCAGTGACTGATCCCATCCTCCAAGGACACTACGCTGTACCTGCTCAGGCCTCAGAAGTCCTCACAAAAGCCGAGATTACATCCGGCACAACCCCTCAGCCCTCCCAACCTTCTCAGCCTACAAGCGCCGGCCGCAATGCCCCGTCCAAAGTCCGCAAGCCCCGCAAGACCAACAATGCATCGGCCGGGAAGTCGACCCTGTTCTGGGTCCATAGCGACCAGAAGTCGGCCGCAGAGGGCACCAAAGAAGAAACCCTGAAGCGCATTCGGTCCCATGTGATGTCGGAACACAATCGGAAGAAGAGACGCGACAATACAAAACGATACAAGCATCAGACCTGGCAGCAACCAGACTCGCAGCCCCCAGTGAAGACCGCGGGCTCTGCTCTCCCACCGGCCACCTCGTCCAGCAGTCACCAGAGTCCCGCGATTGAAAATGTGCCCATCAAACAAGAGTTTGTGTCAACCTCAGCGGTGGACTACCCGGTCGCACCGGGGCCGACCTGGGGTGGAAGCGACTTCTATGGCACTGTGGCCTATCCCGCCAAATCGTCCCCGTCTGCATGGTCCTACGTGGGGCAAGGAGCCGGCGATCCTTTCAATACTGGGCATACTCAGCTGACGGAACGAATGATGCGGCACCTACATAGCTGTAAGTGCTGGTTGTTGAAGTTTAATTCTTATGCATTATGGTTGCTAACCCAATGGCTAGTCCTCTGGGACTTGACCCAGCAAGCGCATCCGTTGCAGACGCGATATAATCCTAAATTGCAGGCCCATTGGAGCTCCTTGGTTCAACGGGACCCGGCCATCCTGCACGCTGCGATTTGTATGGTTACGTCCAATGCCGCCATGCGCGCGGGCGAGCTGCCTGTCACGGACCCGACGAAGCAACGGAGTGTGCTGGTGCTTGACACTTTCCACCACCGGGGGAGACTATTCGGCTGGTCAACGAATGTCTGTCCGACCCGGTCAAAGCTTCCAGCGATGCATTGATTGCAGCAGTTTCCACATTATTGACAATCGAGGTGGGTCTTTTTCTAATGTCTAGAATAAGGCCAATTCAACTAATTGAGGCAGATTGCGTCGGGCAACCCCGATTATCTCAAAATTCACCTGGCAGGGTTGCGGCAGATGATCGCCCTCCGCAACAGTTTCGCCGATGTCCCTTCAGATGTCCGCTTCCAAATCTCATGGTAAGTGGCCATCTTCTTCTGACCCAGCAAGATGCAATACCGACCCACCTTCACTTAGGACCGACATCCGGGTTGCATGCATGGCGCACGCCAAACCCATTTTCCCCTTCGTCCGCGACGTCCGACCAGCGGGACTCTCACTCCTCCCACCCAACGACGACGTAGCCCTCCTCGCAACGCGCATGTTCCCATTCATCAAGATCCCCGGCATTTTCGGCGCCGCCATGTCGCAACTCATCTACGACCTCCTCGAGCTCACATGGTACGCCGAGTGGATCAAGGGCAACACGGGGCACCAGCAATTCAACGAGGACACCGAGGAGTACTTCAACACGGAGGTGCTGTATGTCGAGTACTCGCTGCACATGGACCGGTACACGGCCACGGGCCAGGTCAAGGGCGACGCCTCCATCGAGGGCTGCTGCCGCCTCGCGTGTCTGCTGTTCCACAACTCTGCGATCTGGAACTTCTACCCGCAGATTGCCCCGCTGTTGCCCAAGCCTATCCTCGCCCTGCGCGCTGCCCTCGAGATGACCATTCCGTCTGGTCTGTTTGCTCTCTGTCGCGACTTGCTGATCTGGTTGCTCTTTGTTGGTGCTGCCTGCAGCGCGGCTTTGCCTCAGGAGCGCGCGTTTTTCGTTGCCGAATTGGCTGCGGCTGCCCGTCTTCAGGGTGTTGGCTCGTGGCAGGAGACTCGGACTATCCTCATGGGATTCTTCTATGTCGACCGTGTGCACTTGCCTATGATTCGCCAGATTTGGAAGGAGGTGCAGTTGCAATTGGACCCACCGGTTTAGATGATACAGCTTCCTTTTCCTCTCTCTTTCTCTCTCTTCTTCTTCCTTTCCTTTTTTTGGCCTTTGGTCATATCCACACGAGTTTTAATGTATATACGAATGTTGATGCCGCAGCTACCTGAGGTGCATCGCCCTTGGAAAGTCATGATATAACGCCCTGCTGGAAGAGTGTCGATCTCACTCCTGCTGAGATTCCAAAGAGAAAGAAGATACTCCGATTATTATGAATATTAGGTGAATCGACGTAAGTAGTTGTGCATGTGTAAATAAATAGAATGAATAGAGTGGACTGCCGGTAGTCTGCCCCAAATGAAAATGGCAGATGAAATCTATACATGGGTGAAATCAAACAAGAACACATCGCCATCTATCCCCAGATGCTCACGCAAAGACAGATCTCGATTATAATTTAGACTCGGTAGCTTGAGCTTCCTGTCTTGCAGCATTTTCCCTCAATGCAGCGGCGAATCTCCACTGCACCAGAGGACCAACCAGGGAAAGCAGTTGCACAGCAACACAAATAGTAAAGATGAGCCCCACGCCAACGGCATCGATCAGAGGCACGACAAAACTAGTGTTCCCGGCAGCAAACAAGCAGCGGGCGAGGTTAAAACTGGCACTGGCGCCGGCACTCTTCTCATGGAAGATATCCACCAGATAGGTCATCATGACCGATTGCATGGACACGGCTGCCCACCCGGTCAGGAATGTTGATACAACGGGGACGGCGAGGTATATCAAGAAAACATTTGTTTTCCTTGCTTCATCCCTCAATAAAAATGGCATCCGCATACCCAAACTTCGGGCCACTCTACGCAATCCTCCATTTGGATTGGGGGTCTGCCCTGATAGGCGCCGTCCAAGAGACTCCAGAAGAACAAGCCCTGATCACAAACTACACGCGCTGGAACAACGCGGTTCACCAGAAGATCCCTCGTCCAGTGACTATCTTCACCACGCTCGCCTTCAGTCAGGGACAACCCGAGGTGAAGACCAACACGCCATTCGCTAACCTCATCGCACCCTTCGGCGCCTTCGAGACTGGCACCCCCGAGGTGCAGATCGACAGTCGGTTCACGCTAGATGAGAAGGATCTAGTATTTCCTAAGAAGAGATGGTCCGCAACCACGGGCAATGCGCTGGAGCACACCTTGAAGTCACAGAAGATCAACACAGTGGTGATTGTGAGTGATCTCGAGCGTGTTTGATATCCCTGTCACGGGGGATAAGGCCAACTCTTTGCATGGCAGTCCAGATTGAGCTTTTCTGGAGTCGTCATGAGCACCATTCGGTCGGTTGTTTGACTTGGATTACCGTATTTATGTGATTGCTGATAACGTGCTGGACTTGCCGGTGCACCAGAATGCCGAGTTCAAGAAGGTCATAATCGACAGTCTGCTGCCCAAGATGAACCTCGACGTCATTTCCCTTGAGGAGGCCCTTCAAGCCCTGGAGCAAAGCGCTTAGCATCGCTATTGGCCTGGTCACCCCGGCGGCACCATGTCTCCACAGGGTCGTTGTATAGAGAGCAGAATATAATTGAGGTAACCCAGCAGAATCGAATACAAGAGTTATCCTCCATGTGTGCAGCTCACCACTGCATAGAGCACAGTTCCAAACTCATCAATACCCTCCAGCCATTGATCAACTCTGTTGCGTCTCTTTGCGATGCCGAATTCATCCAAATCCGCAGGAATCGGCTAGGTCGGTTATCTCTTTCGAGGATAGACCCATTTTACTCTGTAATGTATGACGCCGTTCTCATTCTGGTGGGTATCAACCAACTTTGGAAGCAACCTTACCTTAAATGCCTCATATACTCAGAGTTACTTACATCTACTCTAAGCCCAGTGGCAAACTAAACAAGGGAAAAATAGATAACTAAAGCACCAAGAATATTAAATCATGTCTATAAGCCGGAAAGTTCATTTTCATCTATCCATACAATATCCATCCACCATCCACCTCGGCAACTCCTCTTCCTTTTGTTCCATTTTTGAGATAATGATAAGAACGTGCAATCCGTAAACAACGCATACTATAGATCCATGTCATTATAAAGACCGAGCTATCTCCGTTATATACGTGATCTATGATAGGGCTATGGGGGAAGAGGGAGTTGCCGAGCGAGCACCGAGTTTGAGCCGGATGAAGGTCGGATGTATCTCGGCGTTGTAGAAGTATTCTTTTCAACTTTTGATATTATGCTTCCCTGTCAAGAATACTTTTTCTTTCCTTCTTTTTTTGCTCAATCTATTTATTCACGTTCTTTGTCCCCATCTCATATTCAATTCATCCCATTGACGAGCGAGGACAAGCGCCAGAACGAGAACAACGTCCGATTGATCGAGGGTTTCGTTTTATAACGATGAAGTTAAGACTCGATTTAACTGCTTTCTTTCTACGAGGCCTTTTCCCTCCTTTTCCTCTTCTTCTTCTTCGGACTTGACCACAGAATTCACTGCTCGTCTAAAAAACTCACGTTCGTTTCCTATGACGAATACTCGGTGCTTGGCTCGACGGGTGTATAAGACTCGGACAGGACCCTGATCGACGCGGACACGGGGTGACACTCTATACCTGGTCTTCCTGCCTGCGGGTATATATCTACCTATGAGGGGCTAAGGTATGGTACCGAGGTATCTACCTAGACAGCACTCATTCTTACACTCACTTTGTTCATGTTTACAGCAGGATCTCTTTCTATACTTCAGTCCATTCAAGATTTTGTCAGCGACAGCACTGGGCCCGAGAATAACCACGTCCACTCTAGATGACTTAAGAAGACACCTCTGCCTTTCCCCTGTCTCTCTGAACTGCGGAACACCACCATCAACAGACAAGGACATGTCCCGAGTGCAGTCCCTATTCAACATGACAACATACAAACTACAACCACAACAGCAAAGAAAAGGTATGAGTGCATTCAAAACATGATTTTCATTATCATGTCAATGGATCTGAGCGTCAACATAAACAGACGGCAAGGAAATTAAATACAAGGAAAAGCCATACATGAGGGGAACCAAAGGACCACAAGACAAGATATAACTTGCATCCCTCCCCTCTCATTACACACGCCCACAATGCCACTAATAGTGGACAGTGGACGATCATGGGTTTGAAGCAGCATCTTACCGAGAAAGAGAGAGACAGGTTGACCATCTCACTCCCCAGATGACAGCAGCAACAAGAGCTACAAACCCCAAAAAAATACCGCATCCCTCGAACCCCAAGACTTTCGATTGTCCTCATTGTCGACGACACTCTTTCGATGTTGACGCCTGACCCAACAAAAACACACCAAAAACCCCGACCTCAAAAGAACAAAAACGACTTGGGATTGCAGCAATGGTACAACAATTGGGTATCAGAAAACATTACCAGCGCATTTATATACGCATCTCCATTCTTCACATTCATCCATAGGCGTTTCTTTTTTCGTCAAAACGAAATTACGCCTCCTCCCGGTCGGTCTTGGCCCGGCGGGTGCGGCCAGTGGGCGACCACGGGAAGTGGATGACAGGGAAGATGAAGAAGCTGTTGCTGGTGTCGGCGATACCGGCCAGGGCGTTGTACCAGGCAGCAAAGGCAGCCAGCAGACCAAACAGACCACCGGCCTTTTGGACCTTGGTGTTGGGCATGCCGGACGGGTCCCGCTGGATATAGGCAATGCCGAGCAGCAGGAAGGTCAGGTCGAGGAAGAAGAACAGCAAGAAGAAGGCGACGGTGGACTTCAGGGTGCAGAAGAGCATGATGGTGGTGAAGATGAACCATCCCTGGTTCGGGGAAAAAATGGTTAGCTTGGGGATATTGCTGACTCGACATGCGGTGGCAGACTTACCAGCAGGAACAGACCCATTGAGTTATAAAAGTCAGGACCGGCGCCTCCGAGCTCCTTCTCGATTTCGAATCCACCGGGGGTCAAGACGATGGCGAACGCGAGCCAGAAGCCACCGTACGAGGACAACGCAGTGGCACCAAAGGTGTTACCAACGGCCATTTCCCTGAAAAGCTGTTAGCTCCAACACCAGATTGACACGAAGGATTATTTCATGGCATACCACATGCCGGCTAGCAACTGCACCAGACCACCATATCCAAAGGCCAGACCGACGACGATGTTGGGCGCAGTCAAGTCCCGGGCCCCCATGTTGATGGCGCTCAGCACGAAAGTGGTGAGGGCGAAAGCGCATAGGCCAAGAGGAGCGGGATTGCCAAACTTGCGACCTTCCACCGGCTTGTACAGACCGGGCTGGAATTCACCACCGAAGGGAGGCAGACGTGCCTCGGCCGTGTTGACCTGGGCCAGAGGGCCGTATCCGAAGCGCGCGGCGGCTCTGGCGACCTGGTGCTCCTCGGCAGACATCTGGGGGTGCATGGGGGACCCACTGCCGTTAGAATGCTGGGGCACCGGACCAATGTCCTTTTCGAGGGCCCCATTGTTGGTGGTTTCAGCAGCCATTGTGAAGGATCGCGGGGATCAAGTCTCGCAAAATGTTTCTGAGATTATGTTAAAAAAGGAAAGAAAGAAAGAACAAGGCCAAGGTACTAAAAAAGAATAACAAAGGGGGTATTCAAGCTGAACACAATCCAGGAAACCCCAATGGAACCAAGTCTTATAACACAGTTATAAAAGACAAGATCTGATCCAAAACAGCCAAACAGCACCGCGGGGCAGAGACGAAGATGAAGACGAGAGGGGAGGCGCAACCGAAGCTATTATAGCTTGACGCGAGCACGGGCTGAAGGAGCGCTAAAAAACCAGTTCGGGGCCAAGCACCGCACAACGAACCGCTCCAAATTTTGGAGTGTTTTCTGGAGGACGAAAGGAAGAGCGAGTGGAGTTGGACACAAAAAACTTACTCGGCTGTTCGTTGCTCGAAGCTCCCTGGTTTTCTAAAGCGCAAAGATGTGCAATAGTCCGTTCCCACACTAACGGAGGTTAATTGGCAGGTTACTGGAAAAAAAGAAAAAAGAAAAGTGGACTCGACAGCGACAAAAAAAGAAAAGAAAAGAAAAGGATGAACAAGACTCCAGAATGGATCCTTATGAATCCTTGCCTGCGTCCTAGGGGGCGTTGACCCAGTAGTGGGTTGCGCTGTCACCCGATTCTTTTTTTTTTTTTTTTTCTTTTCTTTTCTTTTCTTTTCTTTTCTTTTCCCCTAGCAACAGTCACACAGGAACTCTCCCCGGACTGGGGAAAGGCTCGAATGCCGAATCAGCCGTGGAGACGGCACAGCTCGGGCAAGGGGGAAAACCGTGGGTACTTGGCCCAGCTGGTCACGGAAGCAAGGATGAAGGGAAATCCTGTGGCAAAGAGGGAAAAAAAAGTGGAGAGAGAGAGGGATCCGGGAATAAGCATTGGCAGAGGGAAAAAAAAGAAGAATGAGATGAGCTCACTCGTTGCCAACCTGCCGTGTTCAGCATCGCCAGTCATGTCGATCCCATCGTGTTTCTCGGTGGAGCTTCTTTGGTTTTTTTTTTTTTTTCCTTATTTTCTGCTCCTCTCTGCGGTGGGTCTCTTAGCGGTGGTTCTTGTGCTGACAGAACAGCATTTCTTGTAATTGACTTGTTACCCCGGATCAAGGGAAGAGAGATATCTCGAACACTTGGGCATACTTCAGGGCTTTCAACCTAAGAGAACGCGATCGCCACTACTGCACAACATGTTCAACGATGGCCCCCAACCACATGTTTTTTTTTTTAACGTTTTAATAGTTTATGGAGCTCGATTCCTGCCGGGGGCCAACACGGAATACGCCATGAAGCTGTGGGGGATGCTTGTTGATCCATCCGACCTCGGAGTGTTCTGTCCTCGGTAGAGCCCGGAAGTCGACTGCGTCACGACCTCTGGTGTATTTGAATATTGGAGAATTACTGAGGACTTTCATATTTTCGCATCGATCGGCATGTTCTGCTCTGGTGAATTATGCAAAGAATGGCCATTTGAGGTTCCCCCCTTTTTTTTTTTTTTTTGAGGACGCGGCTGGCTTCCGCGTGGAGACCGAATCCCCGTTCCCATTCGACTGGAGGGAAATTGTCTCGAAATTATTCTCTGTTCGGATGTTGGCCAGATCCGCGCTAATTCCTTCTTATTCTCGCGGGAATAGCCCCCAAATAGCCCTCGACCTGGTCCGGGAGAACACGATCTACAGTAGGTACCAGTCGGAGGGTAAACACGCTCACGACACTCCAGCATGATCCATCCTCGATATGGGATATTATGTTACTATCACAAATAAAAAATTTGTGATAATTTGCTTTCAATTCAGACCATGCAGAGATTCCCCGTCTCGATTCAGACCGAGTCGGGTCAATTGATTAGCTTTTTTTTTTATGTTGTTCGAATGTCGATGTATCAACGGGTATAGTGGTGGCTACCTACTTCGCTGGAGGTACTGGTACATCATGCATGGACAGCAATAGCTCACCCCGCACAGAATACCCTCTCGGGGTCTAGAAGCCTGTAGTGCAATTCATACTTCCTGTAGGTACCTACTCCCTGGTCATCCCCGCAAGTGTTCAATCCAATAGTCAGCATATGTCGGGAAACAGTCCAGTTCGGGATAGTAGGATAGTATCTGCCAGGTGACCTGGCTCTGTCTCCTCGCTCAACCCAGTCGATCAAGAAGCTCTGATTGACGGGGTTTCATCCCCGTGCTCCTGCCCGCATGCGTGGCGCAGGCTACTGTCGGCTCACCTCGTGTGTACCCGAGGGCCTAGGGCTAGGGGTATGGAGTTGTTTACATTTTCCGTGTGGATGTAACCGGATAAGCAGAGCTTTGGACTTGCCAAGAGTTGTGCTCAATAATGGCGTTGATAGTTTGATTAGTCTAGGGCATCAGGCCGGGGTATACTCCGGTGTGACCCCAAGGAAAAAACTATTTAGAATGTGCGGCCCGTTGTGATACTCGAGAGCAAACATGCCCATGTGCTCGAGCTTGATATTAGATATTCAGAGACCCGTCTTGACATCCAGAGTCTGCTGTGTTCCTGTCGATGATGCATCCATGGATAGATGACTATGTAATTTTTGGCTTGGTCTTTTTCATTCATTCATTCATTCATTTTTTTTTTTACTCTCCAGACGATCGCTCAGTGATGGATACAATTACAGCATATCTCTTCCCTAACAAAGCAATAGAAAGGAATATCTCCATACTAACCAAGCTCCTGAGTCGACACGCCAACCCCAGACCCAGCGATGTGGCTCACCCGAACCCAAGTACCGCAAAGACCTTGCCACAGCTACAGATTCCCCACCCCAACTCCGTTCCCCCGAGATACACCTTCAGCGGGGGTAGCGATGTTCCCTACTCGATGGAGTATGGCATGCGGGGAGAAGAAGAACATAGCTCGCTCAGCCCTGCGCCGAGAGAGCGCGTGATGGGGGAACAAAAAGAAGAAAAGATCATAGCCCATGGCGTCATCTGTGATAGACCCTTTCAACCGTGCCGAGTTGGAGAGCTAATTTCGGTCCGGGAGAGAGATGGAGATGGAGCGACTGTCTGGCACATCCTGTACCGTGGATACGCGCTCCACATCTTCCTTCTTTTCCTTTTCTCCCTGACTCTCTCTCTCTCTCATCTGGCCAAACGCGATCGTCATGATCCGCCACTTGCGGTCAAACCAAGGATATCGTGGACCAGCTGTCAGGAAATCCTTCTTTCCAATAGTGCGATTTTTTCTTTTTCTAATGAACCCCCGCACTCGGCACGCAGCCGGACGGGTACGAAGGATTCTACCTACATGGAACTATCTCGATGCGGTCAAGTCTGTGGGTAGATCGACAAGACACATGAACATCGAACATCATTCATGAACACCATAGAAAAATACAACCACATACATACACTTTTTTTTTCTTTTTCCTCTCTTTGTCTTGCATAATTTCGGCTCGGCGGAGCGGAACCCCAGACAATTTCGGCCCATGCGGCTTTCTCCACAGTTGGTCCCCGGATGTGTCGGACTTGGGAGATGAGCGATGACATCGGATTGGCGGTGTATGCAGTGTGGATCGGCAACTGAGCCGATCTCCTTGCCACTTGAGGATGGATGCAGCCGGTGATCCCGTGTGCCTCACTCTGACCTTTCTTGGAATTGAGGGGTCAAGGAAATTCCTCAAAAGAGGTGCCCGGAAAAATAGCTCGGATGTAGAGCTGGCTTTTGTCCTTGGTGTGTCGCCCATCTATAGGTTTGGGGTTAGAATTCATGATATAGCAATAAAAAAAAATAAGAAGCTCTTATGGTGCAATTTGTCTTTGGATTCGATTAGATATGAGAAATACTTTATGGATTTTGAACTAATTACTCTTATACTATTGAGGTTAGTTATCGTAGTTCCTGCTTGGGAGTATTTCACCTATCATGTCTTGATACCCCCATAGCTCCCTGCTTTAGTAGTTTGACCTGTCTATATCGACCCTTTTATTTTCCTTTGCCTTTAATATGCTGGATCGGCCGGTCGAATATTCTAATTCCCGAGGTTGAATTCATCTGCTAAGGTGTGCTTTCCCCTTGCCTTCCCGACTGGCTTTATTGCCTGGGGTTGCAATCGCATATCAGCTTTAAGCTTAAGATAATTGACTAATCCTGGTTTCTGTCCAACGGTAATATGCTATAAATCCATGGATCCTGAGGCATAATACGGTCCTTAGTTGTGTAATGCAGTGAACTCTTGATCTAACAGGCTGTTAGAAAAGATTTTATAATATATGAATATGGCAGTGGAATATCGGACTTCGAGTTTCTTAGGGCCTACGTGATGGTTCTAACTATTCACTTGGGCAAGAATTCTCTAAGATGAACAGTCACACAAGGAGGGAGAGAGAGGGAGAATAAATAGAAAAATAGAAAACGAGTCTAACTTCTATAGATGCTATCATCAATACACTCTTCAACACAATGTGCCAACCCTATCTTTGCCCACGCGCCACGCAAATATGCAACCCAAGCTCTATAACAACTCCTCAATCAAGCCCCCACGTCTGCAGCCTTGAACTCAGGACTGAATTCATAGTCAATATACCCCCTGGGATTCTTAGGCAGATAAAAGAGCTCGCGCTGGTATGGCTCGAGCGGAACCCCAGCCTTGATTCGGAACGGCAAGTCCGGGTTGGAGATGAATCGGCGCCCAAAAGCAACGACAACATCGCGACCGGCATACCTGCCATCAACAGCAGCAGGCGCCGACTCAGCCGTGTATCCACCGGCAACAACAACCGGCCCGGCATCGCCATAAGCATCGAGGAAGAAATCCAGGCCGTCCGCCGTATCATCAGCGACCTCGACATTACCCGCGATACGGCCCTCAACAAGATGCACATACGCCAGCCGCAGCGGCGCCAGCTGGCGCGCCAGATACGCAAACTGCGGCTCCGGGTCGCGCATGCGCATGGCTTGGAAGGTACTCCACGGGCTAAACCGGATGGCCGTGCGGTCTGCGCCGACGGCATCGACCACAGCGCGCGTCGCCTCGATCGCGAACCGCGCCCGCTTCTCGACGCTGCCGCCCCAGCCGTCCGTCCGCGTGTTGCTGACGTCCTGGATGAACTGGTCGAGCAGGTATCCGTTGGCGGCGTGGATCTCGACGCCGTCGAAACCAGCCGCCACGGCATTGCGCGCCGCCTGTGCGTAGTCGGCGATCCAGGACTGGATCTCGGACTCACTCAGTGGCCGTGGTGTCGCGTTGTCTGCGGGTTCTGGGATCGCGCTGCTGGAGACTACGTCGAACCCGCCCTCGGCAGATAGAACCCCTGGGTTGGCGGTTCGGCCCAGCGCCCAGAGCTGCATGTAGATGTACGAGCCCTTGGCGTGCACGGCGTCTGTGATGTTCTTCCAGGCGGCGATCTGGGCCTCGCTGTAGATCCCCGGGACGTTGGGCGCGCCGCCGGCTTGCGGCGTGATGAAGGTGCCCTCTGTCACGAGGAGCGTGCCGGGTACTGATGCCCGCTGCGCGTAGTAGTCTTTGACGAACGGTAGCGGGACATGCTGGTCGTCGGCGCGGAAGCGTGTGAGCGGTGCCATTGCGATGCGGTTGGAGAGCTCCACGCGCCCGATCTGTAGCGGGGTGAAGAGTTTCGACATGGTGGATGTGACGAGAGTGGGAGACTGATGAAAATGGGATCAATTGGTTTGTAGATGCTTCAGAAGAGTGGTCTTGTTCAAATAAAAGTTGAATTTGAAGGATTGCGCCGATTCCATCATGCCATTCTTGCAGACTTTTTATATACTTCTGCACTCGGATTTGCATTTGCCCTTGATTTCCAAGCAATGCCGATCCACGCCGATTTCCAAGACTTCGGCATCGGCACCACCACACGAGTGCGGGTCTGGCAATGTACTATGATTTGCTGCACAAGTAGGTGGATATGGGTTTCGACACTTTGCCATGTTATTCCATCCAAAACTCTACAGTGCTGTAGTAATAGTCGCTGAATTCATATCCCATTCGCTCAACGCCTCCTTGGCCCAGCCACGGTTTATACACATAAAAAGAAAAACACTGCTCCTTGGTATCATCAATGCATACTGTAACCAAACAATAATCAATCATCGCTGCTCCAGACGGCGCGCAGTCGCTTCAAGTTGCGCGTTGAAGGCGCGGACTTGGTTCAGGAGCCCACCTTGCGCCCCCGGCGCCCGAGAGCTTACATCGGACATAGTACGTAGAAGAAACTCGACATTTGCGGGCGAGGAATCTGTAGGGGGTGGAGCACGGTGCTGGCGGTCGAGGGCAAGCTCCAGACTGTGAAGGGAGTTGTTGATAGTGGTGCGAGCCTAGCAGGGGGCAAAAGTGGTTAGTGAGCGCCTCACCAGCGACTAAAAGATATGAGAAGAAACGAGAAATAACTCACCGATTTGGCCCTCTCATCTTCCATATGCTTTGCTCGCACTGCGTCCATCTGCAAGGCCACGTTCTCTCGCTCCCGCCGGACTCGGTACAGATGGCTTCGCAGGTCCATCATTTCCCGCTTCGCCTTCTTCAATTGGACCCCAAGGACAAAGTTGCTGTCGAGCATCTCACTCAAGTCAAGCAGGCGACCTTCCAGCTCCGAGCCGAATGCCTCGACAGCCTTCCTCTTGCGCGACCATTCCGCGCGCCGCGTGGGATTCGTCTCGTTCGTAATCCCGTTCTTGAGTGTTGTCAAGGTCTTCTCCAGCGTCTCGCGACAAATCTGGCTTAGGACATCAGCTGGATTGACCCCGCCGCGGCTGGGCAACTTGGTCTTCTGGCGCGTCGAGAGCTCATCGGCCGAGTCTTCTTCTTCATCACCAGACCCGTCGGCAGGAGAGACCGTTCCACCCAAAGCAGTAGTATTGGCGAGACGATGCACGGTGACAGGGACGGTTTCCCCTCGAGGCTCTCTTATTTTTCGCCGAGGCGCATCTTGGGCAATTTCGGGTTCTGGTTGCGCTTCTGTTGCAGGTGCAGGCTCGGACGCCGTTGCACGTGTGGCTTTTTTTCCAGATGCGCAGCCTCGAGACTTCTTGAGGGCTGCTGCCACAGATTCCGCCTCTGGCTCTGGCTCTGGCTCTGGTTCAGCTTCGGGCTCGGGCTCCGGTTCGGGCTGGACCTCCGGCCGGTCGGTTCGCTTTCTTGACTTGGGCTTTCGGCTACGTTGTGCACCTGCCGAAGACGATTCGCCCACGGCTGGAGCTGGGTCAATTGAAACATCTGGACGCTCAGAAGCCTCAGCTGTGCCGGTGGTCTTCCCAGCAGTAGACGGTCTACCACGGGGTCGTTTGGTCTTTGATGACTGAGCCTGTTTCTTCGCAGGCTCGTTTTGAACTGTAGTTTCGGGTTCTGGTGCCACATCCTCTGCCAGCGACGGAGAGCGATGACCATTGACTTTGCGTCCCAGGCGACCACGAGGTTTCCTTATTTCCCGAGTAAGCTTCGAGGATGCCTCATTGCTCTTCTCCGCTGAATTAATAGAGCTACTAGGCTCGGGAGCAGCCCTGTTCGCCTCCACACCGTCATTAGTAGTCGGCACATAGCCGGCTTCAGGCTCATCGCCTGAACCGCCACGAATTTGTCGAGCGTTCCCTTTCGATTTAGCCCCTTTCTGCGAGGGTGGTGATGTAGACTTCGCTGAGGCTTTCGTCTGCTCCTTGGCCACCTTGGCTGACTTTCCGGCTTGAGGTGACCGGCTCCTTTGCCGCTTCGCGCGTGACTTTGTGGTGGTTTCTGGTTGTCCACTACCAATTTGTGTTTGATCCAGCGGGGCTTTGGATGACGACGGCAGCTCTTGCATATTTTCGCCCATTTCCGGCCCCGCAGACTCTGCCTCTGGTAATAGGGGTTGAGGCGCGTTGTCATCCCCGACTGCAATCCCTGAGGCCTCGCCATTGATCCTCGACTCACCCGCCTGTGGTAATTCGTCCGCTGGAATTTCTGGGAGGGGTGATGCCTGTGTCCGGGTTGGTTCGTTCACTGGCGTCGGTTGAGGTGCAGGTATATCTGTAGTTGAAACTTCTGGTGCCTGAGTTACTTGAGTCTCCGTTTCCTTTGCGACATCAGGTTCTTTGGGTATTGAGTTGCCATTGTCGCGTCGCAAAGGACTTCGGCGTGAAGAAGTATCCAAATTCCTGTCAGGAGGGCCTTCGGAATATTAGTATGCGCTTCCAAATCCCAGAGCATCGCGTCGTGCAACATACTGATTTTCCTCCTTTTGCTGCTCCGCGTCTGTTCAGGTCCATCGTCAGACGGTATATCGTAGGTCGAGGGTCTTTGAGGTAGGCCATTGCGCGCGCTTCCTGGCGTTCGCTGGGTTCCAATGCGATTTTGGGATGATTGCGACGGTTTCAACGATGGCGGCGTTGACGTGGTTGGTTGTGTTTGCGGAAGCACTTTCGCCTCAGGGATCGAGAGTTGCGGTTCGGGAGGCTCAATTCCTGGTGACCCGAACGAAAAGCCGAAATTCACCTCTTTGATTTTGCGCGTCCTGGACCACTGGTCAGCTTCTGTTATGGTTTCGCGGGGTATAGAGGCGCGTACCCAGCGCCGCGCTGGCGCATTTGCAGCCGCTCCTCTCGCGCTGTAAACCGTCAGCAATAGTACTTTCCCATATCAGCACAAATAAACACATACTGGAGGCCATTGTGGAGGGACGACGTCGAGAGAGACGCGTCGGGGTGATAGTTGAAACGAGGACGGTTGGAGCAAAGGCGATCGGGGACGATCCATTTTTGACCGACTCCGCGCTCTCTCCAAGGTCCACCCACTCGGCTTTTTTTTTTTCTCTTATTTAATCTTGTCTACACACAATTGCCAAATGGGGTGGTTTTGGGGTGACAGTAAAAATGATCCTGTCAAAAAGCTCGACCCGGGGCTCAGGGAGTACCTCGAGCAGGAGGCGCCCGACAAATATGTGCCTGCGACCGAAGTGAAGCCGACCTCGACATCATCACCCGAACCTCAAACCACCGAATCCGCGAAACCCAAGGTCCCTGCGGCCTCGCTCTACCCCGATGGCCGCTATGCTGACCTGTGGAAGACCTACAAAGCCCCAGTCGATGTCGATGAGCGTGCAGGTGTGCGCGGGGCCGAGCGGGTGATTGAGAAGTACAAGGAGCGCGGCGACACTGTACAGCGGGCGGCGATGGAGAACTGTGCCTTGGAGCATGAGGCCTTGACCTACTGCTTTCAGACAGGCAACTGGCGCAAGCAAGTCGAGGCACGGCTGACCATGTGCTCTGCGGAGAATGGTACTTTTTCACGATGCTTCCTCACCCAGAGCGTAAGTTCTGCTTGATTGTACTGAGGTATCTATCTAATTGCAATGCTGACACTCGAAATCTTTACAGAAATTCCTGCAAGCCCTCGGATATGCTTCTTCATTCAACTATGACACCGAGAAAGAGGAACAGATCCAGATGCATGCCGACAAGCTCTATCACCAGATGCTGGACTATGAAAAGCGAGTCGAGGATGCAAAGGCTGCTGGTGTCCAGCCACCTCCTCTCATGTCACTCTTCCAGCCAGAGAAGCAGTCACAGCCTCAAGCTAAACTGGACATCCCCGGAGGCGAGCCCATCCCTGCAGGCTTCAAGCCATCCAAGCCGCTGGAAAAGCTGACACCACACGAGCGAGAGCTGGAGATCCGGGCACACAATGCCCAGTTGGAACAACAAAAGCTTTATGTACAGGAGGCTGGCCCATTCATGAAAACCCAGGACAATGCGCGTTCCAAGAGAAGGGAGGTGGCTGTGAGCTGGTTTGGGGAGACCATTGGGAAGTGGCTGTCATAGATGACTCTGTAACAATTTGGCGACGGGGAGTTGGGAATTTTTCTGAATGTTCATATTGCTCAAGAATAACAATGTAGAATTAATTATCTCTCTATGCTATTCATTGTAAATGGGGGTTCCTTTGCTCCCCACAGGCCATTCCACGCGAGTGTGACTCGTGTGCCGGTCGCGTTACCGCGCAAACCACTCGAAGCATCATCGCGGAACCTCTTTTCTTCCCCCAAACTTGGTCCCTCGGCACTTCTTTTCTCTTATTTTACGTCTCTTTCCTGTCACCTTTCTTTTCTTCTCCCGTCACTTTCCCGTCACTTTCCCGCCTCTTCTATTTCGATTTCTGCTCGTCTCTCTCAATCTGACCCAGTCGAGACCATCCCGGCGCACGCCGACACATGAGCGGACACTCAACTGCCTCAAATCTGCTGGAATCTCTCTCCTTCGAAAACCTCTCATCTTTTCTTGAGCGTGGAGGGACTCAGAAAACAGCTCGCTGAGCTGTGGCGCTCACAATGAAGGCCACTCCGCTGCTCATCTCATGGCACAACGATAATGCCCCTATCTATTCGGTGCATTTTGACCCCAATGGCAAGGGCCGGCTTGCCACTGCTGGAAAGTAAGTGAGCCTGAGATTGGGAAGTGCTAGATATTTTACTGACTGCTTGTCTTACAGTGATAACAATGTCCGAGTATGGCCCTGTCCTCGTCCTTCCCCTATGAGTACCTCTTGATCTGACACCCGCTGCAGCTCTGGAAAGTCGAGTCGACTGGCGAAGAACGAAAGGTGACCTACCTGAGCACACTGGTGAAGCATACGCAGGCAGTCAATGTGGTCCGGTTCAGTCCGAAAGGTATGGTCTCCCATGCGCGCAACCCCGGCCGCGAAGTCTGACATCTGACACGGGGTATAGGTGAGATGCTGGCATCTGCCGGGGACGATGGCAATGTCTTGTTGTGGGTGCCGTCGGAGGTGCAAGGACAGACCGGCTTGGGTGAGGATCGATCGGACGACAAGGAAACCTGGCGGGTGAAGCACATGTGCCGCTCGTCTGGGGCTGAGATCTACGACCTGGCCTGGTCCCCTGATGGTGTGTTTATCATCACTGGAAGCATGGATAACATTGCCCGGATCTACAATGCTCAGACTGGTTGGTTTCCCCTTGTTTCATCGAGTGCCGGCACGGTGGCTAATACTGGAATCCAATCTCAGGCCAAATGGTGCGACAGATTGCCGAACACTCTCACTACGTCCAAGGCGTGGCCTGGGATCCGCTCAATGAATTCGTCGCGACGCAGTCGTCCGACCGATCAGTCCATATCTACAGCTTGAAGACCAAGGACGGCCAATTCACCCTGACACCGCATGGCAAGAACCTCAAGATGGACTTACCGACCAAACGGATCTCCTCCAGCAGCCCGGCTCCCGCAGACATTCCCAGCAAGCCACAGCACACCACCGGCAGTTCTATCGCGATCGCTTCGCCTGCTCCATCGACTCCAGGAACTCCAATGGCGTCAAACCTGCCCATGGACCCGCCTCCAGTCTCCCACAGCCGCCGCTCCTCCTTCGGGTCTTCTCCCTCCATCCGGCGCTCTGCATCGCCCGCTCCATCTCTGCCATTGCCGGCCGTCAAGCCGTTGGAGGTTTCGTCTCCCAGTCTTCTGGGGGGTCTCGGGGTCAAGAACGTCAGTATATATGCCAACGAAACATTTACGTCCTTCTTCCGACGACTGGCATTTGCTCCCGACGGGAGCTTGTTGTTCACCCCAGCCGGGCAGTACAAGACCAGTCATGTCTCCCCCACCGATTCATCGAAGACGACCGATGAAATCATCAACACGGTCTACGTCTATACTCGGGCCGGTTTCAACAAGCCACCCATCTCTCACCTTCCCGGTCATAAGAAGCCGTCTGTAGCGGTCAAGTGTTCCCCGGTGTTTTACTCGTTAAAGCAGGGCACCCAGCCGGTCAAGAACATCACGTTGGATACATCTTCCGGGGATGACATGTTCCCGCCGTTGCCCGATTCCGTGGTGTCTACAAACCCATCATCCACCAGCCAGCCAACGATGGAGCCCCCGACCTCAACGCCCTCGGCCGGTGAAGCATCAAAGCCCCAGTCGTCTCCGAAGCCGACCGATAATGGTGGCAACGACGCCAGCCAGAGTTCTACAGCCCCTGTCTTCGCGCTTCCCCACCGCATTGTATATGCGGTTGCCACTCAAGATGCTGTCTTCGTGTACGACACGCAGCAGCAGACTCCCCTTTGCGTTGTGAGCAATCTGCACTTTGCAACCTTCACGGACTTGACTTGGTAAGCTTTTTCTCTTTTATTGTTTCGAGTTGTCTCACTAATGCGTGGCAGGTCCCATGATGGCTTGACATTGATCATGAGTTCTTCTGATGGGTTTTGTTCTGCCCTCTCGTTTGCACCTGGGGAGTTGGGACAGCCACACACCGGGTCAGCCTCGGCAGCTCACAACCCCGTCGCATCAGGCACTTCATTGGTGAACATCACGCCTCTGCCGACCCCGACACACGCCCCGTCCCCCGTCAAAGCGAGTCATGCGCCATCAAGCAGTGGAGGATCCGCGGCACCTAGCACGTCCCAAGTGCCCCCGGCCAGTCCAGCCCGTTCTAATTCGGCCTGCTCGGTCGCAACCCAATCGTCTACGCAGCAAGCCACGACGAATGTAATCAACAACCCGACCCCAACGCTCGGATCTGTCCCCTTGGTCACGGCCACACACTCTGCCCAGCCCCAGCCCTCGACGCTTCCACTCACCACGCCGCCCCAAACCCCGATGTCGAGTGTCCCGCAAGGGGGAGCCCAAGCAACCAGCGGCAGCATCCTGGGGAAACGCGATGCACAAGCTGCTAGCGAGTCAGAAAAGGAGGAAGGCAAAGACGCGGAGTCCACGGCCCCGCCGCAGCAATCGAAAAAGCGTCGAATCGCCCCGACCCTCGTCTCAGCCGGCACCGATTCCACTTCATCGAACAAGGATGGCAGCCGTGGCGCCGATGCCGCGAATTAGCCATGACATTTCTCATCGCCAGGCTTGCGTCTGGGACCTCTATCCCTTTTCTTTCGAACTCTGTGCAGGGCAACGAGTACTAAGCGACCTCCGCCGACCAAGGAGTCTTACGATTCATGTTTCTTCTTCATACTGACCATCTTTCTTTTCTCTTACGTCGTGCTTTGTTTACTCTGGTTTTCTGCATCCTGCACTTGCGCTGGATTGTCGCATGGTCTTTTGTCTTTTTCTTCTCGGTCTGACCACAAGCGGGTCTCCAGTCAAGCCTTGATATTTTCTGCGCCTGCTCTGCTCCGATTGTTTTTTAGTTGTGCATAACGGATGTGGTATCTTTTTCTATTGTTTTTATCTGCTGGCGTGGCGCATTGATGTCCTCGATGGAACAATAGGTCCTGCGTTATTTTTTCTTCCTAATTTCTTATGATCGTCAAGTGGAAATCCCTTGTGGCGCTTGTTTTTTAGTCTTCGACTCATGTACCCATGTACTTGGGCTCGTAGCTACTCTTTAGAGGGTCCTGGGTAGGCATACCTGCGAGCGCCGTGAGAACTTGAAGTAAAAATGAAACATAAAGCCAGTTTAATTGATGGTGTGGTAGATAATACATGGGGATGTTTGGTACTTGGTTTTAGTAGAAATAAAATAAAAATAACCCCTTTTTTCGTGTCTTCTCGTGGGTCACGTTTCTATCATGGGATCAGGAGTTCTCATAAGAGAATCTCATAGGAATACAGAGGGAAAGAAGAGGTAGATTGTTCAACCCTCTGGATGCTCAGGCTCATTCTCAGACCCCGACAACATCCGTAGAACATCCAATAAAGAGCTATCAGGCGGCAAGACAGCCCGCGCCTCGGTGGCATGCGAGCCCACCGTGAGAGTCGCCATAGCCATCTCCAGCGCTGACCGAGACCGGTCCTGATGCATCTGGTGTCGAGAAGCAGCAGCCAAGGAATTCGCCCAGCGAAACAGCGCCTCGTCGCCTCGCGCACCGCCAGCAACAAACACAAAGTCCGGGGACGATGATGTCCCAGGCCAACGATCAAGCAATACAGCAGCGGCAGCAGCCTTGGACGCATGCAGCGGCTCGACGCTAACAGCCGCGATATCGCGCACAACGCGGATCGGCTCGCTGCCGCAGGCGCCGTTGATCTGGTCCGCCAGCTCGGAGGCCTGGCGCGCGGCGACGGCGCGGTCGACCGCGCCGTCGTAGTGGAAGGTTAGCGAGCAACGCCGCTCCTCGATGCGGCTGCCTTCGGTGCGCTCGGAGAAGTACTCCATCACCTTGCGGATTCCCGTGCGCCAGGTGCGCGCGTGCTCGACGTTCACGAGGGCTTCCCAGGCTTCCGGGTGCCCACTTGTCTGGATGAAACAGCCGTTCTCGGCGATGAGTCCGATTCCCTGTGGGAGGAGGTGCTTTGCTGTTTCCTGGAGCTGGTCTTGGCTGCGGTGGCTGGTGAGGTAGATTGTGTTTGCCGGGTTGTTTGCTAGGCCGTGGAGGGTGGCGATGGCTTCGTTGGAAGGGATGGATTCGTCTGCGCCGAGGAGGGCGCCGTCTTCGAGGAAGAATAGCCGTGTTTTGGCATTTTGGTATGACTCTTTCAGGGCTGGGAGGGATAGTGGTGACACCTGGTGCGTTTCGCGGGAGTGCTGCTGGTTGTGTGCTTTGGAGAGCGCGCTCTGCAAGGATGCGTGCCAGGCCAGCGCGGTGTAGGGGGGATTTGCGGGTCAGGAGGAATTGCCAGTTGCGCTGCTTTTGCTCTGGAGACATCCCGAGCGCGGTGTTGATGGCGTCGGCGCACTGCTTATAGTCCCATGGGTTGACCAGCAGCTCGTGGCCGTGGAAGATGGATGCACTGCCGACGAACTCGCTGAGGATCAGGGACCCGTGTCGCTGCGAGGCTAGCTCGCCGTCTTGACAGTGGATGAAGTCGTGGCTGGTGAGATTCATGCCCTCGCGGAGATTGGTGGCCATGAAGATATCGGCAACGCTCAGCAACGCGAGGAATTGGGAGTAGCTGATGTCCTGGCGAAGAAGGACTAGCGGTTGGTGTGTCAGGGTCGAGTAGATTGAATTGATCCTCATGGCGATCTTGGAAACTTGGGCTTCTAATTCTGGGATCTCTGATGCGGACGATGCCACTTGGACTAGGACCACCTGCATCATCATCGTCATCATAGGTCAGTGCTGCAACTAACATGCAGCTTATAAATATCTCTTATTGACTTACATTCTCTCTCCATTTGGGGTAGCTGTCCAGAAAAAGTTCGTAAGCCAGAAACTTTTGCTTGATTCCTCCTGGTGCGTCCAGTCGATCGCGGGCCACAATTAGATGTTTTCCTTGGTATCTTTCGCTGATATTGGTGATCCAGTTTTTGACCTCCACAGACCGGCGCAGCGCGTTGAGGGCCCTGTAGTCGACCCCCAGAGGAAACGGTTTGACATGAACAAACCGATCGTTGACCTGAACTCCATCGACCGAAACCTCGAGTCTCCGAAGCCGGCTGCATGTATGAAGAAAGTGATGACAGTACTCTTCTGTCTGGAAGCCCACAAGGTCTGCACCAAGAAGCCCATCCAGTAGGGACTCCCGTGAATTCAAGCAGCGGAACACCTCCGATGAGGGAAACGCAGCATGCATGAAGAACCCGATCTCTGCGCGCGGCAGTCTTTTCCTCAGTAGGGAGGGCAGGGCCAGGAGGTGGTAGTCATGAACCCAGATCCGGTCGTCGGGTCGCCAGTAGATGGCAATGGCGTTGGCAAACGCTTCGTTGACCTTGAGATATTGCTTCCAGGAATAATCGTCATACTCAGTATGACGCGGGCTCTCTTGCATCTGATAGTGGAGCGCAGGCCAGAGCACTGCGCGACAGAAATGGGCATAATGCCCTTCGAACTCGCTGTCATCCACGAACACGGTCAGGGATTCATACTGATCCTTGAGGGTCTCGGCGATGACCGTCTGGATCTGATCGGTCAAGGAGTCAGTCGGCATGCCGAGCGTGCCCACCCACATCTTGTCTGCAAGCATGCCCGCCTCCTCAGCAGCATAGATTGCATTCTGCAAGCCTCCATGGCCCTGCTCCGCAGCCTTGACCACCCAGTCCACGGCCGAAAGCAAGGCGCTGGGACTGCCCTGGCTCTCGGCATCTGGCCGACTCGGCGACCCCTCCCTCGTCAAATCCTGCTGCGAGTTCGGGCGACTCAAGATGGATGGTTCGGGATGCGTAGTCGCCTTTGACTGGGGTTGGTTGAACTTGCGGCTTTGGCCCCAGCAGACGGCCCGGGGCTCGCTGGGACCAGGTCCATTGGGGTCATCGGCAGATTGGATTTCTCCAGCGGACCGCGAGGCGTATGCTTTGAAGATTTTCTCGTCTTCCGTCGTCGCGCCGGGGGTCAACGACTGGCTGCCGGATCGCAGACGAGGCCGGTAGTGGGCGTCTGCCAGATTCTCTGCGGTGGGCTCGTCAACGGAATAGCTGACCGAGGACTTGCGGCGCCCATTTCTCGATTCTGTGTCCTTGAAGTCGATGGTGTAGGGGAGGAAACTGGGGTAGAGCAGGTCAGCTCCGTTGGTGCTCGGGAGAGGCCGGAACTTACAGAGAAGCGATGATGACTGTCATTGAGCTCGGGCTGTCGCAAGAAACTGGCGGTTAACGGCCGGAAGACATCATAGATGGGATTGAGGAAAGGAGAGCTGCAGACTGTGGTTGAGATGTGAAGACAGTCAGCTGAGGAGCACAAGGAAATCGACTTTGGCCGAGTATATCTCTCGCTGTTGGCTCACTTTGGGATATTTTCTCGCTTCAGGTCTTTGTATTTTTTCTGCACTTGCTAGTCGCTTTTCTTTGCAATTATTTTGTATTGCATCCCCAAGCTCCATGCCCCTTTGCGTGTATGGCATCGAAACTTCTTGGATCTCCTGTAGAGAAATAAATAAACATGACCAGTATGTTCTGGGGCTTGAGTCTGTAATGTCCAAGATATCCATCAGACCTCCAGATACACAGCTTGAAAAGTGTCGAGTCTACAATACGTCAGGGAGGGTGATGTCCATCAAATATATTTCCATAGCAGCAACTGAACAAACGGCAGCTACATGGAACGAACACCCAGGAATAACTACCATTTTGCAGTCTTGATTTTCAACAGAATCATTGCTTTCATGGTTCTCTAACCACTTACCATATTCGCAACTGTCTGATTTCATAGTTCGACAACACAACCTCCCATAAATGGGTAAGCAGGGCTTGCTGACATACCTAACAGCAGCAGTTTTTCGACACTTCGACTTTGAATATTTTTGCCATCGCTGACAAGGGAATCAGCATGCATAGACATGAGCATCCAACCAACCTGGACCAAAACCAAGTCGCACGCAACGCCCAGTGGAGCTTCTGTCAGATGAGTTTGACGGCAGCCCAAGCGTGTCATAGCAAAGAACGCGCAATAGTGGCTCTTCCACTGTCGGGCAGCTAACGCCATCGGGGCTCACAAGAGGAAAAATCGGTCCATCCCGACAGGTCCCCCCACACGCGTCACGGATATCATGTCCGCGTCGCCAGTCATTGCCTGTGAACAGGAATGAGGGTGTACACGGTGATAGAGAGCATCGCCAGTCTCAACGCCAGCTCCGCCGTTGTGCGTGTCTTCTTTGGCCCCCCCCCCATGACGCATGACGGCACGAACAGCACAACCGTTTCACGCATCTCCAGGCACGCAAGGGCGTCCCCACTTGAGCTGCAGCGAGCTCGGGCAGCATCGTCAACCAGTGGAACACGGATGCGTGGACCGAAGCGTGGCAGTTTTTTTTTTTTTTTTTTATGGGTGTGTGGTAAGGTGATCGTGGGGAATATTCAAATCGCTCGGCCGGTACGTCACACCCACCCCACGATGAGGCAAATAAACAAATAAGCATTATTATAGGGTTTCAAGATTAGTGGGAAGGGGATGCAGCGCACTCAAATGAGGTTAAACGCTGATGACGATGAGAGGAGCTTGGCACTTGGCAGCGCGCACGGATTCAAGCGGATTCGCGTCGTGGACTCTCTCGGCACGATCAGCCCTTTTTTTGATTTCTGGTCAGTTCTGATTTCCAGCCCCTGAGCCAGTGTTTCTGCGAGATGCCCCTTTCACTCGAGGTAATTCATCCAAGTCCACTTCGGTCCATGGAGAGAGTAGGAGGGTTCCTTGCATGCTGCATGTCGAGGATGGTCAGGTGAGCACACGCCGATCGTCAATTATTGGCCCCCAGAGCCAAAAGTTGGGATGTAACACACAACATATATACCTCGAGGTGTACACAGCCCTAAGGGGGGGCTGTGAAGTGTTCTCTGAGCCACAGCGGAGACTCAGGAACAGCTCTGAAACACGGACGTTGCCGAGTCAGAGAGCTTGGATATTAATTTGATGTAGTGTCATCAACGAGTAGATATAGGCAGATATCCATGGGATCCGTGCCTTGCTGCCTGGGAGACTTTTTTGCCTGGACTCTTGACGTTGGATCGAATCTCTCTTCCCATCCCCAAGTCTGCAATATCCTGAGACCACCGGTCTTGGCACAACCAGGTTGCATCAGCGATCGACAGGCACATCCACATACCACCCGAGATATTCTGGAGTGCGACTGTTCGAAGGTGAATGCCAAGCCCCCTGGGAGGACTCAGGCCACGATGTCAGCAGTCGCCTGAACGGGTTTAGCGCCGTGGAGACGCAGACTCTCATCGTGCTCGCCGCCAAGACGGACGCTTGCGCGTCTCCATTTCCTGATGATTCAGGGTCTTTCGTACGCAGCCGCGTAGACTATCCATGGATCTCTCTCTCTAGAGTTCATGGCGATGTATTTACCATTGACTCCTGACGGGTGTCCATGGGTCCATGGGTCCATGGTCTTGAGAGTAGAGACGCTCTGATCGGCTCGGGGGATTGATCATTGATGGGGAAGGTGTACGGGAGCCGCGTCAGACTGATAAGTGGTATGGTATACCTCGTATACTTGATATACGGCATACTTGGTATACCTGGTATACTTGAATGTACAGGTGGAATACCCGTGGACAATTGGACATATGTAGACCGATATTCACCATGACTTACCTGCTCATGGAGCAGTAATAGAGCAGTAATAGAGCAAGAAAAGAAGACAAGAATCAACACATAGGGCTTGCGTACGTGTCCCAAAAAATACATAAAAAAAGGGTCCTTTTTTCTTGGCCTTTCGGTTACGCACACGCGGCTTGGGCGCGAGGCCCGTGATTAGGGCGACAGAGGCTGACGACGCTCGTAATACACTGTATCCACCCTTCCCTCCTTCTCTTCAATCTTCCCTCTTCCTCGACCTCCCTTTTCTACTTTCCTCCTTTCACCTCTCCATCCCACCTCTGGTCTCTCCTTCGCCATTCCATCGAGTCAACCTGGAGTTGACTATCTGTGCAGTCTGCCGTGACCACTCCCTTCGACCATGGCGGACGGCAGACACCGGGCGGCGCAGCCGGCCAACACCTACGATGCCACCACCCTCACCACCGAATTCGAGCAGTTGATGCGCAACAAGCGCTTCAATCGACTCCAGGAACAATCGCGCTCGCGACCCGGCTCCCAGTCTCCCGTTTCGTCCATGTCGAGTCCGATGCCACCGCCCCCTTCGCGAGCGCCTCCACCACCGCCATCGTTCGGCGCTTCACCAACTCACCCATCCCCCCAGCCATCGACTCCTTCGCCCTCGCTGCGTGGGCTCCCCATCATGCCCTCACCTCCTCAGGACCCGGCTTCGCTCAAGTTCTACAATCTTCTCAAAGGATTGTCAGTCACCCCGACCAAGTACGAAAACCCGGGTCTTTTGGATGAGGCCTTGTGTCTTATCCCGCTCGATCGCTTGTATTCAGAGGCAGAGGAGGAGAGCCAGATCATGCAGGCCCAGGCTGCCAGTATCGGTGGCAAGCCGGAATGGGGCTACCAAGATTGTGTGATTCGGGCATTGCTAAGGTGTGTAGCGACTGATTCGCAGCGACTGGTTGACTCTGGCAGCGACTGACAGCTTCTCTTAGATGGTTTAAACGATCCTTCTTCCAATTCGTCAACAACCCCCCTTGCTCGAATTGCCACATGCCCACGATCGCACAAGGTATGACTCCTCCCACCCCCGACGAAACCGCGCGCGGTGCGTCTCGGGTCGAACTCTACCGCTGCGCCGAGGCGAGCTGTGGTGCCTACGAGAGATTCCCCCGGTACTCGGATGTTTGGCAATTGCTGCAGTCCCGACGAGGCCGTGTAGGCGAGTGGGCCAACTGCTTCAGCATGTTTTGCCGTGCGGTCGGGGCCCGGGTCCGTTGGGTATGGAACTCCGAGGACCACGTGTGGACGGAGGTGTATTCGGAGCACCAGCGTCGATGGGTGCACGTCGATGCCTGTGAGGAAGCATGGGATCAACCTCGCCTTTACACCGAAGGTTTGTCATTTGCTCATCATGTCTCGTTTGACCATACTAACCCCTTTGCTAGGATGGCGCCGCAAGCTCTCATACTGCATCGCCTTCTCCATCGACGGAGCGACCGATGTCACTCGCCGTTACGTTCGCAGCTTCGGCAAACACGGAACCCCGCGTACTCGAGCCCCCGAAGAGGTTGTCCTGTGGTCCATCCACGAAATCCGACGCAAGCGCCGTGAAAACATGTCGAAGACGGATCAGCGCCGCCTGATCAAGGAAGACGAGCGCGAAGAGAAGGAGCTTCGCGGATACATGGCATCTGCTCTTGCCGCGGAGATCAACGGCCTGCTCCCGCGCAGTATGGTGGGCGGCCGAGCCGACGAGCAAAAGCATCCCGGTGGGCGCCAGGAGGTGGCTCGCGAGTGGGCCGGAGCTCAACAGCGAGGACCGGGCAACTCTGGCCCCGACCGGTCCGGCGGACGTTAATGGCCTCTGCTGGTTATATGGGCTCTTATTACTCGGGCTTCCGAGGGTACTCCCCCCTCGACCCTTTTGTCTATCGAACGCATGAGCGATTCCCGCCTTTCCCCCTCGTCAACCTATCTCTAGGGAATTGGCAGGGCGCCATCGCACTTGACGAATCTCCCGGGAGCATCGCGAACTCCAACCGCCGAGCAAGGCCGGTCCCATCGCGCCAGGTGACCCGCCCGTTCTTTGTGATGGGGATCATCGGGCACTTTCGCCGTCTTCACGACGCTAACGGCGCGACCCGACCGCCGACTTGGACAGTACTACCTGCGGATGGCCTTTGGCATCCAAAATGGCTAGTCATGTTGAGTCCACGATCGCCCCTTGTGATCAATTGATGATCACCAATTCCTCCGACTCGATCCTTCACGATCCTCTCTTGGAACCTTCCTTACACCTCAATTATTCTATTTTCTTTTTGATACCACACGTGGATCTCAGTGCCTTTCTTTAATCTGGGTACGGTGTTTGATTTTCGTATCATGGCATTAGCTTGGGCATGGTTTTTTGCAGGGCGCCCGTGGTGACGATTCTTTCATTCTCTTCTATTCTAATCATGCCCGACGGCATACATGTTGTACGAGACACGGTTGCAGCCATCTCATTTTCCTTTTCATGTCTCTGGCTCGAATGCCAGTTCGATCTTTGTGTTATCCATACATTTTCCTTGCCTCTTTACTTCCTCCAGACCACTTCAATACCACCTTTTCTCTTAATCATCTATTTTTGTCAACTTCCAAGGTTATCTGGGTATCTTTCCTCTTGTAATTCAGAACCATAAAATACTCGTTTGATTAGGATGTGCGATCTTCCCCGCGATGCCCATCTTTAGCGCCAGGCTATTCCAGCCCGGTGGAGCCGGCGCCCAGCCGGTTTTTTTTTTCCCTGGAGTCGACATCACACATACATAATCAGACATCAGAGGCTGTGCAGATGGAGGGGGATAGGTTATTGACATGGATTCGAGTTTTCCACTTTTCATTTCCTTGGACATTCACAATGATGTAGTATGTATAGCCATGTACATCCACACACACAACTCGTATAATCTCTGTATTCTATCTTGGTTTATAGGATGTAAATGAATCAATCAAGTGGGACCCTGGCCCAAGCTCGGGCCCCATTCCTGACTGTTATTTATAGCCGGGATCCTTGGGTCCCACGGTGGGTCCAGGGTCTCATTTGGACACGTCGGTTCGGGTTAGGGCTTGGGTATAGTGGCTCTGCGATTGCACCATTTCCAGCTCTATGATATTAGAGATATTTACTTGTGTATATGTCTAAGGTCTACTTTCTTCCTATATGATGAAGAGTATAGTTTAAAAATTTGGACGTGAAAATGAAATTAAGATTAAGATTAAGATTACATGGTCGAGTCGCGTAGTATGGACGAATACGTAGTGGGAACAATGCTCAATTTGACGTCAATATTGAGCCACCTCGACCTGGATTGTTGACCATTCTTCGGTTGATTATCCTACAATAACCTAGAATTGACTTTACTGGCTTTGTTTCTGTAGGTGTTCGCACGTGGGATCTCACCTGCAGCTCTACATTCCCGAGCTCAGTCTCGGGTGGATATGGTGGAGCTTTGCTTTTTTTTTTTCGAGCTACTGGTTCGTGCTTTGATTAGATGTTGAAACATCATCTATTCATATAGATCCCTTTGTGTATACAGTTGATGTATGATTTGAGAGTCGTCAGATGGAATTTAACAAAATAATTAAGAAGTCTAGTATAGCTCCAGTACCAGTAAGCCCTAACCCTTGGCAATTCCATTGCCACAGTCAAGGAAAAAGACCAGGCTGGAAACAAATGTACATGAAGAAACAAGAATGCATAAAATGTGTGTTCTAAGACATTCTATGAAGTCGATGAATTCGCCGCTGAGCTAGGGGCAAGATACTTGGTGTGGGTCCCTCTCCATCGGCAGAAGAATGAAGAATGATCTTCTTTTTTCGCCTTCTATGATCTTCGATGAGGTGATCGGAGAAGCTGTGGAATGCTTTGGTGCAACTCGTGGACTGAGGTGACTTTGACACGAATATCAGAAACAAAACATGTCCATCAACGGGGCTGGCGGTATCCAGGAGGAGCAAGGGCCGTTTCCTCGCTTGATTGCATTGCATTGCATTTTATACTGCATACTGTGAGGTCTAGATCTAACCCAAAAGTAAGTATCTCACTATTAAGAATCTTATTTCTGCGAGTATATGTAGACTCGATCATTGGAAGCCGTATATCGCTAAGATCATCATCATCACCATCATAGAGAGACCATCTTGTCATGTCAAATCACACCATCGAAATCCAACACTCAATCCCACGTCGACGCAAATCCTCTCCAACACGAGTTATCTCATGTCGATAATACGCCTGGCCCTGAAGCCGAAGCTCCCACGCAGCCGATGACGACGATGACCTGGCCCTCCGCCCACTACCCGTCTTAGTCTTATCATGCACAGGCAGACCACGCAACGGGTCCAGAAACACAGCCAGTTTTTCCACAGGCTCACTGAACCACGTACTCCCCAGAACCAGCACGAACGACCGCAGCGTCGGCAGCCGGGCTAGCGCGCGGCAGGTCTCGAGCCACTGTGCGCGGCCGGCGGACACATACACTGCGCGCACGGGGTCTTTGCTGGGAAGCCAGTGGCCTGGAAAGGACCAGCGCAGCTCGATGGCGCGGAGGGAGTCCCAGTGTTCTGTGGGGATGGTGGGGCGGAGGTAGGGTAGGGTCCAAGGGTTGCTGAATTCGAAGGTGTTGAGGGTGTAGAGGAGGTGGATGCTTTCGTGGTACCTATATTTAAAAGTGTGAATACACTGGGTTAGTTTCTATTCGGGAGCCAACCGTTCTTCAAGTATACTCAGGCTCTACCAGCATATAAAATAGGTATATCGAGTCAATATCAGGGACATGGCTTACATATGTCGACAGGCCATTGGAACACCCAGCAGTCTATCTTGCCGGCCGGCGCGGACTAAGTCGCCTTCTTTCACCGGCTGTGCAATGCCGCCGCCGTGGCAGATCTCGCAAAACGGCGCATCCTTTGACGACGCCGAAGTGCTCGCTGGGCACACCACATGTCCCAGTCGCTGTCCGCTCCGCTGGATAATATGTAGATGCAGCCCGCCCAGCGCAAACTCCCAGATCATCACTCGCAGCTCGGGCGAGAGGCGCGTCAGCAGTCGGCATTGCGACTGCGCTTGCGGGGCTGCGAGCGTGCGGCGGCGTGTGCGGGGGAGGGGAGGGGGTTTATTAGCTGGCAAGTGGTTAGTGAATGTCCATTGAAGAGAAGATACTCGGTTTTGATATCTTAAGATAATTGCCTCGATAGACACTCAGTGGATCTCAAGTATACCAAGTAGATGCTAGGTGGGAAGAGGCTTACTTTGGTATCGCTGGGCTAGCACATCCTCCCACGAAAACACGCCCTGTTTAATGCGCGCCATTATCCTGCGAAATTGCAGAGCTCGTGCTGTTTATATAGACAATATCACTTCTCGTATTTCCACGACTTGGACCTGCTGATCAAGCCATAGTCCCGCGTGTTGCAGTTCCATTCGATCCGAACGGTCAGGATACGAGCCCCGTTAAGAATCACGCAATGCCATGGTATTTGGTAAAGGAACCAAAGAGGAATCAAGTAAAAAAGACAAGAAAAAGAGTCGGTGAAGACGCATCTTTAAAAAAAGGGCCAAAAGTACGAGATAAGGACATTGCCCACAGCGTCGTCGGGTCCACTCGGGTTCTTTTTTTGGCTTCCTTTTGCTTATCTCTTTGACTCTCCCATGCTGCCCATCGATGCTGCCATCCTTTCATACTATGCTCTCTAAACCGCAACACGGCGACGGAAGTTGCTGACAGGGCTGCTGGCCGGGTTGTTGACCGGCGTGCCAACCGGGGTGTTCGTCGCAGGTACACGACTCGCAACTCCCGTAGCGCCGCCCACGGCCCCCAGAGTATTAGTCGGGCACGCGGGAACCTTAAGGCCCTGCGACAACATAGACAGCCCATCAGGCTGGAGACGGTCGACGTTCGACTCAGCTGGCAGCGTGCCGACATAGGCATTGAAGTTGTAAATGCCACAGACGCACGTATCGACAATATCCTTCAGACTCGTCCCCGAGAACACGGTCTGGTCGTCGCGCTTGACCGAGAATGTCTGCTTGCCGATGCCCATCGGCACCGAGGAGGCGTGGATGCCGGCCGGTGCCTTGAGGAGCTGCGGCTGCTGGCTGCCCGACTGCACGGTGATGGTCGCGGGGCTCTTTAGCAGCGACACGACAAACACCGCGTCCTGCATGGTGTCGGTGCCGTCGGGCGTGGTGTCGCCCGTGTTGCATTTGGCGTTTTTTGGTGTCGGCCGGTACCAATATACCAGCTTGTCTTCGGTGACATAGTGGTCTGCCGACGGCGCACCGGCCTTGTATGCTTTGATGAACGGCTTCGACATCTCTAGCCAGCCGGTGTGGGGCCTGTGCTCTATCAGTCAGCTTTTCTTTCTCTCTCTCTCTCTCTTCTTGGATCATCTCTGCTCGTCTGCCTGTTCTCGACTTACATGTCCATCACCCATTTGGAGGCGCCGTCATCGCTATGCGGCGACGAGAGCGGCCCGATGTAATGCGACTCGCCGTAGTCGTTCCAGGTGATGATTTCCACGAAGCGCGGGCTCAGGTCCAGGATATTGCGCCAGCGGTTGTACCAGAGCAGGTCGGATGGGAACACCCAGTTCTTGCTGTAGGACACCTCTTTGCCGAAATGCGTGGAGAACCAAGGAGAGACCGCTGAAGTTTGGTTTGGTTAGCATGGAATATAACTAATAACACACACACGGGAACCTGTTCCTGCCAAGGTACTCACGAGCAATATAGTCCTTCCCAGCTAGGGCATTGGTATAAGAATTGTCCCCCTCCGAGACAGAAACATTGTGGCCCGGCGTCGGGGCCTTGTTGCCCCCATTGTTATCCCAAGCCATCCAGTTCAGCGCGCCGTCGATATTACCGAAATCGCCCTGATCGGGATGAAAGTTCGGGGCGAAGAAGATGTCCGGGCCCGCCGTAGACTTGATGGTGCCCACGTCGACGCCGTCGCCCGCAAACGACGACACGAATGTCTTGCCCTCGACCTTGAGCTGCGAGGGTCGATTGGCGTACTGCTTGATTTTGTTGCCCACGTCGCTGCCCTGGCCGGGTTTGTACCAGTTGAAGTCAAAGGAAATAAATACCTTCATGGCATTGTTGGCTGCAGACTCGTACGCGTAGTTCAGCTGGGTGTCGGCGTAGGAGTCGGTTCCGATGTTCAGGGCAAATGCGTCGATGCCCACGGCTTTGGCACGCTTCATGTCGTCGTCATAGTCGCTGGCGCTCTGGCGGTTATTTACAACGCCCATCTAGATCCCAAGAAATGGAGTGTTAGTTGGGTTTGATATCCCCTCCCTCTCCCCTTAAAGAAGAGTTGATTATGCATACCATGAAATGGCAGAATACCAGTTTGTTGCCATTGCCGCTAGCAACAGGAGCCGATGCAACAGGAGCCGGTGCCGATGCAGTCGATGGGCCAGGCACAGACGGCGTGGACCAAACCCCTGAGGGCGAGCGGTTGGGGATGGCCGTGGTCAAGGGCAGCAGCAGCCCTACCAGGGCCCAACAGACGTATCTCTGCAACATGATCTAGAGAAAAGCAGGATGAGACATGGAAAGAGAGGAAAGTAGACCGAGTGTACTTACAAGAGATAAACAGCAAGAACGAGAATCAGCAAAACAAAACAGGAAATACCATGCGTGGTAGACCAGGAGAGGGCCAGACTTTGATATATGAAGAGGTCTGTTTTTTATTTGCTACATCCCACGCTTATGCGATCCTCTCAAGCCGATTTAAGCAGGCTCGCCCGCTTTATCTATAGGATTGTCGGCGATAAATTGTCTATTGGCGTTTCAGATAATCCTGATCGACTGACTCTCTTCGCTCTCTCTGTGTATGTCTTTCTGGGGGAATTATCATCCGGCTACACTATGGCAATGTCAGATGAAGATCACCGGGACTAAAACGCCACAGGATCTGGATGCCTGCCGATGGGGTCCCGACGGGCCCCTATCAAGTTGGAAAAAGCAAAGATGGGGATGGGACTTGTCCTCCCACATGAACAGTGGGAGTTTCTTTTCTTGCTGGTTTTTCTTTTTTGAAAAAAAAAAGAAAGTAAAGTAAAAAGAAGAAGAGAATGGGATAAGCAAAATCATAAATGGATTTATATTCTACTATAAACAAACAGAACAGGCTGTTGGGGTTTGATATGCTCAAAACAGCTGCAACATGACTCGAGTTCATCAACGCCTAACGCTAGTTCAGGAAGGGGGCTAAATTGCAGGATCGGGAGGTCCCTGATGATGCCGGTGGCTGTCAGAGATATTCGGCTGGATCCGAGTCTTGAGATATTCAGATTTGGTTTCTCTTTTTGGGAGTTGCCATAGTCACAAGGCTGAAAAATAATCTGTGTTGTTGTAGGAAAGTAAACAGGGGGATGTACGAGATGTACTAACCCCCCCCCGGACTTTTCCCCTAGTTAGAAGTACCACAAACGCACATCGGTTAATTAGGTGCCTAGCACTTAATGAGGGCGCAAACCTCGCAATCATTCCGGTCAATGCAAGACCCACTGCACAACGTGCAGCATCAACGGTGGGGGCGAGGAAGCCTTACAATGCATGCGCCTCCAAACCGTTTCTATTGGCATGTTTCACAGACCCGCTTCATCCGACTTGCCCCGGAGCAATAAGATATTCGAACGCATTCTAGGTTTTTAAGCATATTTTACTCTCTCATAGTTTAATATTAAACGGTGATGTTTGGTGCGCAGTTGTGCAAACAGGGACCGGCTATTACGTAGCCTTGTGATTACCTTAGAACCCTGTTGGCTGCTGCTCGAGGGTTGTCACATAGACCAAGGAAGACAGTCTGTGATATCTGCCGGGAATTAGCTGATACTAATTCGGGGAATTCTGGGACACTCGATTGATGGATGACTACCGGGGATACAACTGCTATCTTCACATGAAATGAAAAAGAGAATCAAATAAAAGATATAGATCCCTTTACAGAGTGCCTCATTAGTTGTTGAGGTTGTATCTCGGGAAGAGCGAAGAATAAAAGAGATGCATTGTCTTTATCAATGATTCTGGAATTGGTCTCATATCGTAAAAGCAAGCAAGGCAGCATCAGCCAGCAACTAGTAAAATGGTCTATAGCACAGCAAATGCCGAGACATAGCTGACAGAGCTATCCGCCACGTCCACTGCATCCGAGCTACGTTCGTATCGCAGGAAGTAGAAGAGACCCTCTTTGCCCGCCGGTCGACCCGCCACAACAGCCTCCAGGGCCGCCATGATCACGCCAATCGGATGACGTCCGCAGACCGTATTCCCTGTGCGTTCGATGGTGTCGAGAAAAGTCTGCGCAGATCCAGTGGTGATAGCCGCCATGGTAGCCATATCAAACGCCGAGATACTCTCGTGGATGGCTGGCTTGCGGCTTGAGATCCGGTCTCGTCGCTGGAGTACATGGCCCGCTGAGACCATATCAATGTTCTCGACAACATCGTCGGCATCAATCCACGGCTGCGGCAGCGCTGAACTCGACAAGGGGAGTTGGGGCCCTGGCGTGGGCGCCTGGGGCACATAGTACGTATAGCGGAAGCGAAGCCCCCAATGGCAAAAGTCCGAGCTGATAACGAAGGCATTGGACGGGTCAGCCAGGTACGGAGCCAAGATGGTTCCGAATGCCTGCTCTGTCGCGGCGGAGGTGCTGCCGACCATGATTGGGACCAGCGGCGGGTACTGCGCCGGCGAACGATCAGGGTACTGGCGCTGCAGGAGACGGTGGATGTATGGCAGATGCATCTCGATGCTGTGCTCGTCTTCGTCGATCGACCGTGTCATCGTTGTAAAGTTAATACTCGACCCATTGGGTTTGGTGGCCTTGGTCCCCAGGAGCTGGGCGATGAGCTCGGTGTCGAGTGGGAGAGGGTCGTCGGAAAGAGGGGTATAGTAAGAGGTCACTTGGGGCAGGGCCAGCGTCGACAATGGATGATGGTGCGATGGACCCAGTACAAAGATGCGCTTCCTATTCTGTGGTATTAGAGAGACTGCTTGTATGACCATGACCCGCAATATCAACTTACGCTTTGGAGAGGTCTAGCGCCTTGTACGCGTAGGCTGCGCAGGGACCCGAGTACGCATAGCCCGCATGTCTGCATCATTAGTATAGCCTCTACCAAATGATTACCATAAGGGTATGTAGGATGACCTACGGTGCAATGATGACTCGGGCTCCTGCTGCGGGCAGCGAGCCTACGTTCTCCACCGTGTCCGGCACCTGTGCCAGCCAGTCATCCAGCTGGCGGGTTAGAGTGCGGGCACTATCCGAATACCATGACCCGGCATGAGAGGCATCTCTAGATGGCATGGTGACACTTGAAGAACTTAAAGGTTTGTTGAGGCCGCGTTGTTGAGATGACTGGGGTCAACTCCAAGTGAGGAGAAGCGGGGAAGTGGTGGAGCTGCGGCATCCCGGAGGCTCCCCGGCATGCCGATTTCTACAACGACCTAGGCAGGTGCTTAAGTATTGAAGGTTTCAATATTCTGTTTTTAGAGAATTCCGTTGGCTTCAAATAGCTCATTCTATAAATGATTGGAAATAAAAAGGACTGTCATGAAGTAATCTATGGATCTATGGGTTTCCTCATAGGCAGATAATATTAATGGGGCTATAGTATCCTGAGGGATGTCCTATTTTGATATAAAAATCATAAGCTACCATATGAAAACATAGAATGGAGACTGTTTCGTATTAGGATTTCCAAACACCCCAAGTTCTTACCAAGCAAGCCTATCAATTTCACGCATTTTCTTCTTTTTCTTTTTCTTTTTCTTTTCTTTCTTATCCCCCCGCAAGCCAGAGATTGAGCCGAGTGTAAAAATGGCTATCTTAGAAAACGAATCATTCATCTTAAACCAGTATATCCTCGTCAAAGCTCCTTGCCTCGTAGCTATCTCCTGCCTGTCTGTTTCGCATACATGAATGCCACGTGTCTGACTGCATGGATTCCAATTCATATACAAATGCAACCTAAAATGAAATAGAACTTGACTCACCTGGGAAATTCGAAATAAGACGAAAAGAAGAGAACAGACAACCAAAAGATGACGCCAGGGCATCTGCTATCTTGCCTCATTGGGACTAGCGTGACCCGACCATAACGCGGTAATGCGACGCGCCTCGGCCAATCGCATTCCCAGCCATCTCTGAGCTGCACCTCACCTTCTTCCACCTCGAACCTCCCAATTCTTCCACTACACGCTCAGCATGTCTCTCAAGCGGAAATCTGTCTTCCAGGCCGTCCCATCTAGCCCATTGGCACCAGCCAATGAATGGGGAATAGTCGATACCTCAGCCCACCTCCACAGCCGGACGCGAAAGCGCTTCCGAAACGACCGGCCTAGTGACGCAGTGGTTTATGGTGAGTAACTCAGCTCACTCTTGCTGGCATTGCCTAGCACAAGCATGGCCTTGCATCGGAATGCCACGAGATCTCAAGCTTCAATGCTCACATCAAGCTCAGAGAACACCCTTCGGTGGATTTTCTCCGCCCAGCAACAACAGAACTCGACGCCGGCAGTTGACAACACAGCCATGGACTCAGCTATGGATTCGGAACCGACTCTTCCACCCCCAGAGACAGTTGATCCACGACAGCAAACTTTGCACCGATTCTTCCAGCCCACACCTCAGCCATCTTCACCCTTCCGCCCCTCTCGCCAAGCTCTGGCACCTCGAGCCAATGAGACAGGCCTGGCCCAAGAGGATCTTCTTCGTCGCAAAGCATTTGATCGCATGAATTCTGTGGATAGCTCGAGTGACAGTGAGACAACGAGCCCTGGTTGTAACCAGCCAGACGTCGACATGGACGTGGATATGGATTAGGGTGGTTGTAACCTGTGGTTGACAGACAGGTGTATGAACGTGTATGGGGGCAACAGTCATGCCCTCTGATATTTCTTATCTATGATACCTCGCAGGATCTTTGGCAATGGTGTTTAGGGCGGTTCTACCGTTTCGGGTTTGACCTCGATGGAGGCCTGGCGTTTCGTGTCTCTGGTGTCTGGGACTGCCTGGGCTGGATACTCAACAGTGAATCCTCTTATTAGTTCAAATGGACATTTTATAGTATGCTTACCCAACGGTCTTGAGGTGAAACCATGGATACAAACAGGCACTTGACATAACTACAGGGAACTACAATCAACATCCACTTCGATAGATATTTCATTTCATGGTCATGAATCTTTATCATCAGCCTGGGCACACGAAAACCCACAGTCACAATCCATAAACAAATCCCGGTCATAGTCACCACAGTTGCCACAGTGATCTTTATCTCCAGTATGAAAGCTCTGACCAGCATACTTGAAGGACACATGGCCCTGCGTATCCTTGGGAGCAGTCGCAATCATAATGTAGGGCAACAAGCCCTGGACAGTGGTATCGCCATATGTCTCAGACTGGTAGGCAATCATGTTCTTCTTCGCGTCATAGATCGTGAGTTCGAGAGCATAGTCCGAGTCCGAGTTCAGCCAGTTGTATTTCGACGAATCCAGCTTAGCCTCGTACGTGCGGATGTGCATGGTGCACCACCCACCCTTGAACCCCTTGCCCTTGCCATCAATACCGAAATCACTCGTCTCGATGTTCTTGTTACCCCCCGTGCCCAGGTACGCCTGCTGCGAGGGTACATGTTGTAAACTGAGCGAGGGCACCGAGTCCGGAGCAGTCTTGGTGGGATCGCCGCAGTGGAACATGCATTGGCCCTGCCTTGTTTCGTCACCCTTCATCGCATGGTCGCCGCTATCGTATGCCCCAAAGTCACACCGGTGCTCCGGGCTGTCTTCGTCCCAGAAGATATCCCGATACCAGAACACGAGCTTGCCGTCGTGGAGAGTGGTGACCAGCGAGTTGCTGAGTCCCTTGTTCTTTTCTGGACTGGTGACTGCCAGCGTCCCGTACAGGGGCTGCTTCGGGGCATGTAGCACCAGCTTGTCTGTGGAGTCCGTGATGGATATGGCGAGCTGGGTATTTTTCAGAGGATTGTTGTTGCTGTTCTTGGTGCCATCGCCCAAGTCGCGCCACTGCGTGACGTGTACCATGCAGTTTCCTGAGGTGTAGTCATTGCTGTTTACGGGTTGGCTGACCGTCACCTCGTCCTGGGGATCCTGGCAAGGGGCGAAATTGTAGATTTTGTTGTTCTTAAGATTATCCGCTGCCACCTTTGCATTCAGGCAGACGGTGAGGTTGAAGAAGCCTGCGGTTTGAATGTCAATCATGTTGCTCGCATATAGAATGTATGATGAAATGGATTGGCAGCCTACCAGGTGTCCTGACGCTGCTGACTCCGGGAAATACATTGTCCTTGACAGAAAAGTCGTCCTGGACCTCCTTAGTTGTGGTTTGATCAGGGATCTATAGAGCATGAGTATTACCGATTTCAAATAAGAAAACTGGGAAACTACTCACATATCCATTCTTGTTGCCGTTGAGTTTATATGCGCCATACGTGGCGAGAACGAAATCCCTAGATGGTATTAGCTATATCACAATGTGAACCCCGGTGTGAGATACGCACTTAATATGCAAATTATATGGTTCCAGGTCTTTGTCTGTTCCACCATCGAGAGCAAAAAAGCCGTAAGTCTCGCTTGCTCCGCAGCCATTCTGGGTACTGCAGACATTGGTTTCAATGTGGGCATCGAGCAGGAAGAAAGAATTGCCACTGGAACGAGATTCGAGCTGGTTAGTTTACCAGAAACATGCCATTCTCACTATAGTACTTACTCTTTATCACACCAGATTGTCTTGTCCTTGACATCATTGCTCATGTGCTTGTCAAGCTCGAGATGGCTCGCAGCCTGAGAAACCGGATCTTTGCATTTGTAGTCCTTTCGGTCAATTCTCCTGCTTGTTGTTAGTTCATAGCCCCCTATAACCATGAGTTTATAAATGTTGGAGTCACTCACAAAATAAACGGGTTGGCTTTCTTAGCCCCCTTTCGCCATGCCGGGATGATGATCTGGCCGAAAATACCCTGCTTTGCACCCGCTGCCAGCTTTGATTGAAAATCAAGATAGCCGCCATCTTCTTTACCGGATCGAATCTCCAAATACCAGGTATTCAAGATTCCGGTGGTGATCAACTGGCGCAAATCCTCTTCGACATCTTTTCGTCCGCTGGTCATTCTGTGCAGATACTCGATGATTGCATTGCCGGCCTTTTCAACAATTGACCTGGCGAGGTCTCTCAGGGATTGTGTCTCATCGTCATTCGTCTTTGATCTTGACTGTTTGTTAGTCCGGTACAATTGACCACCCATTTCACTAAACTCACTTCATATAGTTTTCCACCATGTTATGAACAAAGACAGACCCCGAGATCGCCATATTAGTGACAAGAGATGCTGGTACCGAGTCTGTCCATGTATGGTTAGTGAACCATGAAGACAACTTGGGTGGATATCCAAAACCAAAGCATGAGCTAAATGTAGATACCGTCAAGGGAAACTCACTAGCCGCAACCACCTCCGCTGCCGCCACTATAGATCGACCAAAATGTCAGTGACCATTTTTACCAGCCAACCGTGGGCGTATTGTCCCAACTTACTCGCTGAAAAACCAACCGGGATAAAGGCCAAACTCGAAAAGAGTCCAATATCCAACATGCTCTTGACCCATGCCGACTCATCGTCGATGTTCGCACAGAGCTTGACAAAATTCGGCATCTGCTCGTATACATCATCTCGGGCGAGATAAAATGCTTTTTGTAATTTGGTAAAGTACTATGATCTGTCTGTCAGCAGGAACAATACGCTTGTAGCTTTTTTTCTCTCAGAGTCACTGACAATATTCATAAAGGCGAACCCGTTCATGATCAAGTACGTGGCCGGCGCTTTTCCGTCGGCCTCGCATTCAAACCCATCACACCCTACGTCGCCGATCTGCCCGCAGTCCATTGTTTCTTTATCGTAGAATACCCGGCCGACATACATCATGAACGTCTCGGGAACCCCCGTTGAGTGCTTGTCACTGTTGTTATATTTTGACCAGCTCGCCCAGAGATCTTTCCAAGCCACTGTCAATGTGGTCAGCAATGTATATCTCACAAAACACTGGCACCGCAAGTATATGTGGCGCTGTAAATCTAAGAAATAAAAGGAAGTAGCCATTTCACAATAAGCGACAGAATAGGAGGAATAGAAGGAGGATAGAAAGAATTGGCCTAGAGGAAAAACAAAAACTCACGAGGGACCTGGGCTTTTTCATACCGCTCAGTCATGTTTTGGGGATTTTGATCACTGACCAGGCCATCTGAGCAGGAGACATCCGTCCATTTACTGGACATGACGGGCAAAGTGAGCGTTCTGGCCTGGAGGTAATTTCGGGTACTGGAGGGCTCTAATTTTATACGAGCGGTAGGACGAACAGTAGGAGAAGACACCACAGCTGCGGACATATCTTGGGCAATCTGAGTAGGCTCTGAATGGGGCACTGGCCTAATGACGGCGGCATGGGCCGTGCCGACAAGGCAAAGAAACCGAATGAGATCCCACATGGTGGCTATCTGGCGGGCCCCACGGATTCCCCAAAGGGCAGGAAAGGTAACTTAGGAATTTCACAGGAAGCGGCGATTTCTCTCTATTATAGCGCTCATTGTAGGCCGGAAGCACCAGGGAAATACATCTAACAGAGCTAACAGAGTGCATAGTTCATTTGAACACTAGTAGTTCGGCCCCCTCTGGAGACTAAGCTATTCCCGATGGGGTTAAAAGCCATTCTTAGATTCCTTCCATTGTAAATAAATTTATAAATAAAACGGGTTTCTATGGGGAGATTCCCCACGGGGCTTGGGGGCTATGGTACACGTGGGGGAGAGCTGGAGCCGAACACCAAGCCATCAATCAAGGAAAGGGCTCTTAATTTCCCCGGTATAGCATTTACTAGTCCAAAGGGTCCTACAGGGCACCGACCCCGGGGCTTTTGCTGTGGGCTTGCTAAGTGATCGGCCTGGGTTCACTGAGTTTGCCATGGAACCTGGCAAGGACTGGGAAGGGTTTTACACTTCGTCTTTCTTTTTCTCTCTACGTCTTTGATTTCTTTCTCTTTCTCAGCTCCGACACTTGCTGGCTCTATTTGAAGCAACACTGCTTTGTTCAGACATGGTGGCCTCTCCAATTCCTCGCGTTTTCTCGCTTCTGCCTCTTTTCTTGGCCCTGAGCTTAGCTCGCGGCTCGAGCGCCCACATATCCCATTATGTCACTTCGGGGGTCTCCTTCAATCCTACTGTGGCTGCTTCCGAAGTCCCTCGGCAAACATCAAATGTGTACCAACTGGTACTCCAGCCTTTGGACACGGTGGTTGCCCCCTGGGGCGCCAACACGAGCAACATTAACGGGAAAGATGAACACAGCGGCGTCCGTCGACTCGCTATTAACGACGAAAAATCCTTCCCTAAAAGTCATCACACAGACACTTCGAAGGTGATTCAATACTCTAGCTGTAAACTAAACCAATCCGATGATCTCTACAGTTCCGCATACCCCCTGATAGCCAACGACGGAGAAACCCTCAACCTGGGTCCCAACTCGATCCTTGACAATGCTGGATACACAGCGTCCCTGTCCTCCTGGCAAACTCTCACCGTTCCGTTTGGTTTCAATCTTGGCCAAAGGGGGGAGTTCAATGGCTCGTTAGTCCTTGGAGGCGGGGGTCCTGGCTATGATGCCAATCGGGTGCAATCACTGCCATGGTATATCCTACCTGGCTCGGAGAATGGCACCTTTCTGAAGAATGGGACCGTGAATTTCCCCAACAAGGTTACCATCCAGAAATATAAAAACCACGGTGTTGCCGCGGGCAATCCGCAAAAGTTCGACGCGAGGATCAACTTCAACAGCGATAACATCATCTTCCCCGAGGCCCAGGGGGCAGGTCTCTGCCAGTCAAACTTCTCCATCATTCTCAACGTGACGGCCGCCAGTACCGGCAGGTCTACTGAGCTTGGAATTCCCGTTTCTGCCTTTCCTTCGGGTGAGAAGTCCCGATGCACGACCGCAGACACAAACGACCTAGAGTTAGGGCTACCATTTTTCAGCTTGACCTATATTCTGGTCTCGTCCCTGTCTAGCCCTCTCTACTTGACGTTACCAAACAAATACAACCTCGATCCGTCGCCAGCCATCTTCAGTCCTCATCAGACCTTGGTTGCTCCGCCATCTCCGCCGGCCCTGCCTCCGGCTGCTGCTAGTACTGCAGCAGCTACTTCCCTCCGCGGAAGACCTGGTCTTTTTCATATTATTTGCGCATTTTTGATGATTTCTTTGCTATAAGATTGGGCCTCGGAGCTATGATATAAGGCTTTATGAAAGTTCTTGCTTAGGGTTTCTAGGTGGCAGTACAAATCTCTGCATGTCTAAGGATGGAGATTAATTGTTCCCTGACTTTACTCTTTCAACTATGTATATATGACATGAATTATGGCCACGATACAAGTTTCAATTGCACAATATCCTAGGCGCCCGTCGCTATGATTAGTTTCCAGCCAGGCACACGACAGCTCTTGCGAAGAAACCTTGTCATATTGAAACATGTATTGTACTCTAGCTCAGCCTATGCAACATCAAATATGAATAGAGCAGGATTGATATGCTTGCAAAGGTCTCTCGCACAGTATGTGCATGAACGGGGTTTGGAGTCTCGCTTCGGCAAACCCCCATCGAAGGATTCTGCCTCACGAATCCTTCTGATGTTAGTTTTATAGTGGCGCCCCGTGTCTTCCCTGGGCCTTGCTAATCCATGATGTAGATCCCAACCTCTTTTTTCCGTTTTGGGACCGCCCCTTAAGCCCTCATCATCTATGAAACTCACCTAACTTCCCGGTCTTCCTACCCCGGGAAAGCGAACTGTGTGGCGTTAAAGGCCTTGGAGAACTAAACAAGATTAAGATCGTGCGTTCAGCTGATTGCACTAATTTTGGAGTTACATTGATCTAGGGTATGGGGCAAAAATTCCTTTAGTGCATAGTACACAGACTCTCAATGCATTGGTGTGGGCATGGTGCCTTCCAGGGACGAGGTTGGTATGTATTCATGGAGCTGTTCAGGATTTCCTGCTACCTAGTTCCTTGCATAGTGACGTAGTGAAATACTTCCAAGTTTATTCATCCATAGATGAACCCCTGTTAATTAATTGTAGTTACGATGGATGAGCTGCCAAGATATTGAATGCCCCACTCTCACGTTGTGGCCTTAGGCACTAAGGTACTAATTTGTCTCGTGCGTCGACTTCGCGAGTCCCGATTGCAATTGACCATCAACACACATGCTTGCTGAATATCGCCCCGAGGAATTCTGATCACCGGCTTGAGCCCTCGGTATTGTGTGACCCCGAGAATTTTTCCTCCTGCGATCTCCGCCAAGCACAAAACACGACTGCTTAACCCCCACTTCCCAACCCGTTCCCTCGAGCCTTGGAGTGAGATCGACATCTGTATGAGCAACTCGGCAGTGACAATGGGGGATGGCCAGAGCAATCAATTCCTGGAGGGGATACTCGGACGTTCTCTTAGAGTGCACACCACCGATAGCCGGATGTTCATTGGGATCTTCAAGTGTACCGATGCGGTTAGTCGTCCGTGATTGACCGGGTCGAAGATCCAGCAAACCCAAACACATCAAGACTTCAATACGGGCATGGGCTGATGCTGGGCTTTGCCACAGGAACGCAATATCATCCTCGCCAACTCGTTCGAATACCGCTTCCCAACCCCGTCCGCGGTCGAGGCTGCCGCCGAGAAACAGCAAGCGCAAGAGACAGAAGCTGAAGCAGAAGCCAAGAGCGCCACAGTCAAGGTCAACATGACAAGCCGACTTATAGGGCTCATAGTCATTCCCGGCCGGCACATTACGAAAATCGAGCTGGAGTAGATGCCTTCCCCAGGCTGTCCATCAGACACACTCTTACGTCCGTGAGCGTTGTCTGACGCTGTCCTGCCAATGAAATTCCAAGCTCCAAGACTTCCTGGTCCACGAGAGCAAGCCACACAGGGTGGGAGGCCAACACATCGCCCACTCCGCTGCGCTCTGAGAGAGAGGGAGAGCTCTGTTTCTCTGCAAGTGAGGCCGCTTTAAGTCGTCGATCTGCCACACTTCCGGCCACGCAACATTTCTCACCTTGAGGCCAGTCCTGATCCTTCCTGAGACTGCCACCTGTGCATTGCTCGTATCCACTGATATCAGACTCCTGCCTGCGACTTCAGGGAACGGCGCATAGATAAAACTCATGATTCTGGCCTGACAGATCAGGCAGGACGGAATGGAAAAACTCTCGGAACCCCGGATTCACTACTGCCAAGAGACACCACGTGACTATATACTTTCCAGAGACAAACCAAGCCTATTTAGATACCACTTGAGTGACGAGGACATACGTATAGTATTTCCACTCTACTTCCTTTCATTTAGTATCGCTGTATCTCTTCACCTTAGTACACCATCCACAACACCTTGAATAACCCAGCTGTTCTTCTACACAAAATGATACCTCTATCTATTCAGCTCAAAAATCGCTACCGGGAGCTAAAGAGGATTCGAAATCCCTTTGGAACTTGCCAGGTGAACTCCTCACTCATCAGATCGTTGAGCAACTCAGCGTCGACTTTCACCACTTGGATATCAATACTGGGTCGACATCCGATTTGGTGACTCCTTACTTTCTCCCTCGCACATCATTTCCTAGTTGCCGTGACATCAAAGGAGATCTCAGGGACGAAATGCTCTACGCAGGACAGGATCGTGCTAATTATGAGGACGATGGGGATGAAGATATTCTGGGCAGGTTCTTTCCAGCAGCCCTCCATTTGGCATTTGATTATTACGCTCGTGGGATGAGCGATGATATGCATGACCGCGTTTTTTATTCGACGTAAGTGAATCATTACACTTACTCCTAGACCGCTATCAACTTATAACTCATTTATCACTAATAAATGATTCTAGAATAAGATGCTATGGTTGGGAAAGGGATCGGTAAGTGTCTTTGGTAATAAGACAAACTCATATGCTAAGGCCTATTTCAGCGCTTTTAAACCGGATCAAGCGCCATGATACACTCATGCTTTTCATCGCCAACTGAGGTATACAGCTGATGCTTTGATCTATGACGAGGATTCCAAGGGCGATCATAATAAAGCCACGTTTCCTGGCTTACACCACAGTATAGCCAGTAATACTGTGGTGAAGAACAGCGCCACTCCCTTTACCCCATCTTCACAGATTCCAAGTCATGCCACTGCTGATGTTCAACTCGCGACTTGCCATGAAGAGCTCCCCTCAGTCCAGTCCGTGAAGTGGTTGCAGTGATCGATGAAATCCTAGATGCAATGAGGGCACAAAGGAAAGAATTACGCCACATGGCCCATGGGCAAAGTGTGACAACGTTTCACCATATCTTACCGGTTTGTAGATTTTTTATCCATCCTATGAAGAACTTCACTAATTATAGGACCTAGAGAATGGTTCGACTATGGAATTATTATGGGCATTGGCGCATACTCTATGCCTACTTTGATGGCAGGAGGCTGAAGGTTCAATTTACTGAAGTCCTGGATTTTACACCATTTGCAGTCGAGCCGCCGCCTGAGATGGACTACCTTGATCTTATCGACTTGTCTCAATACTACGACAAAATCGATACAATGTTGAAATGGGCGTGGCCAGTTATACAAGGAGATACTGGAAAAGGTGGGCTTGCAAATGGAAGCCAGTGATATTTTAAATCAAGAATCAAGCTTGTGATCTTGCTTTGATCCAGCTTGACAGGCTTGTATTGATATGACTTCAGTTGCTTTGAATGCTTGAAAATGCCTCGAGCCACAGACATCATGATTCTGAATTAGCTGCAACTTTACGCAGATGATCATCTATAACTATAGGGATTCGGATCTCCACTCCCTGGGCTCTAGGCATTCGATGGTGAATATACTTAACTATTACTTAACCATTATAGTGATGGATAATACTAACTTGAACGAGGTTAAAGCATGGATCTTGAATAGATATAATACTCAATTAAATTAGCAGACGGCAAGCGGGCTGCCAGAAACGGCTGCCAGCACGAGGGTTGAGCGTGAGGCTGCCAAGGAGAAGATCCTGGCAGGCGTTCACTTCGTTGGAATTCAATAAACGTGGCGCGGGGAACACGGCAGCTGCAGCGCGTGGCGTTGCGGGCTTGGCCAACAGGTCTGGTGGCTATATGAAGCACACGCTCTGGAGGGATTCGGGGCTGGTGAAGCAAAAGGGCGGTGTCTCCGCCCTGGAGGGGCCTTGGCATGCGCAATCATGTGTTTCTGTCAGGACCAAGACCATCTGCACCCGTCTGCTCGGTGACAGCTATATGGCTTTTTCTTTGTTGCTAGATTCTCAACTCGATTGGACGGAGAAGATCCGTAGATAGGGCTGTCTTTGGCTTGGATCAAGCCCTAAGAAAGATGTGTAGACTTTCATGGACGCCCTTTTCCCTCTGATAGGAGGCATCGCGGGGCCCAAGCTCCAGATAGACGAATGGTCGGGTGGGGTCGGGGGCAAAGTCTCATTCCTGGCTGAATCTGCATCGTTCGCCTGTTTCTTCAGGTTGGACGGAATTCAAATCTGCGCTTATCGTACCTCTTTGGGTCGGAGTCTTTCGGACATCTCCGCAGTTTGGGTGGGTCAAAGAAACACCTGTAGAAAGGAAAAGCATCTCCCCCAAGCACAACCTCAAATAAAGACAGTCATGAACCCATCTCGTGACTATAAATAACCAGAAAAACAAGGCCTCGACCAGGCCTCTTTTTGACTTCTGCATGCAGACTCGGCCCGGGGATGTTCCGGCTGACATAAGTGCAGATAGTCGCTGATCGAGACTGCCTAGCTATGAGTGTAGCCAGAACAGAGCGAGCTCATGTACCCTCCAAGTACCTTCGCACGTACTAGCGGTGGCGGAGTACTTTCGCCTACCCTCAACGGTCTTGAGTCGCTCCCCCCTCCTCTTTTCTATTTTCCCCATATTTTTTGCTCTTTTCCCTTCTTCTTTCCTTTGTGTCTCCCCGTCTGCATCTTTCTGAGGTAAGTGATTTCACTCTCATTCCTGTGGTACCCACCTGCGACCGCCCGTTATGTGGGATAAATACCATCCAACCCCCCAGTACATAATGACGCATTCCTCTACCCGCCTTAATCCACCACAACCAAACTTTCCCCATTTCCTGCCTCGCCATTTTTTTTCTCATCTCCAAACCTCCACATGCCATTTGAGCTGTGGAGTTCAGCCCTGCTATCCCACTGAGGTTGCCCGATTTGCCCCGTCGGAGACACTAATCGGGCGTGTAGGAAACTGCTCACCCTGCAGCGGAGATTCGCCTTTGACCTCTCCCTCTAGCTTTTTCACCTCGTCCGAAATCTTCCCCTCAGCCTGTAGCTGGGTTAACTGCGTTGATCGGTTACCATCTCCCTTTTTTCTTTCGAACGTGATCCATCGCTTCATCGCTTTGTCTCTCGTAACTCTTACCGCGCCCACCTTCACTCGTGTCTCGGAGTTCCGACCAGCCCGACAATTCCGGTGTGGACATTCGCAGAAATCAACTCGGACTCTGAGCAGGGCATTTCTGGGATTAATATATCGTCCCCTCAAAAAATTCGATACTCAAGGAGCTGGGAGCCAAGACATTCCAAAAAAAACAGGGGTTTCTCGGCGTAGCGGTTTGAACGTCTGCCGTTCGTGTGCGATCATCCCAATCCAAGCTTGGCAGACATCCTTGCCTTGCAGCGATGGGTCAGATGCATTCCAAGGGCAACGCCGGCTCGGGCGACCCGTTGCAATCATACCCGTCATTTTCCAAATCGGACACCAAAGAATCCCTCCGCTCCTTCCGCGGCTCCATTCGCTCGAAAATTCCCGGTGCGCGGAGCACCGACAGCCCCCGGGGGTCCACGACCGCGCTTTCGCAGACCGAGAGCCAGACGGACAAGTCCGATGCCGGTTCAATCAAGTCGTCGAGCAGCCGACCCGGTTCGAATGCCGGCCTGCCCCAATCTCCTGCATCCGAAAGCACGTCCCGACCTGCCTCCCCCGAGCCTCCGCCCTCTCCGTCACTGTCAACTAGCTTGAAGCGAGGCCACAAAGATGTGAATGCGATGCAGCAGAGTGGTGAGGTGGATCTCGTGTCCGAGGGTCCTCCCACAGGCGGACCGCCATCCGGAGCGGCTCCTGCTGCCCCGGTGGAGTCCATTCTGGTAAAGCGGGAGAACCAGCTCAATCCTATCTTGGACTTCATCATGAATGCTCCACTGGAGACCTCCGGCTCCCCCGGGATGGGCATGGGTGCTTTGAAGTCGATCGATCTGGATGATATGATTGGGCGACTCTTGGATGCAGGATATTCCACCAAAGTCACCAAGACCGTATGCCTGAAGAATGCAGAGATCACTGCCATCTGCACAGCGGCTCGTGAGCTTTTTCTGTCTCAGCCTGCTCTGTTGGAGCTGTCGGCTCCCGTCAAGATCGTCGGCGATGTCCACGGTCAATACACCGATCTCATCCGACTCTTCGAAATGTGTGGATTCCCGCCAAACTCCAACTATCTCTTCCTGGGCGATTATGTCGATCGGGGGAAGCAGAGCTTGGAAACGATTCTCCTGTTGTTGTGTTACAAGCTCAAGTACCCGGAAAACTTTTTCCTGCTTCGAGGCAACCACGAATGTGCCAATGTCACGCGGGTTTATGGGTTCTATGATGAGTGTAAGCGGCGTTGCAACATCAAGGTCTGGAAGACCTTCATTGATACTTTCAACTGTTTGCCGATTGCTTCGATTGTTGCCGGGAAAATCTTCTGTGTTCATGGGGGCCTCTCTCCCAGTCTTTCGCACATGGACGATATCCGAGGTATTGCTCGTCCCACGGACGTGCCCGACTATGGTTTGTTGAACGATCTGTTGTGGAGTGATCCTGCAGATATGGAAGAAGATTGGGAGCCCAACGAACGGGGCGTGAGCTATTGTTTCGGCAAGAAGGTAATCTTGAACTTCTTGCAACGTCATGACTTCGATCTGGTGTGTCGTGCACACATGGTGGTCGAAGACGGATATGAGTTTTATCAGGATCGGATTCTGGTGACGGTGTTTTCTGCTCCTAATGTAAGTTCCCCCTTGTTCGCATCGATCTGGAGCTTAAGCTGATGGTGTTCTAGTATTGTGGTGAATTCGATAACTGGGGGGCCATCATGTCGGTCTCGGGTGAACTCCTTTGTAGCTTTGAGCTGCTGAAGCCCCTGGACTCAGCTGCGTTGAAGAACCACATCAAGAAGGGCCGAAACAAGCGCAACAGCATGCTTAATAGTCCTGTAAGTTCCCCCCTTACTTCTCGTCGTGCCAAGTGATCGCCGCTGCATCTCACGATGCCGAGACCTCATATCGTCATCCTCCATGCGCCTTGTATGTCGATCCAGTATGCTAACAAATCACAGCCTGCCGCGGTATCAGCGCAGAGCTTTTAGATGTGACAATTGTTCAGATCACTGGCGCTAGCCTTTGATTTTGCAACCTGTCATCACCGTTATGGTCGCGGCCACGGCCGTCGACCGGAACCGACCCCGATTGTCCCTCTACCTAAAGCGTGTGGCAGCATATTCATTGTTTGAGTATTGCCGATGGCTAAAATCGCCCTGTAATGAACATTGCTTTAAGAATTGGGGCCTAACAGCCTTGGTATGAGCACGCGCCGGGGGAGTGGCCTCGAGCACAACTTTGGTTTGGCCAATCTGCGCATAAGGAGTCACAAACCGTGCGCAGGCAGCGGATTACGACTCTCCCGAGCAGATGGAAACAGCAAGGCAACGGCGCGTGGAACCTTGCCTCGCCGCTTCTCCTGAGCTGACAATACCTGACCGGTTCACATGGAAGGTCGCTGAGCCTCAACATGTCCTCTGGTTCTCTTGCATCCCGCCTTCGCAGGTTGAGACCCTTGGGGGTGGGAATATCGCGAATGATCAACGGACATCTCTCGATGTTTCCGCTTGGGCCTTTTTATTCTCCCCTCTCCTAGTGCATGTATCTACTCTCTTCTCTCTATTATCTCAAAAGGAATCGGAATTGTTTGGAGAGCTGGTTTTGCAGTCTTCCTATAGTTTTCAGCTGTAAGCCTAGATATCTTCTCGGCGTGGTCGTCGCCACTGCCCAATGGGTAGTATGGACAAACACCCTAGTTTGTCCGTCTACATTAACCAACTGTAGATCAAACCCGAGTCCATGCATATGCAATTCATATCTAATTCATTCATGTGTGTACCATCAATATATCATCGCTGCCCCAATAAATGCCGATTCGTCTCCCAGAACTGGCGACATGCCGTATGCCCCCAATGGTCCGTCCAGTACTCGCCGAAACTATCCTGCACAGTCTCCTCGTCAACGCGCAACACGCGCTCATCTCTCTTGAGCGCACACAGCGCACACGCATGCGCCGCCTTCAGCGCGCCCTGCTCCGGCCGCTCCGTCACGACCTTCAGCGCACTGGGCTGCGCCACCGCGGGCACGGGCCGCAGTCCCGCAGCTTGGACGACGGCGTTGAAGAGCACGGCGCGTTCGCGCCAGAGCCCCAGAACGTCGACGGCCTCCTGCTCCTCCTTGACGTTTTCGTTCTTGTTAACAGTGTTGAGTTTCATGCCGCCTGCTTTCCCGGAGTGCGCGGGCCCGATCCGCATGCTCTGGCTGAGGATTGTGTCGCGCTTCCAGCGGAGGCTGCGGCCGGCGATGATGCGTGCTGTTGTTTGGAGTGTGACGTGGATGGCCGAGGCCGTGGCTGCTATTGTTGTTGTTGGTGGTGGCGTGGCTGTGGTGTTGGAGGATCGCTGCTGTGATCTGGCCTGTGTGGCTTCTTTTTGTTGTTGCTCTAGTACGTCTTGGAGGAGCTCCATCAGTACTGATGGGGGCGGGATGTTCGTTGGTCGGACGGCGGTGGCTGGTGCTGCGGTGCCAGAGAGAAAGCTGTTCGCGGCTGGTCCTGGGGCTGGATGGGATGCGCTGGGCTTTTTGGTTTTGATTGGTGTGGGTTTGGTGCTTGGCCCGTCGGTGAAGTCTGCCCAGTCGTCGAAGGAATCGTCCTCCCAGGTTGTTGGGGGAGGGTTGCTGGGCTTGACTTTGAGATGTGGTTGGGGCTTTTTCTTCTCTGTAGGTCTTGATGGAGATTTCTTGACTGGGGGACCGTCGGTGAAATCGCCCCAGTCATCAAACGAGTCATCGTCCCACGTTTGGTTGCAGACGTTCTTGCTGGGTTGAGGTTGAGGTTTCTTCCCGGAGACTTGCGTCACCGGTGGTTTCGTAGTTTGATTCGATATTGTGAGCGAATCCAACAGGTCGATGGTCCCAGAGATACTCCCCGTATCTTGACGAGGCTGTGGATTGGGAAGTACAGTTTTTACTGGTGCATGGCTCGAGGGACCTTGCTGGGGAGTTGACTCGGGACCCTCGAATTCACCCCAGTCGTCATCATCCTCGCTGGCGGGCGCGTCGAGAGTGGCATCAAACAGCACATCGCTGTCTCGTTGCCGGGGAATATCAAATATCTGAAACCCAGGAGGCTGCCGAGGAGCTGGTGCTGCAGACCGACTAGAAACAACTCCTAGGCTTGGAGGTTGCGGTCTGATCTGTTGCAAGCCACCCGCTCCGAAGAAATCATCGCCGGACTGTTCTAATTCCGGGATCAATGAAGATGCTTGCCCTGTCTGCTGTCGGCCTGTGGATCCTTGTGCAGGGGCAGAGCCCTGACCGAACTCTGCGAACAGATCTGCAGACATTGGGTCCGGAGTGTCACTATGTGCGCGACATGGAGAGGTCGAGCGAACACGCAAAGTGTGGGAGATCCACGTAGACAGCCAATCCGCAAATGAACGTTTTCTCCGTATAGATGCGTTTTATGCTTGTCTTCACACCAATAGCTGCCTCTGAAGGTATAAGTCGAGGATGTAGGAATGTTGCAATGATAAGAGAAAATGCCGGGGGCGGAGTTGCCATGATCTCCCCCTCATCTCTCCACCACAATCGCATTGCCATGAGATCCATTGACGAGACCAGGTATTGTCCCCCCGCAAACCCAGAAACCCGCCCACTGACCCTGGCAGAAAGAGATGGGAGACTCTATTCCTCGATAATGACTCTCTCTCCGATCTCCGTGCCGCACTGCGATCGGAGGGGAGCAGTCTGTGCCACGATGGGCTGCGGTCGATCTGCTGGAAGGTTTGAGAGCGACCCTGGAGGGAATTTAACGAGGAGAAGGAAAAATCCCATTCTAATCTCAGTCGCAGGCATTCTTGCTTTTCGAGGATTTCGATCGCCAACAATGGCTACGGAAGCTCACTGAGTCGCGCGACGCGTACGCCGCACTCCGCGCCCATTTTCTAAAGTACATTGAACATCCCGATGATTTGGAGTCGACGGTCGATCCGCTGGCGGACGATGAGGAGGTATGCCACCCTTTTTGTCACTGGTAATGAGCATGGTCCAGTGCTTATCTGACCCGATTCAACTCGTCTCAGTCTCCCTGGCAAACTCTCCGAAACGATGAAGCGTTGCGCGCCGAGATCTTGCAGGATGTAGATCGGTGCTTGCAGGAGAACTTCTTCTTTCGGGAGCCGGCTACCAAGTCCAAATTGACTGATATCTTGTTCATCTACTCGAAGCTCAACCCGGACGTGGGCTACCGACAAGGCATGCATGAGCTGCTGGCTCCAATTCTGTGGGCTGTGGATCGAGATTCGGTACAGCGATCGCCAGGAGACTTGAAGAATTCGACCGAAAGTAAGGATGATGATTTGATGCTGGGCATGCTTGATCCTGCGTTTGTCGAGCATGATTCATTTACCCTGTTTCTCTGCGTCATGCAGACGGCGCGCATCTATTATGAGCATAGCAAAACTCGTTCTGCGAATGGCCAGATGGATGTAATTCCGATTGTCAACCGGTGCGATTATCTCCACAAAGAGGCCCTGATGATCATTGATCACGAACTGGCCGAGCATTTGCGGGCGGCCGATGTTTTGCCTCAGATCTTCTTGACGTATGTTTCTTACCTTTAACAATATGGCAAGCTCTAATATGCTTCACAGCCGCTGGATGCGCCTCCTATTTGGACGAGAATTTCCATTTGATGAGGTTCTCATGATGTGGGACTTACTGTTCGCTCATGGACTACGGTCAGATTTGGTGGACTTTACATGCGTCGCAATGCTGCTTCGAATCCGCTGGCAATGTCGGTACTCATGATCTTTTCCTATTGCATCTGGTTTTACTGACCTGCTCCGTCTAGTGCTTAATGCGGACTACTCTACTGCGCTGTCGCTTTTGCTCCGCTATCCCTCTCCCCAGCCACATGCACCCCAAACATTTGTTCATGATGCACTTTACTTGGAACAAAATCCCACTGCAGAACGAGGCAGCTTTCTCATCGCGAAGTACTCGGGTCGGCCTCTAGAATCTTCGAAGCGACGCAGCCCGCCTGCAAGAAAGGCATATCTTTGGGAAGACTTTCAGCGCCGCAGCGACAGCAGCTCTCCTGCTCAGTCACCTACTCGAAACAGCCCCAAGAGTCTCGAAACTCTCTTCCAGGATGTCTCTCAGGGAATCCAACGTCGAACAGAATCGTGGGGTGTAGCCAAGGCTGTTCGAGGCGCCGTAACCGAGGCCAGGAAGAACATGCAGACAATGCATTATGAACCAAGCCCGCGACCTGCTGCCAACAAGCCAGTTCCCTCCGTCTTGATTCCAGAGACCCTGTCGAAAGGCCCATCAGTGGCAACGCTCGGGTTAGAGACCAAGATCAATCGTCTGGAAGAAAGAAACAAGGCCTTGGCGACGACCTTGCGTGAGGCATTAAATGACCTTCACACGCAATTGAGGACAGTTCCCGACTTGGAGCCTGACAAAAACGATGCCGTGAAGCAAGCTTTGGCTCGGGCTGAGTCCGCCCAGGCGTGTCTCGAAGACGCATCACTCTCACTCAGTCCTGTCCGTCCTGCCCCCACGACAAGCGACCGGATAAATCAACCAGAACCGGAAGCACAGCTCTCCCAAGAACACCAACATGAGATCGTGACAGAGAAGGACCAGCAAACTCCCGCCAACGCGGACACTGCCAGAAGAAGCACCGAGAGTGATACCTCCAAACCGAACATCACCTCATCACGGGCTCGGAAACCCGAGAGCCAGGCCGAAGGTGGACGATCTATGCCGCGATCGAATGTGCGACCTTCTCTGGCCGATTCCGACTTCTCATGGATGCTGGAAGGCAGCCGGAACCTATCACATTTCGTCAGCCCGGCGTCGGAGCCGCCGGAGGAGACCCGGCACCCGGAGCAACTTCGCGGAAAACCGAACCCGCTATTCGGACACGGGGAGGAAAGCCCACGGCCCGATGCAGAGCACGATGAACTGGCGCTGCACAGCCTCCGGAGTGTCCGAGGGCCGCTGTAGATCGTGTTGGGTAATATTGCCGTGGTTTAACATATTTTCCAATAGAATTTCTACATCTATGCACAGATCTAGTGGGCTGTCATCTGATCAGTTGTTAAGAAGCAAGAGATGCGAGCTTCTTGCCCTAGAGGTCCCTGGTCCACTTTTCAGTGGCCTTGATGAAGACGAACTAGTCATATAAACACCTTTAGGCATTGCTATGCTCTTAAGTGCCGTTGAATAAACCATAACTACTGCAGAATCCGTAGTTGTCAAATATAGTATAGCCATTTTTAATATAAGAATATACCCTGGGAACTAGATCGGCCGCGCTGAGCTGTTCCTCGACGGGAGAGACGTTTGGCCGCACCAAAGGGACGATCGGGACAACTCGAGAGTCTCACGGGATTCCCTGGTCTATGCCTGAGACAGAAAGAATCAGTGTGAAGTCACCTTGCTTTGTTAGAATCACCGTTGACGACGATTCCAGTATACTTCAGGGCGCTTTCCGCTACAGGGTGACCCTTGTAGAGCGCGAAGGCGACTTGCATCATCTCCGAAAGCGCGGGCTTGCTGAAGGTGGTCTGCTCCAGGTGGTCTGCTGGAGACTCGCGATGCTTAGAAGTGGGAGATGGGAAGAAGAAGGGGGGGGGGGATAGGGGAACAGGCAGCTGCAGACCTCGACAGAATGGAACTGGAGAGCACGTATGCTCAATGTTGATACTCTTTGAAGGAAATGGGGCCTGTTTAGAGAGAATGTTGGCAAGGAAACCTAAGCTATTTGCTAGATAAACATCACATAGACCAGCCTCAGTCATATATTGTTATTTTAAAAACAAGGTCAACGATTGCTATACATCTCCGACTCGCAGGCAAACACCACTATTTAGCGAGCGACGAAGGAATCCTGAGCTTCAAAGACAGTCTTGGAAGCCTTTCCAACCAAAGACTCGTAGATTTCTGGATCGTTGGTGCCCTCTAGACCAAACAGCAAAACTTGACTAGAGCTGTCCAAGCCAAGTTTCTCCCGCAAGGATTGATTCGTGCTCGTTTCCAGCATGACGCCCATGCTGGCTGCTAAAGACTCGCCGCATACCACGGGACTGTCACCTTCTGCTCCATCGGCCAATGCCTTCATGTCATATACGGCTGCGCAGTCGGGGACGGCCACATAATCACATTCCTTACCCAAAAGGAATCGCCATTTGTCGACGGTTCAGCCGCCCCGATCTCCCTCTTCGCTCCCACAGAATGGTTAGTTTATCAATGCCTATTGAATCCTGCATGTGTCCATGCAAAGCTTGATCGAACTAGTTGGCCGATGGCAGATGTCTCGACATCATGACTAACTTCTGAATACTCTAGATCACTCATCTGAAACCATTTTCGAGGATGCATTGCGATTAATGCCCCTAGGCGGATCAGTCACGCGAGGCATTGGATCGTCCGATGGAGCAGGGTATAGAAAATCGCTGTTGCAAATGCTCCAGCTCCATGGTCTCAATGTTCGCATGGTGGGCTCACGTCAAGACGGCTCTATGTCTAATCATCACGAGGGCTGGCGTGGCTTCAGAATCGATGAAATAGAAAAGAAAGCCAGGAAATCGGTGGAGGACTAATCGCCAAACATTTTCACCGTCAACGCTGGCTCCAACGACTGTTTCCAGTCCTTCAAACTCGGGGAGGCAGGCCAGCGCATGGAAAACCTTGTCGAGTATCTTGGGCTGGCATCCCCCGAGTCCACAGTCATTCTCTCTATTTTACTTGTCAGTGCCGACAAGGAAGTGGATTTATTCGTGAAGCGCGTGAGCCACCAGTTCCGTGCTTTGGCCGGAAAGAAAGCGTCTGAGCAGAAGAGGATTGTCTTGGTGGATATGTCCACCTCCAAAGGGTCTGGTGTTCATTGCTTTGTCGATGGTATACATCCTGATGACAATGGGTACAACCAGATGGCAAGACTTGGTTCCATGGCATACAGGAAGCTTTACAGAAAGGGTTTATAAATTAGAGGGAACACAAATTTTAGATATCGACTTCTTGACCTGCTGATATATGCCTTACTGTGTTGTTGGTTTGGGGAATATAAGATTGATTTGATTATATGGCTGGATAGATCTACACCGGCAGTCGAGTGAAAATCCATTCCTCAGATTTTTAGTGTAAGTCGATTTCTTATTTTATTTTACAGATAGGGAGTATTCAGCTAATCCAATTCTTCCATATCAACCCCGATCATTCTCCTGGGTTGATTCGGCAGACCTACGTGGGTACAGGGCAGGATGTATAGCCCGAGCAATGTCCCACATGGCTCCCAGTGTCGATCGGTCGATCCAAATGTTCATCTCTCCCTTTTCCCTGGACAATTGGAATCCCTTTCTCCCCGGCATCACTATTGTATTATCACTATCATCTGCAGTATCAATACGATCCTCGTTGGGCCTGCAAGAAATTCGGAGAAACCTCATTACATCACCCGAGAGGACCCAGTCCCTTTTCCTTTTTTTTCCTCTCCCCACTTCTTCGCTTTTGCCAACCCCGCCGTCCTTTTTCTTCTTCTTCTTTGCACCCCTTTTCTTTTGCATTTTCTGCGCATATGCCGCCTGTGACTCGACGAGGCTGCTGCCCTCTCGTCTGCCCGGTCGCAGCCCGCTGACCCCTGCGAATGACTACACCAGGCCCCATTCCGTTCTTTTTCGCATGTCGTTTCACCTGCACGAGCTCGTCTGCTTTGAGCCTCATCCTTTCCTTCTGATCTGTTAGTCGCCTGCATCTTTTGGATCGCACCAAACAAAAAGACCAAAAAAAAAAGCGAGGAAAGAATGGGGGCTGCGTATAACCCGGATGGTAAGTCATGCGCTCCTGTCCCTCTGACCCTCGGCCGACGGTCTTGGTTTCACATTCCATGGGGCCCTGAGCGGGTAAGTTGGGGGGGGATGTTGGTCGAAAAATAAAATTACAGATATTGTGCTGTCGTCCTCGAGACCAGTGAAAGCCCCCAAATGACGGGGGAGTGAGGGATGTCAGTATGGCAGCCGACTTGATTTACCTCTGGCCTGGGAGAGAGGGCTATTCGAGGCTGAATGGTCTGCATGCTGTTGCCATGTGCCTCACTGTGGAAATTGACTCCCCCGTCCGATCATTTGAGTGGATCACACCTCTCTGCAAACCCCCCCCCCCCCCCCGGTGGAATGGAACCTTCGACCCGCGCCCGATGGTGTTGATAAGGGTTACAAGAGCCAGGCTAATTGCAGGACTCAGGCGAACCCAGTCCTTTATCGTCTCCGTTGGGACCGCTCTCCGAGTCGCCCGAGTCGGAACCGGGATTCCAAAGACTTTCCTTGCAGACGGACCAGCCCTTGAGAAGCTCGACAGAGAGCATTTGCTCGGGATATGACCCTCTTTCAAGGTGAGCACCGACCGCGCCCCTTCTGCTCCTGTCGTACGACGTTGACCCCTTCTGCGCCACCGCAGCAGATCCCCGCTATTCGAGAGCGAACATGGACTCGGTCCATCTGGACTGGATCGTATACGTCAGCACCAGCCGTCCCGTGTTCTGACCCTTCCAAACCTGTCGACGTCGTCGCTGGCCCCGATCCCTTCTCAGCGCCCCTCTCCGTCACCGCGTTCGCGCTCGTCGTCTCGAGCGCACACCAGTCGCATGTCGATGAGCCGGAGCTGTGCGGATCTGGAGGATCTCCATCGATTTCCTCTGGAGTCCCTACATTCATTTTCTTTTGCCCAACAGTCTGAGGAATTAATCCAAAATCGGCACAACATTCTCAAACGGTCGATTGATTTTATGCGCGACCGCATGGGATGGGCCGCCAGCAACCCAGCAATCGCCAATGCACAGGCCAATGTCACGGGCGACGCGGATATCCAGAGCATGATGGACCTTCTGGCCCGAGCGAATGTGCTTACAAATGACGAGCATTCCACCCACGCCAGAGGACCCCTCACAGGACCCGCGGATGTGAATGGCGACAATGTTTTCGAAAAGGCCTTCTCAGACACCAGCTCATCTCCCCTCAGCGCCCGAGATGCAACCCAGGAACTGTACCCTGGGTCCCAGGGAACCTCGGACGGCTCGCAGCTGTTGAGCCCGCTCCCCACTGATCGTATTCCGCACCAGAGGATGGACCTAAAATCCGCCCCATCGTCCAGGCGCGTAAGCTTAAAACGTACATACACGGACCTGAGCTCTGCCTCCCTCAAGAGCAAGCTGATGGAAACACTAGCGCAACCATACGCCTCCGCGGATCCTTTCACTTCCCTGAGCTCTTCGACGGCTGGATTGGGTGTCCCAATCCCGGCCTTGCATACCCACAGCAGCAAATGGACCCCGGTCTCCCAGGCCGTATTCAGGACCGAAGCCCAAGCACCGTGGACCATCCTCGCAGCTAATGACCTTTCCTGTCTTATATTTGGAGTCGCCCAGTCCGAGGTTCGTCGGCTCAGTATCCTCGAAGTCGTACAAAAAGAGCACAGACAGTGGCTTGAGGACAAGCTTCGGGACCCCAGTACTGATGCCGCAGCCCGAGCGCCACTTCAATCGGGTCAACCTAACATCTCCGCTGTAAACCCGAAGTTTCGAGAGCTAGGGAATGGCGTGACGGCACAGCTGCTCAGTAAGCCTTCTTCACGGGAAAAGAAGCCCCGGAGAGCCCAGACAGACGACGGATATGGTTCAAGCACGCGAACCCCCCGAAACCCCAACCATCCAGCCCACAAGTCGCGAGGGGTTCTCTTGTGTGGAGATGTGGTCCCAATCCAGAAGCGAGACGGCGGTAAGGGCTCGGCCAGCGTCTGGGTCATGGAGAAGCGTGGTGGCCTGATTTGGGTAATGGAGGAGATCACTGAGAATGTCGCTTTCGTCCGCTGCGACGATTCCTGGAACGTCGTGGATGCCCATGGAGATGCCGACAAGATCTGGGGTTCATCTATAGTTCGACAAGGCCAGCCGATCACCGAAATTCTCCCGTGTCTACCGTCCGAGTCTCTCGAGACCTCACCCGAGAAGGGATTGGCTAATATTCTGGATTTGAAACACTTCGCCGCTCGCACTTCGGCCGGGGTGTGCATTCCCGTGACCGTGGGCAAGGCGGAAGGGGACCGCACACTCCAAGTATCGAGCTTTCCCCATGTTGCTGGCATGATGGTGCTGTCATCTGCATCTTTGAATGTCATGAGCTCCAACTCTGTGTTTTCCTCTGTTCTCTTTGGCCAGGAACGCCCCGAGGGGCTTCATATCACAGAGCTTGTGCCAGGGTTTGACGAGATTCTGGATGTCCTGACTGAGGAAGACAATGTGCCCCTAGTGGACGGAATTGTCATTCCTGAACACAGCTTTCGGCGGGCACGAACGCTGTCCATCCTTCGCGATGGAAAAGCCAACGCAGCGTCAGTCTTCAACGAGCCCAGTGGCCTGTTAGCCAAACACCGGGACGGCTCGACTATTGTCGTGGATATCCAGTTGCGGGTGGTCAAAAGCGGTTCCTTCTTCTCCAAGGAGCAGGCGGAAAAGCTCGACTCCCGCAGCAGCGATTCAGATGACAGTGATGATACGATCGCGGTGACTGAGCTTGTCTACGCCTTGTGGATCACCTACTCGAGGCAAATCCATGCCGCCGGGGCCGCTGCTAATCTCTCGTCATCGTTGCCGACTTCTCCCACGCCCACTGCGTCAGATCGCCCATCCGCCGCCGGCTCCGGGACGCAGCCCATTGACACCAACAAACCCACCGTGGAAGTTCAAGGCCCGACCTCAACTCTGAGTCAACAACTCAGCGAAGCTGCCTCCGAGCCACTGACGGACCGGCCCGTCCAGCCGGTTCCCGAAGTCATGCCCGCCAATGCAAAGAAAGAGTCACAAAAACGAAGCATTGACGACTACGTGATCCTGGAGGAGATGGGCCAAGGCGCCTATGGGCAGGTCAAACTGGCCCGTCTTAAAAAGCAACCCCTGAAGAAGATGGTGCTCAAGTATGTCACAAAGAAGCGGATCTTGGTGGATACATGGACCCGTGATCGGCGTCTGGGGACGGTACCCTTGGAAATCCACGTCCTGGACTTCCTCAGGCGGGACGGGCTCAAACACCCCAACATTATGGAGATGGAAGGTTTTTTCGAAGACGACGTCAACTATTACATCGAGATGGTTCCGCATGGGCTCCCGGGCATGGACCTCTTCGACTACATTGAGCTCAAGGCAAACATGGACGAGTCGGAGTGCCGGGCCATTTTCAGACAAGTCGTGAGCGCAATTCACCATTTGCATACCAAGGCTTTGGTGGTCCATCGCGATATCAAGGACGAAAATGTGGTTCTCGACGGAGAGGGACGAATCAAGTTGATCGACTTCGGCAGCGCGGCCTACATCAAAAACGGGCCATTTGATGTTTTTGTGGGCACGATTGGTATGTTTTGTATTTCCTGGGATGTGCAGGGGGCGATTCAAGAATGCTGACAGCTTTTCTCTCCTAGACTATGCGGCTCCGGAGGTTCTGCAGGGCAAATCCTACCGAGGCAAAGAACAGGACATCTGGGCCCTGGGCATCCTCCTCTATACGATTGTCTACAAGGAGAATCCGTTCTACAATGTCGACGAGATCCTCGATCATCCACTCCGCATTCCCTTCCTCCCCTTCTCGGAAGCCTGTATCGACCTGATCCGCAAGATGCTTGACCGCGATGTCGACAACCGGCTGACCATCACCGAGGTGCTCGAACACCCGTGGATGATGGATAACTAACCCTCTCACACTTCCACACTTCTGCCACGCCATTTTGCTACGACCGAAAACGCGATACCCCACAAAGTTGATTTGGTTTTAATTGCTGCATGCGATTCTTTTTTTGCAGGGGAATGGGTATCTTTCCCGGTCGGGTGTGTAAAATTCCTCGGTAGTGCCTCGATCACTGTGCTTTGAGGGCAACCTTGATGGCTGATGACTATGAACATGCCATACTCTTTTTTTCTTCTCTTTTCTCTCTTCTTGTCGGGGCAATGCTTCATGATTTGCCAGACCTTTGCTTTTGGGATACCTATTTCTTTCTTGCATTGGATCATACGTGTGGACTAGAGATGCAAGACCATATTGCATTGCATGGCAAAAGAAATCTAGATATCATGAATCATGGACTTTTCGGTGTAGTTATAAGCCATAGAACATATAGACAGTGGCTCAATGTCTCTTGGCAACAACTAGTTCTCTGCAAAGTGGAGCCGGGGTGGCTCAGCCGGAGATATCAATGGAGGATTGGAATCGTATGATGTGCCAAGAGGCCCCCCTTGCGAATCACTGCCTCAGTGAATTGTCCAATTCAGACAGTTTTTTTTTTGTCTCGCCTCCACCGTACCTGGGTACCTGGGCCACATTTAACAACCGTCTTTCACAGTCCCACGGACCGCACCTCCCCGCAACTGGCGCCCCACTCATTACGCCCAGAAGAGCGAAAAAGACGAATTCAATCCAATCACGGTGGTCTCAGGCACCCTTATCGCCCCCTCTCGGTTGGTGGTTCCAGAGGCGTCTCTGAATGTCTTTCCTTGGAGGTTTTCGTGCACTCGGGGTGTTGTCAGCCGAGGATATGCCGGTGGCTACGGTCTCAGCCACGCAACTACTCAGCTTAGGTGGCACGAGCTGTCAGACCACCCCTCCTGGTCCTAGGTGAACAAGTAAACAGATGTAAGAAAGAATAGGTGTAGTCGAGGAATCAAGGAATAAGGAATCAAGGTGTTTTGTATACTTCGATCCTCTGCAGAATACAAAGGAATCGACGAATGGCGGGGCGATAAGCGATAAGAGGGGGAAGTACTTCTGGGGTACCTCGTCGACCATGCCACCGCCCATAGTCCAGGCGGGTCTAGTCGATGTATCGCGTTCCCCCATTCCAGTGCACATTCCGCCTTTTCCTTATCTTTTTGCTTTTCACTTTCTCTGCTTTCCTTCTTCTTCCTCTCCTGCTTGCTCTTCCCCTCTTCCCCTCTTTCTTCGTTTCCCAGCATGCCCTCCCTCCGTCTCAACGCTCCGGACCGCTCGGTACTTTGAACGTCACTTTGCGACAAGTCCCGCTGGATCGCCTGGACATTCCCATGGTTCGCTCGCCGTGGTCCCCCGACACAACGGCCAACGTGGTTTCCCCACCGATCTACCTCCTTCGTTCTGTTTTTCATATCTTCTTCTTTTGCATCTCTCTTCACACCGCAGAAGCTGGGCTGGGAACCGCAAGACAAGCACTACTGATCGCCAGCATCACTATGCTGATCTAGGAGCTTGCGGTGCAAGATCGCACGCCCCGTTGCTCCACTCGATCCCCACCCCGTCTGTGGCCCTGACCACCCCTCATCAACCCTTTGTGACTCTCGACATTGGAACCGGTATTCCCCGGAAGAGGCCTTTGAAGATCTTGGCAGGCCTGGAGATCTTCTCACGAACAATAAAAAAAACGGGTGCTGCAAGTGTGAACCTAACTCGTCAACATGGCTGCACGAGTATCCGATGAGGTCGTTCCCTCTCCCGAGGAAGTCTCGCCGGCCAGCCCGGCTTCCTCCAACGGCCAGATTCCGTTAGAGCAACCACCGAAGCTCAAGGGTCGTCGAAAACTACTACAGAGTCTCCAGCGCATGTCGTCTAGTCCGACGCTAGCCCGGCGGGGCCGGTCTGCGTCGACTGGCTACCGTCGAGACCATACGGCTTCCTTATCGTGTGTCTCGCTGTCTTCGGCGGCATATTCGCCCTGCTTGGGAAATGGCAGTTCGTCCCAGCTTTACGGGAGCCTCAATCCGCGCCCTGCCACCCCCGGCTGTTCTGGGTCTCCTGGTGAGTCCCAGGGCACGAATCATCGAATCCGTCTGGTGGGAACCGATTCCCCCAATATCTCCCAGCCACGCACGGCACCGATGCCCTTCGATTTAAGGCCCACATCGCGCGGCTCGCCCCGCAGAGAAGTGCCAGAAGATGACGATGTAGTGGATACAGACATTACTCTCCCGGAGTCTCAGCCGGCCAAGTCTCTCGACTTCTGGGGCGACATGCCCCAGGAACTCAAAACGGAGATCTTCCATTATCTGACGCCACAAGAGATTGTTCGTTGCTCGGCCGTATCTAAAAAGTGGAATGAAATGTGCTACGACGGGCAATTATGGACCAAGGTCGACACTGCCGAGTACTATCAGAAAATCCCGAGCGATGTTCTGGTGAAGCTCATCACCTCCGGAGGACCCTTTGTGCGTGACCTTAACTTGAGAGGCTGCGTTCAGTTGCGAGATAAATGGTCCTCGGATGGAGAGCGCATCTCAGATCTATGTCGGAATGTCGTCAACTTTTCACTCGAGGGATGCCGCATCGACAAGACATCTATCCACTATTTTATGCTCCGCAATCCACGTTTGGAATACATCAACCTGTCAGGCTTGTCGAGTGTGACTAACTCGGCCATGAAAATTATCGCCCAATCCTGCCCACAACTTGAAACCTTGAATATTTCATGGTGCAATAACGTCGATAATAAAGGCTTGCATCGGGTTGTCCAGTCGTGTGAGCGGCTGAAGGATCTTCGTGCCAGTGAAATCCGTGGCTTTGATGATCCAGATTTTGCGTTGGCATTGTTCGAGCGCAATAGCTTGGAACGGTTGATCATGAGCCGCACCGACTTGAGCGACCAAAGCTTGAAGACAATGATCCACGGCGTCGACCCGATCCTCGACGTGCTGACTGATCGGCCCATTGTGCCATCTCGCAAATTTCGACACTTGGATCTTCATCAATGTCCGGCGGTAACAGATGACGGCTTGAAAAGCCTGGCCCACAATGTCCCGTATCTGGAGGGTTTGCAGGTTTCCCAGTGCTCCGAGCTGACTGACGAGTCGATCATCGACGTCATTCGCACGACGCCGAACCTCTCCCATTTGGAATTGGAAGATCTTCCGGACCTGACAAATGGTACCCTCATCGCCCTGGCTACAGCACCGTGTGCTCAGCAACTTGAGCACCTGAACGTTAGCTACTGTGAAAGTCTTAGCGACATCGGTATGCTGCAGGTGATGAAGGGTTGTCCTCGACTTCGATCAGTCGAGATGGACAACACCCGAGTTTCGGACCTCACACTCATGGAGGCCAGCTATCGTGTCCGGCGACGCGGATACAGCGAAGCCCTGCCCAAAGTGGGAATGCGACTCGTTGTGTTTGACTGCGCCAACGTCACCTGGGCTGGCGTCAAGGAAGTCCTGATGAGCAACGCATACATCCCACGCGCTCGCAAGCCTGCTTCGACCGTTGTCACTGTGACACAGACCTCGGGTGCCGACTCGTCCCCCATGACCACGACATTTGTCACGCCTGCTTCCACTCCCTCGCCGTCTCCCACGTACGCGAGCCAGATCATCCAGCTCAAATGCTTTTATGGGTGGCAGATGACCGTTGACGAGCATACCAAGCGTGTTCTACGGGGTGATCTGGCCTCGGCGAACCGGCTGGACCGGAAATGGGGCGATTACATGATGGCTACTGAGGAAGCCGGCGCCGTTGGTGCGGGTGCCCGTCGCCGGCGACGCCGAGCTCGCGAAGCGGAGCGACTCTACAACGCCGATGAAGATGACGACGATACCTACGGCGTCAGTGGAATCTCCGCCCTAGGTGGTAGACGCCGGCGTGCCCAGAGCGGTGGCTGCATGGTGATGTAAATCGCTCATCGTTTCCGCCCACATTTTTCTTTTTCTTTTTTTGGGAGGACTTGATGCCTCTTCAGCTCTTGTCCTTTCTCTCTTTTTACTGAGAAAGCACCACGGCAATCTGGCTTGGGGTTCAGATGGCCTGGTCGCATGCAATCAACTCGTTCATGCTCAATGTTCGCCTCCTAGCGCAGGATCGCTAGCATTTTCAAGGTGGCACCCAGGCGTCAGCGCATCCATTTGGCGATGGATCTCCATGGATTTCATTTTCACTCTGCTACGAGACACGCACGATATGACCCTATTTCCTTTTTTGTCTTCCTTGGCGCTGGAAATCTTTGGATCGGGCTCTTCCTTGATGGAATACTTGCCTTCCTTTTCAGCCCTAACCCAATTCTTACACACACTCTCCGCTTATCCCGTCTTTGAGCGTCTTCCCTCTTCGATGCGTCCATTTTCTTTTTCTTCTCTCTCTCTCTCCCCGACTCATCCTCACATTTCTTACGGGCCCTTCTCATCTACTGTCATATCTCTTTTGGCCGAACCTGTCCTCCACTTTAGCATATGTAGATGGGGTTTGGAGGCGACAACGTTGGAGTTTTTTCTTTCCTTTCTTTTACTGTCTCCCTCGTCTTTATTCTGTTTCTTGATTCTTAAGGTCTTGCTAAGTATAAGGCTCTACTTTCTTTCCGGCTACTTCTGCAATCTGACCGATTTTAAACCCACCGTATGAAGCAATATGTAGATTCAACTGCTGCTAAGATCAAGCCGGGAATGAAAAAAAAAAAAAAAAAGACCATCAAGATCAAGGTATAGGAACTTTCTCGCCAACGGGTATAGCTTTGTGTGGGTGATGGTAATGGTGCTTGCTGTATGCAAAAAAATGCAAATAAAAAGACCTCCGGAAAGACATGCAAAAAAAGAAAAGAAAAGGGGTTTGAAAAAGGGGGACACCCCCGTCCTCCCCCCGAAATCATCACTTTCCATCCTTGGGCATCATGTTTCCTTCTCTCTAATTCTCTTCGTTGTCCTTCTCGCCATCCTCCGCAACCTCCTTCTCCTTCTCCTTCTCCTCCTTTTCGGAGAGCCCGAGCAGTCCCAGGTCTTTTTCCTCTTCGACAAAATCCATGGAGATGGGCGTTTCATCGTCCGTGCCCTCGTCGCCTAGGTCCTCGAACTCCATATTCGATTCCATGTAGCCTTTCGAGTCTCCATCAACATCGCTTCGAGCCCCAATAGCGCGGGGCTTCTTGTTGTTGGCGTAGGGCTTGGCCAGCACAGCATAATTAACTTCGATGCCGTGCTTGGCGAAGTATTCCTGCGGCATAATCGTGACAGTCTTGTCGTCCTCAGACTGCGGTCCACAGTGCACGTTGTAGCCACATATCGACCACAGCGGACAAATGGAAGCAACGCCTTCAGCGCTCTTGGGGAGGACAGTGCACCAATGGTGCGAGGAAGCGATCACATCACGGGAGCCATCCTTGCCCTTGTAGATCTTGTCGATGTCTTTGCCCTCGGCCTTGTGAGAGAACAGCTGGCGATCCACGGTGTGCTTGGCAGCCACCGCCGACGCAGGAGCGACGACCGCGCCAACAGACCACATTGGGTGGTCCTTGGCCGAGGCCGATTTGCGCTCTTGCAGGCGCCAGCCGATCCACGGGGCGTGCTCACGGCCACAGAGGATATAGTAGCCCTTGTAGATAGGGAAGAAGGGCAGCCCATGCGCCCACAGGATGGGAGCTGGGCCGGACGGGACCCGCGACGTGCGGATTTCGCCGTTGGCCGTGAAGTCGTAGGGGTAGTGCTCGCCGCGCGCCTTGGCGTTGATGAACTTGGTGGCGAGGTAGACGAGCTCGTCGCTGAGGCGCGTGTTGGTTGGCGGGAACGCTGGCTCGTCTTTATGGAACTCCACCAACGTCGCCAGCTTCATTTGGATTTTGTCTTCCTCGGTCTCGGGGTCTTGACCCGCGCCGTCTTTCTTGGTCCAGAGCTGCTCTTTGCCGAACTTGTTGTGGCCGTCGAGCAGCTTGAGGCACTGGTTTCGCGATTCCTTGAGAGAACGTTCCATCATTTTAATTGCGGGAACACTGCAAGCCATGTGGGCGTCCTTGAGAGGAGCCATGTTGCTTGATTTCACTGGACTCGTTGGAAAATCGGGTCAACAGTGTTGGTGAGGTGGCCAAAGATGAGAATATGTAGGATGAGAAAAAGCTTCGGCAGATGAGGTTGCAACTGAGAGATGAACCTGGCGGTGGCGATCATCAAAAGTCGCAATTTGAAATAGATCAGGCACCAGTGAGGAAGGCAAATTCGTTGAGCTCTCCGGTATGGATAACAGCGAAGAGTATGTGAAAGAGAAGAAGAGGAAAGACTTGAAGGTACGATGAAAATCGAGAGATCGAGGTGACGTCGAAAGTGAATATCAAGACGAGGATTGAGATAGAGACCAATGTGAAGATGAAGATGGAGGCATATCATAAGAAGAATGAATATTGATATATGACGGGGAAAGGCAAGCGAGACGAAGCAGAAAGTAGTTGGGGATAGGGGGTGGAGGGTGTGAAGGATGTCAAGGATAAATTGAGTCCAGGAGAAAGCTATCGGCGTGGGGTGTGGTCAGGACGAGATCAAGAGATTGAAGGTATTGACTTGAATGTATTGGCGCTGGATGCCACCAGAGAGCAAATGGATATCAAGTGAGAAGAAGTAGATGCTCTACTCGAAAAACCCGCCGTCGCTCTCTTCCTCCGCTTCAGCCGGCTGGGGTATTTTATGCGTCTGCTCTCTTCCTCGTGCTTTTTCTTTCGATGTCGGTTTGCCATGTTTTTTTCTCTTCTCAACAGCCACGTGTTTATCCTTGTGGTCTTTCGACCCTGCTTTCTTCGTACTCTTCTTCTCAGTACTGGTCACTGTTGCTGCACTTGAGACCGGAATTACTTCTCCATTGGCGTCAATATTCTTTTTTCCTTCACGCAAAAGATCTAGCGTCCCTTCTTCCATGCATTTGGCGACAGTTGACCAGAGAGGGGGCTTAGCAGCGTCAGATTGCTTCCCTTCCTGCCGAGATCCCGGCTCGGGCTCGGGCTCGGATTTTGCGATGGGGTTGTCCGAAGGCTTCCCTTGCGACTTGGGGTAGAGTGAAATGTACTTTTCCGTGAGAGGGTAGTAGATCGTGTAGTTGAGGTTCACGCGGGCTTTTCGGATCTTCTTTGCAAGATGGGCTTGTTGCTTGGAATCAAGGTTCTGCTCTTTCTCACGACGAAGGAGTCGGTTCAGCTGTTTCGTTGCCGTCTTGCGGTCTTTCGAGCAGACAGGAACTCGTTAGCATCACATCAAGTCTGTGGTGAGGAGGATCAACCGCATACCCAAAAACCGCACAAAGTGGTACTTCTTGATCATCTGCGACCGCTCCCTTCGCGCCGTCTCCTCGACAAGATCCTGTTCATATCCGGACAGAGCGCGCTCCTGCAGAACTCGAGCGTCTGCGGACAAGTCCTTCTTGTTGAGAAGGCGCTTCACGTCTCGGATCCGTCTCTTCAGATCGTTCACTGAGGGGTATTCGTTTTCATTTCGTGCAGGTTTTCCCTTGGAGTTGTGGGTTGGTTTAATATCCCCGTCGCTACCGTAGTCCTCAAATTGGATCTCGTCGGGGCTATCGGCCTTGCGGTGCTGCTTCTTTCTCGGTGCATCCTCCGAGCCGTCGCGGCTCTTTCGTTTCGGGGGATCACGGCGATTACGGGTGTCATTCGACATCTTCACCCAATTGCAGAGGAAGACAGGAGTTAGAGAAGCGCAAGAGAGAAGGAAAGATGGACACTGCGTGAAAGCCACGAAAAGAAAAAAGACATCGGCACATTGTCGGGCCGTCCCCGGATCCAGGCAGCCAATGAACGGCCAGCTGAATCCCTTGAGATCATCGGCTTTCCCTCTCTGCTCAATTGATTGTGAATTATCTACGCCCCCTCTGAACTGGTCCTGATACACGAGGGGGCATGGAGTCTGCTGTGCGCTGGTCCCCGACCTCGTCGGCCACCGAACAACGTTTCCTCTCGGTCGATGTGACGGGGAAGTCATTTCATCTCTGTAAAGTGGCAGGCTTTGACGGCAAAGCCTTGCGACACGAGGTGCTCACCACCCTGACCGATGTTCCTCTCTTCCGTGCGTTCGACTGGTCTACATCCAACGAGAATTTAATTGCCGTGGGGCAATCGTCCGGCGAGGCCACCGTCTTGCGCCTCGACGCCAACGCCAAGGAGTCTCTATCATTCCCGGTGCGCAACCAGCGATACTGCAATGCGGTCGCATTCAGCACCCATGGCCTGGTGGCATCGGGTCTTGACCGCGTCCGCAACGACTTCTGCTTGAATATCTGGGATGTGAATCAGCGACTCAGCCCCGCAGGCGGATACATAGGGTTTACTGAGCCATTGAGAAAGCTCGCGAGCTCCGAGCCTATCACCAGTATCAAGTTTTTCAGAGACCATCCCGACACACTGGTTACGGGTGTCAAGGGGCAATTTGTACGGATCTATGATCTTCGAGGTTTGTCGTGTCTGAGCTTTATCGGCATCTCTGTGGCGCTAACCCATTTCTTCGCACAGAGGGACCTGGCAATCCGTCCCTACAATTTCCTACTCGTTGTGTTCACAATCTGGCGATTGATTGGCTCGATGAGAATTATATTGCATCCTGCTTCCCATCGAACGAGAGCACCATCTGCGTCTGGGATCGACGCGTGGGATCCCGGCTGGCGTCGCCATCCATCGGTTCCTCTGCGGGCAACCCGGAATCAGCTCAAGCAGCGACTGCGCTGCAATTCAAGAATGTATTCAATCCCAAAGCATCGATCTGGAGTTTGCGCTTCTCCAAAACCAATCGAGGCTACCTGGGTGCTCTCTCGAGTACCGGCCACTTTAAAACCTATGATATCGCCAAGGACTACTTGTCGGAAGAATATCGCGCCTCAATCGACGACACTCTTGGTCAGGGCTCCTTCAGAAACTACCCGGAACCGGTCTATACCAAACACGTGAGGGACGTATGCGCGCCGTTCGATCATCCTGCTCGCGGCTGCACAGAAAAGGAACGAATCGTGACATTCGACTTCCTCAATTTCAACATATCTTCCCAACCTAGCGCAATCGCACTCGATGGAAACGGTCAAGCGCGGATCGTTAACACGCGGCCACCATGTGCGCCTGTCGATTTATCCTCGCAGGGGGTCTTGGCGTGTGGTGTTTCATCCAATGATTCCGACATCCGGGCGATTCACCCTCTGTCCGAGCATATTTCCCCCATCTCCGAGTTGGTTGAGAATATTCGGACACGAGTCCTGTCCAGTTCAAAAGACCCTGAAGCAGGGGCAAACAGCCAATTGCCCGCTTCCAGGGTTCTTGGCTCTGAGCCCGTCCCGAGCCGTGAAAACCGGGAACGTGCAATGTCGCTAGGGTCCCTTGGTACTTCACTTACTGCGAAAGAGGCTTTGACACTGTCCACATTGAGTCGATTCCGATGCAAAGAAGGCTATCTCTTTGATGAGGCCAGAAACCAGCAAATCCTAGCAGATGATCAGGCGCTGCAGGATTGTTGGAGCTGGGTCCAACGTGAGTTGTCTTATATCATGAACTTACAAACGAAGGTCTCACACTCTTGTTAGGTGCCCGAGCCGACTCGTCTGGGATGACCATGGTTGTCAATGGCCTAGACATGAACTATCTGGGCGTAAGAAATGTTTGGAACAACGATCTCGGTTCGTTTTTAATATGATATTTGCCCATGGGCCGTCACTGATGATCATCACAGGCCATGGCTTTGAAAAGAGGCGAATCAGCTCCAAGGCGGACGACCCGAAGAGTGTAGCGGAAGCGGTCATCTATTTAGCGGAACAGTTGAATCTGCCCGAAATCAAAGGCTGCGAGACGGCGTATCCGGAACACCGCCGTCTCTGTCTCCGACTATGTGGTGCAGCACAAACCCACCGTGAACTTGAGGAGTTGGTGAAGAACCTGTCTGCCGAGAACCAACACACCAAAGCAGCGGCCTTGGCTATTTTCCAGGATGAGCCCAAGCTCGCATATCTGGGGCTTCGGAGCAATGAATCTACGCAAGCCCATAAACTATTGTCTATGGCTATTGCCGGTGCCGCCAAGGGAGACAATGGGACTGACTGGGAGGAGACTTGTGCGGAGATTGCCAAAGAACTCACTGATCCTTACGCGCGAGCAATTCTTGCGCTGGTCAGTAAGGGCGACTGGAATGCAGTCATCAAAGAGACTACACTGCCCTTGCGGTATCGCGTAGAAGTCGCCCTCCGCTGGTTACCCGATGCCGAGTTGACCACTTACTTGAAGGAGGCTACCTCGGAAGCAATGCGCCAGGGGGATATTGAGGGTGTGGTGCTTACGGGACTGGGCCACAAAGCTCTGGGACTTTTTCAGTCTTACATCGACAAGTTCAATGATGTTCAGACTCCAGTGCTGGCAATGAGCTACACGGTCCCACGAATCATTAGCAACCCAGCATGCATCACTCAATTCGAGGCCTGGCGCGAAACCTACCGGCGACAGATGAACTCGTGGAAGCTTCAACTCGAACGCGCGCGATTCGACGTCGGGTCTCGTCGCTTCGCTGTGACCGTGGATGGCCGGAAGCTCACACCCGCACCACCGCAACAAGTCAGCCTGACTTGCAACTACTGCACCCGCCCGCTCACCCAGCACGACGCCTCCTCTCAGATCTCCCCGTCCGCAACAGGCGAAACCGTACACCCGACAGTCGGCAACCCGCTCGGGTCCTCCACCATGTCGGGGACCGTGTGCCCGCGCTGTGGTCGGCATATGCCGCGCTGTGGCGTCTGCACGCTCTGGCTGGGCTCGCCGGACCCGATGTCCCGCGCCAGCGTCGCCGCCGATGCGGAGTCCAACTCTCGCAAGCCCAGTGAGGCCGAGGTGATGCGGCGGTTTGTGGTTTTCTGTATCCATTGCAACCATGGATTCCATGCGCACCACGCGCACGACTGGTTCTTGCGCCATAAGGTCTGTCCCGTGGCGGAATGCAACTGTATCTGCGATCGGTAGTTTTGGTGGTTTCGCGAATATTTTGATTGGTTTTATTTGCATATATTGGTGGGACTGTGTTTATTGAGACATACTATACCCTTTTTCTTTTCTGGTTTAATTTAATAATATAAGATGTGAAGTGGGTCGCAGAAAATCTGGGAGGTTTCGACTTTGCTACCTCCTACGTGACTCTGCGACCTTCAATACGCGTTACAAAAGAAAGAAAAGAGAGAGAAAAGAGATAATTAGAAAAATAAATTCGAAAAGGGATTCGAAAAAGGATTGGAAAATTAATTTTTTAATTTAAGAGTAAAAAAAATATTAATAAAATAATAATAGTAGTAATAAAATGGCTATCTATACATTTAATAAAGAATAGGACCTCTTAAATAGGATACAATATAGAATAAGCCTTTTAAATCTAATTTTTACTCTCTACTACATCTTTCAAAGTCGCCTGAGCGAAGCGAAGGTCAGAGGAATGAATCAAATGCATTGATGGGTTCTTCTGACTCTGTAGTTCTGTCAAACGGCGCTCGATGATGTCAAAAACCTCCCACTGACAACTCCCCACTTTTTTTTCTCGGAGCTCGAATTCTTTCCTCGAGCATAGTGTCCTTGTTTTTTTTTTCGTTTTTTTTTTTTATGCTGATGGCATTGAGCAATATTACGAGGTCTCAGGCAACCGGTGAGGTTGGCCTGTGAATCACAGTGAGTCACACGTCGTGTCGACTCATTCTTGTCCCCAAATGGGCCACTGATCGTGGTTGCTCTGTGCCCCACCAGAAGATCTCGAGATCCACGACACTGAGCGAACCCATGAAAGCTCCTCGGTCTTGCGTTCATCCAATGTAACGACTTTATTTCTCGCGCGAAACCACAATGCCACAGAACAAAGATCGGAACCGCGGCGGAGGCCAGAGCCGTGAGGTGCAGGTCTCCAAAGCTCTGAGTTTCCTGCTCCGACATGCCGCAGAGAAGGAGGGGCTGAAGATGAATGCCCAAGGCTATGCAAATGTGATGGACGTGGTATGTCACTGATTTACTCTTTCGCTCTCCTATTGTCTTTCTATCTAGAGAGCTTGAAGAAGTCTATGTGAACGTGGCTGACCGGGTGTGAAAAAAGATGGCATGGCGGAAACTCAAGTCCCTCAAAGTCACCTTCCCCGAGATCATCCAGGCGGTGGGCTCATCAGATAAGAAACGGTTCGCCCTTCTCCATATCCCATCCGCGCAGCCCTCCGAACCCACCACCCAAACGACCACGGTGCCTGTGACCACTCCCGAGGCGGAACACCTGGCCGGCACAGTCGCAGCCGAGGAGGACCAGCCCTCGACATCAGTATTGGCCGCTGCACCGACCTCAAGCGAGGGCCAGCAAAATGCCACGCAGCAGGCATTAACCGTCAAGGACAGCGACCCATCCCACTTCCTGATCCGCGCAACACAAGGCCACAGCATCAAGAGTGTGGACGCCGCATCGTTCCTCGAACCACTGTCCTTGGCTGATGAATCGAAACTCCCCGACACCGTCGTACACGGCACCTTCCACGCCGCCTGGCCGGCGATCATGCAATCGGGCGGCCTGCGCTGCATGGGCCGGAACCACGTGCACTTCGCAACGGGTCCGTCGCTGGAATCCGTGTTAGCCGTGCATAAGAATGGTGCAGGGCATGGGAATACATCGACTTGGAAGGAGAGAGCGGCCGTAGCGCCGGACGAGGGTCGGGTCATCTCGGGCATGCGACGCGATGCACAGGTCCTGCTCTACCTCGATCTTCGCAAGGCGCTGGCGGCCGGGTGTCCATTCTGGCGCAGTGAAAATGGCGTCATTCTCAGTGAGGGTGTTCCACTAAGCAAGGACGGGGGTGACGAGAGCGGCGATCCGCAGCGGCTCGTGTCGCTGGACTTTGTCGATGTGGTGGTCGAGCGCAAGGTCGGGCTAGGCAAGATCTGGGAGCGTGGGCAGCAGCTGCAAGAACTGCCAGCGAACTTGACAAAACGGGGGCCTCCCAAGGGGAGGCGATGAAATGCTTGGAAAACCCTAGAGATCTTAGATTCTATTCTACTACCTCTACCTAGATCTACTTCCATGCACTTGGATATGTAGGGCTCAGACCCTATCACAGTCAACCAGGCCATTCACGCCATACACTTCTCTGTCTCTATGGATATTACTATTGCTTGATACGAGATCTTCGGATATTACCCATTACTCATTAAGATGCATAAGTATACCCATTCCATCATCTATATCATGCCCCACATGCGCCCCCCACCCATCGATCGGAAGCGCGCCATCCGACGACAAGCGGAAGCTCGCAAGCACATCCGATGAAGGAACGGGGTTGCGGGATTGCGGGGTTGCAAATAAGCTGCAGCGCGTTGGTCAGATCCGGGGCCTAGAGGACACCTGTACTTTTATATAATAAGCTCGCGACAGCCTCGTGGGTGACCTCGGTGTTTTTTTCTCTCTTTTTCTCTTCCTCTACTTTTGACGTCACCACAAATAAAACACAAAAACACCTCCGACAATCAAAACTATGGCAACGCACCGCTTCGATCCCAATTTCACCGACCATGTCGTCGGCGCCATGGGTCCCAAGACGTCGCCGCGGCTGCGACAGCTGATGACTGGCCTCATCCGGCATGTACACGACTTTGCGCGCGAGAACGAGTTGACGGTCGACGAGTGGATGGCCGGCGTGAAAATGCTCAACTGGGCCGGGCAGATGAGCGACGATAAGCGGAATGAGGGCCAGCTGGTGTGCGATGTGATCGGACTGGAGTCGTATGTTTTTTTTTTTTTTTCATCTTCTATAAAAGTGACTTCAAGGTATCCAAGTCCACTAATTCTTGTTGATAGCCTCGTCGACGAAATCACCTTCACCCTCGCGGACGAAGCCAAAGACGCGCCCACGGCCACGGCCATCCTGGGCCCGTTCTTCCGCGCCGACACACCGTACCGCCAGAACGGCGATGATATCGTCAAGACAAAGCCTGCTGACGGCGAGATGGCGTTTATGCACGGCCGCGTGATCGACTTCACGACTAAGCACCCCCTGGTGGGCGCTACAGTCGAAGTGTGGCAGGCATCGACGAATGGGCTGTATGAGCAGCAGGATCCCGCGCAGGTCGAGTTCAATCTTCGTGGCAAGTTTAAGACGGATCAGGATGGCCGCTATTACTTTTATTGTTTGCGGCCTACGCCGTATCCTGTTCCTGATGACGGTGTGTTTTCTTCTTCTCCTTGCTGGGGCATTTTCTGCAGAACTCATACTGATCTAATATCCTAGGTCCTGGTGGTAAACTCCTGGAGCTTATGGACCGTCATCCATTCCGACCTGCGCACATCCATATTATTGTGAGTCCGGCTCAAGTGTTTCTTTCTGCTTCAAGTCTAATTACATTTCCAGGCTACCTATGATGGCTACCGCCCTCTGACAACACAAATCTTTGATCGCAAAGACCAATATCTGACCAATGACTCCGTTTTTGCCGTTAAGGACTCGCTAGTTGTAGATTTCTTGCCACGCAAGGACGACCCTCAAGCTGGGCTTGAGCTCAATTACGACATCAAGCTGGTTGCAAGTGAATCAGCCACGAACGGCACATGAATGGCAAGGCGTTGTTGAGAGAGATTCAATTTTTTTTTCTTCATGTGTTAATTTATATGGCGATAGCGTTCTCCATACATATTGAAATCGAGTGCATGCATCTTCCACCGGGATGTCAATAAGAGAAAAACCGCTCCTCTATAACCTCACCATTGAATCAAACCCCTAGTCCCCTAATTAAGCCGCATCAGCCTTACTCCCCTCTAGGGTATACGTCGCAACCTCCCCCGCAAACCGAGCAACCAGTCCGCCGACATCCTCACTCGCCTCGATACAATGCCAGTGCCCGACACTCTTCAACACCTCCAGCTCCTTGTGCTTGCTCGACACCCGCTCAAAGATATGCCGGCACCCCTCCATAGCCGCAGACTTATCTTCGTCGCCGGCAATGAGCAGGAACGGGACGCGCACGGCAGCATAGTCGGGTGGCTGGGCGCTGGCGATGGCACGACACAGCGCGGCGTAGCCCCGCGGATCCTGGCCGAGCAGCAGCTCCCGGATAAAAGCTTTCTGGAGCGGGGTGGCGCGCGAGCCGACGGCAGCGGAGGGGATGGTATTGGCCATTGGTTCCATTCCGGCTGGTATATAGAGTTAGCGGTTGCAAGGTATAAATCAATAATCGACAATGACTATTATAAAACGGAGGGATATTGGGAATAATGCGAATATATAAACTCACCCTCCAAAACCGTGTCGGCCCTCTTCCCCATCACCGACACCAACGTCTCCGACGGATGCGTCGGCCCAATAGCCACGACGCCCTGCACGCGATCTGGGAACCGCGCGCCCAGCTCTGTTACGACAATCCCGCCCATCGAGTGGCCGACCACGACGGCCCGCGCGATCTTCAGCGCGTCCAGCACGCCGACGACATCCTGGGCGATGGCGGGGATCGACACCGGGTCATTGGTGTACGGCGAGCGGGCAGCCCCGTATGTATCGAGGGTGATGCAGCGGTGGGTGGCGGTGAGGTGGGGGAGCACGGGGAAATAGTAGTTCTGTGAGGAACCCAGGCCATGGATGAAGAGGAAGGTCAGGCCGGTTGTGGCGGGAGGGCCGGCGGGGTGCGAGTCGGCGTAGTGGAGGCGGTGGTTGTTGGCCTGGACGAAGGGCATGGTGGATTACTGAATGTAAAGAGAGAGAAAAGGAAGAAAACGAAATATTGTAACCAGAAGTATACTACACAGAAGAATGGCAGCCAGAGGACATTGAAATATAGTTGATTGGGGTAAGTGTAATGCAGACGATCGAGTGTCGTCATTCCCGATCTGCGTGTGTCGTTGATGGGCTACATCCATCGAGCATCCAAGCCCGAAACCGCCGCTCTGGCCCGTCGGATGAGCTTCTCGTCTTGCATATCGCTCGACTTCTATACCCGAATGCATGCAATGTGCTATCCGAACAGGGCGGATGTCCATTCTCGACCGTCGGGCCGACTCCACTGCCAAGACGCCTGCTTCAGATCCAAGTGAAGCACAATGTATCAACGCCAATAATGCGTTTATCGTGGTAAATCCAATGGCCCAAAAGAATCACCATAGCTACCAGCGAAGGCTTCTTCGAGCAAGTCCGCAGTTTCATCTCTGAAGGAGTCTCCGAACGAGACCATCGCGCTAGCCGTACCTTTCGGCCGGCTGTTCGAAGGGGGCTGGAGGAAGGACGATGGCCTGGGGGTAGGATGGTTCGTTGTTTCGTGGAGTGGTTGTGAGGTTGCGGCCGCTTCGGCCTCTTTCATGATATCTTCATCGTTGAAAGCTGAACAATCAGAAAATTCGTCGTCGTCTTTGGGCACGCATTGGTTCTTCCTGGTAGAATCGGGACTTTTCGAATTCTCGAGGACGCCCGCGTCCTGGAGGCCAGATAGCTCCTGTCCCGAATTTTCTTCCACATTATCACAAGTGTCGTCGTCGACCTCGGTGTCACCAGCCTCGCTGTCCGGCTCCGTATCTCCGCCATCGCCCTGGTCCCCGGTCTCGGTCGGCAACGGCTCCGCAGCAACCGGCGCAGGTCGCTTCGCCAGCCCCAGGAAGTTCGAGAGCAGCGGCTGACTCGAAGGAACGGAGGGGGCGTGGGGGTCCGGTATCCCGCGGCGCTTGCGTTCTTCCCGGACGCGGGCCTCCTCCTCAGCCTTTCGCTTCTTGTTGGCCGTGCGCTTCTTCTCCTTATCACGTATCTGCTTTGCTCGGCGCTCGCGCTCCTGTTCGCGCTCAATCCGCTGCAGCTGCGAGGCGGTGAATTGGAAGGGCTTGTTGCTGCGCTGGTAGCGACGTCGCACTGTTCGGGATTTCTCCAGGACGACGCGCCGCGGCTCGTCCGGCATCGTAGGAGCTACCGAGGCGGCGACTGCCTGGCGATGTCCCGGGCATGGAGGGAAGATGGAGAGGTGTGGCTGGAGAGACCTGCATGGATGTTGCGGAGGTGCTCGTTTGTCGATTATTTTTGGGTTGGCGGCATTACGTTGTGCCGAGGATCAACAAACTGCCTGATTGGGTGCTAACTACTTGGGTGTATCATACAACTCATTCGCAATTTTTTTTTATGCCACACATCTCCTTTTGATACGCGTTTAGATCTTACATTCCCGCACCGGATCCCAGCACACGGGCGCATACGAGTCGAGCTGCAGACTGGCCATATCCTCCTCGGACAGCGCAAAATCGAAGACTTCTGCGTTCTCCACGATGCGCGATTCGGTCACCGACTTGGGCAGGGGCACATATCCCTAGCAGAGAGAAACAATTGAATAAGCATGTCGCTGTGGTTTCTTGGGCTTCTGCCACTAAAAATGAATCATCGCCACGTACCTTTTGCAAGCTCCAGCGGATCAGGATTTGCGCGGGGGTCTTGCTGTGCTTCTTAGCCAGGTTCCGCAGAACCGGCTCCTGCATCCGCGTCGCCTGCACCAGGGGCGAGTAGGCCTCGACCACGATGTTGCGCTTGCGGAACCACTCGGCGATGTCCTCGCGCGGACACCAGGGGTGGATCTCGTACTGGCCCACGGTGATCTGGCCGCCCACGCCACTCTGGATGTACGTCTCCAGCTCCTCGAGGTGCTGGATGCCGAAGTTCGACACACCGAGCGACCGGATCTTGCCCGCTTTCTGTGCCTCCACCAGTGCGCGCCATGCGCCTTGTCGGCCTTCCCTCCCGCCGTAGGGTGCGTGGAGCAGCATCCTAAGAAACGAAGAGTGAGTATAAAACCGAAAATGGAAATCCTTGGAATAATATCCAGGAAAGAGCATACAAGTCAATATAACCCAGGTTCGCCGCTGCGATGCTTTCCTCAATTGCCTGCTTTGCCAACTCGTATCCCATCATTCCCCGAGGCACCTTGCTGGTGTAGAAGATCTGCGATCGGTCCACTCCTGACTTGCGGATGGCCTCAGCGCACTCCGCCTCGTTCTCGTAGTATTTGGCGCTGTCGACCTGCGGTAGCAAAGTCAATTTGCGTTCCTGCGTGTGGCCCAGTATCGTGTATGTCACTTACATGGCGGTATCCAAGCTGCAGGGCCTGGACGGTCACTTTCTCGGTGACATCCGGGGGACTAAGCGTGAATCAGTGTCTGCGAGATGAAGGCCAAGGCGGCGGCAGCGTGGACATACGTTTGGTAAACCTAATTCCGTGATAATATCATGTTAGAAAACGGAGTTTTTTTTGGTGTCTCCTCAAATCGAATTCTCCATGGGATGAGAGATACTTACCCCAAATCCGACAACGGGGATTTCATAGCCGGAGACCAGCTTGTACGTAGACTGAAGCGAGAGCGCCATGGCTGCAGAGGGACTTGTGGATTAAAAAAAAAAGCGAAAAGGTGAAAATAAATACAAATATTTTGGGGAGTTGGAGAGAGCAAACGAAAGAGAGAAGAGAAGAGAACTCTATTCCTTTCTACCAGACCCCTACTCCAACAACAATACACAATCTCGCTGACACAAACCGCTTCGGTTCCGTAATTTCCACAGTCTAAGGGTTTCTTCAGGGCTCCATTGGGTAATTTGAGCCCATGCAAAGTGGGGAGCATGGGTCTGGCTTTGTGTGCTTGGCCGATCAGTGGCTGATCAGTGCGACGTGGGGCGCACCCTGAGCGTTGACTTCATAGTATGTCTAAGCAATTAAGTGAGTTGCATGTAGACCAAGTGAACTTTGAAGCTCTGTGAACATGATCTGCCAAGGGACATCTGCTCTCTTCCGAAACTGTAAAATTTAGGACATTTCACGCGTTATCTAAGCATCAATCTGATATTATCTGGTGATCTTATCAGATTGCCAACATTTTTGACTCAGTATCCCAAGATGAGCTCTCTCAAAATTACTTCACGTTTCTCCCCGTTGATTTTCGAGTGTTCCGCAGAGTGTTTTCTGCTGTCTCCAACCTGCCCTGGACGTCATTCTTCATTCTGCCGGATGGCCGGTCGAGCAGTTCTTTGGGCGGTCGCCCAGGGCAAAATGATATGGCGGGGCATCATCGCCGTGAGCAAGAACAGCGCGCATTATTTGGATTCTGCCAGCTACAACCTCTGAGGGTTGATCAACAAACCCGAGAATCTTATATTCGATCCAATGTTCCCATCCAAGACATGACAACCATCTTGTGATAGCGTGAGCCTCCCATTCCGGATTTGAGTCGACATCTACGGCACGCTCGCGACCATGCGCCTGATAAAAAACAAAATCGAGCACGGTGGCTCGGGGACAGTCACACTCTCTCCAGAAGAACCCGAAGATATGGTACATATACAGCCTCTTCCCCTTTCCCCTCCTTATATCTGCCTCCTCCACACAGGTTTTCCCAGTATGATCTCGCTTTTTTAGATATCGAAAAGACTCATGTTTTAATCCTAGTGGCATGCATACAACCTAATCCGACCAGGCGATCTCCTCCGCGCAAGCGCCATCCGTCGCGTCACCAACGTCCAAGACACCGGTTCCACGACCTCATCGCGCGTGCATCTGACTCTCGAGATCCGCGTCAAGAATCTGGACTTTGATCCGCAGAGCTCTCAACTCCATGTATCTGGTCAGATCATGAATGAGACTTCCCACACGAAGATTGGCCAGTACCATACTCTCGATCTAGAACTGAACCGCAACTTCACATTAGAAAAGGAAATCGGGGCCGATGGCGAGGGTGTGGGCTGGGACAGCATTGCTGTTGAGATGCTCAAGGATGCCGTGGACGAGGGCGGGAAACGGCGTGCCGAGGCTGTTGCTGTCGTGATGCAGGACGGTCTGGCGCATATCTGCTTTATCGGCCAGTTCCAGACTATTCTCAAGCAGAAGGTTGAGATGTCGGTGCCTCGGAAACGGCAGGGCGGAGGGGATCATGATAAAGTAAGTATACTTGCTAAACAACCGTGCGAACTGTGGGTTTGACAGGCTGACACGTGAGTCAGGGAATGAACAAGTTCTACCGGGTGACGCTCGAAACGCTCCTACGACAAATGGAATTCAACACCAGTATCACATCAGGGAATAACAACGAAGCCGTGCGGCCGGTCCTCCTCGCCTCGCCGGGATTCGTGGCCGCAGGTTTCCAGAAGTATATCCAGTCCGAAGCAGCGACAACCACGCCAGCACTCAAACGACTACTACCCAGTATCGTGGTCGTGCATTCAGCATCGGGCTACATGAACTCGCTCGCCGAGGTTCTACAGTCGCCTGCAGTCAAAGCCATCCTGGCTGACACTAAGTACGCGCGCGAGACCAAGCTGATGGACGACTTCCTGGAGCAGCTGCGCAAGGAGACAAACAAGGCGACGTATGGTCCACGAGAGGTAGAGTCAGCCGTGGATCAGGGCGCCGTCGGCCGCGGCGGCGGCGTGCTCATTGTTTCGAACCGACTGTTTCGTTCGCAGGATGTTGCTGAGCGGAAACGCTGGGTGTCGCTCGTGGACCGCGTCCGCGATGTCGAGGGCGGCGAGGTGCGGGTGCTCAGTTCAGATCATGAGAGCGGCAAGCGTCTCGATGGACTGGGCGGCATTGCGGCACTCCTGACCTTCCCGATTCCGGAAGAGGAACTGGATTCGGACGAAGAATGAGAGATATAATTCCCCGTGAATAGAGTAAACCTTGCAAATGCAGCCTCACGAATGACCTGATATATGACCCAATATGCGTGATCATTTATACTATACTTCGTGAGACTCTCGTGAAGAGATAGGAAATGACAATACTTGTCATCGGCTCTTAGCAGATGCCGATTGAGAGATCAACCCATGAGAACAAAACACAGCATCCATTTCTCTACGCTGCACTGTTGGTGATCAGCCTTCGGCACCAGCACGAGTTAGCTGCAATTTGGAATTTCCACAGAATCAATCATTCTTGCGAGGTCCTGTTGGTGGTGGCCATGTTCTTGGGATCTGGTACCGACCAGATGGTGAAGGCGGCGATGCATCTGCGACCTGTGATATAGCTGGGATACCGGGGCACAGAGAGAGAAGTGAGTGTGTGGGGGGTGGTGAGGAGGGGACATTAGAGAGGGAATGCGAGAAGTAGCCGATCTGATGAGATCTGATGTAGTAGCTAGCATCTCTGGTAGTAAGTTATGTAGATGCCTGCAAATCTTTGAACAACACAGCCTTGCTCTAGATTCCCGACACCGAGATCGAGATCCCCGAGATCGTCTGCCTGCATATTCGTAGATTCCGGAAATGCACCTCGCGATCTTCCAAGATGTCACAGCCGTCAAGGGTGGTTTTTATATAGAAACGACCCGTGGGAGAAGAGCCTCGCCACCCCGCATCAGATAGGCGGATGCATGTCACGTGAGGACAGAGTAAAAAAGACGTTGAGTGCGGCTGAAAGGGCTGAAACGGGTCTATCTGATTGGTGAGATTCTTGCGAGCGACAGTATGCACCTGCCTATTTGGGCAGGCCATACTAGAACTCCCCGACCTGAAGATCCTTGGCTTAGTTTCTTATCTTTTTTTTGTTGTTTTTTTTTTCCTCTCATTTTTTAATTAGAATTATTCTCTATCTCATTATTGGAATAGAACCGACCTTCCCACGTTGTCTCCTGACGAAGGGACCCCATTTTTGGAATTCTCCAGAGCTGCCCGTTGGTGGCTTGGCATGCCAAGAGGAATGAATATCCAGTTCTGTTTTTAAGTCTCGACAACCCACACCATGAAACAAATACAGAAAAATACACAAAAACGAAGAAATAAAGAAAAGGGGTGGCCATATTTCCAACCCGCCAAAAAGGTCCAAGGAGTTCGGGGGCTCGGTGTGATGCTAATTCCGTGGATCGTCATGCACTAAAGAGGTAGTCCAACAGTTTTTGCGGGCATGGGATTGGTCCTGAAGTTTGAATCCTTTGCCTTCCTTTTTCTCTCGTAGAGCCCCGTTTGTCTAAAACAGCCCGGGCAAGAAGGATCGCCGCATCGGCATTCCACGGATAGACTAGAGGTGAAGAACCACACAGCGTGGCCTTGTAGAAAAAAGCCGGATACAACAGGGATCTACAGATAGCAGAATTATCAGTCCATGCCCTATCCCTGGATGTATTCATGATAGATGATACAAAGAAGTAAAATTACAATCAAAATATCCAACCAAATGGTAAACCACCGGGAACCCCCCAATCCTTCGCTATGTACAGGTGCCGTTATCCCAGAAAAGAAAAGAAACAAGTCCCCAAAAATATATACGTAGAAATCATGAAAGTCGTCTGACAAAAGAAATACAAGCCCCCCTAATTTCGGACGGCTTTTGCTTCTCTCTCTGCCGGGTCATCCTCATCCCCGCCCCCCCCCAGGACTGGCTTTGGGCTCACTTCTGGGAATTGGGAGGGGAGAGAGGTGGGTCAGATATGGCCGAGGGAGATGTACCCCCTCTGTCTCGCCATTGTTGTTTGGTCTCGAGTAGCCGAAGCTGGGCTTTGCACTGTTCGGGGGTGTACATTTTGCTGGCGCCAAGCTCAATCATCTAGTAAAGAATAGTCAGATAAAAGATACAAAATGAAAATGAAAAGAAAAAAAAATGAGAAGGAGAAGAAAGAAAGCCAGGAGTAGATTCTCACCTTTTCTGCAAGGAAGCTAAATTTCTCGGTTTCCCAGGTCTCATGGGCGCAGACGAGCAGTTGAACCTATAACACACAAAAGACGATTAACAAACCAGCCAGACAATAAATTTATAGACGGTCACTGTAAAAAACGACAGCCATCCGCCATGGCACTTACTTACATCATTCTCTTCCCAACGCGCCAGCCGATCTTTACGGCGGCGCAGAAGGCGCATCTGTAGACGGGCCTCAGAGGCATCTTTATTGAATTGGCGCCGGAACATCTCCCGAACAGTCCGCCAGGAAAGATTCTGCTCGCGCAGCCTCTCCACGAACGCATCCTCTTCTTCAGCTTGAGGATCACGGCGTCCACGGCCGCGGGCTCGCGGCCGTTGATGCGGCTGCGGAGAGGCGTGACTGCGCTGGCGCTCCAGTTCAATCTGCTGCACGCCCTGTGGGTGCGGCATGATGTTGACGGGGGCATCGCGCGAGGAGGGCGTCGGGGGCGTGTATCGCATGCGCTTGAGAGCGGGCGCGTGAGGGGACATGCTTGGGGTGATGTGGTGCATGCCGTAGCCCATCTCCTCGGTTGCTGCGTACATGTACCCCGGGGCAGGGGCTGTGCTCTGGGGGAATTCTGTTGGGAAGGATACATTGATGCCCAGGCCTTGGGGTTGGGGCAGTGGTTCGTTCACGCCGTACTGGTATTCCAGGGACGAGCATTGGGGTGAGTGCTGGCCCAGTGCTGGGCTCGATTGGTATGAGCTGTCTGGAAGACTGGTCGGGGTGAGAACGCTTGATGGAACCATGGGCTCGGTACAGTATGGGTGGTTGACCCCGACAAAGGTGGATGGATACGCGGACTATTCGGATGAGTCAATCACACCGGAAATGCAAGTATAGATTTTGGCATGGCATGGCATGGTTCATGGCTTTGTTTCTAGGCCAAAGGGAAATACATACCGTGTCTAGTTCAGACCATTGGCCTGGCATGCTCTGATAGTACTCCGGGATTTGCTGGTCCTGGGGCAGCGGGATATGCCTGGTTGATCTCGAGACAGACATTCTGAACTCCTTGAGAGTGTTTTCTCACTGCGTGCCCTGATTGGAATAAGTGCCAATGTGGCAAAAGGTGAAACACAGGTTGAAACTCGGTGGAGAAGTAAAAGGGGATTTGCAGTGAGGATGGCGGATTTTTCGAGATAACTTTGTATATCAACCTCAACAATCAAAGAAAAAGGTGAAGATCAAAGGTGAGAATTCAGATTTTGAGATGGATGATTCGCAGACCCAACAACGATTCTTATAGATCTTGCCGGAGGGGAAAGAAAGAGGGGGGGGGAGTAATTCAGTCAATAGAGTAGCGAGGTATACTCGGGCTGTGGGCGATAACACCGGGGATATCTTTGCGCGTAAGGAAGAACAGCAATTGAGCGGGCTAAACTATAGGCTCAGAGCGCACCAAAAGAAGCTCAGAAGCGCCGTGCCGGCATAGAACGTGAAAAACAAAAGAGGCGTGGGAAACCATTTGCAAGTGGGCTCAACCAGAGCCTATATTTAAGCGCCCATCTCTCTTAACACTTTCCAGATGGCCATGAGCGCATGCCCGGCCCCAAATGCCCCCCATACCATCCCCCCGGGAAAGTAGCTCGGCCTTCGACATACTGATATAGGCAAGTCATTATAACTCGGTCGCAAGGTGACCCACTCGGGTATTTGGCAACGGGCAACATTCGAGGGGGATTGATAGGGAAGGCCCCGTGGTTTGGTCTCGTTGGGTTTGAGTAGTCGGGTGGATCATTTGTGAAAAAAAAAAGGGCCAAATGACAGGTGGAGAGGATTGGCGCTGATGAACACATAATGCTGGCTAGGCAGTGCACAGGCAGAGGCCCTAGAGTGCCCTAGAGGTGCCTAAAGTCCCTGGGGCCTGAGTTTAGTGCACAAGGGGGATCCACCCGGCTTCCGTGGAAGCTCCATGGAGTATGGACCCCACGGTATTAGGGCTTTTGTTATCCACGCGGTCTTCTGCACAATACTTGCAAGTTTATAAGATTTGCCCGATCGTTTCATTCTGCTTCTGCTGGGGCTAATTCCAAATTCAAATACGTTCTAGTTATTCAAAGATTCATAGATCTAGTATCCACAATCTCAAATCATCCATATGGCTTTTTTTTTCGTATTTGTATTTTTTCCCCTCCCATCTGAATGGAAATGACCAGGGATGGCAATCCTTGAAGGTAAATCTGTCCCCCAACAGCGGGATGTGACTGGATATGCCTGCTCGCGTGGTGAGGCTGAGGGAATTGTGTTACCCGCGCGGTGGTTCTTCCACTCGGACTGGTCCACGCTGGGCTAATCAAGCGCCCAGGTTAGATCCCTGTCTTTCATTATTCTTGATTATAAATTCTTGATTTGCATTCTATAATTCAATTCATATTTTTTTATGAGGCTGAGCACATTGATAATCTATCCACCGTTATCTATCCATTACGTCCAGAATGCCATTTGAGTAGAAAGAAAAGTAAAGAGAATCTTCATATTCCAAGGTTGAAAAGTGAATTGTTAATCCAGGCTATCAGATCAAAAATCAATTAAAAACAGAATAGGATTGGCTCCATCGTATAGCTAAACCACCGTATGGAGCATTCCATGTGTACGACATTAACCTCTAGGGCCATACACTCCCGAAGGAGTGAAGGAATCAGGGGATCCAGCTTCCTACTAAAGGAAGATCGTCGAAAAAGCTTCAGAACTTGGAAAATGCACAAGCATCCCAATTTTAGCCCAGCCAAATAGAAATTCCACTCGCCCCCACCAAACGGGCTACTTCTTTCGGGTCATACGACTGGATTCAGTATCCTTCACTCGCCTAGCAGGATTTGGGGGCTGGTCAATGCTCTTGTGAAACGGGGCTTGGCGTTCCACCCCAGACAATATGACCGCCATCCACTTCATTACTTTATTACTTTATTACTTCATGACCTCACTGCTCCGGGGGTGAACTATAACCTCGGGGTTCTCAACCATTACCCCATCTGGGTAATGTGGTCCCCCCGGCTCGTTTTTTTTTCGAATCCTTCGACGGGTGCTCTGTCGGGCCAAAAATAAAAATAAAAGAATAAAGACGATCCACATAGGAGACGGAAGCTTAAAAGTAAAATTGAGAATAAACAAAATCCCAAATCTCCACCGAGAGCCCGGTCAACGTCCGTGGCGATCACTGCGTGTATGTGTTGGTTTCGTGCCCCAGAAGAATGACTATTCAATCCCCGTCAAAACTCATCGTCGCTGTCATCCCGAGATTGCCCCATGGTGCGACCATGATCCTCCAGGGTGTCATCGGCTGCGATCGAGACTCCTCGAGCGCCCCACCGATTATGAGTCGGCCGACCCGAGTCTCCGTCTTCCTCGTCCCGGAGATTCTGCTCCTCGTCTGCTGAGGTCCGCGACGCCCGGAAGTTCATCACGCGGTTCACGAGCCAGCTCTTACTATAATCTTCCGAGTCCACTACGCCCCCGTTGCGGAGCTTGACCCGTTGGCGCGAGTAGTAGACCCAGGCAAAGTCGACGTAAAAGGCGGTTTGGATAATCCCGAACACGAGCGCCACGGGGTCCCAGAACATATCACTCCCGAATCCCCGGACCAGCCAGTTGAGAATATAAAATGCCCGGTATGAGCCCAGCGCAAGGAGATAGTATGAGTCAATTACCGTTGGGACGGTCGTCTGGCGCAAGAGCAGAAGCTGCGGCAGAACACATACGGCCTCGAGAATGATAGAAAAAGCCCAACAGAGCTGTGTATGGTACGATTAGCGACTGTACCTGATTGGTAAGCGGAATATACCAATGTCTACAAACTCACCTCCAGAAACCATAGACTCGGAAAGCCGCCCTCAAAAACCAGAATCACAAAGGGTGCCAGCACCACTGATCCGGCCACAGACCACAACCCAATTTTCCATGCTCGTTCCCTCTCCCTCGTCCGCGGAAACACCTTCATCATGATGAAAATCACGTAGGATGATGAGACGAGGTAGAAGATCTTGAAGCACAGGTTCCACAGCTTCAGCCATGGATTGGGTCCGCCCAACGACCACGAGGAACCTCGAAATAAATCCAGATAGCGGGTAACATACACCACGCCATAGAGGATCTGCGTGAGGAGCGAGACACCTAATTGAGAAGAGCTGTCAGCACTTGAATGTTCAGTACTGTAGTTCCAGCCACCCCCATCAGATGGGTGAGACCTACCCTCTGCGCTCCTGTTCTTATGAATTGCCCATGTTAAGATGCAGATCGAGCTGAGATGAGATGTATCGGCTAGGATACGAAAGACATTCCACGACATCCTGCTCGGGGTGCTGTCCGATCGGGGGGAAGGGAAGTAAAGGTGATGCGTGCGGAGAAGATGGGGAACGGTTTATACGTAGGGCGAGGGTTGGCACCCTTTCGGTTACCATAGGTGATCCCGGTCAATGTATAGCTAATGAAGTCCAATCTCAAGGAGCTTATGGTGAGCTCGTGTCTGGGTATAGACTCGAGAAGATGAGTCGGGCGCACGAATTGTGAGGGGGTCTCCTTCATTGCGAGTTGACAGCACTCCACATGCGCGTGTCCTCACGTGATGGCTGACGTCAACAGCACAAAGCGGTGGACTCGAGGGAGCTTTACAATCAATACATAAATTCCTGGATTGTGTGCTTCATGTTAGTTTTCTGTTTTTGGGTTTATTATGGGTTGCTAACAGGTTCAGTGATTTCGTCTGGGGAATGTTTGGGCGGCACCTAGGGCAGAACTGCCGATGTATATATCAACACCGGTACTCGGTAGGTGGGGATAAAACATCTACATTTTTAATATGCCAAAACACTTGAGCACTCATGAAAAAAAGAAAAACTTATCTGGGAGCTTTCTTAGACTCTGGCACTGACTTGAAGATTTCAGTAAGCACACTGCGAAAATCATATACTGAAGAAATCATATTTATGCTCTGGTGGTGTATATTCTGCTGCAAGTAAATACCAGGGCCACGATACTGATAGGCAGCTGACATGCAATATGATAGTTCCAGTTGACAGGATCATTTGAACCGAGGATGATATTATCACGTTAGGTGGAATTGGCGAGGTGAAAATCACCGCCAGACCCTCAGATACTGGCCTCTGCTATCAAAAATCTATGGCTTGTGAAAAAAAATATACCGAAGGAATCATATTGATGTGTCTTTGATTGGGCTGTAGAACAGAACCGACACCAATAGCCCGTGAGGTATCCTGGATAAGTCAGTAATGGCCACACCGGGACCCGTGGACAGGCTTGATTTATTTTGGCGTGTCATTATTTCGAGACTGCACGATCCCTGATCGTCCTCGAACACGACAGCATGGTGCCAAATATGTCTGAGATCTTATCAGCTTCACAACTAAGCCACCCTACCACAGATCAGATCTGACAGGGTTGTGCGTGAGACAAAAAATATGCCGAATCTTGAGAGGCTGTTTGTATCGATCGAGCAGACCCGGACCAGATCTCGCGCACCGATAGGTCGGGAATGACAACATCCAGATCGACAAATTCCTCCCATTTCCTTGACCAAGGATGACGAAGAGGGGGAGAAAGACTGGTGGCTTCATGCGAGACCCTCCTGTGGCTGATCTAGCCTGTCCCGTCTCGGGTTGGACGGTCAGTTTTCTCCCTGCGCTGGATCTGGCATTGACCAAATCGTGTGTATTGCTTTGGGCGATTGGATGTCTTTGCAATGAACCAGAGCCTCCGGCGCATCATTCGCTGGTAATTGGGTGCGCTGGCTTGTCATCCTCGCACGGGTTGTGAGATCTCGCCGGGTCACCGGACTCTGGACCAGGCCACTCGCGCTTCGGCCTAAATGTCTCATGGAAGCTGCGGGACGTGTCCATCCTGCGTCTGCATCGCGTCGCCGAATTGGAACGCAGCACGAGCCATTTGTGACAGGGCCTTCCGGCATCGGTTCCTAGGCTCGGGAAGAACGGTGGAATGCACCGGAGATCGAGAGAGGAGAGGGTTGGAGGGTGTATTTGAGTCATTATCATCGTCATTCTCTTGTACTGAGGTACCTTAATTTTTGTTTGGCGTTGACAGCCCCACGAGGTCGCGAGAGAGAGGTTCAAGGCACCGAGCTCATAGCAAAATGAAGGCATCGAAAAGAGATTGAGGAACAGAAAGAAAGAAATCATTAAAAAAGAAATCAAAACGCCAGACAAATAAACCTTTAACCCCCATCAAAACAAAAATGAAGGGGAGTTGAGGGGGAAGTGCTATTAATATGGAGGGCTCGTTCAATTCCCGATGTGATATGAGGTGACTCCATCCCCGCTCCCATCGTTCCCTTTCTCTCTCCTTCATTCCTCTACGTCTCTCGCGCGCTTCTCTTTCTTTCATCTTGTCCACCACCCCTCCAGCCTCATGTTCTCCCCGTATTCGGAAGAATTCGAGGTCCCCGATTCGACTCTTCGACCATGCGATTTTGACCTGTGAGCTCACCTCCCTCTCTTGTCCTGACTCCACCGTCTTCCCCCACAGGAGCTACTCCCGGAGTGTCTGGACTGGTCGCGCACTCACATTTCCTATTTCTTCTATTTCTCCCCTTCCTGCTCTGGTTCTGCCTGGCGCCTGTGTCATCGTTAGTGTAACGAAAGCCCACCTTCCCTAGAGTTGACCCAAGGCGCGCCAGTAGCAGATCTGCTAACCCCCCGACGCGGCCTTTTGTGTATGTACAGATGAATCGGCACAGTGTGATTGAAAACTACGCGTGTCTTTCACCATGTCGTAAGTTCCTCGTCTATGATCTCCGTCTGCCAACGGGAGGGAGACCTGGGGTTGGAATTCGAGGGTCGCGCTTCGTCATGCTCTGTTTTCATCGCACGCTTTACACACATATCACTGTTTCTTTGTTTCGTGTCTTCTGCTTGATCTTGCTGACTTGGACTGGTTCAGTTCCCCCCCCGACTTCTAAACGAATCAAGACCTCGGCGACCACCAGCGCCCCGCCGCATCTTCTCGCGCAACAACAAGTCCATCCCTTCCATCGCGTGCCAACGTTTGAAGGCATTCCGATCCCTACCGCTCCAATACCCCCTCCCCAGCCCGCGACGGCGTCGCGCAAACGGCCGCCTTCGCCCGCGACCGGATCTTCCACCATGATGGCTGCGCCGATGACCCCTGCGGGTGGTGCGATCGAGGGCGACCCGGGTGCCATTCCCGGTGCCGTTGAATCCACGCCCAAGAAGAAGGGAAGGACCAATACCCCATGGACGGCCGAGGAGGAACAGAGATTGAAAACAATGCGCGACGCGGGTCGTAGTTGGAGTGAGATCGCAAAGGTGCGCATCCATGTGGTGCTTAGCTGAAGCCATCGCTAACTCTGCTTTTCTTTTCGCCCCTTTCAGACCTTCCCTACTCGAACCGAAGGCAGCGTGAAGAAACACTGGTATAAGGTATGGTTCGATGGCGGTTCGCGGGCTATGCTGATCTCACTGACATTGCGCGCAGGACATGCACTATGCCGAATTTGCCGAGGATGAGGTATGATATCTTGATCCTTATACCCCTGGCTATGTCCACTAACATCGATATAGTCCGCCAAGCTTCGCGAAGCCATCAAGGAGTACGAGGCCAATAAGTGGAAGGTCATTGGGCAGAAAGTCGGCAAGCCTGCGAAGGTGAGTTAGTTCATGGGCAACATGGCGTGCATCTCGACTGACAGTCGGCAGGCGTGCGAGCAGTATGCCAAAGAGCACTTCAAGAATCTCTGAGGGCTCGATGACCACTGATGAAGTGATGATTTTCCATGCATCTTTTATGAATTTGGCATTCCCCCGAATCCTGCGATTCCATAGCGATGCAAGTACCATCAATGGCCGTCGGGGGTCTTTGATTTTTACAGGTGGAGTTTAGTGATCTGGTCTCCTATGATTTTCATCTTGTCTTTGCTGTGTGTCTTCTACCGCAATCTGCTTTGTGGCAAGGCGTTACGCCACTCCTGGGTTCAGTAAAGGGGGGGGGGGGGGGTTCTTTATTTTATCTATTTTCTCGACTACATATGATTCCCACGTTGTTTTCGGTGGAAAAGTATTGTAGACCTGTCGATGCATCACATGGTTTGAGTCGGAAAACCACCGATCACGGCCGATCCTTTTTCCCCCGCGGTAAGACATCCTTTGCCTCCACACTTCATCGAGAGAAAAAAAATCTCCGCCTCCGCTGCATTGATCTGAATCGCCTTGCATTTGCGAATCTCATCAGGTGAATTTCTTCAATCACTGCTCTCCAATATCCTCCAGGCCCCTCAGCTAACGAGGCCTGTCTTTTTTTTTTTGGCTTCAGTGTGACTTTCCGGACTGTGACACATTCTCCGCTGCTCCAGTACAGATCCCTTCTCACCTCCGAGGGACGGCTATCATGAAGACGAGTAGCGTGGTTTTGTCTCGTGATCAAGGTATCTAGGGTAAACCGTCTGCATGAAGACCGGTGTTCGACAACTCCGTTGTCGTTCTGAGATCATACGGTTGAACTTGATCTGGATAATTCCAGCGAAAGGACTCATGCGCGCTTTTTCTTCTCCTTTTTTTTTTTCAATCCGATGACATATTGGACAAGACTGACAAATCTGCAGCATGGCTTCGGAAAACGAGATCGCCACTCTAGCGGTGCGCTCCAACAAGGAAGATCCAGCATTGCAACCCTCCGAGCAACCAGGCAATTTGGGGAATAAACACGATGCGTACTATTCGGGGCAAGAGTCGTCAACCCGCAATCCGATTGGATCGCGATTGGGCTCACTGCTCAGAGCGTTCGAGCAGCAGCTGGTCGAGTACAATCTGGAGGCGCGTGGCATTGAACGGGTTGCCGAGGACGAGCGCATGAAGCGCCTGTCGTGGGTGTCGTACCTGCAGGCCTTTTTGCTGTGGGTGTCAATCAATCTCGCTGCCAACAATATTACGCTGGGTATGCTCGGCCCTGCCGTGTATGCGCTTAGCTTCCGGGACTCGGCGCTGTGTGCTGTCTTTGGTGCCTTTGGTGGTGCGCTGGTGGCCTCGTGGATGGCTACCTGGGGTCCTATTTCGGGGATTCGGACCATGGTGGGTGTCATCTCACATCTGGTTTTTTTTTATGCCGGAGACTAATTGATATGGAGGCATTCGGACGGTATTCCATGGGGTGGTGGCCCAGCAAGATCGTAGTCCTACTAAATCTTATCCAAATGATTGGATATTGTCTGATTGATTGCGTCGTGGGAGGTCAGATCTTGTCAGCCGTGTCCCCTGGGGGAATGTCCGTAGCTGTGGGTATGTGAAAGAGCACTGTTGAATCTATCGAGAGATACACTTATTGACACTCGTCTTAGGCATTGTCATCATCGCGATCATCAGTTGGGTGGTAGCTACGTTCGGCATCCAGGTCTTCCACTACTATGAACGGTTAGTCTCTAAGTGGATTGCTGTTGTCAATGGTGTTGCTGACCGAAAATATCAGATTTGCATTCCTGCCCCAGTTGATTGTGGTCTGTATTCTCTTTGGGGTATCGTCCTCGAAGTTCGACTTGACCACACCCTCTCAGGGTGATTCACGGACGGTAGCCGGTAACAGGTTGGTCTCGAATGGAATAGCAGAATTCAGGCATATTTCTAATGCTCTTGTGACACAGGCTGTCGTTCTTCTCTCTTTGTCTGAGTGCAGCAATCACCTATGCGCCTCTGGCCGCCGACTTCTTCGTCTATTACCCCGAGCACACTTCGCGAGTGACTATTTTCTCCCTCACTCTCACTGGCCTCCTGTTCTCCTTCACCATGGCTTTCCTTTCCGGAATTGGCCTCGCCTCTGGGATCACCGCTTACCCGGAGTATTCGGCAGCGTACACGCGCGGCCAAGGCGCCTTGATCGTCGAGGGATTCGGACCACTTCACGGCTTCGGCAAATTCTGCTCCGTCGTAGTAGCGCTGGGATTGATCGCCAATACCATTGCGCCCACCTACTCATCCGGCGTCGACTTCCAGATCCTGGGCCGCTACGCGGAAAAAGTGCCCCGCGTGATCTGGAATACCGTCGGAGTGATTATCTACACCGTCTGCGCCTTGGTCGGCCGCAGCAATCTCTCCGAAATCTTCACCAATTTCCTCGCCCTAATGGGCTACTGGGTTGCTATCTGGTTTGCCATCATACTGGAAGAGTGGCTTATCTTCCGCTTTCGAAGTGGATACAACTGGAGCGCGTGGCGTGACCCCTCCAAGCTTCCTGTCGGCATTGCGGGCTTCATCGCTTTTGTCGTTGGCTGGGTTGGGGCTGTCCTCTGTATGGCCCAGGTATGGTATATCGGGCCCATCGCGAAGCTGGTGGGCGATTATGGCGCCGATGTAAGTTAAAGATGTTCCTGTCTCAGTGAGATACTATGAACTGTGGTTGGGCTGACATATTCGTGTTTAGATGGGCAATTATGTCGGGTTCTCCTGGGCCGCGGTGACTTACCCGCCCTTGCGATATCTGGAGCTTCGCTTTTTGGGCCGCTAGTTGCTAGTTCGATCTATTTGCTGTTCTGCTGCAAAACCCCCTGATTGCAGGGTTGAGTCATTGAGTTTATTATTCCAAAGCCCCGAAGCATTGCCTGCTCAACTTGCTCGAGACGTTGCATTTATGGGTATATTAAGCATTCAACGCTTATTTGGGCCAACGCGGCGGAGAGGGGAGAGCTGTGATTCAAATAGCTATCTACCTTACCAAGAAAAATGAAAAGTCCATCACATTTACCAATTCCAAGCGTCTCATTTCCACCAACCCCCATTCCTCGTGCTCACACTAGTCCACGGGCCCTGGTCCGCATCAGCACCCGCCCCCCAACGCCCTCCCTCTAGAATTCAATCATCCTATTCACGTAGATAGTGGACTGGTGGTTGATTTCAACCCGTTTATATATGCACCTAACAAACCAATGGTAGATTTCGACAATGTATGATCCGAAAGTGAGGATTAGAAGGTCGAAGAGCATCGGCAGAAGAGTCCTATCCGCCAACAGGAAGAAAGACGAGAATAGTAGCTTGAACATGTCCACGGGTGTTATTGGGGGTAATAGTGGATACATGTCAGATATCATGCATGCAACGAATTCAGTTGCTATAGCTCTATACAGATGGAAAGGAATACGATGGAAGAGATACTGTAGATCAAATGAGATGCTCAAAACATATAATTAAGAAAACCCCGGTACTCTCATTTTCATCCACTGAGAACTATTCTACAAAAGAGACGGACGAGTCAACGGTGACAGACAAGATACACACAACACAGCTTCATATCTATGCCACAACTTGCGAACAAACAAGAAACTCCGGATTTACCGGTACCAGTAATCGGGCTTGACGTAATCGGCAAAGGTCTTGGGCTCGACGTGGGGAGGGTGGTGGTGGCCGTGGCCGTGGTCGTGGTCGTCTAATTTGAAAGAAGGTAAGGGTTAGTTCAACAATTTAATTAGTAGCGCGAAGAGACAGTCCAAAACGTACGGGCGTGAGGGTCCTCCTCAGGACCAATATAGTTCAGCTTGACGACGTTGCCGCACTCGTTGCAACGCTCAAGGGGGCGCTCCCGGGACACCTGGATAGATAGAATCAGTACCAGTATCCGTGTGGTGTGTAAACAATTAACGCGGGGTTGAGCAGGCGTACCGTCAGCCAGTTGACGTGGTGGGAGTCTGCGGGGAAGCCAGTGCAACCAGCGTACTGCTCGTCACCGGCGCCGTTGACGATGATGGGGTCCTCAATAGTTCCTGGATGTAATAAACCGTGATCAGCTGCCTATCACTGAGATTCGACGCGAAGTATTACACATACCCTTTCGGGAGGCATCCAGGGGCCGCATGTCGAAAATGTCGATGCCCTGCATCTTTCCGATGAGCTCCAGACGCTCGAGACCGGTGGCCTGGTTGAAGTCGGTGGGGATGTTGCCGGGCTTGCCACCCGGGGGAATCAGGTCCTCCTCAGACTTGATCTCTGGAGACAATCAAAGACGGAAAAGTCAGTGGTATGTTTCGTGGACAAAAATCCGACACCAATTGCCTTGCGTGTGGCCCGTCGGGGGAAAAGGTTCCGCAATCTCTCTAGTCTTCCCAGGTCGCACGCAGCTCAATGGTATTTGTATGACTCTCGAGATCACAGAGTCGGTCCTCCTCCCGCTGATAAGGACACGAACAAGTCAATTGGTGGTGGTATCGCGGGTTGTACGAACCGTCGAACGACAGGATCTTGCCCTCATCCTTGGGGGCCCACTTCTTCTCGTTGCCTGTCGAGGGTCACAATTTCGCGTTAGCTGGTGATCAGATACAGTTTATGCAGGTCCGATTGCTGGAAGAAGTAAATCGGGCGCAATTGAACTGGGGGCGGGGGGACAATTGGCCGAGGACGATGTCGGTGTTGGATCATGCCATGGGGATTCACGTACTGCGAACGATGGACGAGGAGAACGGGCGCTGAGCGAGAGTGAAGGCGCGGGCGGGAGAGCGCCTCGCAAGGGCGGAAGCGGTACGCTGGAGGAACATTGTCCTGTATTGCGAGGGGTGCAGGATGAGTGGAGGGCAGGAGGACGAGATTGAATGAGGGAGGGAGTTTGGGCGAGGTTGGCGAGTTTGAAGCCGCTTTGGCCCGAGAGCCTCTGATTGGTTGATGGTATTGGAGATGAGTCAGCGCTGATTGGGGGGAGCTGATACGGTGGGTCATTGAGACCAGGGGCGCAGAATGTCTGTTTTGGGGAGCTTAGGGCTTAGGGTATCATTGTTTATCGATCATGGTCGGACGATCTATAAAAGCAGCTGCATGCTCTCCCAGACTCTATCTGTACTACACGCATCATCCCATGTTCAAGGCTCGCTCCCGGCATGCTGCCGGGGTAAATCCATGCCCAACCTTGCCCGCAATAATCCGCCAGCGGTCCTTTTCATACTCCTCCATCGCCCGCTGCAGCCGTTGCAACTATGCTATCCGTCAGCATTGATGTAATTATTGACCTCCCATAGAAGAGATACAGGGGAAATCAAAGTACATGTTTTAAGCAGCATACACGTACCATGTCATCGTTCCAGATCACATCCTTGGCCTTAAGCTTAGTACAGTAGCGGACCTGTAGCGTCCCGCTCGTCCGGCCCGGGAAAAAGTCAGCAATCTGCTTCCAGGTCAGGTTTTTATTCTCCTTGAGTTCTACAAGGAGCGCATCGTCCTCCGGTGTGAACTTGAGTTTAGGGCCTCGAGGCCGAGGCGCAGGATCGGGCATTCCCGGCTGGCCCACGACACTGGGAGGGCCGATTGGTAAAGGGGGTGACGCAGAGCCATGGACATGACCAGTCTGCAGCGACGCGTGTGAAGGTAGGCGATGGTGGTGATGGTGTTGGGGGAGAGGGAAGGAGGTTGGCGAAGCAAACTTGTGTGTCGAAGGCGCATGCGACGGCGACGGGTCGCTGTACACGGGGAACAGCATGTCGGGAGACGCAGCCGGCCCGGGCCCGTCCATGGGGAGAGCGTGCATGTTCTGGCGGATTCCCATGTTGTGATTCAATTCACGGCTGTCGTCGTCTTCATGCTCCTCGGACCGAGCTTGCTTCCGGCTGTCTTGCGGTGGGGAGTACCCGTGAGCACTGTAATGGGCGGGAAGCTGGCGGGGAAGTCGGTTAGATGCGATATAGGCTGATTGAGGGTCGTGGTGTACGGTTGATGGAGAGTGGGAAATTCTCGCTACTCTGGCTTGTGGATTGCAACCAAAGGATGACTGGGGGTGGTTATCAGAGTGAAAGTGAATATCGGTCGCCCTATCCGAACGCAACGATTGAGGCGCACCGTAGGCGATCAGATCATCATTGTCAACGGCTTTGCCGTTGGCATGATGAGGATAAGGGGTCGTTAGGGCTCGATACGGATCCGCCAGTGTCGATGACATACATTGACGCTGCTAGGGTCTGGAGCCCTGGCAGACGACCCGAAAAGTCTGTCGAAAGGGAAGAAATCAAAGGGGATTTAAAAATATACTCCCGGGATCAGGGAAGCAAAGAGGCTGTGGTCACATAAGACGTAGAAAACAGATACCTGGGGGTGTAAAGAATGAATTGCAATATCTCACGCCACCCCAAACGGTCTCGCAGAGGCGAAGGACAGGGCTTTATTCTTTCAATCAAATGGAGGCCATAACTTGCAGTCCAGGGAATTGAAGGGACATAGCGTAGGAAGCAAACGACAGCAAGAACCCAGACACTTGATTCACGAGGACAACCTCCCCACGGAGACAGCTATCTATATAACCAACCCTTAGGGGATGCCCTCGCATCACGGAGGCCTGCGCGGGCCTGACAGAGGAGATCCCAGACGTGCCGGTGTTCAGCCGGAGCGTGCGTTGCCTGGGCTGATTTCACCGGCTTCAAGTGGAACGGAATGCACGAGGAGAAGGTCACAAACAGCAAAGCGACCAGGGGAATCCATCTTCCGCAAAGGCATCGCCTACGGTTTCTCCTTTCTTTCGCCCCCCTGCCATTGGGTAGCCTTCCTATCTTTTCCCATGCCCTGGTTGAACATCAGAGACAGATAATCTCAAAAAAGAGGACTATTCTCGTCTCGATGCAATAAAACCACAGTAATATGGGAACGACTCCATGGAACCCAGAGCCCAGAGGGGGGAACAAGGAGCACGCCAGGGCAAGACTAGGGAAGGACACGCATCGGCAACGCGGAAGGCATGGTAACAATCGAAGCAAGCCCGTCAGATTCCCAGGGAAGACATGCGGACAGACAAGCAAGTTCATTCGCCGGTTGGATGTTCCATGCAAGCTCTTCATGGGGAAGTTGGCGGGAATAGCATCGGCTGATGGACACCATCTCGGTTAGTCAAGTTAGTGACAGCAAGCCATTCGTCGTCGAGTCGGGGCCGCTCGGGACAGCCAAGGCCTGCGAGGATCAATCACAGAAGCCCACACTAAAGGACAGGGAGGTAGACAGGGGTTGAAACATTGATCGCGCCCCAAAGTCGAGATTGGCGGACGTGGTGAACGTGGGTGGTCGTCTTGACACATTGCGCTCCATCCATCTTGTTGTTCTCGTTTTCTGGGTGATTTCATCTCGCCACAAGTCCATTTCTCTGGGTGAGTGTGCCAAAGAAAGCCATCTGGATAGATTGACCGGGGGTTAGTGTCGCATGCGGGCCGTCAAGGATCGATCCGTCAATGCGCCTTGATGGGGACACCCCTCTGCAGACTGTGAATGGCCGTGAAGTTGATCGTCGCCCTCGACACGATCAATGCATGTTCGTCTATTCTCTTTGTTTGCCAAATAGGCTTCAGCCACCCCTGGTTCTCGGATGTGATGCTTTTCTTTGAGAGCATCATGTCTTGCTTCCCCCCATACCCAACAGTAGGGCTTCGGTCACCGGCCGAGTGGCTGGTGGCGTCCATGACCTGCGCCCGATATTCTGAGCGTATCATCCTGCGGCAATGTCCGGAAACACTGGGGCTCCTTTTCGTAATCCCAACGGGAAATGAGAGAAAGGTGTGGCTGCCAGGTCCCCCACGGTAATGGGTGGATTTCAAAGTCGGCTGCAAGCCCTTCGTATACAAGTCAAATCACACAATCGAGACAAATCCAGTCCCTTTGACATTCAATGGGGGTGGGAAAAGAGTCAATACTATACAAAAATCCACAGTTGCCTTCTTTTTTTGCCCATCTTGATCCTCGCTGCGATACATGAATTATGGTGGCCGTGATACAGAGACACACAGAAAAGAAACAGAAAAAAAAAATACAGACGCCTTGGGGGAAACAAGGAAACAGAAACATTTAAAACAACAACGCCCAACCAATGGAGGTGCTCACGCAAAGTTGTCAGACCGATCGACCCAAATGTCCTCCAACTCAGCAAAGTTTTGGAAGTGCAGGGGTCGGTGCTGGTCGTCGTAGAATCTCAGCGGAGTATCGATCTTCACGTAGATGGGTCTCTTCTCCATACTGCTAAATGAGCTACCCATGAAGCTGTAGTTCCACACATTATCTTCGGGCACCAGGAAGTAGCCACGGATCTTGTCACTAAGCAGCAGCTGGCACTTCTCACCCATGTTGGTGGAGAAGCCCTGTGGCTGGTCCGAGGTCGTGTCCTTGTTCTCTGCGCCCCACTTGTACCCCTGAGGGGTGAGGCCCCAGGCGGCAAGCGAGACGGATCCGGGCGTGAAGGAGACCGTCATGCTTACGGTCTTCTTGTCCCACGAGGGGTGCGTGTTCATCAGGCGCGCGTGCTGCGTGACATCTGACGCAGACATATACGGCGGCTCATTGCCCGAGACCGTGTGGATCACGCCAAGCGGCTCCAGGCCATTCAGGTAGTCATGCTGCGGCAGTTGCTGCGGAAGCTGAACATCGCGCGTGTTGCCGACCTGGGGAATCATGACGATGGTGCGGACCTCCTTGACCTGGTCGTTGTCTGGCGGAGAACTACCATAGATGTAACCCGTTACTTGGACCCGAAGATCGGCGATGGTGATGAACCGCTTGAGAATGTTCTTCGGCATGATGTAGGTGTAGCCATCCTCACGAATGTCATCAGAAGAGACATAGATATTGTTGGACCTCGTCCGGAGGTTCGAGGTCGCGATAGCTCGAGTGCGCCACTCAGTCTTCGATGCGAACGACTGCTGTTCGTACTGCGATGTAGTCGTGACGATGATGTCCTCTCCACGGACGTTCTGGGTCTTGGTTGTCACAGCGGTGAGCTGCTTCTGCTCCTCCTGCTGCTTCTCGATCTCCGCGGCCTGCTGTCGCTGCAGCGAAGGCGCACTGATCTCCATACCCAAGATGATGTCCCGGACTTCACTGCTGGTCAAACTCTGCACGTTGACGTTGTTCTTCTTGCCATAGTCGTTCAGAATCAAATCACGCAGCTGCACTTCGACCTTAATCCAGTCCTCGTCGGAAAGGGACGGCCAAATATGATGTTCCTGAGTGATCACGGTCTTGTCGGGCCGAAGAATGATCTTGGCCTTGTCGATGTTGACGTGAAGGGCTCGAAGAATGAGGATGAGTCGAGAGAAGGCAGTGTACGGAGAAATCGACTTCAGCCATTCGTCGTACAGGTTGAAGAGGACCATCTGAGGCTCGGTGGCCCGGAGAATCATATCGGCCAGCTTCTCCACCTTCATCGCAGCCTGGAATGGCAGCTGAAGTTCAGATGCACGAATTGAAATGTTGGGGAAGTCGAGCAGATGCACTTCAAGGGGATCAAGGAGACCCTTTCGGGTGACAATGAGTTGCTTCGGCTGCTCTTCCACAGGCAGAGACCGAATAAGGGCCGCAACTTCTTCAGCCGTTTTCCATTTGGCCAACTGACCCAGACGCTTCTGGCCGGCCCAGACGCTGGTGTGAATGATCTTCAAGAAGAGTTGCCCAGTCCTAGGATTGAAAATGAAGATCGCACCGTTGATAGGCTTGGTCGTCAGGTTACCTTCAAACGTCTTGTGGATGGTGACACGATAGACGTTGGTGTCATCGATGAACAGCTGGATCTGCGGACTGAAAAGTTCCGAGTAGTTCTGCGAGTTCAGGAACTCCTGGTTACTCTCCGAGGCGTACAGCTGCAGACCCTTGCGAATACGCTCCCGCAGCACATACAAGGCTGGGTTAGCCTTCATGACCTTGGCCATGGCCTGCTGCACCAGCGTCTTCAGACCCGGGAAGTACTGTCCATACGCCGAGTAAAGGTTGTAGGCGAGATCGACGGCAATCATCAGACCAGTGGCGGATGGATAGATACTCATGCTATCCGTGGTGTAGTCGAGATACTTGGCACGGACATATCGTTCAATGTCGTGGGAGTCGTAGTCACCGTATCGCAGCTGCACATCAAGCCAGAACTTGTTGGTCGTGGTGGGTTCGTAAACGTCCTTGGTGTCGAACAGAAGAGAAGGACGGGTGACGTTCCACTTGTTTGTCGCGAAAAGAAGAATATCCGCGCAGGAACTGTTCATCTTGTACGATTTACGTGGGTGAATCGTCTCCTTCTGAACTGCCTCGATGCCAAGCTGCTCCAACTCCTGGTCCAGGACTTGACACAAATCCATGACCACTGACTCGTGAATCTTCTGCCACAAGTGTGCACGGAAAATTTGAATCAAAGAAATTTTCAAGGTGGGAATTTTGCCGTGCAAGAAAATTCCAGTGAGATCCAGTTGCACCTGGAACCCAACGTAGACATTGGCGCGGTTGATGGTGGGGGACCACCACAACGTGAACCGACGGTTTGGAATTTGATTCAGACCCGATCTCTGAGCATTTGTGAGCTTTTTGAACTTCATAGACTCCTCGAATCCACTGTTGTGCAAAACAAGATAATCATGGCGAAGGTAAAGTTGGTCTTGATCAACTCGGAACCCAGCCCACTCTGTCGTTTCGGGCTCAAGGCTGATGTCTTTGATCATGAAACGATGAGATTGGGGAATCATTCGTGCAAGTCCTCTCTTCCGAGCAAGGAGACAAGGAACCTCTGCCACGTTACCGAATATCTGCGCGAAAAGGTGAGGGAATTGCTCCGTACGTTTCGGATTCCACATCAGGCGTCTCTTCGTCCAGACACTAAGACCCAGGGACCGTGCCAACGCGACAACATCCCAGAACAACTTGGCATGCCAACGCTCACTTTGACTAAAGCCGAACATGTTCTCCGGATAAACGTACCAACCGTCGCTGTCGATGAGCCCGGCAAGGACGGCCAGACGCACAGATCGGGAGTTCTTCATGTAAATTGGCGGGATACGTTTGACGTCTGCCTCGGGGCCGGGCGTGGCGGCAATAAGACCCAGACCCTGGAGGGATTGCAGGAGCGTGTTTACGCCGGAGGCCCCGTGAGGTCGGTCCACAATCTCACCAAGCAGTTGCTCTTGCTCTTCGCCATCCAGATCTCCGTACGCCCGGCGCCCTGTTTGGAGCCGATGGTTACGTCGACGCCGAGGGAACTGCGCGGCCTGTTCATACGAGCTCAACTGCGACTCTTGGCTATCGACATCCTGGCTGCCAAGTTGGACGTCGTCTTGGGGATCGACGTCATCCTCGCCTCTACCAGCTTCTTCGTCCTCGCTATCCGTCTCGAGCAAGTCAAGGTCAAGTTCCGCGTCTGCAGTTGGCAGGGGATCTACGGATACCTCGACCTGCTCGGCCAGCTGGAGAAGCCCTGAATCGGCACTTAGCTGGGAGAGAATTTCACCGGCGCTCAATTCCGGGATCTCGGCAAGCCCGAAGTCGATGGCATTGTCGGGAATGGACTCGGGAATCTCGTCCGGAATCGAGCCACCGATATCCAACCTGGCATCTTCTGACATAGAGTCAGGGACCACCGAGATACTCGGGGCCTCGGCCTCTGATAGCAGAGTAGCCGGATGGATATCACGCGAAAGAGAGGTTGAGGTTCTAGACGCGGGGCGGTTCATGGAAGTTGGCGCCAACTCGTCGGACAAGGACGGACGCTTACGACGGGTGGGGGTAGTATCGGCGCTCGAAGACAGGCCACGTTTGCCATGCGGCGGCAACTCAGGGTGGGGCGACGCGGTTGCCACTTGGGACTGCGGACTAAGGTTTCGGCCCTTGCCTTCGAGCCGTTGCTTTCTGATGGTCTGTCGGCCCTGGCGACCAAACGGACGCCGAGCTTCGATGTCCGACTCTGGCTTGGTCGGCGGGAGAGACGGCGCCCCAGGATGAGGTTTGCCAACAGTTGCGTAGCCAAGTTGGCCGTGCCAGGCAAGGTTCAGATCCAACTCGCCCGCATGGTTCACAAGGAACTCACGGATTGTCTCTTCATGGTCGGTGTAGGTCGTGGTGAACTTACGATTCCCATCGCCAAGCCAAACTCCGAGGAAATATGGGTTGACCGGCACGTCCTGCTCGGGCAGCTCGAAGCCGGGGCATCTGACTACTCTGTATCGGCGTCTTTCATTGGCGTCGAGAGCAGCGAACTCAGCAGCTGTCATTTCCACGGTATCATAGCGCTCCGCGGCTGACACTTCCGGCAACTCGTCGTCGTCGGCAATGGCTTGCTGTTCGGCGTCCTCGCTTGGCATTGACGGGAAGGCGTATGACCGTGCGTATTTCTTGTACTTCCGGGAACAGTACACACGGATTTTGAGATTGGATCCACCCCTGTTCCAAAGAAGAAACATGTTCGGCAAGTTGGCGTCAACCTGCAGCTCTCCACCTTTACCATCGGCCGACTTGGCGAGGAACCGCTGCCGAAGCGTACCAAGGATGACCTGACCTTGTGAGTACAGTTCACGGCTCTTGGCAACGGCAGCAGAAAAAGCGTCTTCCTTGGTTTGTAGAAAAACGGGCGGGTGGTTCGCATGGCCTTTGATGTTGGTCCGTTGAGGATTCCCCCACGCGTACGTAAAGTAAACGCCATTTTCTTGGGAATTGGTGACGCAATAGCTCTCCTTGTGAGTCTTGATGCCGATGGTACCATTGAGCACATTCTGTACGACGCTGGCACCCGAGCCACTACGTTCGGCGTTGAGGACCCATGCGAGGGCACTTTTCAGCGCAGACAGGAAGTCGCCACGGTCCTTGACCAAGTTGTTGGGCCGATCGGACGCCGCCGGGCTAGAACTTGGCACCGGAAGTTCACCAAGCCGATCCCCAAACCGTTGGACGTGGCCTTGGATGGATGGCCCAGTGTAAAAATTGGTGCCCTTCTTTTCACGGTGGAGAACCAGAATATGATTAGGCGTGACTACCAGATCTTCTTTGCTGGCGCCAATCTTGATCCGGTAGAGACGGTCTTGGCCATTCACGATGTTGAAAGCACGGCGAGGTCCGCCGTCAGGGCCAAGAAGTAGGTCTCCCTCTCGGACATCCTGGACCTCAACCTCGCTACCATCGTGCCGAAGCAGCCGTGTGCCCTTGGCAAGACAGGCCTTCTCCCAAAAGAGACCTTCCCAGGACGGGAATGCCGTGGCCTTGAACAAAGTGTGTTCCAAAATAGTCTCTACACCACCCAGTGCCTGGATGACATCTGTGCGGTAGGCATTAAGGTTCCACAGTTTACCATCATGGCGCTGACTAGTCCACCAGAAAGGATTGCTCTTCATCAGCTGGAACTGCTTGAACTCAGCACGGAGTCGGAAGCCCTTGTCGAAGCTGAGGGTGCTCCGATCCTTCTGGAAGAGAGTGTTGATACGAGGCAGACCACGATCCCAGCTGTCTTCCAGATCCTCCAGAGTCAGGCGACGGTTCTGCTGCTGGGCTTCCTGCCGTTTCTGAGAATACTCCATCCACACACGCTGAGAGTCAATGAACTCGGCTTCCCACGGAATGATGTACCGGAAGATGTTCGGAATCAGCGTCTCCTCATCGTGAGACATACCCGCCCTGAAGTGGGTGATGCCGGTGTCAGTCTGTTTAGACCAGCGCTTGTCACTTGTGGGAATGAGGATGTGAGAGCCCGAGATCATTCCCAGACCACCAAGCTCCTTGGGGGTATAGAAGACGGCCGGAGGGAAACGAGACGGCATCTTGGAGTTCAGACCAATCTTCACACGGGTCTGGATCTTCGTTTCACATTTGACAATGGTGTCAAGGAGGTTGACAGTCGATACAGCAGCCTCACGGTAGTATGTGAACAGAGCAATCAACGCTGTATTCCACTTGTTGGCGATCTTGGTGAAAGTGGTCGAACCCGAGGACATGAGAATCTGTCGGATACGGTTGTTGAACTTTTGAATATCCTCTTCAGTAACCTGGAGGAAGGCATGGGCTGTGCGCTCCTTGGTGGAGCTATCGACCAACGACCAGACACTATCCTTCACCGAGAACTCCTCGTTCTGGTTCCGGTTCTTTGGAAGAATCCGAACTTCAAATCCAGACATGGAGAAGAGTAAGTTCGGGTTGTCCTTGCTGTAGACGCTGGCAAATGTGTCGTCCCAATCAATGGTGGTGATGGACCTAGGCAAGCGGTTCTTCAGATCCCAGAAGACAGCACGGCCGAGGTTGACATCGTGACGCATCAAGCGCATCCGGCAATCACGAGGCCAGCACTTCTTATTCTTGTAGCCAATTACATTCTCGAAGTTGGGATCAGGGTTCTCAGTCAAGAAGCGCTGGATCAAGTCGCGAGATTCGTCGGCCGAGAATCGGAAAAAGACCCAGATCTTGTCAACGTAACGCGTGTAGAGACGGATAGGGTGCCTGGTCTCGGTGGCACGGTCGCGGAACTGCAGGAAATCGTTGGGGCTCTGAGGCGGCCCGGCCATTTCACTGGCTCTCTGCAGACCAAGCAACAACAGGTCGATCATTAGGCCGTAGTATTGGAACACAAAACCCGAGAACTGAAGACCTCGAATCAACCCATAGCTGTTGGTGTGGTTCATGTCCTTGTAGCTGAGTTGAACATTGTTCTTCGAGGTAATGTAGTCGGCCAAGTTGTGGTCCATGATCAAGCGAAGCATTCGGTTCAGCAAGGTGAGATCCATTTTCTCATAAACCTTGGAAAGCTCGGTCTCGATCATGACGTTGGTCTCGCCATCGGCAGTCTCCCACACATTGGACAGGTTGTTGATGCCTTGGGTCCATTTGTATGTCAGAAGGGGAGGCACTTCAGAATCGGAGGGCTTGATCCAAGCAGGGAAGAGGTGTCGCTGCTCTGCTTGGTACCAGAGATATTGGTCGAGGTACGCATCGGTAATCTTTTCGATAGGCTCGATGTCGTAGACGGGGTTAATGTTGTTGTAGTTGTCATTCATGTCAATCCCAACTTCCTTGAACGCTCTCTGGGTCAAAAGGAATCGCTTGATTCTCGCCAGTGTCGTCCCGGGGGAGTCATAGGCCTGTTCAATCAGTGCCAGTTCCTCACGCTGGCTCTGGTTCAGTCTGCCCTTGACGGAGTACGATTCACGCAACCGCTCAAGAGCGAGAATCAGGATCTTGGTGTCGTGCTTGTACGAAACACTGGGGAAGGGGATCGGAGAAAATTTGCGAGACTCCAGCCAATGGACCATCGTGGTGTAAATCGCGACGGCCTCCTCAGACGAGACGTAAGGACCATCCTTCAGGTAGTTGTGCTGGCGTTCTTGTTCGGACTTGAGCCACAAACGAGTGAGACGGCCGAGGTTCTTCTTGGCAACAGTCTTGTCAACAGTGGCACCGCGGCGGATTCTTTCTCGGTTGTAGTGAGCGACCGAAATCCACCAGTCCGCCTTGCTCTTGACGTATCGAAGGATGATGTTCTCGATCGGTGCGGGCAAACCAGGAACCTTCCACGGGATATTACTCTTCCAGCATCGCCACGCCTCCGACAAATGCTGCAGAACAATGTTGACCTTGTTCTGTTTGATACCCTCGGGCATCATGTCCATCAGATCCGCCATGACCGAGGCACGCAGTTCCAGATCGAAGTGAGACTCCACACGCTGCTTAGTGACAGTCTTGGCAACGCCCTTGCTGTGGCGACCCTCGAACTGACGAGAAAGCAAGTTTCCAAGCCATCTCTCGAGCAGAGGAATAATACCTCGCATGAAGAACAGCCAGACCCTCCAGGCCGGCGCCCAGAAACCGCATCCAGGTCCCTTGCCGACAGGACCCGAGTTGAAGCGGTAATAGATCAAATGCTTCAAGTCCTTGCAAGAACGGATCTGGTGCATCAGCTTGTACTTGTACCGGTACATACCGGTAAGTTGTCCAACGTGGTTGAAGGCGTACAGGATACCATCTGCCAGCTGGAAGGCATCGATGTTGCCCAGACGATACTGGACTTGGGCGTCGACGATCAACTTGGTCAAACGGAGAATTTCTCGCATCAGGTGGAAAGCGTTTCCAAAGCGCGACTTCTTTCGCTCCTTGGTTGTCAGAGTCTTGACGGGCTTCAAGTTGAAGTTGTAGTCGAGGTGCAGGTAGGTCAGGTTCTTGCGGTGAATCAACAGATTTAGCATGTTGAACCCCTGGCGACAGACCTGCAAGCCAGCCTCAACCCAGTCGATCGTGGTTTGCTGGAAGAACTTGGTCGTCTTCAGGGTCTTCATCAGATTCTGTTTGTTCTGGGCCTTTGGCGTGCTCTTATGCAGCTCATTGAGCACATAGGTCTTCAGCATCTTCTGATATGACACGCGGACCTTGACCGGTTGACCCTGCGGGCAATGTTCCAAGTACCATTGCTTCACCAGCGGCACATCTTGGGCACGAACCATCTTCCCAGATCGCTTGTCGAACGGGTGAGGGGCCCACCACAAAGCGATGGCAGAGGCTGTTTCTGGGGTGTAGAGTTCCTCATCATCGAAAAACGGTTCGACTTCTCCCGGGAGCTCGAAACTGTCATCTTCACTGTTGCCCGGTCCAAAGATTTCATCCTCATGGCTGACGGTAATGTTCTTCGGTGCGACGGAACGAGAAGAGATAGGGTTGATTATAGGGTCGAAATAGAATGCGGGCAGGTTGGGGTCCTCGGTGCGCGCGTAAACCACCTGGGGGTGAGAATACCAGGCGACTTTGACACTTCGGGGGAGGGTATTGTACAGGAAGGGGAAGGTGACTCGGTACTCGGTCCGGATCGGGGCGCGGAAGATGATGCGGTCGATGGCATTGAACTCGCTGAAATCCTCGTCGTTGGGGTCGATGTCCTTGTAGAGAGGTTCAAAGCGAGGGCCACCGGGAATGGCAACGTTCAAAGCCTTGGCAGTGAAAAAACTGTTCAGGTCGAACATGTGGTGATAGTTCTGATCCACCACGTCGCTCAAGAGTTGGTGACTGAGTCGGTGGAGGGTCGCCATCTGAGGGAGCGTCAAGTTCCACTGCTTGTAGCTCGGGCCATTGACATGGGGTGTATCTAGGAGGGGCCGGTGGTCGTAGAACCATTCGTACACCGGTGAATCTTCAGACTCATCCAGCTCCATCTGGATGGGTTCCAACGGCTCGACGTCCTCGATGTTTTCTGACCAGGAAAGAGGCGGTTCCTCATCGTCGAACGGGGGAAGCGCATTCGCTTGAAGTGTCTGCGGTCGCTTTTCTCGCGACGCATACACATCCACATCGTAGCCCACTGGGCATGGAAGACCGGCTCGACGACGCGTGGCGTCTCATTCACCAAAGTCAGACATCCATTAACGTGGTATAATACCTTGACTTCCCTGGCAGACTCCCATGGCATCGGCATATTCTCCAATAGCTTCAAGACCGCGTGCGGCATGAACTTCAGCGCGCCGAGATAGCTGCGCTTCTCGTTGGTGAATTTTTTCTGCGAGACATCGCCAATATCCCTCACGATTTTCCGTAGATGCTCTGGAGGCATGTCTGCCTTCTGTGTCTCGACGAAACCGCCTTTGCGCTTCTCGCCGAAGCGGCTGCGCTGCGATCGTAGCCACTCATGTTTCTTCTGCGCAAATTTTGCGACGGTCGGATCGGCAGGCGGCTGGTAGCCCGGCGGCGGCGGCACCATCGGCATGGATGGAGGAGCTGCACTCCAGCCAGGAGGCGGAGGGGGAGGAGGCAACGACGCCATGATGGGTGGTTGTTGATGGGGGAAAGCCCACCCTCCCTCGTAGACGTGAGTTGAGTTTCCAAGTCGCGTCAAGCGATCATAGACGCGCGACACTCAATCGACAAAGAGAAGAGACAGGCGGAGAGACAAGAGAGGGGGTTAAAGGATCGACAGAGAAATGAAAGAGAAGGAGTCCAGCTGATGCGACACCCGACTTGGATGAATCGCCGATGAGGTTCTGCGTTGCTCCTTTCCGATGGAACTTTTGAGGTGGCGGCAGGCCTGGTTCGCGCTAGGCCCAATGGAGTTAGTGCGGGCTCGCCAAAGCGGCGCTAGCGTCGGCTGGAGCGAAACCCACACAACGTCCGTCTCGACATTTTCACTGCTTCACCTCCGACGACAACGCCCTTCACCCACAGTCAAAATGGCGAACAACAGACTGCAATACGTGAGTATCTTTTGAATTGTTGAATGATTGTCTGGAAGAAATCAAAAATGCTGACTCGATTTTTGCAGCGCCGCCGGAACCCGTACGTGTGCCCCAAAATCCTCTTACCTCGAAAATACCCTCTATACCCTCTGCGCTTGATTCAATCGACTCTTTGCATGGAAATGGGGATGGATACTAGGGTTTGAGTGAAATATTGACGGTTTTCTTTCGACAGGTACAACACGCGGTCCAACAAGGTTCGCATTGTCAAGACCCCCGGCGGCGAGCTCCGGTACCTCCACCTCAAGAAGAAGGGTACCGCTCCCAAGTGCGGTGACTGTGGCATCAAGCTTCCTGGCGTGAGTGCCCCTTGAATGTTTTTTTTTTTTTTTTTTTTTTGGCGTGTGGTTGTGTGGTGTGTGCGATTGCGGGTCGGCCGAATGGGGGACTGGTGGGGGAAGGAAAAAACTCGTCTCGATGGACCAGTGTGCGATCAAGTGGCCGACCGAATTGCCGACACCTCTACACACGTTTCTGTGTATTGTGAACAACAGTGACTGACCGTTCGGTGAAGATTCCCGCCCTGCGTCCCCGCGAGTATGCCCAGGTCTCCCGCCCTAAGAAGAACGTCAGCCGTGCCTACGGTGGCTCGCGCTGCGCCGGCTGCGTCAAGGACCGCATTGTCCGCGCCTTCCTGATTGAGGAGCAGAAGATCGTCAAGAAGGTCCTCAAGGAGTCCCAGGAGAAGGCTGGCAAGCGCTAAACAAGGTGCATTTCGTCGGTGTTGGTCCTTTTTAAGTGGGAGCGAATGTTACGGAAAATGGCCTGGGAATGGGTTCTCTTAGGATCTCAAAAAGATGAGCAGGAACGGCTGGCAGGCGACTCCATGGAATTGGAGCGTGGCTAAGCAAATGAACCTTTTTTTATTACTTATCTTCATGGGAGATTCTACGACATCGGTTACAATCTGATTTGTGTCCGAAATGCTCTGGTTTCCGTGGTTATGAGTTTGCAATATTCGCCTCTATTACCCATGTAGTTGAGGCTGTAGTATGCTTTTTTTTTGGTGCAATTTCCCATGGTCATCGCATCCACGCCGCTCTGTATACCTGCGCCGAGGCACCCATTGCATCCATGGATAGTCGAGACCTCCATTCTACTAATGCTCGTCTCAAGTATCTACCCGAGCTACGTCACTCATAGAACACCGCAAAGTCCAGAAGAGTTGTTGCAGCACAAACTATTCATACTTTTGTTGCGCTATGACTGGGCCACGGAGCAGCCAGCACAGCAGGTCAATTTCGCCGGCCATGCAACTGCGGGTTATGTCGCAATTCCGACAGGACAAGAATGATGATGCCCACGAGACGGTCTGGATATTCTCATATTGTCGACCAGGGCCCGAAATATAGTTCCGGGGAGGAGATGCGCCGTGCCACGAACTCTCTCTCTCCTAGTGGATTAGGATCTCGACCAGGAGGGAAATGTCTAGCAGGGTAAGCGACCGTGAAACCATCCAGGGTGTAAAAGGGGTCCGATCTAGAAATCTCTGGTCTCTGTGGCGTCTGCTGGTGGTTGATTCTATGACCTAAGTGGCGTGAGAATTGGATGGATATAGAATATCGACATTAGCTGTATATCCTGATCTACGGGTAACCGAGTTCGAACTAACCAATTTCGAACAGACAATTATATATTTTCTTAAAGAGAGTGTGTATATTCCTTGAGCAAGTGGATGAATCTCCTTCTCCCCCCTGGAATCGAAGCCTTACCCTTGCCCTACTTCTGCCCCGATCGCTGCGTCGACTAGCGGTTGAATAGCGCCTTGGCTGCAGATCTCCAAGCGCACGCTTTCAAGGGCACATACACACACTCCGCAACCTGTCAACAAGGCAACGTGCGATAGGTTTGATTTTAAATGTTAACCCAAACCCTAACATGGTTACTATCGCAATTCATTGTTGCAAAATTGCAATATTAGAAAAAGAGTATATAAAAAGGCACATAAAAAAGCAGATATATATCAAGAGAAGCACACAGATAACTCAAGACACTGGTCCACACTAGCCTCCCACGATCCCGAAAATGACGATTCCAATTACCAATTAACGGCGATCCCTCCCCTTCCATGGCCTCATGGGATGCATGCATGGCGACCTACGTGGTAGCCGATGAGCCTCCGTGTGTATCAACCGGCCGTCGCTGCATGATATTAGTGGCCAATAGATCAATTAGGGTGTGCATGACTGCAGGTTCTCGATCGACAATGTCTCTCTCTTCCCCCCCGTCAATTTCTCTATCTTTTGCATTTTCTTTTCCTTTTTTTCAGTTCATTCTAGGAGTGGGTCTCCCCACCGGCTCGCAGCTGACAATGGCTTGATCTACCAGACAGAACCACCCCCAAGCGCTCTACCTATAGGTACAGTAAGACCCTGAGAAGCGGTTTGTCTGATAGGACTTGGTCTGGGTCATCTCGCTATCTCTCTCCCCGTTCCTCCGCGAGCGACTCCACTTCGGAGCTCCCGAGCGCTTGTTCAATGGCAGGTTGCTGATCGCCCGAGTGTCCTGCACGACTGACAGCCGGTTCAACCATGCCACCTCAACGAGCGAGGTTCGTGCGCGCTGACAGGTAGGACATGCAACCGGTATGCTCTACATGGTGTACATAATTTGAGAATAATAAAAAATATTAAATATAAATATACATATCTATAGATTGAATGAAATAACACCCGGGAATCCCTGCATTCGGCAAAACGGGACTGGTTCCCACACCTATCGGCTTTGAGCTACATACCTCCGCGGATGAAGCAGGATAGGTAGGTACTCAATGTGGACAGGTCAACACTGGATAGGCGATGAACAAGCCAGAAAAAAAAAAAAGAGATCATTGATGTTCCCCGCCACTTCTCCCCGAAGTCGATATACTCGATGCATCGACCCCAAATTTCCTGGATGGAATCCGGTTGGGAGGGTTCCAGCCCCATGACTGCAATACAGTGATTTGGGCGCGAGCTAGAAAAAACAGTGGAGAAAAACGAGGTGTGCCTACGAAGCACCTCGCCTAACAACGAGCGCTATTGGGGCCAGCTGCTTTACCCTGCATACAAGGGATCATTTTTAGCAGATAGTAACTATGCGAACTGTCATTGGATCAGTAGTGGAGAGGTAAGAAGGAAAGAGGAAAATCCAGCCCCTCTTAAAAAAAGAAATTGTATATCAGACAGGTGCACGTGCAGAGGTGTAGATCATCGCCACCACGCCTATATACAAAAAGAAAAGAAACACAGATGACATCGAACCCATCAAAGAAAATAGGCTTGTGTCGTTGATAAAGTAGTTACTGTGTTACTAGTTAGTGTGTAATCTAGAGTAGCAGAATAGATTCAAGCAAAATACGTACCTAATACCTATAGTAGAGGTATACTACCACACCCATTCTGACCGAGCTAACTATAAAGAAAAATGTATACAAAATTCTATTGGCTAATGCTCTCGGCAGTCTAGTGCTAGTAAAAGGGTTTCCGTCGGTTGGACGCTCTCTAGCGTAGCTGCCCTTGTCCCTAGTACCTAGTCAAGGAAACTAGAGGGAGCTAGAGCATGTACGACCGATCGAACACCTGTTCAGTGAGAACATGGGCCCCGTGGCGTGAAGAGCATGCAATGTACCCACATACGAGAATGGGGGTTATACACGCGACATAACGTGAGAAAATAAGAATTACTTAATAGGATACTTTGAAAAAAGAATAATAACTATAATAATGATAAAATTATAGAATTTATATTAGTATATCCAATTGCAATTGACTCTGAAATCTCCGCCAACAAACTTCACGGTTCAAAGTTAAGACGGCACGGCCCGGGAAAGGAAGGAAAAAGAAAAAAGAAAAAAAGAAAAAGAAAAGAAGTGGAGCTTGGATCCTTTGTGAACGGCACTGCACCTGTCACCTGTAACGGTGTACAAGTTCGACATACATACCTATAGGGACTGGATAGGTTCCCCCGAACGACGTGCAGAAGGAAGAGAGGGGGGGGGGGGGGAGTAGCACATACCCAGGTAGGAATTTGGAGGTATAGAAAGACGGGAAAGCGAATAAGAGATTCACCGAAGTTACCACGACCAGGCAGGAGGGGAAAAAGAAAAGAAAAGAAAAAAAAAAAGACATAGGTCAATTTTGTTGATCGGCCATGATCTACCCGCGAGCTTCCCTCGTATTCGGGGAGAAAGGAGAAAGGGGGAGAACCAAGATAGGCTGGCGTCTAATGCCGTTCTTGTCACTTTGACGATCAGAGAATCACGCGAGGAGATCGTGCTACTAAAACATCATATTGAGGCCGACCGTTATAAACGAGAACGAAAAAGAAAGAGAGAAATAGACCTAATGATGTAATTCTACTGTTATACTTACCTAGAAGTGGTACACTCCCTGCTTGTATCTACTACTTACTATACGCTCTATACACTCTTTATACAATATATATCTACTAATAATTATGATAAGTGAAGATCATATAATGACATTTCTCGGTTCTGCAGTAAGTAGTACAACAGGGTCTCTCCCTCCCAGGTCCTCTCTCGGAAATACCCCCGCGATCTATGTGGGGTGCCTCTAGTAATATCCCACAGTTCTCGCTTGTGCTCAGATCCACGCTATTCTTAAGGGGGAAAGGGCTACTAAAATTGTTTCTCCAATCGCTAGCCTGGGTTGCGGGCAAAAGAAGAGGAGGAGGTGGGAGGGGGATGGGAACACAGGCGGAGATGACCAGAAGCAAATGGCAGCACACAGCAATGCTGCTGCCAAGACCCCGTCCGCGTCACCCTGGCAGGCTGGCAGGCTGCAGGCTGTCAATAGAACATAGAACTGGGGTGGGGGGGTCGGGGGAGTGATGTAGGAAAAGAAAAGAGCAGGGTGTTCTTGCAGGACTCGGCTAATTAGCGGGAAGATACTACCGAGAGAGAGCCGAGAGACTATACTATACCCGACAAGGAAAGACCCCCCAACAACACCCACATCCCGTTGGCTTCAACTAGGATCTAATGGCAAGCCAAAAAGCCAGGCTTTGTTCAGCTCCTTCTTTTCCCCTTGTGAGAGACACCATACCTAGTAGATGGTATATACATGTGGATGCGTAGACAGGTGGGGGAGCACACCTGACTCGAGTGTTCAGCCAGTCCAGCATGCGGAAGATTCCCTTCCGAGTCAGAAGAACCAATAATAATAATAATAATACTAATTGGAGATACATGCAAGCTCTAGGGGAGCAAGCACTGGGTAACTCAGGCTTGGCATGTCCAATAGCTATTAATAATTGATCTATACTCTCCCAAGGTACGCATGATCGACCTATACTTACAGGAACAGTATACAGAATGTACCTAAACACCTATAGACAGATGTATAGTAGAAGTGGAGTCGCACGGGCAGAGAACAGGCCTTTTCAACGGACCCGAAGTTTAATACGCACCCGACAGCAAGTGACAGCCCCATGACAGGATGATCGGCGTGATGCTCGTGGGCTAGGGGGAAGATGAGTAGTAGATATGTAGACTTTGAGTTGATATGGTACAAAACTAAGTAGGCCGTTCCACATCATGAAGAAGAACAGAAAAGCAAAGAAAAGCAAAGAGAGCAGAAACCGATAGATCGCTTTGAACCATGAATGCTGCCAAACGCCCAGAAAACCAACCCAATTTGAGTCTGAATGCACGAGGAATGCACCATGCCTTTTAGTATATTCCAGGGCCAGAGTTGAGGAAAAAAAAGAAAGAGAAAGAACCCCCCCAAAAAAAAAAACATTAGGGGAGAAATTAACAAAAAAAATAATAGTATGCACGTCAGCACAGCCGGGCGTGTTCATCATCGAATCGCCTTCCAATCCACCCCCTTTTTTTTGATTATTCCCCCCCTTTCCCCTCTTTTTTTCATTTCTTTTTCTTTTTTTCTGTCACTTTACACACCGAGATGGAGATCGGCTGGGCGTTCAGAGCCGATCATGGGCCCATTATTGAACCCTGACGGCAGCCCATACCAGCCCAGGTGCGCCCTGTCGAACGCAGCATAGTTGGTTCCCGGATCGACGGGATCACAGAAAACTTGGTTGTCGCCGGGAGGAGGGCTCGTGCATCCGATAAGCGTGCTGTGGTCGTAGACTTGGACGAGGCCGTTCGGCGCTGGGGCCAGGGAGTGTGGAGCATGGTAGTGCGGCATAGGCACAGCCGACGGGTCCAGGGATGGATTGATCTGCTGCTGATGTGGAAGAGGAGAAGAAGGAGAAGAAGGGGCAGGAAGGGGAGAATAATAACGAGGTGATTGGTGCATTGGTGGTCGGGAGCGATACTGTTCCTTGCGCTTATCCTGGACGTGATGGCGCATCTGTGCTGCACTCTTCGAGGCCCTGCCGCCCTTGGACCCGGATCGCTGACGTTGAGGGACGGGGGGACCGGGGCTGATGGCTTTTCTGTGATTCGCCTGCTTGCGATATCGCGTGGTCGATTGGATGCCACGCCGGGAGGCCTCTTTGGTGAGGCGCCAGAAGTTCACTGCTTTCTTGCCTGGTGCTGCTTCTTCCTTGATGGCTTCGAACCCCTGCAGACATGAATTGTGTCAGTAGCTTGCTCCTTCAATTTGTATTTGAAATTGCCATTAAAAACGGGAAGTAAAAATATCATCAAGGTGAACCAACACCCGAGGTGGGGCACGCACTGCATTCATCGAGAGATTATGGCGGATGCTGTTCTGCCATCCCTTGGAGTTCTGGTCCTTGGCCTTGGTGGTATTTTTTTCGAACCAGCTGTAGATTCCTTGAAGTGGGAGCTTCTGTCCCGGGGTGTGCCTCAATGCTTCAAAGATAAGCTGCGAGTATGGGGGATCAGCCCCAAAGTCTTCCTCACTGTTGCCAGCAATGCTGGTCGGCGGGGAAGTAGTGAGCGCAGTGGGAAGCGTATTGAGAGGACTCGTGCTGTCCCGAGACAGTGAAGGAGAATGAGAAGAAATAGAGAAAGGTGGCGACAGTGGAGGAGCGCGCATCGCTGAGATGGGGTTCCCAGAGGGGCCCAGCGGCGTGGAATAAGAATAGCCATTCTGCTGGTCAAACGATGGAGAGGTGATGCAGTTGGATTTCCATTCCATGGACTCGTCCTGGTCCCTGTGCTGCTGTACTTCGGGACTTGACTGGCCCATGTTGGGCGAGGGGCCCATGATAGAAGCAGAAGTGACTTTGGAAGGGGAGGCCGGGTAGTAAGAATACTGAGATTGGGTTTGGTGGTCCATCCGCTTGGTGGAGTGGGTTGGACTGAGCAAGTAGGACCCTGACCCCATGCCCCAGGGATCGGTATACTCCTGGGGAGGCATGATTGTTTCCGGCACCAGGTTGGATCTGGATCTCGCCCAGGTGTCGAGGGAGTAGTAACAGGGGTTATAAGGCTGGGGGGCGTCCATCTGGATCAACCCATTAGCAGGAGACGAGGACCCTGTTTTTGCCGAGAGGTGATATTGATGTTCCTGCTGGCCGGTTGGCATTTGAGCCAGGGGAAAGTGGTGAGATGGAAACGAGTCCATGTTGGAGGGGAAGCTTTGGTTTGGACTGGCAGGTTCAACGCTTAAAACATGCAGTTCGAGGAAGAGAGACACGGTGATAAAAAGGTCTCAGCTGGGAATAGAACAACAGAGAGGAAAAAAAGAGTCGCGGCAGGTTCAAGGTCACAGTAGAAGTATGTAGACGAGGGAATGACCTGTCCAAGCTGTCATCGGTCCAGATTGGAGCTGTACACTTCCCAAGGAAATGGAAAAAAATCAAAAAAAGGAAAGAAAAAAAGAAAGAAAAGAAAGAAAAGAAAGAAAAGAAAGAAAAGAAAGAAAAGAAAGAAAAGAAAGAAAAGAAAAGAAGGCTAATTGAGGATTTCCAACTGCCAGCACATCCGGCACATGCTCTTTACGCTGTAATCAGCCAGAGATCCTGCATCCAGCAAACAAGAGACGGTGTGGAGCTGTTCTTTTGGGAGATGTAAGAAAACGAATAAAAAAAAGAAGAAATAAAATACCAGAAGGAAAACAGAGAAAGAAAAAGAAAAGAAAAGCAAGAGAGAGAGAGGAGGGGGGGGGGGAAGCAGAGACAAGCTAACGCGGTCTCTGCGGGAATCTCCACAGTCGTGGAACGGTGGAATTGCACTGGATCTGGTCCTACAACAACCCAGAGCGGATGGTCCTAGAAAATGCAGAAATTGAAGAAAAATACTCGGCCACCCGCAGAGATGTCGCCACTTCTGCAGGAAGCCGAGCTTCTGGAAAATGGGTTTTCTTTTTCTTCTGGAAGAACACTGCTAGTTTTTTGTTTCTTTTCTTTTCTTCTTTCTCCTCGGGACTGCCTTCATCCACCCCGGACGTCATGATTCCTGTTTTTGCCAGGATGGTGTCAGAGATTTTTCAACGGTGTGAACGCGGATCCCAGTCGCCGAGTACATGGAGAATTGGGGTTGAGTTGTGGAGGGGGCGGTCAAGTAGAGTGTGGTTGAAAGTTCCCTCGGAGATGGACAATTTTAGTATATTTGGAGCAAGTAAACAGACGTCAGATTAAGCAGCTGAGATCAGCTCCACACGTGGATCGAACATCAAGTGCTGATTAGAATGTCAGAAAAAAGCTAGAAAGGGGGAAATGTTTCCAGCCCAATCACTAAGGGGGTTGATTCGGTTGATTCACTGGGTATCAGCACGCTGGAAAATACACCCCCGATTGTCTGCATCATCCCCAAGACGCCCATGTGGGACGGGTCGCGCATGTGTTACTTTCGGTAATATATCTGAGACAGTGAGTATTCTTCTTTTCTGCTTTTTCTTTGTTTTTCGAGGGTCACTTACTCGTTTGAACTGGAAATGTAGTTGGAGAATGCCCTAAAAGATAAATTAGTAAATCAGCCAGAGTAAAAATCGAGAGAGAAAAACAACATACCTTGTCAAATGTGCTCTTAAATCCCCGCTCTCGTTTGGCACTATAATCCCATTCTTTGTCGACGATCCGAAACGCAATATCTTCGTACGGTGGCCCTGCCATGAACCGAATCAGACAAGTATCCTCCTCGCCGGCGGCCGCGAACGACTGCCCGCGCTTGCGACCATGTTCACGCTCGATGCGATACGTCGGGGCCTTGGTCTTGTCGATCAAGTCCGGATAGAAGATGTTGAACTTGTACCCCTGCACGACCTTGGGAGGCGGGTTGTCATGGTCGTAGTGGGTTTGGTTGTATTTGTTCCACTCGTAGCCCATCTGCACTCGGTTGAAATACCGTGGCTTGCGAGGCCGGTGCTTCCCGGCCCACTGCGGTCGCGAGCTTGTGTTCACGGCCTCCTCGCCCGTGAAAATCTCCTCGTTCTCGCTGACGCCCTTGGCGAGCTCCCGCTCGTAAAGCGCTTTAGTCGCCTGAGAGAAGTCATCGTTTGGAACCGCAGAGAATCGAGTGGGTATCGCCGATGCGGTTGTTGTAGTCGAAACCGGGTTCGCAACGGCGGCGGTAGACCTTTCAGCCGTTCGCTGTCGCAGTGGCACAAACCCCATGCGAAGAATCTTTTGGCGCTCACGAGCCTGCATGATCAATTAATACCAGGTCATTTTCTCAAGAGACATTCAGGTGACATTGCAACAACTCACCACTTGACCCAGGAACGCGGATTCGTCCATGATCTCCAAGACCTTGTCCTCTGGTCGGATTTGGAGTAGTGGATCGGGGTCTAAGCCCTGGAATTCTGCAGAGTCGGCGGAGACCTGTTGCTCACCCGCGGCAATGACCGGCGCAAGCGGTGCCAGTTTCTCGCGGACCGACTCTGCCTCGGCCCTCTGCTGGTTTCTTAAATCGCGGACGCGTTCGTCGATGACGGCTTGGTAGACATTTCTCAGCCTGGCTCGGGCCTTCCAAACCGTCAAGCTGCGCAATAATTCTTCCCAGTAGTCTGTGTCGATTGGTTCGTTCGAGTTTAATTTCCTCCTCACTTGTCCCTCGAGCGTTTGAAGCTGTTCGTAGGACTTCGGGCGTAAGAGCCGGTTGATGTCGGCGGCCACGGAGCTGAGGACACGTCCTTCGGGGGCAGTGGTCTTTTGGCGATCTCGGCAGATAATCCTCATGGTCTACACGCGAAACAAAGTAGTTAGCAACATGCCCGAGTCTATCACAATACAGTGGAAGTAGAACCTACCTGCCAGAAATCTCTGTTCTGTGCGTTCGTCTCCAAATTCACAAACGTATCGATATCCTTCTCGAGATCCTGTAGCTGGGACTGCGACAGGCCCTCGAACACACCGTCTGGGTCGACCACATCCAGCTCCGAGTCGGCAATTTCGTCATCCAGGGATTGCGCGTCGGATCAATGACACGAAGCGTGACTGTCAGCCAGTCGATTGGCTTTGCGCGCCCTTCCTTGACGCGGATCTCGGCCTTCTTCTTGGCCTGCTTCAGCACGAAGACGTCCTCCTGCGCGACCCACTCGCGCACCTGCTCATCCTCCTGAAGCTGGTTGAGTCGCACTTGATCTCGCATATTGCGCGGTTGCTGCGAAGGGCGCGAGCTCCCGTCACCCCACCGCCGAGCCGGATCCTGTCGGTCGCGCCATTCATTCTCGTCCTGACGGCGGGCATGTTTCTGGGGCTGACGCCACGATGATGGGGATCGCGACCGGCTGCGCTTAGAGCCATGTCGATCCGGAAGCCGCGCAGACATTATTGCGAGGTCTTGAGAGGGATCTGGGGGGTGGATCGAGGGTGGTAGATAAAAAAGTTGACGGCCGTGAGTGAGGGTGTTGGGAAAGAAGTTCGGGAGATCGGCGGAAAGTCAAGCGGGCGGCTTACCTTCCCTTCTGCAGCCTTCAGGCAACTCCGGAGGACGCAACTTGTCACCGTCGCAGAGCTCAGACAACTTTGCAAGCTATGTCTTTCTTATGGCACCGGTTGAATCTGCCACCAGACGGTCTTCCGCCGCTGCTCTTCCAGTACATCTGGACGCGCCAAGGCTATGAGCTCTACATGACCGATCTCACCTCGATCTGGACAGAACGCCTACCCCACAAGGAAGTCGTGAAACGAGCAGAAGCGGATGCCACCACCATCGATCCAAGCGAGGATCCGGGGCAATTCACAGTTCTTCTACAGAAAATTGGAGAAGCTCTGCACGGCGATGGGGGCAAAACCACACTAAAATATGGATCTCAAGCCGACTCGCTCGAGCTCACAACAACAACCAAGCTACCAGCTCCCTTGAAACCCTTGAGATGGTCTCTGTACTTGTCAAAAGCATCCGTGTCGTCTGTGACAAGCCGGCTTCTTCTCCCACTGCTAAGAGAAGAGGCAGAGCGCGAGTCCCGCCAACGGTCCCTCTTGGACCAGCTCAAGCAGAAGGACTGGGTCCTAAGCAAGCTCTTTGACAAGGTTGAAACCCTCGGAGTGGATCTGGGGACCGTGTTTCCCGGCGCTCCAGGGCTGCGTACCATTCGCAAGGGCAGCTCCTGGCCCGACGCGGCCAAGTTCATTAAAGGCGCTGCGCCGTTCGATGAGAAGACCTGGCTCGCCGAAGCCAGGGAATCATCGCCTGGTGGCTTAGGGCTAGCTGCGAATCTGGTCCAAGAGATTTCAGGATCTGCCAGCAGTCGCGATCTCAAAGATCTCACTGCGCCAGAGGACAAGTGGTGGAATCAACTAATAAGACGCTCTGAAACTCTCGCTACACCGGCAACTCCATATCAAGAGGAAGAGGAAGAGGAAGATGAAAAAAACAAGGAGCCAGCCATTACCAATACTCCAAAAGACATCGATTTAGATGCCGACTCAACTACAGGCAGTGAAGACGATGAATTCGAGGTATGTAAACTCTTTCCCAATATCATTTCAACGTCACAATTAAACATATCCCCCGCTCTCAGCGACAAGAGACACCCCCACGATTGAAGCCCCAAGAAACCAAAGCAGCAGCATCCCCACCAAAATCAAAGCCAAAAAAGAAGAAATCCCTTTCTCCGCAGCCACCGGCAGCAGAGGAAGACGAAGCTACTGCAACTGAATCCGAGCCAGAGCCCGAGCCCGCACCACTCCGAAGACGTACCCCCAGTATCTCCCCTCCACCCAAGCCAGCACCAGCACCAGCACCAGCGAAACCCCAAGCCCAAGAGCCTCCGAAAAGACTCAAAGGCGGACTAGGTGTCATCGGCGGCAAGAAAAAGCAACCGCCTCCGCCATCTCCCCCCGCTCCCTCGGCTTCTGTTCGGGCTCCTACTAGTTTGACCTCACCACGACCGCCCCATGAACCGCTCAAACCAGCTGCCGACAAAGAGGCTGCTCCACCAGCATCAGCGATGCCCCCCACCAAAACCAAACGGCCCACGAAACTGGGCATGATCGGCGGAAAAGCCAAACCCAAAGCACCAGAGCAGACGGAGACTGTTGCCGCTGCGCCTGAGCCTCTTTCTACGTCTTCGCCGGAGAGAGTCCCTCCGACGAGGTCTGCAAGGCTAGAGGATGATGACCTCGACTCTACGGGGCTTGCAGCGCGCAAGCCGCTGAAAGCAGAGTCACCGTCCAGAGCGTCGCTAGTGACAGCAAAACCAAGCGTAATTCCGTCTGCGCCTGAGCCCGAGGAGGCAAAGGCGGATCGGAAGCGTGAGGAGCTGAAGCGGCAGCTCGATGTGAAGAGTAAGGCTCCTGCGAAGAAGAAACGGAGGTTCTAAGTTGGGATGATGTTGCATGTTGCATATTGTAAAGGATCGTTCAAACATGTTCTCGGGAATTGGTTTGGTGGATCTACTAAGATGTCTAAATCGCCAGAAAAGAAGTGAAGAAATAAATGCATTGCATGCCTCGCCATTGGGGAATCAAGTCCAAGTACACCAAGAACCAAAACACAGCCGTACACCAGGCCTTGTTAGAACAAGGGAAAGAAAAAAACACAACTAGAGTACACATGCAAAGGCAATGACGGGGCTGCTTGCCTCGACATGAGAAAGTAAAAAAAAGAGGACAATAATCAAGCCGGGTACCAGCCCAGCCTAGTATTCACTGGCAGTGACATTAAAGCGTCCAGTGATGCTGTGCCGTTTACCCTGCTCCTTGGGAGTAACCAAGCGGACTTTCTTCGGCGACATCGCCCCAGAAGAGACCGGTGCAGGTCCAGAGCTGGTGTTGGCGGTGGAGGTGTTCGGCCCAGCACCGCTACCTCCGGTGGCAGCGGCAACACCGGCAACGCCAAGCATGCCACGGACCTTTTCAACGGCCTTGCTTTCACCTTTCGTCCAGGGGTCACGCTTCACGAGGCTGGAACCCCCGGCACGCCCAGCAGAATCGCGACGCTTGGACTCGGCGGAGAGAGTCTGTCGGTTGAGTTCCCGGCGGGGGCCTGGGCCGCAATCATGCGAACATCCGGGCGTAGCACAGCCGCCTTCGCTGATGGAAAGGTCACCGAGCCAAGTCGTGATGCAGGCGAGATGACCACCATGACCGCAGCCTTGACACCAGGTCCACAGGGCAGAGCCCTTAGGCCGTGGGACAGTGAACGACTCTAGCTGCTCAAGTTCGGAGAGGGGCACGGGCTCGGTGGGGACGGCAGACTGTGACGAGAGGTGTGAGATGGTTTCGGCGTCGGAGTCGGTAAATGGTGCAATTGGTGAGGCAAGCTGTTGCCAGTGCTGCTCTGCGACCCATTCAGGGGGTGGGTAAGTGCTCATGCAGATGGAGCATGGAGCCTGTGGAGTGTTGCAACGGTGACAGCGGATGTTGTCTCGCTTTGGATTTTCGAAAGGCCGTTGGCAGGTATAGCAGAAGACGTTCATGAAGGTGTCTGCTTGGGCATAGTCATAGACGGCAGGGTAGGTTGGGACGCAAGACAGGCGGAGCTCCGCCGCCTCCAAATCCATCGAGTGGTGAATAAGATATTCGTTGTAGGTCTTGAAAACCTGTTCACATTCTTCGTACGGGAGAATTTCGTCGCAGTCATCAAACAGAATGTGCAGCTTTTGAAGCAGATGGGCAGCAGTTTGGATGTCCACGGAGCTGCTACTGCTGTGGTAATACCGGACGGCCTCCTTTAGAATGGCCTCGATTCCCCATGGTCTCAAGTCCGTTGCATCTGGAACAAGAGGAAGTTGAATCTGCGAAAGATCCTCAGTCATTCCTGCCATAGTTGGATATGTATCCATGTGGAACAAAGTGCCCGGAGATTGAAGCTTGTCCTCTGATGCGGGCCACTCAACCGGAGTTGATTCTTTCAGCAAGGGAGGGGGACTGGAAGGGCGTTCCAAATGAACTTGATCGCTCTCTTCTAGCGACTCATCGAACGGGATGTCGTCTTCGGCTTCTTCCTGAGGTGTGACTAGGGCTGATCCCGTTCCCGCCGCAGCGCTGCCGGCTTGACCTGCATCTGACAATCGGGCGGCATCCTGAATTCGCCCACTGGACGAGTAAGAGGCGCCAATAGATTTAGATGGATGCGAGCTATCTGTGGATGCAGAAAACATCGGAAAACTCTCCGAAGAATCATGTCGTTGGTAACGATCCAGCGCGGGAGGCCGATTGGACTCGAGTGGGGATTCCAGTGTCAACACCGTCTTGGGAGCTTGCTTGTAGTCACGGAGTGCGGCACGCTTATCCTCCAACTTTTGCTCGTAATCATCTTCGGAGACTTCACGGGGGAAAGCCGACCGACCGTGAACACGCCAGTCTGCTCTACCAGCAATGGCCCGAGGTGCTGACCTCTGATCATTATCTATATCTTGCTGTTCCGCGTCACGAAGCTGGTCCGCCAATGCCTCTCCGGGAGAATGCGTATCTTCACTCAACGCGGTGTGCCCTTGGCGTAAGGGTGCGACGCGACGAGCGTCAGGGTCCGACATGTCCCAGCCAGTATGGGAGCTCAAAACCGATGGTGGTAAAGGATCGAGATCAACAGCGTTGTCACTCAGCGATGGGATTTGGGAATCAGTGCTGGCCCACGACTCCACGGGCGAATCTGGTAGAGGTTGCGCAAGAGGCGTAGTCATGTTTGATGTGCTCTCCGTCTCAGGAATGAGGCTCCTCTGGCCTTCGGTTTCTATGACTCCTTTGAACAATCGACTTTTCACCTTTTCCTGCCGACCGTCGTCTGGCAGCCGCGATCGGTCGGCCAAAATCCCGTCCTTGGACGATTTTTCTTTCAACCCACTTTTACCAGACGGCTGTTCTCTCGACCTACGCTGGAGCTCCTGCAAAAGGGCAAATTTCACGATTCTCCATGTTTGGGCCACTTTGGCCAGTGATGCCTCGTCTGCGCATTCAGCGTTGTGGTCCAGAGACTCCATCAGGGTATTAAGAATATCCGGGAAGGTCCGCCTGTCATTATTTTCGTCCATCATGGGGGTATAGTGACTGGCCAGATATCGAAAGAGGGATGGATCATTCGTGGCACCCGGTATACTCCCTATTGCCCCCAATTGACTGGGTGCGGGAACGGCAATCTTGGTCAAGGCTTCGTCCAGGGGAAGTACAGGGATGATATCCACTGCCCCGGGTGGTGTACTGCCCAAGGACTTGGAGGGTCGAACCGGGGTGGACTTGGTGTGACGGTGTCGAAACGATGAAGGCAAAGAGGCTTCGTCGAGGATGTCATCCGAAGGGCTTTGGCTCAAGGACTGTTCGTCATTGTTGGCCTCGTCGACCTGGGGATGGAAGATCTCGGCCGGACTGGTATTCAAGGCACGTCGACGGGGCCGCTTCTGGGCAAAGGCAACGAACTCGCCATTGGGACTCCATGCCACCGAGCACATCGGTCGTCGGTGAGCCACAGCGGGAGCATAGCGAACGTCGGTTTGTGTGAAGGCGCCGGCCTCGCCGACCGCCCACAAAAGGTCCTTGGAGCGCCAGAGCAGATCGGTGGCATGGGTGTCGTACCGATCAAACTCTCGGAATGGGACGTGCGGGCGGCGAAGGTCCCAAAGATGAACACGCGGGTCTTCCTTGTCGTAGGAGGTCACAATTTGGGAGGATTGCCACTCCCCCGATGCCGGCGACTCTCCCACCCAGAACGGCGGGCGCCAGCGCACGTTCATGAGGGCCTGGGGGGTGCGCAACTGAAATGCCGGCTTCTGCCGCCGCTCTGCCGATGAGAAATCCCAAACCTTGACCTGTCGGTCTGTGCCACCGCTGACAATATGTTTTCCGTCGGGATGCCAGTCCACGGCGAAACATGGGCGATCATGAGCCGCAATCCTCATCAGCGGGGCATTGACCTTGCGACAATCCCACATCTGAATGGCGCCGCTGTCCGTGGCAGTTGCAAACACGACGCCATCGCTGGGGGACCACCGGACGTCCCGGATGGCATCGCTATTGCCATGGTACACATGCTTGCTGCCGCACGTGGAAGAGCCCCGATTCGCAGACGCAGACCGCAGATCCCACATTCGAATGGTTCCATCTTGGCTGCCGGACAGCAACCAGGCGGGGCGATGGGGGTTGAAGGCGAGTCGGTGGACCTGACGGTTGTGGCCCTGGAAGCGACATAATTGGAGCCCGGGCCGCTGCAGGTCGTAAACGACAATCCGACCATTGGCGACTGCAGTCGCGATTATCCGGTCATAATTGCCATGTGACCACTTGACGTCTCTCACATTCAACTGGTCCTTGTGTGGCATCAAGACGCCGGCATCATTGTGAGTGGCTGCATAGCTCACGACGGCATGGCGAAGATTAAATTCCTCCGACGAATGGTCAGGCTCGACACGGATGGTCTTGAGGATATCCTTGCCTCCGATCACTGCATGGGTCCGTTGGGGGGAGATATCGAGGGCGGCGATAGGGATGCCCGTTTTATGGGTGACGGTCTGCGGTTCTCCTGGTCTGGTGATGTTAGAGAGCTTCTATCTGATGTCTCCGATTCGGGTACTGGAATGACATCAAAGTAGAGACCAGGGAGAGGGGGGTGGGGAGAGAGCGGTGTGAGATGGGCTGCAACACCTACAGCGATTTCGACCTGATCGACCGGGGGCCATCCAGGCGGCTACTTTGAGGGCTGGGGGGCCTCGAGCCGGAAAAGAAGGGCTGGGCGAATCTGGCGAGGGCGTTGGCCGCCCGATTCGAGTACTTCTGAGGCGGCGGTGGCGGCGGAGGGACCGGGAAACGCGACCCTGAGAGGTCTGACATGGCTCACAGACTGATCTCCATGAGGGGCACACGACCAGTTCACCGAAGTCGGGGGATGGACAAGAGACCAGAAGAAGCAGCTCTGGAAGGTGGATGATTCGGGGGGGGATTGGGCCTGTGATTGGGTCCACGAGGCAGCGGTGAGTAGCATTCCTGAGGCATCCCAGTACCTCCGGTTCCTCGGGAATTCGCAGGGAAGGGAAGTACCCCCCATGTTTCTATCTAGTGCCTTAGGTAGTAACACCTTATAGTTCCCAGATAAAGAGAAAGAAGAGAGTGTGTGAAAGAAAGAAAGAGAAAAACAGACCTATAGGAAGCATTCGATTAGCACACAAGAGCGGTCTACTCGACAACACACAGCGCATCCAAAGCTCCGATAGAAAGGATTTGATTTTACTGTCCCACCCATAATCTGGGAAGTATACATCCATGGATGCTATACATCTTGTAGTGTATAGTAGTATAGTAGTATACCTTAGGGTTAATGTACAATGCCCCCCTAACCCAGAGCTAATTGGGGTTCCGATGCATTTCCAGATGATCTAGATCCTTTGAGGTTCCCAAGTGAGTTCCCAGGTGATCTTGTCATCCTCATTTCTTGGCGATGTGAAGTCATCTCGCACATTGTTCTCGATCCATCGGCCTGGTCTCTGGTCTCTTCCCTCCCCCCTGTTCTTCTTATTTTGGCCCATTTCAACTTGGACCGGGCACGAACTTCCCTTCTTTTTTTTCTTTTTCTCTTTTTTTTTTTCCTGTGCAGAGCCGGGATTCTTCACATTGGGGTTCCGACCCGTTGGATCGGAGCAAACAGAGATTTCTGCCCTCGGAGAAAATATCAAGCATCAAGAAGCAAAACAGAAAAAAGAAAAAAAAAAAACACCGGTATAAAGGACTCGGCTGAAGCTGGGGCGAGTGGATCCCCCCATTGAAGCTGCATCCACACCGTCATTCCCCTACTTCTTCCTCTTCTTTCCTGGCTTCTCTTCTCTCCTCATCCTCACCCTGTTCTCCCCTTGTATTCTTCATTTGTATTTATTGAATTCTCTCTTTTTGTTCTTCTTTTCTTGTGTTTGTCTCCTGTCTTTTTCTCCTTCCTTTTTTTTCGCCCTTTTTTAGGGTTTCATTTTTTCGCCTCCGACTTGCAGCTCGTGACTTTCTTTCTGAGACCAAAGAGAGAAAAAGTCACTCGTCGTTTCTCTTTTTCTCTTTTTCTTTTTTCTTCATATTTTCTTGTTCTTTTTTTTCGATCCAAATCCACGAAAGTCAGAAAGGCACGGACCCGATTTCTCTTCGTCTGCGTCCATCCGCATTCCTCGTGTCGATCACTCCAACTCAGCTTCGGATCCGGCCCCGTCCCCTCCCCTCCTCCCCTTCAAACCCTCTTCCGGATTGTCGGGGACACCGCTGTGTCATGGAAATCGTTTGAACAGTCCTTCTCTAGGCTGTGCGGATATTCATGGGAGGACTGGTCAACATGGATGTTCACGCAGCTCGCGAGTGGCTGGAGTTCCTGCGCACTTGCTATCCGATCTTTCTTCTGGTCCTTTTCCTGGTGGCTTTTATCATCCACGCCGCCATCTCTGCGAAGAAAGCCAGCAAGCATGATTCGCAACGAATGGGGCCTGGAGGCCGTCCGCTTCCCAAACGATCAAGGAGCCCGTCTACGTTTCGACCACAGGGGTTCTCGCAGAATGTCAAGCGGCTGTTCAACTGGCTCTCCGCGGGAGTGCTTCTCACGTTTCTTGCTGATGCCGCCATCTACTTGACCCATGTGATGTTCGCCAGGTCGGAGAATTGGTGGCGAGGGCAGTCCGCAGTGGTTCGTCTGGACTTTCTCAATTGCTTCTGATAGCACAGCTGACTATGGCGCAGATCTATATCGTCGGCTCGTTCTTTGTCTATGCAGTCATACTGATGACCTTACTCGACACCTCCCCTTCCCCCACGCTCGCTCAATTCGTCTGTTGGTCGGTCGCGATTCCGTTCGAACTGGTCATCCTCAGCACATCCCTATCCATCTATACCTCAATTCACCATGAACCGACTGTCGGAGACCCCGAAGGTGGCCGACTCCGCCGAAGCATTACAACCTGGGAATCCATGGAAGTGGTCTCGGGTAGTGTCCGCATCTCGCTCTTGCTGTCTCTCGTTTTACTGTACGGGTGCAAATCGATCAGCTCGAAGACCCACGAGAAGAAGGCTAGCCAGCACGCGAATGGCGTCACCGAGGCTACCGGACTCTTAGATCCCTCTGCCACGGAAAATGGCAATGGAACCGCCAACGGCCACACCTACGGCGCAACAAACGGCGCCCCTCGAACCGAGTCCTCTAAGCCCGCCGACCCATGGGTGCGTCCCACGACAATGCCATCTACCAGCTGGTGGGAGTATCTCAGTGGGTACTCACTCTTTTTCCCCTACTTGTGGCCATCCAAGTCACGCCGCCTGCAGCTGGTCGTCTTGGCCTGTTTTGGTCTGCTCCTTCTCCAGCGAGTGGTGAACGTACTGGTGCCCTACCAGGTCGGCGTGATTACCGATATGTTGTCTGAAGGAGGAGAGGGCGACACCTTGCGAGTGCCATGGTTTGAGATCTGCATGTACGTGATCTACCGGTGGCTGCAGGGCGGGCAGGGCTTGCTCAGTTCTCTGCGCTCCAGCCTCTGGATCCCCGTGAGCCAGTACTCGTACATGGAACTCTCTACTGCCGCCTTTGAACATGTCCACGGTCTTAGCTTGGACTTCCATCTGGGCAAGAAGACGGGTGAGGTGCTCTCTGCTTTAAGCAAGGGCAGCTCTATCAATACATTCCTGGAACAGGTTACTTTCCAGGTTGTGCCCATGCTGATTGATCTCGGCATTGCGGTTGGGTATTTCCTCATTGCGTTTGACGCTTACTACGCCCTAGTGGTTGGTATCTCCACCTTTGGCTACCTCTACGTCACCGTCCGGATGGCTCAGTGGAGGGCGGAAATCCGACGGCAGATGGTCAATGCCTCCAGGCAAGAAGATGCTGTGAAGTAAGTCTGCATTCATGGTATGATAAAAAAAAGGGCGACGTGTGGTTAACAAAATCGGTTAGGAATGACTCGATGGTGTCATACGAGACAGTCAAGTATTTCAATGCGGAACAATACGAATTCAACCGCTACCGAGACGCTGTGGGCGACTTCCAGAAGGCCGAATACCATGTCCTCTTTTCCTTGACGCTGCTGAACACTTGCCAGAACACTGTGTTTATGCTCGGTCTTCTCATCACGTGCTTCATTGCCGCGTACCAAGTCACCACCGGCCAGCGTCCCGTGGGTCGGTTTGTGTCTTTGTTGGCATACATGGTCCAGCTGCAGGGACCATTGAATTTCTTCGGCACCTTCTACCGCTCCATCCAGTCGGCCTTGATTAATGCTGAGCGCCTGTTGGAACTCTTCCGCGAGCAGCCGACGGTGGTTGACAGCCCTTATGCGACTCCATTGGCCATGTGCAAGGGTGACATCCGTTTTGAAGACGTCGAGTTTGCGTATGATGCACGAAAACCGGCATTAAATGGCTTGACTTTCCGCTGTGAGCCCGGAACAACCACTGCCCTGGTTGGGGAATCGGGCGGAGGCAAATCAACCGTCTTCCGCCTCCTCTTTCGCTTCTACGACGCTGAGAGAGGGTGTATTCGTATTGATGGGCACGATGTTCAAGATATCACGATCGACTCGGTCCGCAAACACATCGGTGTTGTGCCTCAGGATACGGTGCTCTTTAACGAGACCTTGATGTACAACCTGAAGTACGCCAACCAGGACGCCACCGACGAAGATGTCTACGCGGCCTGCCGTGCTGCCAGCATCCATGACAAGATCTTGGCCTTCCCCGACGGCTATGACACCAAGGTTGGCGAGCGTGGTCTGCGGCTGAGTGGTGGTGAGAAACAGCGTGTGGCGATTGCTCGGACGATCATCAAAAATCCCCGTATTATTCTGTTGGACGAAGCAACTGCGGCCCTAGATACCGACACGGAAGAGCATATCCAGCATGCGTTGTCCACCTTGTCACATGGCCGGACCATGCTCGTTATTGCTCATCGACTCAGCACCATCACCACCGCTGATCGCATCTTGGTTCTGTCAGAGGGACAGGTGGCTGAGAGTGGCACCCACGAGGAGCTTTTGGCCATGAAGGGTCGCTATGCGAGCATGTGGCGGAAGCAAATCCGAGCTCAGAAGGCGGCGGCCGAAGCGCAAGTCCTGCAAGACCGCGCTGAGCGTATTCGAACTGCAACCACCAGCGATGACAGCTCCAGCCAATCGGACGAGGATCGGAATGGCACTGGTCGACCATCCAACTAGACTGGTTGCCTGTACAGGCTATCCTTGATTGTTCTTTCTTTTCTGTTTTTCTGTTTTACTTCTGTGCATACGCGTTTCATCTTCGAGAAGATTCTTCTGGGCCGTAATGATCGGAGGCAGCATGCAGGGTCGGCAGCACTTGGGGAGGAGGTCTGTGTTTTGCGGTCTTTTATACTTGGTTTCTTGTTTCTTTTTTCATTTTTCGGGTCTTTCTTTTCTGGTGCCAGGCTTTTGTTTCATTCATTGCGCTCGCTGGCGTTTGGGGCATCACGACGCGTACGATGTCATTGTTCTCCTTGTCCTTGTTTCAACGAACCCGAGGTGCGATATGGTTCTGAATGGGACCCCTGGAAATAAAAATTAGATTAATTACTAGGGTCGCAGAAATGGATATATTAATATAACCTTGCAAATCTTGAGTTTGAATGACTTGGTTGTCTGAGGATGACCTCGGGAGTGCGCGCCAAGCCTCCAAGCCAAACTGGAGAAATTAGCACCTTGTTTTTTTTTCCCCCTCTCCGCACTCCCATCTCAATTGCATCAGACACCCAACATCGCGAGCCTCAATCTCATCCACGATCTGAGACTTGCCAATTCCCAGCCATGCATTCCCCATCTCCCCAGCTCCTCCGCGCCCTGCGCACCTCGCTCAGCAGCACCCCAAACACCTCCCACCTCCGCATCACCAGCCGAATCCCTCATCCATCCCCATCGCTCAGGACCCCAGCACCAGCATGCCCACCCTCAAGACTAGGGACCGAGCTCCCGTCGACCCGCCGCTACAACAGCTCCCCATCCATCCGGCCGACCCGCATGATCCCGCGCGCGCACTCGCATAAGCCCGCTGATCACGACCGCGGCCCCGAGTCCAAGGAGGACACGCTGACGGATTTTGCCGCGCTGAACGTGCTCGGGAATATTCCTGCGCCGACGACGGCCATTGATGCCTGTCTGGACTCGGGATTTCATCTTAATAATGGTGTTAAGGTGACGGGTGGCGATGCGCTGCTGCTGGTGGGTGGGGAGGCCTTTTCCTGGCGTCCCTGGAAGGCTGTTGAGGGGGCGGTGGATGATCGAGCTGCGAAGGCGGCTATGCTTAATTCTAAGGGCCAGTTTGAGCTTGATGAGCGGGTTTGGGGGTTGTTGGATGTTGTTTGGCCGCGGCCTGGTACGCTCTCTCTCTTCTTGCTTTGCTTCCCCTTTGTCCCCCTAGTAACATTTTGCTGACGCTTCCTCGACAGATCTGCTCATCCTCGGTATGGGAAGCTCTATGTTTCCTCTCTCGCCGGAAACGAAACGCCAGATCAACTCCTTGGGCATCCGGGTGGATATCCTGGATACTAGAAATGCAGCCGCGCAGTTCAATCTGCTTGCTACGGAGCGTGGGGTCACAGAGATTGCGGCAGCATTGATTCCCATCGGTTGGAAGGGCCGGTAGAATGAGAAACTGAAGTGTATCAGTATTCGAAATGTATATTTACTCCGCTATTTTAAGATGTAGACTTGTCTGGAATCTCCCCAATCTCAATTGCCTCAGGCATTAGTAGACAGGTCTCACGCTAACCCAAAATAGTAATACAAAGCGTGACCCCTGTCACATGAGTGCCCAATACAGCTATCTTATCGTCTTAGGCTGTCCCAAACTCCGCCCCCATATTTCCTCCACTCCTATCCAACTTTCCAATTTCATTGCCCCTTTCAACCTGCGCCCACAATGGAGCGCGAACAATCACTTCTAGCCCCGAGGGTCTCCTCTGAAAGGTCGTCTCTTCGGGCCGATGAAGAGGAGGATTCTCTCCTGACCGGACGACGATACGCTTACGCTCATCCGCAGAAACGACGAGGCTGGGTCTTTTGGCGTGAGATTGGAGCCTTTGCATGGGCTCTCATTGCCACAATTATAGTAATTATTCTTGCCGTGGTCTACCAGCGCGAAACAGCCAAGAGTCACCGCCAATACGACCTGCAACCCCCAGTATCCTGGGGCCCTGACGGAAAGCCGACTGGCAAGCGCAACCTGATCTTCATGGTCTCCGATGGAATGGGACCGACTAGTCTTGAACTTACAAGGAGCTTCCGCCAACATACGGACAACCTGCCGGCTGGCGACATTCTCGTCTTGGACCAGCACCACATTGGGACTTCGCGGACACGGTCCAGCTCGAGTCTTGTCACCGACTCGGCCGCTGGTGCCACGGCATTTTCGTGCGGCCTTAAGAGTTATAATGGGGCTATCTCGGTGCTGCCAGATCACTCGCCTTGCGGCACTGTTCTCGAGGCTGCTGCGTTAGCAGGTTATAAAACCGGGCTGGTCGTGACGACCCGCCTGACGGATGCCACGCCTGCATGCTTTGCCTCGCACGCCAACCTGCGTCAATATGAAGATAGCATTGCCGAACAGGAAATTGGTGAGCACCCTTTTGGTCGGGTGGTGGACCTCATGATGGGCGGTGGCCGATGCCACTTCCTGTCCAAGTCCACGGAGGGAAGCTGCCGGGGTGACGATCGGGATCTGGTGGAGGTTGCCTCCCAGAATGGGTTTAATTATGTGAAAGACCGTGCTGGTTTCGATGCGCTCAACAACGGCACAAATGTCAACCTGCCGCTGCTGGGCCTCTTCGCTGACAAGGACATTCCGTACGAGATTGACCGTCGCAACCAGAACGATGTCTATCCGTCGTTGGAAGAGATGGCCCGCACTGCGCTGACCGCCCTAAGCAAGGCGACCGAGGACAGTGAACAGGGGTTCTTCCTTATGATCGAGGGATCGCGCATCGACCACGCTGGCCACGGCAATGATCCTGCTGCGCAGGTGCACGAGGTACTGGCGTACGACAAGGCTTTCTCTGCCGTTCTGGACTTCCTGGAGAAGGACTCGACACCCGGAGTTATGGTCAGCACGTCCGACCACGAAACTGGCGGCCTGGCGGCCGCGAGGCAACTGCAGAAGAGTTACCCCGAGTACGCATGGTTCCCGAAGGTTCTCGCTGATGCGAACCACTCGGGCGAATACCTCAATAGCCAGCTGAAAGAATATCTGGCTGGCCCGGGCAAGGAGGACAGTAAGTCGAAGCAGGAGGCGTATGTTCGCGACACCCTCCTGAAGAAGGGGCTGGGCATCACGGATGCCACAGACAAGGAGGTGGAAGCCATTCTTCATGTGGAGCGGGATGTTCCTCCCGACTATGTTTTCGCGGATATGATCAGCCGCCGAGCCCAGCTTGGCTGGTCCACCCACGGACACTCCGGTAAGACAATGACAGCATGAATGGTTGTTTTTTTTTTTTTTTTTTTTTTTTTTGCGATAAGCTTACTGATCTTGAAATATAGGTGCCGATGTCAACATCTACGCATCGTCCACCAAAGACGCCTGGCCGTTGGTCGGCAACCACGAAAACACCGACGTGGGCAACTTCATCGCCAGCTACCTGGACCTCGACATCGACAACGTCACCCAGAAGCTCCAATCCGCGTCCAAATGGAAGCCCTTTAAGAAGGACAAGGTCTCGAGATCCACCGAGCATGCCTGGCTGGGTGACCCCCTGGGCTCTGATGTCCGGGCCGACGGACTGGATCCGTACCATGGAGACTTTTCGAAGCGCTCTGCTGATGACTGTGGGTGCGGTGCCGCCCATTAAATACATGGAGTGATTTCCTTTCAGGAGAAGCTCTATTTTCTCATTTTGTGTGACTGGGGGTCATTTGGGTTTCAATTTTCGGCATCTTTGCGTTGATTTGACTTGGCATGGACATTACCTCGACGTCTATGAATATCTTTCCACTTATAGCTATGCATATGATGATTGGTTATGGATATAGTGAGTTCTTCTGCTTGTCATTTAGTGTCGTAGATCCAATATCTGTCATGGTCTTGAATAGCATACATGCTAGAAGTCCATGATTAAGTATTCATTACCAGAGGTCTTGGCTCCTCACTAGAGTAGCTTAAATGAGACTAGAAATCATGCATAATGCAAGCAATCTCAAAAAACCAAGCTCTTAAACAACGCCTCAACCGGGTAGTAAACCCCAAGCCAGAAACTCCAACCCCAAAAGTCACATTCTTTCCTAACCTCCAGTTCTTCCCTTGCTTCCATTCTCTTCTAGCCCTCACAATCAGGGCAAACCTCCTCCAAACTAGTCACCCACGCAACGACATTACTCCTCCACGGATCCCCCCGCCCAACCACCGCATCCGCCAGCGCAACATGCGGCGCGCAGCCGGCGGTATCGGCGTCAAAGGGCAGCGCCAGATTCGCGCGCTCCTCGGCGGAGTTGATCCGGTTGAGTTGGCGGAGAAGCTCCCGGCAGAAGAGGTGCAGCTCGAAGCGGATGTGGTTGCAGTCGGGGTACCAGGTTCCCCTGTATAGACACATCTTGTTTTTCTCTCTTATGAGTGTAGTTGTGTGCTCTGTGCTTGGATGGGCAGCTAAAGAAGCTGGTTGTTGGAGGATTATCTGGAGACTCTGTTTTTTTTTGGGTTTGGTTAGCTTGGGCTCAGTGAGTATTTGGTGACTAGGGGATACTCGCCCTCAATTGGGAAGGTAGTAAGAGGGAGTGAGGAGTGAAGGAGCTAGGTTGGTCGGAGCAGTCTGAGATAAAGAAGCCTCGAGGACTCACTGGGGGGAAAGAGAAAGAAAGGAAGAAAGCCCAAGCGAGCAGAATATAGTCTTTCTATGGGCTTGACTCTCATTCACTTCAGCCTGACCTCACTATAGAGACAGCCAATAAACTGGAGTCTATAAAGTCTTAGCACCCTCCCCTAGTCCCCATTCTTTAGAATCTTGTTATTTCTCTGATCTACTATCTCTTTCATAGAGTATTCAATTCATCTTTTGTTAAATTTAAGTGATCATAAGGCGTTTACATGGCCCTCAAAGAACTTTAACCAAACGGTCTTTCATTAAATTCCAGATAATCAAAGGCTAATCACTTAAAACCTTATCTCTTACTCTAGTAACCATTAAACAGCACCTATCTCTGATATAATCCAGCATTTCTGATTCAATATTTCAACTCTCATGCTTCTATTTCTACAAATGATAAATATAGTCTCCACGTGGAGATAGTAATAGTGGAGCTGGGGCTGCAGGGGCCATTCGACATCCAACCAGAAGTGTTGCACTGACATCTGCACACTCCCGGGGAACAAGGATCTATGCTATTCCACCTTCATTAGGCCTATATCCTAGATTACAGCAATTAAGCTCAATAGATTAGAGTATCAAGTCAAGACACCACCCATATCAAAACACAGCGATCCGGTCAAATAGCTGTCCACAATCATGTGCAGGGACCCCGAATCATTATCTGAACAAAGAGAAGCAAAAATAAAAATACAAAGTCCGGAAGCAAACGGCATAGCAAGATAAAAGAAAACGCGAAGCAGGTATCAAACAGAAAAAGAAAAGTACAAGGAATGTTCATTAGGTTTGTTCAAGGGGGCAAAAGCGAAGACGGTCACGAAGTGAAGAACAAATAGTAAAACAGAGTACTCGATATCATGAGCATATCAAGAAGAGAAATAAAGGCAAAGAAAAAAAAAAGAAGAGAGAGAGAGAGAGAGAGAGAAGACTGAGTGGATCGAATCCGTGTTGTCGGTTTACAGCGTCACCAGGACCACCACGGCAACCGTGACGGCGAACAAGGAGCTGCTCAGGATCCGCTCACCGTAGACTGAGGCACCATTTGCCTTGTCACCACCCTGGGTGAAGCCGTTGCCCGAGGACTGGGCGTTGCTGCCGCTGTGCGTGGTGGTGGCGCCGCTGCCATTGCCGGACATGCCGCCAGAGCCGCCTTGGTTGGTGGGCACGCTGTCGCTGTTGATGCTGGGCGAGCTGTTCTTCTTGTTGTCATCGGCACCGAGGTTCATGTTCAGGCCGGTGGCGCCAAGAGAGCCCAACACAGTAGAGTTGTCGGTGATGGCGATGGAGTTGTTCAGGGCGATCTTGTCGGTGTAGACGTAGGATTTGTCGCCATTCTTGGAGGTGCCGTCCGGAGGGTTGTAACACTGCACCTTGATTTCACCGATGGTGGCCGAGTAGTAGCCCAGGTCCTTGATGTCCTCGCTGTCCCAGTCGATCTCACCACCAGCCCAGTCAATAGTGCCCTTGGCGTTGCTGGCCTGGCCGGCGGGCCAAAGGGACATCTGCAGGCGGGCCGGGGTTTGCGGGAACTGGTAGCGGTTGGCGGTCGCATTCCAGGTCTCGGACTTCTTGAGCGTGCGCTTCACGTCGCCGTCCACGACCCACCGCACCTGGTCAGGTTGCCAGTCAATCTCGTAGGTGTGCCAGTCGTCAAAGGTGTTGCCGCCATCGACGGTGGCGTTGCCGCTGTTGTGCCCTGTGTTTGGTATGGTTAGCTTATCTTCCTAACATTGCCGTCGTTGAAACCAGTAAGAAACAAAACACTCACAGTCCAGGACACCCTGCCAGTAATAGTTGGTCTGCACCGCGGCCAGGTCGGCACCCACAAACTCATAATCAATCTCGTCCTTGACGTCGGACAGCAGAATGAATGCTGTCACCACACCCTTGCCGCGGCTGCTCTTGATCTTCCCAGAGATCTTGCCGTACCAGATGTAGTGGTTGTTGGCGAACAGGGTGCCGACACTCTTCGTGGGCATAGTCATGATCAAGTTCCCGTCCTTGGTCTTGGGGTCGCCGCTGTAGGTCCAGTCGGCTGCGGAGGCATTGCCTAGGTACTTGTCCTGCTTGGCAGCATTGTCGAGGTTATCCCAGGTGTATTTCTTGTCCTTGCAGACAGGCATCGGCGCACACGAGTCGATGGTGAAGGAAGATTGGGGGTCGCATCCGCCGAGGCAGTAGGCACCGGTGCCACATTCGCCGTACTCTGCCAAATTGTTTTTGCATGAGCTATATGATCCATTGATTTTCGTTGATCCCTGTGTCAAAGGTCACTCACGAGAGCAGCATGGCTTGTCCTTGGGGCACTGGCTGCTGGTGCTGCACGACGTAGCGGCGAGGGCACTTGCGCCCAGCGACGCCAGCAGTAGCGACGTCACGAAACGGACCATTGTCGGAGAGCCTGGAAAAAGGCCCGGGTATATACAGAAATCACCGAGGGAAACAAGAGTGTAGATTTAGGGTAAAGAGCGTGAATCGGATAGGAGCATATAAGAATAAAAGAATAAAGGCAGGCAGCGAGAGACGAGAAGATGAAAAGAAGAAAAGCAAAGAAAACAGTCGAACGAGTGAAGAGAGCCGATAACGAACTTGGAAGGGAAGAATGGGGGAGAACGGCGATATTTCAAAGGGTAATGCCGTTACCGAACCAGGGAACGGCCCTCGACTAGCCGGGTCGGGCGTGTCTCCGAGGTGTGGAGTACACCCGGTATTGTTGATGTCTATAAAAACATTAATAGTATATTAATAGTATATATCATAGCTCGATCCACGGTTGGTTCTAAGTTGTGAAGAATCTGTGTATCACTTCTGAGGCATTTGCCCCATCCTGCCATGCGTATGAGATAAGAATCTTCATCTACAATCCAAGGGGGAGCGTGGAGTGTGGCTGCATCTACAGTTCAACAATACCTTAGTCGCAGATTAAATACACGGCGATCATGGTGGATGTGAATCCTGCCGAGTCTGCCCTACCCAATCCTTGTGTCCCGATGTTTACAGTTTATTGATTTTTTTGACAACAAAAATATGAAATATCAAAATAAATCTATCTCCCTCACAAAATGGCTTGAGGATTACTCTCAATCCACAGATACAAACATTCAATGCCAGTCTAGGCAGTCTTGGTCACTGTTTTCGGTTTGGAGGAACTCAGTCCAACGCCGGTCGCGGTCCTTCAGGAGCGAGCAATGTCGATCCAGTCCCCCGTAACTTTAACTACCGCGACCGGGTGGACACAGGAGTCAAGGCTACAGGGAGCTAGAGAATACTCTCTCTCTCCTATTCGTTTATTTATGACTATTACTTCTGACTTGTAGCGCTAACACCCCCATAAGGAATAGTGGTGGCACCCATACAAGAACCATGATAAATAGGGGGGAAGCTAACATGGAACTAAGGGGTAAGAGAGATAACTGATAAGCCTGCTGTTATTCTTCTCTTCCAAGCAACCCGCCCAAATATCCTTCTCGAAGGAATGTTGATGTTGATGTGGGCGTTGTTTACTCCCCGGGTTCCCGACGTCATCTACTATGTAAGGAGGCCTTGATTATCTGCAGAGTCGATCGTTCCTTGAGACTGATCCGATACAAATAATACACAAAACGATCATCAAAGATAACGGCCCTTGACATCATTGGTGTTTAGCACACGCTCATTCTGAAAGTCGCACGAGTCGACTTCTCCACTGCGTAACCCCCCTATCTATGGATGCTACATTTTTGATAGAGGAGATGGTGTTGCCCTCTTCGCATATTGATCAAGTATGTTTTGCCTATAGATTACTGCGTTTTTATCGCTTAATGGCGAGCCACTTTCCAATACTCGTAAGATCTCAATGATAGTGGGGCATAGTCCATGAATTTTTAGTTCTATATGCACCGTCAGCGCCATGCCATGTGAATGGCTCAACACTGTATAGAAAATCTTTAATTTAAGGCAAAAAAGGGTCCGTCTAAATACATAACCATATTACATCAACACCTCCCGAACTCATGTCTTGCTCAGAAGAACTTGTCCCAAAATAAACAGTAAAAAAAAATCTGCAGGAACTTTTCTTTCTATTTCAACGCGGCTTTCGGGATCATCAGCATCAGCGGCAGGGCCAGAGCCGTGGCAAAAACGGGGATCACTAAAACCAATAAGCAACGAACGGGTTTAAATCTCTGATCAGAAGGGGATGACATACAAGAAACATAGTGGAAACTGTGCAGATAGCTGGAATGCACGGCAACTCGAAACATCTCGGGGACGCCCAGAGAACCGAATTTGTTGAGGATGTTTTTGATGACCTATTGACACTCAGGTTAGACCACCGGAACCAACGAGGCATTTGAGACTACTTACCTCTGCTTTGTTCGGGACGTCTCGCAGAAGAGAGATCAGTGTATCTTTAAAGATCGCATGAAGAGCAACGGACGAAACCCCCGTCCCGATGATACCGCCGACTTGCTGCGACAGGTAATACATGCAGATGGTGGTGGCTTGCAGCGACTGCTCGGTGCACACCGTCAGCCCGGTGAAGGTGCAGGCTAGCACGGCTCCCAGGCTCAAACCCGCGGGCAGGATATACAGCCATTCCCATGGGAGTTGCTTATCAGCGCTCCAGCGAATAGTGATGAGGAGGTACATCGAGGCACCGAAAGCAATCGAGCCGATGCAGAGGCTTTTGTAGTTATTTGTTCTGGTGGAATGAGTTAGTATGTGGGGTCCGAAGTCACACGCAGATGAATCTGAAACGAACTTTCTAATCACCAGGCCGCCAATTATAGACCCAACTGTGAACCCGATGGGTGAGGGAATCAGGTGGATGGCAGCTTGTGTGGTTTTAAAGTCTTTAGTCCACAGAAAATAAGGAGAGAGACTCGAGACGTGCTGTTTGGAAGTCAGCTTATGATTCAGAAAGGGAAGGGGGAAAAAGCAATAAAACCACATACCGCTTGTCGACCAAACAGCAGCAGCATCTGGATAACAAAATAAAATGCCGACGAAGTCTTTAGCAGTGACAGAGGGATCAGCGGCTCCTTGGCGTGATATGCTTCAATAAGCAGGAAGACCAGTCCAAAAAAGAACGTGACTCCCAACAGCACCAAAGACTGTGACCTGCCTCTGGCCAGGAACTCAATCGAGGCCAGCAAGCTTGAGATAGTGATGGTAAAAGTGATAACCCCCAAGTAGTCGATTTTCTTCGAGACTGGCTGGCTCTGAGCCTGCTCGCTGGTTTTACCTCCAGATTGCTGGGTAGTTAAAAAGACCATGCAGCAAACGCAGCAGAGCAGAGCCGTGGGGGCTTGAACAATGAAAGACCTAGACACCATTTGTTTTAGTGAGACTGAGCCGAGATTGTGTTCGGGAGATATCCTCACCATCGCCAGCCGACTGCATCTGTGATGAATGCCCCGAGGGGTCCTCCAAATGCCCGCCCGGAGACATTGAAAACATTGACATAGCTTCTTGCAAGAGCCACCTGGCTGGGCAAAACGTTGTCTGTTGGCAGACAGTGAGCAACAGAACCTCGTTGTGGACAGAACAGCCAGGTTCATTCTACCTGTAATAATCACCGAGATTAGGGCAACCATGCCCGCTCCTCCGAGGCCGGTGATGATTCTTCCCACAATAATTTGCCATAAGAGCACACCCGTTCCACTTGGACGTATTAGTGTCAGGTCTTCAATTCGCTTCAAAGCGTTCCATCGGGGCAAGCGTACGAAATCAGACAGCCAATGCTGAACAAGCAGTACGACACAGCGAGCGGGATCTTGCGGCCATACGAGTCGCTCATTTTTCCGTACTATTTCATGGAGAAATGATCAGAGAAATGCGATGTGTTATATGCCCGGCGGCTTCAACTCACCACCGGTAAGGCAATGCAGTAGCCCAAATTATACCCCGTCAACACCCAGGCACTATCGGAAACGTCGTCGAACTGCGAGGCAATCACTTCATAGGTGACCATCAAAAAGGACTGGTCTGCGCCCGCAACGAAGACTCCTATAGATGGAAAATCAATGTTAGCCGATGAACAATGTAGAGCAAAAAAGCAGTGGTTTCACATACCAACGAGAGCCAACATGATTCCCAATGTCCGTCGCCATTGGGAAACGGGAGTCTCTTGGCCATTTCCTCCTGCCTCTACCTCGCGGTCCGCTGCGGAGCGAAGCAGCGGCGTTCTTTCAGTGGTATGACCGTTCATTTTGAGGGGTGTCTGTCGTTGGAATGTGCCAGTTGAAAAAAAAATTGTCCAGACACGCCACTAAAAGCAGCAGAAAGCCGTACTGACAAGCGAGACCAAGCTGAAAAGAAAAGAAACTCAAATTTTCTTTGCTTTTTGGAACAAAAGATGAACCGGCTGAGGTGGGCTCTCAACCTATCAGCATTGAGAGGCACGATCGACCTCGCTATGATTATTCCGTCGATCTTTGGCCCCTGGATCCCGAACTCGGCAAAGGGAGGCTTCTTCCCCGCGAACCACGCTGATGGAGCGAACTATTATGTGGGTTCAGTGGAGACTTCAGCTGAAGCCGGACAGCAAGGGGTGGAAGAAGAGAAAAAAAAAAGCACCAATAATAAGTACTAATAATACTAAGAAATATAGCCATGTTCGGGCAATTGACCCACGACGGATCCTCCCGAGTAGGAATTCCAAATTATGCAGTTCGTCGTATGGCACGTCGTGAAACTCTGGGCATTTTTGTTTTGATTTTTTTTTTCGGCGCTGTTGAAGATCATATTCGTGATCCATGACGCACTCAGCCACTCCACAGAATTCAGCTATAGAAACGCCCACCCCCCTTGCCACAGCTTCAATTTGCTTGCCAATGCATCTTGCTTGCAGACGTTCGCAATCTGAACCTTCGATCTTAACCCAAAGGGGCAATAAATCGACTTCAACTATGCATTTTGTCCAAGGAAACAATATCATTGTGCATCTTGGGTTTCACAGTCTCACATACAATGCCTTCTGCATGCCTTGCCTGGGCATAGCCACAATAGCCACGAAATTCAATTATGAATGGATCTTGTGCTACACATAAGTATTTGATGATGCTCATCCGTGTGGATAATTCAAAGCCTGGTTTATTGCAGTAACTCAATCTTATCGCTATTGTTGTAGTCTTGCAAGCTCAGTAGGGAGTAATCAGATCAGAAGATCTGTGCCTTATAGAGCTCTCCTTGCACATCCCTGCCGAAGCATTTATGAGTGCGGACAAGGCTGAATTCAAGAGTCGTAGAGAAATATAAAGTCAACCAACAAGGGAGCCGTAGTAATAAAGAAACATGGCAATCTAATTGCCGACATCCATGGATAATTGAGAGATCCGTATCTCATCAAAGCTCGCTTTTAGACTCCAGCACGTAATCGAAGCCATCTATACATCTTTGGCTAGCACAACATATGATTGCCTATTTGCCTAGCCGTCCCCTGAAGTCGGACCCGTAGCGTATTTCTTTATCTACGCTGCTACCCTATCTCGAAAGCTCACTATTTTAACTTCGAAATAGTGCTCTAATACTTAAAAGGTATTCCGACAAGCGGCTAAGTAAAATAAGTAGTATAAGGGATTGGAATAATATCGAATTATTAACAAAAATCGATAAATTCGTACGTTAAATGCGAGCTGTAATTATCTATTAAAAATAGCCGTTTTTAACCCTTCGCGCGATAAGTAAGATAGATATGAAACTGTTGAAGCTATTCGTATACAATTTTATTATTTATATATTCTTTTGGGTTCATGGCGATACGATAATTGTCTGGGAGCGAAGTCGTTGTATACTATCGTTCGAGAGAATATTCGCCGCGAAAAACGAGATATAGTAGTAGAGTAAAGCTATTAGTAGCGATATATTCGATAGTTATAAGAGATTTGCCTTGCTCTATCGAAGGAGTACCTTATCGTGCTCGTAGATTCGCTATAACGACTTTTTGTGTCTTTCCTTGACTAACTTGGAAGTTAGTTTTATTAAAATTATAGATATTTTTTTGGCCTAATTTTAGCTATATCCGGTTCAAGACGATCAAACTAAGTTACTAAATACCCTCTATCCTCTGATTCGAAACGGCTTTTATCAACTGGCTTCTGTTTTATTAAGTATAGATCCGAGGGGAGCCGTTCGATAAACCGATAGGCCTAGTTCTTCGATACGCGTGGCGCGTCGTCCGTAGTATTCCGTTTCACAATCTAGTTCGTATAGTCCTTAATTATACGAATTATAAGCGAAACTTATAGCGAATCATTAAGAGTTTTTTTTGGCTGCGAGATTGGCTGTTTAAGGTAGTCGGCCTTATATTCTGACGCGAAGTCGATAATAGGGAACATCGAATTCGCGCGCTAGCAACGCGATTATTGGTTTTTTTTTCTCGCGTTTTGCTGCTTCACAGGCTTCAATAAGCCGACTTTTGATAATATCGATAGATTTTTACAAGGTTGGTATAGTGAAATTTGCGTTCCCGTGGGTCCGACTTCAGGGGACAGCTACTTGCCTATTCTCCTTCTTTGCGTGTCAGCCAAAATGGCCATGATAGACGCATTTCGAGTAATTGAAAAGCGCTAGTACTGCTTTAGCCAAGATTCATAACTGGTAGAGTAGAAGAAACATCTCGATATTCTCGAGAAATGATGTATAATGACCACTGGCATAATACTATAATACTATCTGGAACCCGCCTGCATCACATATTTCCTACCACAAGGCAAAGGTAATGGCAGACTATCGATACTATTCATGACGTGATTACAGCATGTGAAGGGGCATAGAGGATAGTCTTGTATTATTGTATTGCATCGAATCTTGCCCCAAAAGTCCCCCCCCCCCCACACCTGCAATGCAATGCACATGTCGGTCTGAGCACAATCCCGTGAACCTTAAGAGAAATTTCCGTTCCGTGATGGATGTAACCATGGAGCTACATAGGTACACACAGGAGCTGAGGGATCTGCAAACTGGAGGCGAGCTGAAGACTGCATCGATTTGAGCTCCCTAGGCAATCATTCACAAGCATGGACCAGCTGCCTACGCGCCCGAGATACACCGTGTATGAAATCTTGGATACAATAACTGGCGGTGACGATGAGAGTACAGGAGCAACGCCTGTTGTATTTTCCATGGATACAGGAATCACCGGAAGATTATAAAGCCCACTTCTGTCATCTCTTTATTGGTGTTTTGGCTGGGGAGAAGCCTTCCAATTCGGCATTTTGTTCTTATTTGTGAGGTACCCTGATTATATTTCAGCCCAGATCTCAGAATGAGCGCGATTGCTCCGACTGCCCATGGCATGGCCGTGCCGGATACACTGCATGCCGTGTCTGTCCAGATCCCCACGTGGCAAGAGATTTGTGCAATTGCCCTTGGGGACCTCAAGGCTATCAAGGCCTTGAAGAATGGATACCCCAGGTCCTATGTGCACAAGAGCATCCAAGTGGTATGTTCCAATGTTCATATCTCGGGCGAATACCTTGAGTAGCTCGACTGACTTTTGTCCCATGTAGCTCGTCGAAGCCTGCGAGAGGGAGTTCTTTCTTGCAGGCGAAAAACCCATGCTCTTCTCCAACCCCGACGCTGCTCGCGCGTGCAAGGCATACATGAGCTCGACCGCCATCCATGGCTCCAAAGCCGCCTCCTCGGACGGCATCTCGCTGCGCAACATCGAGTTCGGCACGAAATCAAGTCCCGAGCTCGCTTTACACCTGCCCCCTTTGTATGCGGTAGTATACCCGCCCGAATGGGCTGGACTGGCCACGCTGTTCTGGCGGTTGACCGGCACGGGGATTTCTTCGCGCATGGCCGGCCGTTGTCTGCAGGCGCTCGACCGGATGTGCCAGGTGGATGTGCCCACACAACTCCCTCCCTCGGTGTTGCACCCCGCCTATGAAACGATTCGCACTCGCATCGCGAATCTTATTGAGCGCGCTCCCGTTGATCCCCCGCGCCCATCCAAGGTCTCTCCCAACGATGTCTTCCTCTACCCTTCTGGCATGTCGGCCATCTACCACACCCACCATCTGCTGCTGAACTGGCGCGGCGCCGAAAGCGTGGTCGTCGGGTTTACTTACGAGCTCACAATCAAGATCATGGAGGCCTTTGGCCCGTCGTATAAGTTCTACGGTGCCGGCACTGAAGCTGAAATCGACGAGTTCGAGCGCGCCCTGGAGGCCAAACACCGCCAAGGAGTCAAGATTCAAGCGGTGTGGTGCGAGTGTCCATCGAATCCTCTCCTTCGGACCGTTAATATGAAGCGATTGAGGGGCCTGGCCGACAAGTATGACTTTATCGTCATCGTGGACGACACTATCGGCAGCTTCGCCAATGTGGATGTTCTCGGAATTGCAGATATTGTGATCACATCGCTGACCAAATCCTTCAATGGGTTCGCGGATGTGCTTGCTGGCAGGTGAGTATTCTAAATTGATCCACTTGCTAAGGCCTTCTTTTTCAAAGACAGTGTTGTGATAGCTGACGAAGATCAATCTGTAGCACGATCCTGAACCCGAACTCCCGGTATTACTGCGAGCTCCAACCGCTCCTCAGCGCGTCATACAAAAACAACTTGCACGTCGACGACGCAATCCAGCTCGAGGCCAACAGCCGCGACTTCATGCAGCGAGCAGCCCAACTGAACGAGACAGCCAACTACCTAGTCGACCGCATTCACCCCTACGCCGCGGATCCAAGAAGCGTCGTCAGCAAAGTCTACTACCCGAAATTGTGCTGGTCCACAGAAAACTACCACGCGCGTATGCGGCCCGCGACCGAGGAGTTCACGCCAGGGTACGGGGGCCTGTTCACGATCGAGTTCGTAACGGTACAAGCGGCGATGGAGTTTTTGAATTCGCTGCAGCTCCACAAGGGCCCGTCCATTGGGGCCAATATTACGCTGGCTCTTCCGTACGTGCAGATGGTCTTTCAGAAAGAGAAGGACTGGGCCGCGCGCCATGGAGTCAAGGAGACGATCGTGCGGATCTCGGTGGGTCTGGAGGACAAGGAGGTGCTGTTGGGATGTCTGCTGCGGGCATTGCAGATTGCAGACCAGGGCAAGAGCCACATTTGAGTTGGGGAGGAAGGATTGGCGTTGAGGGGGGGGCATGTTTTCGTATTTTCGTTGTATTTATCTTTCTTGCTTCTGGTTGCATTTGGACTGCTTGGCCGTGCCAGTAGCAAATCGCTTGGGGCAAAGGACATATCCACCTATGTGAAATATAGAATGGAACCACCCAAGTCCCCGCTGTATATTCGCCATTGAGATTCCCAGTCGTGACACAGAGAAAGTGCCGAGAGACAACCAAAAAAAAAAAAAAAAAAAAACAAAGACTGCAGGTAACTGAAACTATTGCCATAAGACCACACAGCTATCCCTGCGATACTGGCGCTTGCAGCATAGCACTCCAGCCAAGATGCTTACTTCGGTCCCATGGATCGTCATCTTGAAAGGCTCCACAGTCGGAGATCGAGAACGACACGGACCTTCCTTGACTGTCGTGTCTCCACTGATCAGCATATGAGGCGGGCTGAAACTCCGCCTTTGAATCCACTGGTTCATTTTCTCGGAATTGCAAAGAACAGGGGGTCGATGTAGTCATCTATGTGGGGTATCGGTCGATCGACTTGGGTAGCAACGTGGTGCGAGATCTATTGAAGGGAGGTTTTAAGCAATCGAGGAGATTTGAAGTGCTTCGGAAATGCAATGCCCAGGCAAATCTTTTTTATTGGCTACCTAGCTATGTACTAAGCATTGCTGAAAGCTCAAACAGCCTCAGAAATTCTCTTTCCCACTACGCATTGGCCCTCTCCTCTGCCAATGCCTCTGACCTCAGCTTGCTGTTAGGATCGAAATACGCCCGCTCACCGACCCCGACGACGCGATGCCCAGTCCGGGGGCCCATACCGCCGTGGTCCAAGATGGCACTGTGAAACACGGAGCGGTTGTCCCAGATTGCTAGACATGGCAGTGTTAGTAAAGGGGAAGAAGAAAGCTTTTCTTTTTCTCTCTCTCGATATGGGGCCTCAACTCACCAATGTCGTATGGGTTCTTCCACTGATGCCTCAATTGCAGATCGTGGTTTTCCACCAGCAGTTGAAGAAGCCAGTCCTGCATGCGGCGGCTCTCATCGGGCGCCAGCTCATTGACTTGCTTGAAGTCTCCGCCGATTCCAAAGACGCCCTTCCACCCGGTCACCGGGTTGGTGCGGACCATCGGGTGCACAGCTCCCAGGCCTGTACCCACGTTGGCCGGGGAACCGCGCGCGTCGGTGTAGAGCTTGATGTTCTTGGCCTTGCATGCGCTCTCGTACCGCGTCTGAGCCATGGTGACTGTGAGGCTCTCGAGGAACTTACGGTACGCTGGAGAGATGCGCTCCAGGATCTCGTACGAGGATGCCCACATGGTATCTATCGTTGCCGAGAATGAGCATCATTTATCATCAACTAAAGTGATGAATGGTTGCGCTGGTCCAACTCACCTCCGCCTGTCGCAGGCATCTTGACCACTTTCAGTGACGAGTAGTCAGACGGATGAGGCTCATAGCTGATATCAGCGTGCCAGCTGCCGCGTGTGCCCATGGGCCGGTCAGCCTGGATCTTGAAGATGTCCTCGGCTGCGCCCTGCGCCTTGTCCGAGGTGATGATGTTGACTTTGTGGTCCACGTCGGCATTGCCTTCGACCAAGGGGTGGATGTGGAGGTGCGAGTCGGCGGGCTTGCCGGACAGCTCGCCCATGCGTTGGATGAGCTCCTTTTGCAGCTCGTCGGTCAGGTCGATTTGGCCACGGAAGAAGACCACACCACGCCGCGATGCTATCCATTTGCAGGTTAGTATCATACCATAGGGGGAAAGGTCTGCAGCGTCTTCTGGGCGTGCCATACCGGTGATTGCGAGGTCCCGGATGAGATCGTCTGAGTTAGGAGCTCTCAGCCACTCGGCGACATGGGCATCGGGAAACTCAGTACCGAGGATGGGAGTCACCATCTTGGACTTGATCTGGCCAAGGGCACCGCTCAGCTTAAGGGGCTCTTGGTTCCGTGAGCCCCCATTGATGGGGTGGCTGTTGACAATGCCGTTTCCCTTGGCCATATTGACGTTTTTTTTTATAGTTATAGCTGACAAGCTCAATCGATCAAATAAATTGGAAGAAAGAAGTATATGGTAACGGGCCAAGGGGAAGAAGATTTATATGCTAGATATAGAGGTACCTATGGTTTCCTTTCTGTCCCTTTATACCGCCATTCACCACCAAATCAAGGCCCTTGGTAGGACCCGCCTCAGGGCTTGAAACACAAAGCAATGGCTCACCCTCCCACAACACATCGCCACCCGCATCTCCTCATGCTGGACCACACCAGGGTATGACAATCGACCATATTTCTTTTGCTGAAGAGGGAAAGATACCATTGAGATCAGAGGTGAGGTCAATCTAGGTCTGGATATGCCTGTGGTGGACAAAAGCTCCGAGTCAATTACTGGTATTGCAGCTTGCCAGCCAATCCAATTCATTTTTTCCCGGTAAATGTCAGCCAGCTATGCATTACACTGCAGTACCTCGTACTTTGTCACGACTTCTGCAGGGCATACTGCCCCCCTGACGAGTTCCTCAGAGCGGAAGGGCCGTGTACATACATCAAATGCCCCAGGGCACTCGAGTCGGCTAGCCACGCTTGGTTGATGGCGCATCAGTCACATTTATGTCCCTTGACGTGTCCCTGCATTGCTTATGGTATTACGCAATATCGACAGTAGTACAACAGAGAAAAATAAATATATTGTGGAGCTCTTGCAGAAACCAATTGCTCCAACCGATGGTCCAGGTACCGAGGTTCCTCGGTGGTGGTTTTTGTATTACCATTACTGTTACTCTGTAGCCCTAACTGCTCAACATGTACACCCCGACTTAGGTAGAGCACACCCCGGAGCAATCGTTCTCATTATTTTCTCCTTTATTCTATCTAGCTGCTCAAATTGATCATTACAAACAATGGGTTCAACCGAGATCGACAATCACCCCTTCGAAGGCATCGTCGAAGGACAGCTCGGTGAGCGCCGGTACTCTAAAGCCATCGCCACAATCTAACATCCAAAACAGAGACTGGAAGTATCTTACAGGACCTCTTTGTTAAAGATCCGCACCCCGACAAGGTCAACCTCCTGCGCGGGGCCTACCAGGCCGACGTCGGAACGCCTTTCGTCCCGCCATCTACAATTCTGGTAAACAATACCCCTCACGTTTCCCTTGGAGACAGTAATCGACTCAGTTTTTTTTTTCTTTCATAGGCTCGAGAGAAACTTTTTCGGGATTCCAGTTGGCACCATGACTACCTCTTCTTTCTCGGTGCCCAGGGCCTCCTGAAGGCTGGCGAGGAGCTATTCTTCGGACCGCAGAGCTCTGCTATAACATCGCAGCTGTATGAGACACCGGATTCTTATATCTTTTACACAACTCAAACCCCGAGTCTGAGCTGACACAAGTGTCTCTCAGGGTCGCCTCCATGCAAGCGGTCGGAGCAACGGGTGCAATTCATATGGGCGGCCGCTTTCTCAAGGACCATTACCCTGCTTGGAAAGGCAGCGACCACAAGATATACTTGTCCAAGGATACCTGGGGTATGCATAATTACTATGCTATTCTCTTGGTTCTGATTTTGCTAACATTTTGGACAGTCAATCACCGCAACGTCTTCAGAACACTAGACATCCAGCCCATCGAACTCCCATACTACGACCCCTCCACCAAATCTTTGAATTGGACCGCCTTCAAAGACTCTATTGCATCCCTCCCTACACAATCTGTCGTTCTTCTTCAGACGGCTGCCCACAATCCAACGGGCTGTGACCCCACCCCAGAGCAATGGAAAGAGCTCATCCAGATCTTCCTAGCCCGTCGCCACTTTGCCTTCCTCGACGCTGCCTATTTGGGTCTTGTGTCCGGAGACCCCGACGTTGATGCAAATACTATCCGGCTGTTTGAAGCCGCCGGCGTCCCTCTTCTACTGGCTGGCACGTTCGGGAAATCCTTCGGGCTGTACGGCGAGCGGGTAGGAATGCTGAGCGTTATTGCGCCGAGTCCCGAGATCAAGGCCAGGATGCAAAAACAGATGACCTTGTTAGCGCGCTCAGAGACGGGGTCCAGTCCGGCTTTTGGAGCCAGAATTGTGGAAACGGTTTGGGGGGATGAGGCTATCAAGAAGGTGTGGATAAAGGATGTTAAGGGGATTGCGGATGAGTTGAGGCGGCGTCGACAGACGCTCAAAGACGAGCTGGCGCGGTTGGGGACTCCTGGGAAATGGGACTTCCTTACGCAGCAGGTCGGCATGTTTTCGTGAGTTTAGCTATGATTCATTATTCCTTGACATGTGTATGTTGATCCCTCCGACAATATCCCAGCTACCTGGACTTTACGCCGACGCAGCTTGAATTTTTGCGAACGGAGAACCACCTCTATCTCGATGGGAATACTCGACTGTCCTTTGCGTGAGTTTCCGCCCCTTGGGCTATTTCTCGTGATCTAATAAGACTTCCCAGGGCGATCAACAACGACGGGATCACGCTGGTGGCCCGTGGCATTGACAACATGATTAGGAACAAAGTGGAATAGTTTATACAAAATATTTAAACCAATAAGATTTCTGCTTTCTCCTTCATAGTCTCGATCATGAAAAAAAAAATCCACGCATCTATTCCTATCACGCGTACGGATTCACATTCGGCGTCTCTTTCTCAATCAACACAAACTGCGGAATCACCTTTTTCACAGCATCCTGCTCCGCAACAGCACTGAAATGCCTCATCACATTCGGGTGTGCTTCCCTCCACTTTGCATCCAGCACCCACTCCAGTCCGCGCGAGACATACACCGCCACCATGATGTCTGCAAGTGTCAGATGGTTGCCAACAAACCACTGTTTTCCTTCCAGCAGAGTCTCCAGCGTAGTCAACAGACGCTGAGATTTGACCTTTCCGGCTTCCACAGCGGCATGGTCATAGGGTGGAGGATCAGAGAAGCCGGGGATGAGTGGAAGGAACCTAGGATAGTGAGAAAACAATCAAACATGAAAAAAAAAAAAAAAAAACGCAGGAATCATGCTCACCACAATGCAAGAGTCTGAATGAGCTCTTGGTTGGCCCAGCTCATCACTGCGAGGACTTCGGCTTCCTGTTCCTTGGAGCCATCCCCGAGAAGACCGGCCTTGTTAGATCGTTTAGCAAGGTACTACACGGAGAACAGTAATTAGAAAAAAAAAACCAACTTCACCTGTAACAATTACACACCCACCGTAACGATTGCAATTGTCTCCGTCAGTCGGAGCCCTGGTGCCTCGAGACCCGGGATCTTGCCATGGCCCAAGGGGAATTTGGCCATGTATTCGGCCTTGCCGACATTCTTGCGCGGGATCACCTCGGCGAGCTCAAGTGGGATTTGCTCTAATTCAGCCTTTGGGGTTTTGTTCTTGTCAGATGGTGCTAGGGCTTTGGAAGGGATTAGGTCCGGGGATGGAACTGACCACAATGCGCACGATGCGAGTGCGAGGGTTTCTCTGCGAATAAAAGATGTTTTGAGTATTTCTTTTTTCTGCAGATACAAATAATATTGGAGGACAATACCTCGTAGCCATATACTTGCAATGCCATTTCGTCTGCAGATAGAAGGAAAATGATCGCAAGAGTTGGTAGGCGGACAGAGGTCCATTGACTTATAACGATCCACCTTGAATTCACCACAGCTTCTTATATGGCTACCTGGTAGGTACTACTATCCATGCTGTGGGTATACAAGAATACAATAAAACATGTCGTACGGTAAAGCCAGATGCCCACGGGCATGGGGCTACCGTGGGGCCGATGTACAATAGTGGAGAGCATGACAATCCTTGCCCTAAAAATGCAATGTCATGTATCGAGCGAGCCGACCCACCGAAGATCCAACCTCATGCAACCCCATTCATTACGCTAACGCCGTTCTTGACTGGTCCCGTCGCCCCCTCAGCGATCTTCTTGTACTCGTTCAGTACCTGCGTCCCAAAGCCGAGAATACCCGCCGCATCAGTGCCGCAGATGAAGAGTCTCCAGCCCAGCCGGATCCGAGCCTGTAAGGTATGTGGCATGCCGCCGCCCATTACAGTGAGTCCGTTGGCATCTGCTGCGCGCTGGATCTTCTCAATGGCATCTAGGAAGAGCGGGTGGTGGGTGTTGGCTGAGTCGGGCTGGAGCCCGAGCGAGGACTGCAGGTCGAATCCGCCGACCATGATTGCGTCAACTGGCATTGTGACTGTGGTCAGCGCCGATCATAACACAATGTCCAGAATTGTGATGAGAAGGGGGAAAAATCCAAACGTACGTCCTGGAACACTGGCAATCTCTTCGACATTCTCCACTCCGTGAATGTCTTCCACCTGTGCGAAAACTGCGACGTGGTCGTTCCATATGTCAATAGCAGTGACCCCCTCAGGCAACTCCTTCTGTGGTCCCAAGATGGCATACGGAGGCACACTCCGGTCGCCGCGGGGAGGAAAGCGGACAAGACGGACCAGCGCCTCGGCCTGCTCTTTGTTCTGGATATGAGGCATGATAATACCGCCCGCACCGGCATTCAAAGCATGGTTCACCATATCCGGCGTCGTGCAGCGCACAATAGGAACCATTGAGCCACCCGAGAAGAAGTTAATGGCCCGAGTCACGGAAACGAGCTCGGTGGGACCCAGAGGGGTGTGTTCCTACACGAATGGCAGTGTCAATGCGAGGCTCAACTGCTGTCAGGCAGTCTGGGGAGTTTTCTCTCACTCCGTCGACGAAACAGAACTCATGCGGCAGAAGAGCCACAATACGGGCGGCTTCTTCATGGGGGATATGGCACCATGTTCCATAGAGGATATCGCCGGTGCGTAGAATCGCCCGCAAGTTAGTGGGCAAGGCGAGGTTCGGTGCGTTGTAGTCTTTGACGTTCACCATTTTGTGCAAGATGACGAGGGCACAAGAGAGAGAGAGTGTGTGAGGCGACAATCGAGGTAAGGATAGACAACTCGGAACTTGGGGGTGTGTGGGAGGTGGTTCTGGGTCACTCTCGGCGCGCAGCGATTCCAAATCAAAATCGCGCAATTCTCATGCTGCGAGATCGCGAAGCAATATGACGATCCCTCATGCCGGCATGACAGCCCCTCTGTTACACCGCTTCAACGTTCCAACAAGCTGCTGGGGTGGGGGTAGTGGGGTAACTGTGGCTGGCTGAGGCCTTTTCCGATCTATCGATGCAAGATGCAAGATGCTGCAGTGTGATGGTTCTGACCCCGACCCACCGAGCAGATCATATGTACCTGGTTTTTCGTCGTCAGAACAATGTCTTCGATTTGTAACTTTGGAAATAACGAGCCGTCTTGTAGTACAGAATGACATAGGACATGCAGGTCCTATTGCCCGCGGCTAGAAATGAGCTGAATCTCGTCTATCTTCTGTAGTTCACAAGCCCTATACTTGCTTAGCGGATATACTCCCATACTCATAAGGCCGACTTTCATAACTCTGCATTTATCCAGCGGCAAGATTATTATTGACTTGTGTTCCTCATCATGGCCCCCGTCCCTGAATTCTGGAATGTCTCATCACGAGAGTTCCAGAAGCACATTCGGATTGTCCCCGAGTCCAACGAGCCCCCAGTGCCTTTCCCACTCGTGCTAGCGCCGTCCGACTCTTCGGCAACCCTATCTGACGTGCTTGACGGTGTCAAGAAAGAACTTGCCCCCAAGCCCAGCGACACGCTCGAGTCCAGCCATATCCGCAAGCTCCTGGACAACAATGGCGGCGCTGTCTATCTCAAGTCGCTCCCGCTGCGCTCGGTCAACGATTTCTCTCAGTTCCTCGATGCCTTGTCCGGGGAGGGCAAGATGGCCCTGTATCCTTATGACGCAGTGGCCATGAACGTGCTTCGCAAAGTCCAGGCGAAGAATGTTCTCACTGTGAACGAGTACGTATTCCTCATGACATCTGGTATTGATTATACCTGCTCATCAATATCACCCAGAGGGCCGCCGTCCCACGTTATCATGTGGCACAGCGAGTTCAGTATCTCGCCCTCGCATCCGCCCTACGTGGTCTTCTTCTGTCTCAAGCCCCCCGAGTCCGGTGGCAAGACCGGCATCTCGTCCTCGTTGGCGGTCTATAACCGCTTGAAGACTGCGTGTCCTCGGTTTTTGAGGGGCTGTGTCGAGAAGGGCTTTTCGTACCCGGCTCCGCATCATGTGTCCGAGTCTGACACGACCTTCTTTGGGAACGGATTGTACAAGAAGACTGCGTACGGACCCGCAGATGGCAGTGACATCACGCCGCTGCCGGAGGAAGACAGACGCAGGGTCGTGGAGGAGAGGATCCGCGCCCTGGCCGAGCTCGGTGGCTGGTCTGAGGAGACCAGTAAAGATACCAGCCTGCCTGCGTGGCAGCAAAGAGGGTTTGATTGGATGTGGAGACCGGATGGCGTGGATGTGTACCAGCGGGTGCCCGGTGAGTTTGGATTCGAGTTAGGATCTATCCATGGATGAATGGATGGGTTACAACTTACCTTGTATATGCCATGCTGATTTCTGGTAGGAATTCGGGAGCATCCCACCCGCAAGACGGATACTTTGTTTACCGTGAGTGTGGTATCCAGTGAATCGAGGCATCAGCTAGTAACTCTCATCTTTGATCGACTAGGCCCTTGGCTCTCGGTACATCAACACCAAGAACCGCCAGACTTTCAAGCCGCCCCATACCTACGTCAATGAAGAGGGCAAGGAAGTCCTCTATCTCCCGCCGATGGTATGTGTACGCTTCCTCCCCATGTGCCTTGCCACTAGCTAATCTCTTCACAGTACGCCGGCCTCCCCGAAGATGAGCCCATTCCTGAAGAAGACTTGGATACCTTGCACAATCTGCAGCAGGAGTTGTCTGTGAACATTGATTGGGAAATTGGCGATGTTCTGATCATCGACGTAAGTGATCTCGAGGGACTTGGTTGTGAAATAATCCTGACCCTGAGAATTTCTTTCTAGAACTTCGCTATTCAGCACTCTCGTCTGCCTTGGACTGGGGATCGCAAGATCATGGCGAGTTTTTGGGACCAAGAGGGATTGAAGGCGAAGCCTGTGTCTAAGCTGGATCTGTGAGACTCGACATGCAAGTTACATTACATCCAAGGTACCATAGGTTGTATTCTGGGAATCATAACTACTTTTGCGATAGAGAGACGACTGTCAACTTTCTCTTTTTTCATTTTCCATGGTTTAGATCACTGACTGGTTGCAATCGGGAAATTCATCTTTCCCCCCATTGATGTTCAGTCATGTCTTCGTCCTTGAAAATTCTCCCACCTCGATCAACAATGCTTCTCCGTGATATCGTACCACTTCGCTTGAGTTGCGTTCATTCTTCAGCTGGTCTAGCGGTCAAGCAGCATCCGAGGAGAGCCAACTGAGCCCGTGTCCTGGCGGTGGTAAGGAGTGTCCCGGGTTTCGCAGGGATCCGAGGAGAAGTCTATGAGCACGTTGCGATACGCCGACTTCGACTGCGTCCAATGACGCAAGGTTTCCAAGACCATACGAGCGGCGGCGACGCTAGTGAGAACCACGGTGGCTATCCAAGATATTAGCGTTGACCTGAGGATTGACCAACGAAGTTAAGAACAAGGAGTATCAACGTACCGTTCCCCAGGTTGAACATCAGGCAGTACTCAATGCTCTGCCGGCCGACGATGCTAGCAACGTGGCTCTCGAGCCGCTTCAGGCTCATGCCATCGCAAAGGAATCGCTTTCCAGAGAAGGTTAGGCGACGGCGATCTCGGTTGGGCCGGGTCATGCGTGCAAGCTCTGGTCCGTGGGGGATCTTCTTGATGAAGATCACGCTGAATTCGCTGCCGAAACGGCCACTGCCATGGGTGTGGATGGTTTCCTCGTTGGCCTTGATCAGCGCGAGGGCGTGCTCGGCACTCCAGAAAACAATCCGGAGGCGGGTGGAGGTCTCGGTTTGAATCTCGTAGAGAGGGCCCTCGGAGATGCGGCTGGTAATGTACCGCAGCCCGACCCGCGAGTGTGGTCCCTTGATGTGGACCACCCCGGCCGTGGGCTGGATGTCTCGGACTTGGGATGCAGGAGGAGAAACGGATCCGCGGTTTTCCTTGAGCCCCTCGGAGGTTTGCACGACTGCCTGATTGTCGCCCAGGTCAATCAACATCTCCTCGTCCTTGGCAGGAGCCGGAGTTGCCATCACCGCGGGCATGGCCTTGAGGTCACCCTGGACCATGGTCTTCTTGAAAGACTGAGGAGTAGGCCAAGTCACCTTCTGAGGGTTCTGGACTGCCTTGGGTACACCAGCAATCAGCTTGCGGCGAGCTACCTATTGGAAATAAACTGTTAGAATCATCACAGACACATCTAACCTTGTCTCACTGACCGGTGCAGGAGTGGTAGGAAGGGCAAAGAGAGGGCGGCTAGTCCTCTCAAAGGTGGTCGACAGGAGGGTCTTGAGGTGATTGATCTCGACGGCGGAGTCAGAATCACCCTTTTCAGCGACCTGTGTATTGCAAAAGTGAGAGAAGCACAATCAGCATCTCTTATTTGAAAACGAAGATAACAGCATCAAAGTGGTAGCAATAAGAGCACTTACCCAGAGCTCAACCTCTTCAATGAGGCTGAGGGCCCGATTCATCTTCTCCAATATTTCGCCCATCATGGATGAGAGTAGACGAGACAAGATGAGAGAAGTTGCAGGTGAAAGAAAAGAGACAAGATGTTAAAGTGGACAGAAGTAGAAGAGAATAAAGGGTCGAGGGTTATGGGTGACGGAGAGGTTAAGGCGAGAATGGGGAGAGACGGGGAGTGTAAAGAGAGGAAAGTGAGAGAAGAGAGTGAATAGGCTTCAGTCGAGGCAGCGTTGTCATAAATGGTTTCCTCGGTTGCTCGCCATGCTTCATTCACTTGAAACAAACATAGTTCGCTGAATAGGAGCGCTTTGCTTCACCTTGTAATATCGAGATAGTGATGAAGCCTGAAGCATCATAATTCTCAATGCGACATGATCCCACTCTTTCTGTGTCCAAGGCGAGGTTGAGCTCACTATAGACCACAAGGCCTTATACATTGTCTGGATCCGTTGATAGTAGACTTTCTAGATTTCTTGCTCTGTTATTTAGTCAGTATTTAGAAGAATGGAAAGGACCAGATCTCATATATGAAGCTTTAAATAGTCACCTCATGGCCGAGGTGTCCAGAATTGCTTCTTTATATACGCCAGTGAACGAAACGACCGTGTATGGTCCATCGAAGTGTAGGGGTCAGCTAGAAATGAGAACATAGAAATCATAGCAGACTTGGAATTAATTGGAATTAATGGGCTAACAGATATCCATGAACGGCATACTAATTTGTATTCTAACCTATTTTTACATGATTCCGATTTCTCTCTTGAGAGGGCCTGGGTCTGTAAATATAAAAATCTAGCTCTACTGGTAAATAAAGTTGATGCATGTCTCAGTTTAATACATAGTTTAATCGAGGACTAACAAAGAGATGGATCCCGAGATCGTTGTTTGGATCATCGCATAACAAGATTTATCAGAAAACAGGAATCTACACAGGTAGACAAATGGACGGATCAGAGAGATGAAACCCTCATTTTCCACTCCAGAAGACGATACGATGATAAATTTCTTTCTCTTCTGTCCACTAGTTCTCTGAAATTAACCAGATATAATTCCCATTAGAGTCTGGATCTTAGTCAATCCGAGAGAGGAGGGAAGTCCCGCACAAAACTAGACAAATAAGTAAAGTCAGCAATCAACAATAATAGCAAAATAGCGACACATCATCATCTGCAAGGAAACATACTGAGCGGGACACTCGTAGCCAGACGGGTTCTTGTTGAGATACAGCTGGTGGTAGTCCTCGGCATTCCACCACTGGCCCGCAGGCACGACCTGCGTGGAAAGGGGCTGCTTGTACCACTCTGCGCTAACCTTGGCCGTGACATCCTCGGCAATCGTCTGCTGCTCGTCGCCGTGCGTGAAGATAGCACTGCGGTACTGGGTGCCGACATCGGGGCCCTGGCGGTTCGCCGTGGTGGGGTCGTGCATGCGGTAGAAGAACTCGAGGAGCTGGCGATATGTCACCAGCGACGGATCAAACGTCACCTGAAGAGCTTCGGCATCTACAGAAAAGCGAGGTCAAAGTCTTAGCATATATATAATTTCCGAGCTCTGCCGACGTCGAATCGTGAATTGCGCTTGCAACAAGACAAGAAAACTTACGTCCTGTGTTGCCGGAACACACGGCCCGGTACGACGGCGACGACGTCTCTCCGCCGCTGTAGCCCACTTTCGCATCCAGCAGTCCCTTGCCATTGCCGAACTGTTTCCGGAACAGGTGCTCGACGCCCCAGAAGCAGCCGGCAGCTACAGTGGCCTGCGAGGTGGTGCTGGACATGTTGCGGGATCGCGATTCCGGGGCCAGAGAGAGGGAGGGCGAGGTAGTCGAGAAGGGACGGAACAGGCGTGAGAAGAGTGTCGAGGTGATGGCGGGAGCGGCAAAAGCCATCTGCAGAATCGAGGGTGGGGACGGGACTTGGCCTGGTGGATATTCGGTGGGGAAAGAGACAGTCCAAGTCGATGAGATCAGATGAGGACTCTTGAGAGAGAAACCGAGGTTACTCCTGTTGTGAATTAGTGAATTAAAGCGGGCGCGATGCAGCAGAGCAAGAAGCTCGAGCTCCTCAGAGTCGGTGGCGTCATTCTCTGACAAAGCAGCGTGGAGAAACTCCAGAGCAAGTATAGTTACTCCTTGCTACATTCATGGACTTGGATACCACAAGAAAAGTATAGAAAACCATGGAAACACGGTGTGATAAAGTCCCGACATCGCTATTGTACACTCCGAGAATAATATGTCAAACGAAAAGAAATACATCGGAATGCCAGGCATCCCGTCGACTCGACACGGTCAACAAGAAACAAACAAAAGAAAACAATCATGAAGGATCCGTCGATGCGCATGGTGAAGAAAGTAAACAAAAGAGAAGAAAAATGGTATCTGTTACGCCAATGGAACGCCATCCCAAGCACCAATACATCCTGTGCCAAAGACAAGGTTCCCAAACAAGAAGAAAACGACAGACAATTCATCGCAGCCCGCTGGAAGCCAGTGCTTCGGGGGTACGATCAATAGTAGGGGTCGCCATCGCGCTGAGCCGGATGGCATCGCGGCTGGACAGACTAACATCTCGCGATCGGATTTCACCTCCCAGGGTGGTGCGTCGTTGTCCCGTGTTCTTCATGACCGGCAGAGTGCGAGGGCTCAGCACCCGGGGCTTGGCCTCGCTCTCCTTTTCGCTCTTGACCATGCGTCGGGCCTGGGACGCGGTAAACATGGTGTTCTCACCCGGAGAGGCGCCGTATGTGTTGGAGCTCGGGCTCCGACGACGGTGAACACGCAGGGAGTTGCCAGCAGAGGCTGGCGGGCCGAACTGTCCGCTAGAGATACGTCGCATGGCCGAGTTGATCTTGATTGCATCCTCCTTCTCTGACTTCCAGTTGTCCTTGTTCTCGGAGATCGGGCTGCTCGAGTAACCTCCGCTGGAAGTCCGGACAGCGATCCGTGAGGGACGGTTCAGGAAACTGCTGCCCTCGATATCACGGAGCGGGGAGTTGTCGCTATCCGAGTGAGGCAGAGTGTGCGAGGGCGGTGGTCCCAGCGGTGAGCTGCCATTCTTCTTGGATAAGAATCCCGCTTTGAATCGGCTGTTGTTCTTCGGGATGTTCAAGGTCGACTCGGAGGGCACCGGCGCCGGAGAAGTAGTGCCCGATGGGCTGGAGATTCTCGGGATGTTTCGTGGAATAGGAGATGCTCCTCGGGGCAAAGACGGCTCTTCCGAGATGGCTTCATCGACAGAGACGGCTCTCTGAGGAGTCCTCTGAAATTCAGTGAGAGTGCCATCCTGCTCGTCATCCTTCCACCGGACAGATCGCTTGGGAGCCTTGACCTGTGTCTTCTTCGGGGTGAAGCTGACACTCTTCCGGCCGGCAGGGGCCTTGCGGCGACGCGGTGAGCCCTTCACGGGCGATGCACTCACAGCCGGGGCGAGCGAGACGGGAGGGTTCAGGTTTTTTGCAGGAGGCAAGCTGACCAGGCTGAATCTTTTCTTCGGCTTAGGAGGGCTTGCTGGCTTGGAAGGGCTAACAGTTGGCGGCACGGGTATGTTGCCGTCTGGCTTGACAAGGTTAGATGCCGCCGTCGAGCAAGAGTCCATCATGTTTGTCAGAATTGACCGTCCCTTTTGAATGGCTTCCGTCGCATTGAGCTGCATGATATCCTCGATCGAGGCCATGATCTCAAACTGGGCCTGCAGCAGTACCTGCACGGCAGCGGCTTCGCCGGCCTTGTCCTGTTCGACCACGGCGGACAGGGCCTCACGCTCGGCATTGGACCTGAGAAGCTCCGCCTCTCGGTCCAGGTTCGCAAAATCACTATTATCACTGATGTCGAAGTCGCGAAGTTGTTTGATCGCATTTTCAACAGCCGAGTTCATCGCACGGTCCCAGCTGCTCTTCGCTAATCGTTGGTTGTAATGGTGTCTGCTGCCTTCCAACTCAAGAAGGATGCCCTGTGCGGATTTGCGAATCGCGTACAAATTGGACAAGCCCTCCTCGTTCTCCCGCGAAGCACACACATTGTCAAAGGCAGCAATCCACGACGACAGAATACCGATCCGACGGCTGATCTGTCGTAGTTTGAGCATGTGGTTGCACTTCTCCTGCCTCTCCGGCAGGGTGTGCTCGTAGGCGTTGCGAATGCGGGCGACGCCCTCGCGCACCACGGCGTCTTTCTTCTCGGTCTGCTTCCGGAACTTGCCAAAAGCGACATTTTCGTAGTCCTTCTGCTGTGCTTTGAGTTCGTTGATCAAATTCATCTGTTCATCGATCTTGACCAAGAAATCTTTCACGTGTCGGTTGACATTGAAGACATTCCGAGTGACCTTGGTCTGAATGTTCTTCGCTCGGTTGGCATATCGTAAAGTATTCTGCGTCTCATCAAAGTGTTGGCTCGAGGGGCTAACGCAAACGATCATTACCGTCTTGCAGTTGCCACCGAGCGCAAACTTGAGCAGCCGAGTGAGCTTAGAGTTTCGGTAAGGAATGTGGTTGCGCTTCCGAGGGTCACAAAGTGCATTGATGCAGCTTCCCAAGGCCAGCAGAGACTTGTTGATGTTTGCACCTTCGAACAGCCTCTCGCCCCGGTTCTTCGTCGCGCTCGCGCGTTCGCTTCCAGCCAGATCAATGATACTGAAAGTCGCCATAGTGTGAGGTTCGTTGACATCCGCATTTCGATCTTTCTGGGCGATATTGATCTGAAGGACGGCATGCGATCGGGAAGAGGTGGCATTTGCTTCGGTGGGGGACATGGTGCGGCATTCGTTGCCGCGCACAATCATATCCATAACTTCCTGAACGTTCTGAGGGTGGTGACTGGACAAACCGGACACCGAGACCGATTGGTTGGAGTCCTCGCGGAGCATCAGGCCGCCTTTAGTGCCTCCGGGGACGAGCAAGTCGCGGATGGTTTCGTTGTAGATTTCGAGATAGGATAGGGACAGCTCAGTCGACTTTTCGTCCTTGCGCTCTTCAATGCGCTCGAACAGTTCTTGCATTGTAAGGAAAATGATGCCCGGCTGTTGCGCTGTTCCCGTGATGGTATGGGTCTTTCCACATCCCGTCGCGCCGTATGCGAAAACCGTGGCGTTGTAGCCCTCGAGGACGTTATCGAGGAGGCTGCGGGTCGTTGATTCGTACAACTCGCCCTGCGAGGCATTCTGGTCGAAGATCCGGTCGAAGGCAAAAGTCTGGTCCTTGGTGCGTTTGCCGTTGGGCACCACACTCTTGGAGAATTTCTGCACGGGGTTGTCCTCTGGAGGATCAAACACCCTGAAGAGCACAGTCAGCCCATGACCTAGCTCCAAACAATTCATCGGTAATACTCACAAACACCGATCGTCGATCACTTTGACAATTGACCGAATCCCTTTCTGGTTGAGCTTCGGCGCGGGCACGCCAGCCAGCGATCCATCGCCGAGGAACAGCGGACCATCCTCGCACTTCGAAATCTGGGCTGCCTCACGGATCGTAAAAGGTCGGACTCTGACCGCGACGGTGATTGACGAAGCGCCGTCGGAGCCAGCCATGGTGCAAGACGTGTCGAGCAAGCCTTATCGCCAGGTCGTGAAGCAGGTGTTTGGGAGGGGTGCGACGGGACAATCGGCGACACCCTGCGTCAGGGGCGAAATAAACTGTTGAGTTAGTCGAGAGTGAAGATGAGGACAGATGAAGAATGTGTGGATCAAACAGCGTATGGGGTATTGGGTGCAGTATTCTCCGAGCGTCTCCTTGCTCTCATTTGTTGATGTTGTCCCTCCTGGTTGCTCCGAGCAACCGTTTGAGAGTGGCGATAAGCGGGACTAATGTGGCAATTGCACTTTGTCTGTTTATTTCTGCCCATCTGGGCGGTCAATGGTGTGTTTCAGATTTCGCACACGAACCTTCTGTTTTCCATCCACGCACGACTCTCTGTTTTGCCTCAAATGCCACCGACTCGATCACCTTATTGAAACTCGGGGAGCTGCGTGGTTTCAGATGACATGGATCTGTCAATGACATACCCGATCCTCTCCGGTGCCTTACGGTATACCGCCCTTAGCAACGGGGTTCGTTGTCTGATCAAATCGATGTGACGTAGTGTACATTGCCCGAGGCACTTCACAAGTACAAGTCCCTTTTAGCGTTTCAATCTCTAATCTTAGTCTAAGGGATTGAATAATTTGCAAAAGAAGAAGAAAAACGCCGTTGATACCAAACAGCAGCCTCCATTCCCGCGAGCGCCATAGGCCACGCATGTAGGATCCGATACATTCGTGGACAATCATAATTCGTCATATTTATTCTTCCTCCTCATACTCAAAGCTTGGAACGACCACATCCCAGCCAGGATCCTCATGGTCGAGATCCATGTCGAGCTCGGCCCCTTCGGCCTCCGGCGTGGGTTTGCGGAATCGAAAAGCGACCGGGTGTCCATCTTGAAGCCCTGCAGCTTGTAAAGAGAAATCAGGCTTCTTGGGTCTCCCTGCACCCTTTTTGGAACCATTCTCGTTAAGCTCTGGGACTTCTGCGTCTAGTCGTGTCCAGCCTTTATCAAGGTCGTGCCGGTCCACCGCAACGCCGAACTCGATGTCTGAGGGGTCGTCCGGGATGGGGTCGCCATTGATGTCGGTTAATCCGCGCGATTTCAGAGCTTGCAGAAGCTTTTCTTGGGCTGATTCGAGGGATTCGTGAGGCTGCAGAACTAGAAGGACGGTGGTTTTATGCTTCTTGAAGAAGAGGGTCGCAGCTCGAGGATCGGTTCTTGACTGTTTTGGCGGCTGCTCCGTCGAGAGTTTATCAGTGGCTGCAATTGCGCAAATTCTTGAGAACCGGAAACACAGCTCAGAGACATACCATCTTGGAGATACACAGCAAGAGATCGATGTGATCTTTGCGCTGGTGGGAAGTGTGACGGAGGCGGAGAATCTGGGCGGGACCGACGAATTTCTGGTCCATCGGCATTCTCCTTGACCGTTGACACTCTTGCTCCTCCCCTTTCCCCAAGCTTCATCATGGAAGCAACCCAGCCTCCGCCTCCCCGTTCTGCTCGGGCAAATTTCTTCGTCAAGCTCTTTTTCTGGCACAAGTTCTTTGAATCCGATAGCCCGCCACGACTAGGCATCGAGGTCAGGAAGCGAATCCCCTACGCCACCATGTCTGCATTCACAACCGGAATCGCGCTCGGGTATTATCATGGCAGCAAAAAGACCGGCCTCCGGTTTCGCGCAGAAAATGCACATCGGTTTCCCACGACGTCGTCCGGGTGGTTCCAGTATCACAAGACCAAGAACTATGTTTCGGTGGTGGGAGGCGTCAAAGATGGCATGAGAATGGGATTCAAGCTGGGTGCTGGAACGCTCGCATTCTGTCTGTTTGAGGAGACGGTGGATTTCGCTCGGTATGATGAAAGGGACTTCCTGTCGACGGTCACTGCAGGACTGTCTTGCTCTGGGATTTACAGCTTACTCGGTGCGATCACATTTCCCCATGACATGCTTGAATGAATTGCACGAATTGAAGCTAACTTGCCCTATGTTCTAGCCCGCCACGATGTTTTCACCGCTGCTCGTACCGCAAAATTTGGGCTCAAAATGAGTCTGGTCTATGGGCTGTTACAGGATTCGCTGGAGACGATGAAAGGGAACCGACCTGCCTATGTGGATTTTCTTATGGGCAATCCTCGGGCCAGGGTTGAGAATGAAGATTCCGTTTGATCTCGGATGGTTTCCTCGTCGCAATGACTGAAGTTGCCTGCTATCTCACAGTCAGATCATGCCCGCCGGCGACCGGAGGCATCTGATCAGATTCCCATCGCTCAAGCCTTTATTCCTATCCCGTGTTTCGCACGAACCTGAGGTCTGCGATCGAGACCAAGAAGCGGAAGCGCCATCTACGTGCCGGGGCTTCCCGTCCAGATGTCATGTCGGTTCGAGCGCACATCTACCTTTGGCATTTTCGATGGATCTTATCTCATCCGCTTCATGTGCTGCCTCTGGGGTCATTTGGGGAGATCCTTGACACATTCCACTTTCTTCCGACCGGCAAGACCCGGCTCTTGTGGCATCATACCGATGTCTCTCATCCTTGACATCTCTCAAATCATGATACCCTTTGTACGATTAGACAATATAAGTTTTTTTTTTGACATAATGCGGTCCATGTAAGCACATGACCTCTTGACTCTATGTGGAACGTGGCGTTGTCGCAAACTCCAGCGATCGGCCTGGTGCAGGTTCAAAGGATGCGATCCGATCAATTGGCCCGTAAGACGTCCAAAGGAAGCCGGGGCTTTGGAGGATTTTGAACTTTTTCCAACTTTTTTTTCCCAGTCTTTCGCAGCAATCTTCATCGCCAAGTGGAGCTGCCATAGAGTTTCCGGAGGTTCCCAAGTGATCGGTGGAGCTCAACCGCTTTTGACGTCGCTGAGTTGGACCCCCCACCTTTGCAGATTAGCTACCCTTCACACACCTCGATTTCTCTCTCTTCGGCAATGTCTGTCTGCTAGGGTTCGCGAATCATCCCATTGGTGAAAAGATGCCGATGGGAAGCTTAACGGCATCACTGCTCTCGTCGACGTCATCGCCTCTTTGAGGCCCTTATATACACGCTCCAATTCTTGTGTCTGATTTTCCCACTCGTCTCGGCCAGATCGATCAGAATGCGCCGCCATGGCAGGGCCGGGGGCCCGACCAAGGCCGCCACGCCCATGTCCGACACCGTCTCTCTGATCCATTCGTTCGATTCGGTCATGAACCCGAACCGCCCCGCGCGTCCTTCGCCGTTGGCCTCCTCCCATATCAAGGCATTACCGCTGGAGCTCGTCGATCGACTCCGCTCATTTCCGCTCTTTCAGGCCACGCCCGAGTCATTTTTGAGCGAGGTCGGCCAACATCTGCGCCCACAACTCCACTCCCCGAACGACTATATCCTGACCGAAGGCGACGAAGCGAAAGCGATATACTGGCTAGTGCGGGGTGCTGTCTCGGTTACGTCGCGAGATGGCGAGAGTATCTATGCAGAACTGAAGCCCGGCGCTTTCTTCGGAGAGATCGGTGTGCTGATGGATCGCCCGCGCACTGCAACCATTATCGCTCGGACCCGATGCATGCTGGTCGTGCTGACCAAAGGAGATTTCCGGAATATTCTACCGCGGTTCCCCGATGTCGAGCGTGCAATTCGAGAGGAGGCGCAGGAGCGATTAATGATCTTGGAGAAGAAGAAGAAAGAGACCTCTGCGCCGGTTATCGAACCTCCCAGCCCCGCGCGCAGAGGCTCCAAAAGGCTCCGGGAGAGCTTTTCCAAAGATTTGGCGGTTGCTGAAGACGAGGACTTGAGCATCATCAAGTCGGTGCATAAGAAGCGGAAATCACCGAGCCCGGGTCGGCGAGATGGATCGAGTGCGCTGGCGAATGGCTTGGTGAATGTGCGCCTCTTACTCAAGGAGCTGCCCCTCTTCTCTGGGTTGCCAGCAGACATCCTTCACTTCCTGGGTCTCAATGCTCAACCGCGGTCGTTTCCTCCTTTCACCGACATCATCCGGCAAGATTCGCAGGGCCGCGAGCTCTACTTCATTGTTCGCGGTGAGGTGGAGGTTCTGACAGAAAAGAGTGAGCAGAACCACACGCCCCGCAACAACTCCGATGGGACCGAACGACCCGGAGTTGAAATTAAAGCTCGACTTAAACAAGGCCAATATTTTGGAGAAGTGGTCAGCCTAGCACTCGCGCCTCGAAGGACAGCAACCGTCCGCTCTGTCACCTCAGTCGAATGCCTGATGCTGAGCGGAGATGTCCTCGCTGAATTTTGGGAGAAGTGCCCCAGAAACGTCCGCGACCAGGTGGAACGTACCGCGCAAGAGAGGCTTCAAGCAGCCGCTGATGGCGACGTGGTCATGTCGGATGCTGCTGAACCACAGCCCTCCATGAGTGACCTGGCCATTGATGAGCGCGTCAAGATCACCTCATCTAGAAGGAAGTCTATGCCTCTGTTGACTCTCACCGAAACCGAACTCGATGGGCCGCATCAGTCCTCGCCGGTCGAGGATCAAGACCAGGCTGTGCTGCGACCCTCAGACCCAGATCCTTTTCTCAGTCTGGGACTGGATAAGGTGCGACTGCGAAGTCGGCGTGGCTCCGTGGCTCCATTGACCCCTGAGGAAGTCTCTGGGGACCAGCAACGATCATCTTCTATCTCTGAGCCACGGTCCGCCAGCTCTTCGACTCTTGCTCTGCCTGAAACTGTTGGTCTTTCCAAGCCACACCAGACCGATCGACCCCGTGGCGATCATCATGGTATCTTTCCCGACAGTGTGTTGCAGAATATCTTCCAGTTCCTCGAGCTTCATCACCTTCTTCGCCTCCGTGCAGTGTCGTCACACTGGTCCGAGATCCTGAGCAAATCTGCCGATGTTATTGGCGATTTGGATCTCAGCATGTATAACCGCAAGATCACCGACGATGTGCTAGTCAAAATTATCTGTCCTTTCGTCGGCAATCGAGCTCGATCGATCAATATCAACAACTGCTTCCACATCACCGATGAAGGCTTTACGACGTTAGCAAGCACCTGTGCTTCAAATACCACTACGTGGAAAATGAGGAGCGTTTGGGATGTCACAGCTTCCGCCATTCTTGACATGTCCAGCAAAGCTGTTGGCCTACAAGAGGTGGATCTCAGTAACTGTCGAAAGGTTGGGGATACGCTCCTGGCACGGATCGTGGGATGGATCATACCCGGCAGCCAGAAGCCCAGCGAAGGCAAAGTTTCCATCAAGCCTACTTTGCAAACAGAGCATTGCACTGTCTATGGCTGTCCACAACTCAAGAAGCTCACGCTCTCATATTGCAAACATGTCACGGATCGCTCAATGCATCATATTGCGTCGCATGCCGCCGGGCGAATCGAAGAAATGGACCTGACTCGGTGCACCACGATCACTGACCAGGGGTTTCAATACTGGGGGAATGCACAGTTTACCAACCTGCGACGGCTCTGCTTGGCCGATTGCACATACCTGACGGACAACGCCATTGTACATCTGACCAATGCAGCCAAGCAATTGCAGGAGTTGGACCTGGTGAGGAACTCGATGCCTATCTATACTCAACAACCCTTTATTGTGATCTTGTTGCTAACCAATCTCATCAGTCGTTCTGCTGCGCATTGTCAGATACGGCAACAGAAGTTCTTGCTCTGCAATGCTCGCACTTGAAATACCTCAACATGTCCTTTTGTGGCTCCGCGATCTCCGACCCGTCCTTGCGGAGTATTGGCCTCCATCTTCTTTCTCTTGAACATTTGTCTGTGCGAGGCTGTGTTCGAGTCACCGGTGTGGGTGTTGAAGCAGTGGCCGAAGGTTGCCATCAACTTCAAATCTTCGATGTGAGTCAATGCAAGAATCTCACGCCTTGGCTTGAGGAAGGCGGAGAAGATCGCTATCAACCTCGAGTTGAGTTCCAAACGGTGGCCTCAAGCGGGAGGAACTTTCGATGAGCAACCCTCCTGTTTCGCTCACGGGGTTCTCGGTGTTTGATTCACCGAATTTGTGTCCCATCAGCCGGGTATGACGTTCGGGGAAGGCTGGCTTACTTCCTATATTACTATGAATACGCATCGTATGTCCACTTCTTTTCCCTTACCTTATTTTTTTTCCGTTCTTCCGCTGACCATTCATAGATATTTCTTTCTTTTTTTTTTTTTTCTGCCGCTATTAGTCTATCGATGATCGGGGAGTTTTGGGTTTTTGGGGCTGTGATCTTGGCCCGTTTAGATTGAAGTACAGGTTCTGGCTTTTGCGTTACCGAAATTCGGGTCGAGCATGGCAGGAGTTCAAAGACTGAACGTACATGGTTTGACGTGCCTTTTTTCCATTCGTTACCGATTTTTGAATATTTCTTTGGACGTTTTTCTTCACGAGATAATGCTGCACCATCTATTGATTTTGACTGGAACTCGACTTCTGTACTGATAATGCTGAACATCTGATTCTGCCGTGTCTAAACTTATTGTGTAACTTGGGATCGGAATAAGAGAATATTCAGAAGATGCTTTTCTTCTTTCTTCTTTTCTGAGGCTCGTTGGGCTGGTAATGTGTCGCTCGACGGGGAACCCTAACTTTGTAGGACGAGACCTCAACGGAACAGGTAAGCCCCTTATCCTCTTGAATCCATTGAGCAATGCCCTGCTAAGACATATAGAGTGGCTTCCAAAGGCAATATTTGGTCTTGAATCAAAACTATTGCAACAAAACAGTCTCTCCGGCTTTGTGTGGATATTGGGTCCGTTATCAAACAGGACAATGGGTTTGACTGGCACCGTCAAAGGAAAGACATCCCATTGAGCCCTTTTACAAGGGCTCTGTTCTTGATCTACAATCTCAAAAAATTTCAAGATAAAGTCAAAGGTACTATCTTCGGGCCCCGCGACTAGACTGCTGGTGCCTTTGTTAAATGGCGAAGGCATCCAGACTCCAGGCCGACTCAGTCTTCCGCTTCAACATAGCCGTCTACTTGCTCCAATTCATCTGGTTGAAGGGGCTGAAGACTTGACTGCCTATTTATTTGCTATGGTCCCGAATGATCTATGCTCTGTACATTCACCCGCATCGCGTTACGCGCTTCTCTCGACTCAATCAACACACCACTCCTCTCTCCTCTCTCTCTCTCATCTTCCACGCTTTTCATCCAACCAAAGCCACAGCCCCAATCCTACTTAGCCCTGTCCAAGAAGCTAGCAAGCTTTGCAATCTAACCAAAGCTTCAAGGTACGTGTCTCCAGTCCCATGAGGGCTCTCCGTTTAAAACCAAAGCTCCAAGAGACCTGTCATCTATCACAAAAAGTGTTCGGAATTTCATCCTTAATCGTTCCAAATAGAGAGATGGATCGCCTCATTTCTTATGAGCAAGCCGGCCAAACGTCTCTGCTCTGGGGAAACCCTCCCGGGGAAAGCCCTCAGGCCCAGCCTAGTCCTGAAGCGTCGGCAGCCTTCGAGGCGAATCCCGTCAACCCCATCAACCCTAACAACAACAATAACACCACCACCACCACCACCAACACGGATGATGCCAGCACGCCATCCAAGTCCCGACGGGGACGCTGGGACCCGGAGCCGGACTGGTCGGAGATGGTGCGTGCGAAGATCTCTCGCTCTCGACGGACGGGGCAAGCCTGTGACCGGTGCAAGGTAAGAGATACCCATCCATCTGTCTGTCTTGTCAGGCCTTTTTCCATCTCTCAGACCTTTTGCGTGAATGCCTGGCTTTACTTCCCTTCTTCTCCCAAGAACCTACTGGCTCACTCACTCTTCTTTCTATCCAGCTGCGCAAGATGCGCTGCGATGCCAACCCGGACGGCTGCAACTCCTGCATCTCTCGAGGGTTCGACTGCAAGATCACAGATCGCCTCACTGGCGATACTTTCACGCGCGGCGCCACACGCCGCATGCAAAAAGAGATCTTGGACCTCAAGAGACAGGTGAATAGCCTAACAGAGGAGAACGAGCGCCTGGAGACGACCAACGAGATTCTTCGTGGTCGGCTCTCGCTCTTCATGGAGCACGTTGAGGTATGATTCCTAGCTTCGGGGTCTTTTTGTTTCCCCTCTATTTTTATGTCCCCGAAGAAAGAGAACTGCCTGCTGACTGGTAGTCATACTTGTGTGTCAATAGCAGCCTGAGGACAGCCTGCACCTGGTGGGGTCTCTGGTAAGCTTGATATTTCTCTTATTTCCTTCATTCCAACTTTACTATTGCTTTACTTCCACGTGAATCTTCAATCATCTAACCCGGCTTCTTTTTCTTGCTATGTACAGGAGCGTCACCCAGAGAGCGTCACCCCTAGTAGTCAAACCACGGAGCTGACTACTCCTGGCCCGGCCTGTCCCTGCCTGGTGGGCGAATACTGCCCCATGCACAAGCGGTTTGCGCCAGCCAAGGTCGAGTCCGAGGAGCAGTCGTACGAGGCGACGCTCTATCATGCTCTTACGCAGTAATGCCATCCCCTTCGTCTACGACTGCACTCGGATCGACTGGTGGGAGCAGAATTTACGGGGAGTATCAGGAAATGCACGGGGGTAGATGCACATAACTTAGGAGTTGTGAGAGAATTTCAAAATTGATTTCCAACAAGAACCTCCATTTAGTAGCCCGTAAAATCGACATCCATATGCAGTTCCCGACACCACTTCAATGTATACAACCGCCCAACAGATTATATACTCCGGGAATTTAAGATCCCATGCGCCTAAGGCAATGCAAACCCCTTATCACACCCCGAGGTGAAAAGGGTCGCCGAACAGAGGGCTAAAGCTACGCTTTTAGCCCTATAGAGGGTACTTACCGCATATTATGCCGTATACTCCCCGCATAGCGTTAGTTATTAGATCGTTATAACCCGCATCTATAGTTATAAGTCCTAGCCCAAAACCCTCAAATTTGAGGGTTGCGGGTAACCCATTGTGGGTAACCCGCGGGTTATGGCGAGGTCTATGTATCCACCACCTGCTCGAATTGGCCCTGTGCATGTAGATTGTATATAGAATCAAGAATAAGAGAAAGAAAGCGCAAAGACATAAAATAAAATGAGCATCATTGAACATACGGGCTCTCAGATCCTTGCTTTCCGAGGATCCTGTGCGAGTAAGCAACGGGTTGACCGTCTCATGACTTCGCACGGCCCAGATTAGCCTGCGTTAGGACTATTCTGTCCCAAGGCTTCAGCTATGCGCCCCCGGGACTCTCCCAGTGGGGATAGGATCTGCCCCCACCCTCTTCTCGCACGTAACCGCCTAAGCCGTAATCGTCGTTAACCATGCTGTGTCACTGTAGATCTTAAGCAAAAACACAGGTTTCCCCGGTACAACATGTCACTATTTACAATTCTCGTCGAGAGGATTACCGTCGGCCCTTGGAAGAAACAACGTATAAACCCTTGCCTCTTTTCCTCTTCTCTTCGCCTGGTTCTCTTGTTCTCTTCTTCAAACTACAATCGATTCGTTTCCACTCTTCTCTAATATAGCATATCGTATCGCAATTTATAATGGGCGTTGAGAAGAAGACTCTGACTCCCGGCAACGGCACCGACTTCCCCAAGAAGGGCGCGAAGGTCACTATCCACTACACGGGCTGTCTGTATGATGAGAGCAAGGCAGACACCCACTTCATGGGTGATGAGTATGCATCTCTGGCTATCTTCTTGTTCAATGGTATTGAATGCTGATACCGGGTTCCCGTTTTCTATAGATTCGACAGCTCCTTCCGCGGTCCCCTCGAGACCATCATCGGAGTCGGCCGAGTCATTAAAGGTATGTTGTTAGCTCGGATGCCCCAGGAATTGGTTTACATATATATATGTAAATATAACGAAACCAAAAAAACGCTTGGATGCTGATACGCGTTTCCCCGTATAGGTTGGGACGAGGGTGTGCCTATGATGAGCCTCGGCGAAAAGGCTATTCTGTCGATCAGTAGGTGCGTGCCATTTCTCTCCACCTTGGACTGCAATGGAGGCAGACAAGGAAACTCGGACTAACCAGTCTACTTGCAGTGACTATGCCTACGGTCCTAGGTACGTGATCAATAATCAACCTTGACTATTACCCTGCCCTTTCCGAACATGACGCAACGCTCTACCCATTTCCTGAGCCGACAACTCTGCAAACCGGAATATACTACACTACTCCTATCTATAAGAAGAGCAATTGGGTTGCTTACTTTGACTCTACAGGGGCGTTCCTGGTCTGGTGCCCCCGAACTCGCCTCTGGTCTTGTAAGTCTCGGTCTTTCCCTCTCCTTCTCCAGGCAACTTGGCAACGGACTAACACCACGCTAACATCACGCAGCGAGGTCGAGCTCCTCCAAATACATCTCACACCAGACAGCGGCTCAGACCTCAAAATACTCGGGGCTGTTGGGGATTTTCCCGTCGCTATATGTGGCATGGCTGTTCGCCTTCCTGGTGGATTGGCAAGTCCGCAGGATTTCTGGGATTTTCTCATAACTAAAGGTGATGCTCGAGGCCGCGTTCCAAAGTCTCGCTACAACATCGATGCATACCACTCCACTTCCGGGCGTCCAGGAACCATTGCAGCCGAGTATGGCTACTTCCTAGACGAGAGTGTCAAATTGGATAGGTTTGATACTTCCCGTTTCTCCTTTAGCCGGGCTGAACTTGAGTTTACCGGCCCTGAACAGCGTTTACTGCTGGAAGTTGTTCGAGAAGCCCTCGATGATGCTGGTGAGGTAGACTTCAAAGTAAGACTTTCCCCTCCCTTTGCCCACAAACAGACTTGGTGACAATAGAAAATCCAGGGTAGCGTGACAGGATGCTACATAGGAAGCTATGGCGAAGACTGGCTTATAATGCAAAACCGAGATCTCCAGCAGACTGGAGTAAACCGCTACGGCGACTTCATGCTCTCCAGCCGCGTATCCTATGAGATGGATCTCAGAGGACCAACGTGAGTATTGCTTCATTGCTTCACTTGCAAGAATAAAACTGATTGGAGGCCAGTATGACGATCCGCACTGCTTGTTCTTCAGCACTCGTTTGTTTGCATGAGGCTGTCTCCGCCATCCAACGCGGTGATTGTCAAGCAGCAGTCGTCGGAGGCGCGAACTTGATCATGGCCCCCGGAATGACAGCAGCTATGACTGAAAAGGGGGTCTTATCGCCAGATGGCTCCTGCAAGACATTCTCCTCTGATGCTAATGGATACGCACGAGGCGAAGCTGTCTCTGCTGTATATATCAAGCCGCTTGATGCTGCTCTTCGGGATGGAAACCCGATCCGTGCGGTCATAAGATCTACAGCGACAAATGGTGATGGTAGAACGCAAGGCATTGATCAGCCCAGCACAGAAAGCCAAGAGGCTCTGATTAGAAAAGCCTATGAGAAGGCCGGGATCGCCGTGAGTTGGCCGGGATTGCACTTCTAAAAGATTCAGTTCACTCTGGGAATGACCCTGACCGTGCTTTAGGACTTTTCCAAGACTGCTTTCGTCGAGTGCCATGGCACTGGCACTTCTGTCGGTGATCCAATTGAAGTAAATGCTGTTGCACGCGTGTTCGGAGACTCTGGTGTTCACATCGGATCGGTCAAGCCAAACCTTGGACATTCCGAAGGCGCATCAGGTCTCACAGCCCTCATCAAGGCCACGTTGACTCTTGAAAATCAAAGGATTCCACCGAACATCAAATTCTCTGGTCCGAATCCAAAAATCCCATTCAAAGAACGGAAGCTCATTGTTCCCCTGGAGCCGACTTCATGGCCCGACAACTGTCACGAACGAGTCAGTATCAATTCCTTTGGCATCGGAGGTTCCAACGCGCATGTCATCCTTGATTCGGCACGCAGCTTTAATATTCATAAAAGAAAAACCGAGATAGCCGATGAACATGATCCCACCAAGTCACACTTGCTCTTACTGTCTGCCAATTCTCAAGCATCACTCAAGGCTATGACTGAAAGCTTCCGGGACTGGGTTGGCCGTAACCCGGACAAACTTGAAGATCTTGCTTATACCCTCGCCCACCGAAGAGACCTTCTACTCCATCGATCCTACTTCGTTGCCAGCGCTGATCGGCCATTCGGTGCTGTTGGCCAGGGTCAGAAGGCACCAACCACCCCTCCGAACTTGGTCATGGTGTTTACAGGGCAGGGTGCACAATGGCCACGAATGGGTCGGCAATTGCTTCTTCGCTCCGACCTATGCTTCCAAAGCAGCATTCGGGTTCTTGATGGAATACTACGCAAAGCCATTGATCCCCCTGATTGGACTTTAGAGGAGGAACTTCTCAGACCTGCAAGAACCTCCAAAGTCCAATCTGCCGAGCTGTCGCAACCGCTTTGCACGGCTGTTCAGATCGCATTGGTTGACCTCTTGGCAGCTGTTGGTGTCAAACCCGCTGCGGTTGTCGGCCACAGTAGCGGTGAAATTGCTGCAGCTTATGCCTCTGGGGCACTCACTGCCAAGGAAGCAATCATATCTGCATGGCAGAGAGGACTGGCGGCCAAGAATCAGACAAAATCTGGCGCCATGGTTGCTATTGGAATGGGCTGGGATGAAGTGAGCAGCTTCTTAAACCCTCCCAACGTCGTGGTTGCATGCGAGAATTCCCCTAGAAGTGTTACATTGTCGGGAGATTCTGATGAAGTGCAATCCACCATCTCCCGCATCAAGGAAGCTCATCCAGATGTGACAGCCAAGCTGCTCAAGGTCGAAAAGGCTTATCACTCATACCATATGCAGGATGTTGGGCCCGAGTACAGCGCAGCCTTGCGCCGTGATGTCGAAGGCAAGCCGCCATCAGTTCCATTCTTCTCCTCTGTCACAGGTGCAGGGAAGCCGGAAGAAGTTGCTTTAGACGCAAAGTACTGGCAGAGAAACCTTGAGTCACCGGTGCTCTTTAAGACAGCAGTCACAGCAGTCCTGGATCGGATTGAAAATGTTGCCTTTTTGGAGGTTGGGCCACATGCCACGCTGGCAGGCCCTGTGAGACAGATCATGACTCAGGCTTCGAAGTCAGCACCTTACTTTGGTACGATGGAGCGAGGTGCGGACTGTGTTGAGTCCTTTTTGGTCGCTCTCGGGAAATTGTTTGAGCTCAATGTCTCGGTCGACTTCAAAAACCTCATTACCACGGGAACCTGTCTCCCTGATCTGCCGCGATATCCCTGGGATCACAAATCCAGCTACTGGAGCGAATCAAGGATTTCTCAAGAATGGAGAGATCGTGCGTTTCCAGCTCATCCCCTTTTGGGCATTCGTCAGTTGGAGAGTACCAGCCTCGAGCCCAGTTTCCGAAATATGTTGCTAATCGAAAACGCCAGTTGGCTCCGAGACCACAAGATTGAGGACAATGTTATTTTCCCCTGTGCCGGCTATGTTTCGATGATTGGTGAAGGAATTCGACAGATTAGCGGAGCACAGGATTGTTTCACCTTGCGAAATGTCGTCCTGAGTTCAGCCCTCGTGTTGTCGGAAGATGCGCCGACTGAACTCGTCACTACTTTCCGTCCAGTCCGCCTCACCGACTCTCTTAACAGTCAGTGGTGGGACTTCACGATCGCATCTCACAACGGCAATATCTGGATGAAACATTGGACAGGGCAAGTCGCAGCTGAGAAGGTCGAGCTCGGACGAAAGCCAAGCGAAGATCTTCTGCCGAGGAAAGTACAACGTCGGAAGTATTATGACGTCCTTTCTCGTGCAGGGATCAGATACGGTCCCCACTGCCAACGTCTTCATGACATTCGGACGGGTACAGTGGAAGATCGCGCGGCTGCTCGCGTGTCGAGCGATGTCTGCGGAGATGAAGAGAATTATCACATCCACCCGACAATCATTGACGCTTGCATTCAATCGGGTCTTCTTGCTGCCGCGAAGGGTCGCCCCGAGACAAAACATTACCGTCGCATCCCCACAAGGATCGATAGAGTGACTGTGCATCGCTGCACCGCAGATGCCGATATCAGTGTCGCCGCATCCGCTGTCTTCGTCAATGAAGATAGCGATGTTATTAGCCGGGTACAATGCATAACAAATGGAAATATAGTGCTGGACATGGAAGGCACAAAGCTCTCGCCCTTGGAGGATGCAGAGGAGCCAGAGACCGACAAGCCAATGACATCGGCACGTCTCACCTGGGGACCACACATCGATTTCTTGGACGTCAAGCGTCTCATCAAGCCCGAAGTCCCTAGGCGTCTGTATACTCCAACTCTTGACGAGATTTCCCGCTTGTGTCTGGTGTACGCGGAACGACGCATCGAGGGAGCTCAAACCAAACTTCCTCATATGGCCAAGTATATGGATTGGATCAGACGTCAGGTCCAGGGATACGGAAACCAGTCGCCAATGCTCGCCATGGATGATCTTTCTATCAAAGGGCAGATATCTAACTTGGTGCAAAAGCTGCGCGGGACACCAGTTGAGAACTGTGCTACTGCTGTCCAGAAAGTAGTCAACAATATCGAAGGACTATTGTCTGGGGAGACGGATGCTCTTGAATTGTTGTTGGCCGACAATACTCTGACAGAGCTATACGTTGCCACGGACGCTGTGGACCGATCCCAATTTATCCGCCATTTGGCGCACACAAAACCCAATCTTCGCATACTCGAGATTGGTGCTGGTACCGGCGCATCCACTGCCAGCATGCTGAAGCATCTAGTCCTACCCACTGGTCAACCACTTTACTCGAAGTATGCGTTCACCGATATCTCGTCCGCATTCTTTGTCGCTGCGAAAGACCTCTTCAGAGACTATCGGAACATCGAGTACCGTGTTCTAGATATCAGCCAGGATCCAGTCGATCAAGGTTTCGAAGAAGACAAATTTGACCTTGTAATCGCAACCAATGTCCTCCACGCCACAAGAATTCTAAATGAGACTTTGAAAAACGTGCGCCAATTACTTGCGCCCGACGGCAGGCTACTTCTTCATGAGCTTGACTCTCCCTCCAAATGGCCTAATTTCATTTTTGGAACTCTGCCAGGCTGGTGGTATGGTGGACCTGATGGTCGCCCGGATCAACCCTATATCACTCCGGCTCGATGGGAGAATGAGCTACGAGATGCAGGCTTCAATGGGCTGGATGCGGTTGCCCTTGATGCCGAGGAGGGTTATCAACTGAACGCCATCATGGTTGCAAGTCCACGGGCTGAGCACAAGGCAGTCAACAAGACAGTCTCTATTCTGTGTGACGATTCCGGCACCCATCTGATTCGTTTTTCTAGAGCTATGGAGGCCAGAGGCTTCACTGTTCAGCCGTATAAAATCGACCAGGAACTGCCAACAGGCCAAGATATTATATGTCTTCTCGATGGCACGCAGCCCTTTTTCAAGGATATTGAAGAATCACGCTTCGCAGCCTTCCAGCGAGTACTGAACAATCTAGGACAGTCTGCACTGTTCTGGGTGACCCAGCCATGTCAGATTCAGTGCCGTGATCCCAACTATGCTCAGGTGATCGGCGCCGCTCGTACGATCCGTACTGAGATGCTGTTAGACTTTGCCACGTGTGAAGTGGACCACTTCGGATCGTCTTTGGAGAAAGTGGTTGATATATTTTCAAAATTCCAACTACGAGTGGAGACTGAGACGTTCAAGCCGGAGTACGAATACGCTATTTGTGATGGTACCGTGAATGTTGGTAGAATATATCCCTTTTCCCTGACCAATGAACTTTCATCAGATGCCGTTCTGGGTGAGCGAATTGGACTTGATGTGAGCAAGCCCGGACGTCTCAGCACCATGAAATGGGCTCCTCGGGAGAAAAGGATACTCGACGGTGATGACGTGGAGGTACAGCTTTACGCAGCTGGCCTGAACTTTAAGGTGAGAGCCTTATTTCATCTAAATTCTCTTTATAGCTGACACATGTTGTGCAGGATATCCTAGAATCATTAGCAGTCGTCCCTTATCCTCAGGATGGCTTGGGTATGGAGTCCAGTGGAATTGTGTCCCGTGTCGGTCCTGAGGTGACCGACCTTCGAGTGGGCGACCGGGTTATGCTCTTAGGCGACGGCTCTTTTGGTTCACATGTCGTCACCCCTGAGAGACTCTGTGCCAGAATACCGATCAGTCTCGATTTTGAAGATGCTGCAAGTATCCCAGCGGTCTTTGCAACCGCTATCTGCTCGCTATTCCATATTGGAAAGTTGCAAAAGGGACAGGTACGTCACTCTTCGTAACCGGTTGCTTATTTCGGCATCGTACTAATAAACCTCTAGTCTGTGTTGATTCATAGCGCGTGTGGTGGTGTCGGCCTGGCTGCCATTCAGCTTGCCCGCATGGTGGGAGCTGAAATTTATGCAACTGTTGGCAATGAAGACAAGATTCAACATCTCGAGGAAACCTTTGACCTTCCGAGAAATCGCATTTTCCATTCAAGAGACACCAGTTTCGTGAAAGGAATAATGCGTGAGACCAATCAACAAGGCGTGGATCTCGCACTTAACTCTCTCTCTGGAGAACTCCTTCATGCCACTTGGGGCTGTGTCGCCGAATTTGGCACCCTGGTTGAGATTGGAAAGCGTGACTTCCTCGGTGCCGGTAAACTTGATATGAGCACTTTCTTAGGAAGCCGGACATACGCTTGCTTTTATCTCGACGCACTCATGGCTAGGAAGAAATCGAAAGTCAAGGAGCTTCTTCGTGAAGTCGTGTGGTACTTGCAGAGTGGGCAAATCGCTCCGATTCGCCCGAAGAAGGTTTTTGATGCTGTGCAAATCGAAGACGCAATCCGGTATATGCAATCAGGCCAGCACCTCGGCAAAATCGTGGTCTCAATCAGGAACACAGATGGCGATCTGAAGCTTGACACTGCATCCGTCAAGGCGATAAAAACCCTGGACCTCGACAAGGGCGCATCTTATCTTCTCGTTGGTGGTCTTGGTGGCCTTGGTCGAGCCGTTGCAAGGCATTTGGTTGAGCGCAATGCACTCCGTATCGTGTTTCTCTCGAGAAGCGCTGGCAAAGGGCCAGAGGACGCTGACACCATCACAGAGCTTGAGAGTATGGGCTGTGAAGTCGTTCTTGTTCAAGGAAGTGTTCTTCGATACGAGGACGTGAGGAGCGCTTTGGAGCAAGCCCCAAATCTGAAGGGAATAATCCAATGCTCTATGGTTCTTCGTGACCAGAACTTCGGCCGTATGAGCATAGACGAGTGGAGAACGGCAGTGGCCCCAAAGGTCCAAGGAACTTGGAATCTCCACAACGCTGCAATTGCCGCCGGTATCCAATTGGACTTCTTTATCATGTTCTCATCGATGTCTGGTGTCACCGGGCAAGCTGGCCAGGCAAATTACGCAGGAGCAAACACTTTCTTGGATTCCTTTGTTCAATACAGAAGAAGCCTAGGTCTCGCGGCCTCTTCTCTGGATATTGGGGCTGTCCAGGACTTTGGCTACGTTTCGCAGGATGATGCCCTTCTGAAGAGAATGAAGCTTGCAAGTGCGCATGGAGTTACAGAACCCGAATTGATGGAGGCCGTCAGTGCAGCCGCTCTATTCCCGGCGAAGTCTCCCATCGACTGCGATACCCTGGCTGAGCCATTTGCTGATAGACATACCATCGTTCTGGGCTTATCGACAGCAATTCCTCTGAGCAGCTCGAAAAGCCGTGCGTTCTGGAGGAAGGACGTGAGAATGGCTGCCTACCATAACTCGTCTAAGACTGGGGCAAGCACTTCTGGCTCAAACAGTGACAATCTCAAATCCTTCCTTGCCCAAGCTAAGGAAGATACTAGTATTCTCAGTACTGAGGAGTCCGCGAACTTCTTAGCCCAAGAGATTGGCAAGAAGCTGTTCGTCTTCCTTCTGAAGTCTCCGGAGGACCTGAATACTTCTGTCTCACTCTCCCAGCTGGGAATAGATTCACTGGTTGGTGTCGAGATACGCGGCTGGTGGAGGCAGACGTTTGGGTTTGATATCAGCGTACTTGAGTTGCTGGGTCTGGGCAATCTAGATGGACTGGGAAGACATGCCGCGGAAGGCGTGAGGAAGCTACTGGCTGAAGAACATCCTTAGACATCTACTCAGCCCTGTACATCCTCAAGCATGCACTAAGCAGAACAGAAAGTCCTCAGAATTCTGAAATTTTCAAATTGCTTCTTTCTATTCTCGACCGAGAGTTCTTCCGTAGGTCGATTCCACAATTTGAAGATCGAGACCCTTGAGCATGGACATGCTGAATAAAAACTGTTGCATAGAACAATTCCTCCCTGGTTTAACATCCAATTTCAATTTTGTTTCAAGGATCACGATTGAAGCTCAAATTGTTGAAACCATCCCACTGAGTGTCGCGCAGCCGTAGTGGGGAACCGAACCCGAAACGGTGTCGTAGCATCGGTTAAGTACCGCTCTGTCGCAGACCATAACATAGCAAAATGGATACTTCGGACAATCCTTATGGTCACCACACAAATGAGCTTGCCGCTCAAAGGCTACAATGCTATTAATCATGCGCCATAGTTGACTTTCAACACCTAAAGTTTGGGACAAATGCTATGAATCTCTATCGAAAGCGATATTGCAATCAGGTCTCACACGGCAGTCGTTATTAGACCCAACGATCTAGTCACAGCTTATCTTCGAAGGTGACGTGTGGCTAAATTGCGTCTATAGGAGACATCGTTCAAAGGTAGCTGAATCTTTCGGGGAGAGAAACTAACTAGTGGATATATCTCTTGAGGGTGGGTATTATTCATATTTACTCGAGATAGTCTACCCAAACTCTTAGGGATTCCTTCGGAGGCCCTCACCCAACTTCGAGAAGAATCTACTAAGAGCATCGAATTTACTAATGGCGAGATATATCGCACACTTAGGCTATATCAACTTTCGCGAAATAGTGCCTAGGCAAGAAAATAGCGAGCGAGGCTTAGGTCTAATAGCCGACGTAAAGATATTCGACGCCTATAGCGCAACGGCCTTCTGCTGAATAGTCTAGATAAACTATTGCCGTTTTTTAGTGCTATGGAAACCTCTAAAGACAACATAGTTTAAGCGGATGGTTGGTTTGAAATACCTAGAGGTAAGATAATCTTTATACGTTTTATTTCACCCGCTTATTTAGCGAGATACTATACCGCTACTTAAACCTTATACACGAAGGTGGTCCCACATCTTCGTAGGATAAGCTGCTTCGTGTGTGGATCCAATTTCTGTCTATCTCGTTGAAGGTCTAATGTCCTAGAGCTATCTGGGTGTAAAGAATATACTTGGCAGGGTATAAAACCTGTCGACCAGGTAAAGAAAACAAGGAAGAGAGATAAGGAGAAAACAGTATATCTTCGTTGCTGTTAAGACTGAATCTTGTCTTGCTAGCTTGATACAAGAGTATCGATTTATCGTATAATATCTTTATAGCTCCACGTATCATCGATAATGTAAACGACTAGGTCTCTACTAAGCATCGTTATTATTCCACCCTAGGGTGGGTTAGGTAACAAGGTCTAACTTCCTATCTTTCTCGAGATCATATGATATCACCTAATCCACCCTTTCCGTCAGTTGGGAATAGCTTCATGTCTCACTATCTCTGTAGACCCTTTACACTAGATCCCGTTCTTTTACTAGTAATTCCACTTTATTCCTTTATATCTATTAGGAATGGCTAGATATATAATTCCTCTATAGGGCTAGTCTATCCTATAATATTTGGAATTACTTATTCTATTAGCTAAATAGTAATAATAGCTAACTAGCTATTAGAACTTCTAATATAGAGTTTTTTACTACTAAAAACCTAAATAGAGACCCTAACTAGCTAGCTTATACAATCTTTTTTCTATCCTCTTTTCAATATATCTAACTAGTCTACTATTATACTATTTATATAGTAGCTCTAGTAGAAACTCTAGAACTAACGTATTAAGATATGGTCACTCTGTATAGACCTTAATATATCTTATTTAGCAATCTAGTAACTCTAGATCTAGCTCTTATCTACTAAGTCTATATTAAGATCCTATTTACTAGACTCTCTATATTTTAATAGTAAACTATATACACTTTATACATGGCTCCTATTAATTTAAGCGAAACTCTGATTAGATTAGCTCGTTAGAGCTAATACCTTTAACTATATATAAAACTAACTAGAATAGCCTTAATAAGCCTTTATACTATATCTCTGTTAGTTAGCTAAAGATTCTTAGTCTTAGGATCCTAAAGATATCTTCTTATTTTTTTAATATCTCTACTATATGTTACGAACCAAGCCACCTCACTCGCGCCAACAGGGGTACAAGAGGAAACCAGAGCCAACCAACCCCGCGGTGATGATGCAGGACAACAAGGGTATAAGTCACGTGACAATATACCACGATCCATCGCCAAGGAATGGTATATCGGATGGTATATCAATGGGACTACTACATGCCTGCATGCAGTATACCACAAACGAGGGCGTGGAATACTGGGCAAGGGATATATAAGGACAGTCTTTACCACATGTATTTAGTTCTTCGTGATCAATCCCATCATTGTTACTTGGAACCACCCTTTGGTACTTCACAGTTCGAACATAGCGACAACCCTCCAACGGTCTTGGGAGCTTACTTAGTGATCCTCGATCCCTAAGTGACTGACTTGACCGGCGCTCTAACTGGCACACCTTGCAAGCACCCTAGAGACCCGAGCCCATAGAAGGCCCCCGAGGCATTGGTACGGTTGCGGATACGCTTGAGGCCTGCAGTACTCCTAGAGAAGTATCACCTTTGCGGACGTTACTCACCGTGACCAGTTAGCAGTTCGTAACACATTGATCACCCTGTCATCGAACCGTGAAGTCCAAGCATCATGGCGTCGCACGGCAGTAACAACAAGGGCAAGGCGATCGAGCCTCTGCCACCGAAAACGCAAACACGACACACCGACTTGGATTCGGACGATGAAGATGAGAAACGAGTCAGGGCACTGGAAGAACAGATTCACACCCTGATCAGCCAGCTCAACACCTTTAGCAGCAAGCATGACCACGACATTGGAGACCTTCGAGACTCAGTCGAGCAAAGTGCAGCCCAAATCGCCGCCTCTGCACCAGCATCTTCCGTGGGAATCAAGTTACCCAAAGCAGAGAGCTTCGACGGTACTCGATCTAAGCTTCGAGGGTTCCTCACCCAGATGGATATGCACCTTGACATGAACAGAGGAAGGCTAGTCAACGACGCCGCAAAAGTCATCTTTGTGTCATCATACCTACGAGGACAAGCATGGGATTGGTTGGAACCGTACATTCGAGAATACTATGAAAAGACTCCAGACGCCTGGTCTGCCATGGCCCAGGGCATCTTTTCGCGATACAGCAGCTTCCGACAATTGCTTGAACGAACCTTCGGCGATATCGACGCGAAAGCAACGGCTGAACGGAAACTTGCACGAACTCGACAAACCACCTCCGCAACAGCCTACGTTGCCGAGTTCATGGCACACGCCGCAATCCTAGGATGGGACGACTACGCTTTGATTCCACCATTCTATGGGGGCTGAAATCACACATCAAGGACGAAATCGCTCGAATCGGACGACCTACCACCATGAATGAATTCGTCGACACTGTTGTACGAATCGATAACCGCTTCTACGACCGACAGCGAGAAGAAAGCGAACTTAAACAATGGCGCCGTAACCCAGGACGAGGAAACGGCGGACGATTCCAACAAAGACGGAACTTTGGGAGAAGGGACAACGACCCCTACGGACCCAAACCAATGGAACTCGATGCAGCAAGGCTGCCTACCGAAGAACAGAAACGACGCAAAAACAACAACCTGTGCTTCAACTGTGGTAAGCCAGGACACCGAATCAAGGACTGCCGAAGCAAGAGGCAGGAGAAACCCCAACAATTGAACGCGACCCAAGAACGAAGAGGTGCGTACGACACTACTGGCACCGAGAAACCAGAACAAGGGAAGCCTCAACGGCTCTACGCGACGCAGGAGCGCGACTGGGAAGGCCCCATGATTGTGGATGGGAGCAAGCCACCAGGACTGTATCGGGATGAGCGAATGCTCTCCGAAACAGACGACGAAGAATTCCCAGAGATCGACTATGAAATCATCGAAAACTCGCCGCAGATGTACGCGAAGGATCATGCCGCGGAACTGACACAAAACAACGAGGTCTATATGGACGACCTAGTCCTTAGGACGCCCGCGCAAGCTGGTAGCGCGGAGGAACACTTTGAGCGCTTCAAGCAAGGCTCAGAAGATATTGAGAGTCAAGGATGGACCCAGTACGGTCCCTGGAACACCATCGACTCCCAGGAATTGTCGGACGATTCCCAGGAGTGGGGCACAGGTATCCTGAGGACACCAATTGAAATCCCAGGAACGCCGGAGATCCCAGAAACTCCACCCACACTCCCAGAAACGGAAGAGACGATCCTGGAAACGCCTCAGGAAAACCCCAGGAACAGAGAAACCTCGAGTGACGAGACAAAAGGCCAACAGGATGAGTCGGCTCGGGAAGAGCTATCCCAGGACCAACCAACCTGTCCATGTGAGCATCCACGATGCGCGTGTCGAGGATACGCACGACACCCGAAACATGACATCAGGGCGGTTGTAGGATGCTACGACGACAATTGCATGCTCCACTACCCAGGGAAACTCAACCTTGGAGTTGAGCCGAGACCTTTGCGATGGGAAAAACGACCCCAGTGGAAGCCCGAATACACAGGAACATGGCACGGCAACAAGAAAATTGCACCCACACCACAACTCGCAGCAACACAGTGGGGGGCACATATGAAAGTCTTCGTCAACGTCGCATACAAGAATATGCGAGCGATGATCGACTCAGGAGCCAGCGGAAACTTCATGAGCCCACAGTGCTGTCAGGAATATACAATCCAGCGGCGACGAAAAGAGGAGCTCTTACCTCTTACTGGACTCAATGGAGAACCACTCAGCACGGGAATTACGCACGAAACAGGGGACCTGCCGATGGTTTTGGGAAATCATTTTGAAACAATCAACTTCAACATCACCAACCTCGGGCAGTACGACGTCGTGCTAGGAGTT